CGTGAGAAGAAATCTCTTGGCCGCTCGCTTAGCACAACTTTTTCTCCTCTCTCGATGGTGGTCTTCCGACGACACAGCCCTTCCACGGACCCTTTGCCGCGCTTTCCCACGCTCTTTCGAAGAGCAGCCAAGCGAGAGCCGAAGTTCATATTGCCGGTCCTGTCTAGCAGCCAGATCGCCGCCCTTCTATACCTGCTTTAGTTACAAGCGAGGCGCAGTCACCTGGCATCTCAGTATCCTGGCTTAATCGCGAACCCGCCCTGCATGCTTATTTTTGGTCGTGACCCTGATGGCGTGAGAAGTGATGGTGCTCGGCTGCGCTTCGATCCGCGGAAGGTCGGCGACCTCCTGATTCCCCACTGCCGTTCGACGACATAGCTTAGAGATGAAAGATACATCAGACCTCGATGCGATCCGATCCATTGACCCATCTTCTCAGCTGACGACTATCTACAGCACGAGAGATAGCCATCCACTCCGCCGCTCATCATCGTTTCAGACCCTTTCCGCCTTCACTGAAAAGGGTCGACATATAGACGCTTCCGAGATCGTGACGTTCGGTCTACCATCCGACACAGTCTCTGTTTCACATCTCACTGCGCACTCACGGTATCGGAAGCGCCGACGTAGCTCAGCAGCGTCTCTTGCGCCCATCTGTCATCATCATGCCAGGTCGTCGGTCTCGCGCTTCGGGCGCACCCGAATCCTACGAGCTTCCTGCCTCGCCGCCTTCTGCTGCTGTCGAGCAGCCTCTGCTCAACAGCGACAACTCGTTCGCCACAGACGCTGACACAAGCGGAGATGCATCACTTCAACGAATCTCGCGCCCACGATGGAGCCGCCAGGGTTCTCGTCACTCTCCGGAAGAGCGCGCCCACGACGCCATGTTCACCTCGAATTCTGCTTACTTCGATCGTAGTGCATCGCCAGGCCACCCAATGCCCATCCAAGAAAGACCCTTCAAACCCCCCAATGTTGGCTACTCCAGGCCAGTATCCGCAGCCAGCTCTTACATGCTAGGTGCTCGCCGTCAAAGCGACTACGACTCGGTCTACCAGCTTTGGCGCCAAAGCGGCACCGCAAGCATCTACGAGGACTTCCCCGACGAGAGCACCGCCGCCTTCCCGGACCACAGGCGATCGAGCTCGGCGATGGACCTGGAAAAGATCGAACAGTATCGTGCCGGCGGTCTAGATCCAAAAGCACCCAAGCCGATGAAAGCTCAGCAACAGAATCTTTACAAGGCCGAAGCAGGCGCAAAAGGGCCCAAAGACTATCGTGCTGTCGGTCTTGCCAAATATGGCAAAGGCAAAGACCAGCGCATGTCGCCCAAAAAGAAGCTTCTCATTCTTTTCGCAGTCGCTCTTGTCATTTGCCTCCTCACCGTGGCCGTGGTCGTTCCTATCACGCAGATCTTGCTCAAAGAAGACAGACCCAATCGATCTGGTGCTGCCTCGAACGCCAACGGCTCCGATCAGGGCTCCGGAACCCCTGGAACAGCCAGCAACGGCCCGCAGGACCCGGTAACACAGCAGGAGATTGCCGTATGGGGTACCAATGGATCCGTCATCGACCTCGGCAATGGCAACAACTTCACCTACATCAACAACTTTGGCGGACGATGGGCCTCGCAGCCACTCAACAACACCGCTCAAGCCCAGAACTATACTCCACCACTCGATCAGGAGTTCGACTACGCTCGCAACAGAATGCTCGGTGTCAATCTCGGCGGTTGGCTCGTCACCGAGCCTTTCATCGTGCCTGCTCTCTACGAGCCCTACGCCAACACTTCGAATCCCGTCCTTGACGAGTTCTCCTTGTCCCAGAGGTACATCTCCGAAGGCGGCGCCGACAACTTGCGACAGAAGATGACCGAGCACTATGACACCTTCATCACCGAGCAGGACTTTGCCAGCATCGCCGCTGCTGGTCTCAACTGGGTGCGACTGCCCATCGGCTTTTGGGCATTCGAGACGTACGCCAATGAGCCCTACTTGGAAGGAGTCTCCTGGAACTACGTGCTCAAGGCGATCCAGTGGGCGCGCAAATATGGTCTCCGCATCAACCTCGACCTCCATGCCGTTCCTGGCTCGCAGAATGCCTACAATCACTCTGGCCGTGTTGGCTTCATCAACTTCCTGCAAGGGCTGATGGGCCGAGCCAACGGGGATCGCACGCTCGACTACATCCGACAGGTCACCCAGTTCATCAGCCAACCCGAGATCCGCAACGTCGTTCCCATGTTCAGCGTCATCAACGAGCCCTACGCCATCACAATCGGACAGTCGGCGCTTCAATCGTGGTACTCGCAGCTTTACTCTACCTTGCGCGCCATCACTGGCACTGGTGCCGGCAACGGCCCTTACATCACCATCCACGATGGCTTCCTGCCGCTCAACTCGTGGCAAGGCTTCTTGAGTGGTGGCGACCGTATCGCATGGGACACGCATCCTTACCTCTGCTTCGGCCCACAGAACACGGATCCGTGGGATGTACAGATCCTCAAGCCGTGCCAGCAATTCAGGCCGCTCCTCGATAATGCTCGAGCCAACATGGGCGTCGCCATGGGAGGAGAGATATCGCTGGCCATCAACGACTGCGGTCTTTTCTTGAACGGTGTTCGCGATGGAACTCGCTACGACGGCACCTACTCGGGCCCTGCTGCAGGGAACTACCCCAGGATGGGATCATGCCAGCAGTTCAACGACTACGAGAACTATTCGGACGAGATGAAGCTGGGCCTGCGCCGCTTTGCATTGACTTCGATGGACTCGCTGCGCGATTTCTTCTTCTGGACTTGGAAGATCGGGAACAGCGTGAGCACAGGCAAGCCAACCGCACCCATGTGGTCGTACTCGTTGGGACTGCAGCAAGGTTGGATGCCGACCAATCCAATGGTCGAATCGAGTGGTGCCTGTGCTGCTCAAGCCTCTCGATTGGGCACATCGGTGCCAATGGCCACGTGGGGAAGCGCTTTCCAGTCGTGGCAGACGGGCCGCGCAGGAAGCTACTCGCCTAACACGGCAGCCAACCCTTATCCGCCGCAGTCGCTCGTCTCGGCGAACACTCCCGTTTCGTTGATGCCCAGCTACACGGCCACCAAGTCATTCACGCCTGTCCCGGCTCCCACCCTGTCGGTGACTGCCACGGGAGCTGGACAGCCGACCGCTGCCCCCACGATTGGCTCCGTGTTCCGACCGGATCTCAACAGTCCTGTCTATACCGAGATCAGCGGATGCAACTATCCCTCTGATCAGTACAATTTGGGCGGCTACAGTGCCTCCGGATGGCCGTGTAGCGGCTGAAAGCGGCGGTCATAGTCGGATGGGACCTTGCTTCATCTTTTCGCCCACTCAAAGTGCTCAAACCTTGACCACGGACAATAACGCTTCTTCTGTACTTTTAGCCCGACTTTATTCGCTGTACCTGCACACCAATGCATTCGTATTGTATGCAAAACGACGTGATCTTGACCTGTGCTAGCTGTGTCGCTTTTGAAATGGGTCACGCCGAAGTGTGCCTCGTGGCCCAATTTCGAACAGCGCGTCCTGCAACTGCAAAACTCTGCAAAGCCCCTAGTTCTGGAATGTCGCCATGGCATGCACAAGTGTCAGCTGTCAGCCACCCTTGAACGCACGCTTCTTGCCACGGAGTGTGCTCGGCCGTCTGAAAAGGTGCCACCACATTGCAGATCGCGTGAGGAGCAGTGCAAGACTGCGTGCAGAGATCGGCGAAGTGCATGCATGCCAGCAGCAAGTTGGGATGGTGGGACGATGAGCGTCGGTCTTCTTGCTTCTTCGAACCATCTCGATTAGATGAGCTGCGCAGCGCATGCACTTGTCATCTCTGACCTTGGTTGGGCTCTGCGCCATCGCTCAGATGGCACTGGGTGGCTCTGCAGGGTCAGCGAGCTCGAGAGTCGGCGTGTCGAATGATTGTAGCTGAATCCGACCGGTCTCGCAGCGACACACGTCGGGGTCCGAGACGCCATCAGGGCATCCTATAAAGCACAGGGCCTTTGGACTGGCGAATCTTCAACCTCTCTCCTTGCGACAAGACATCTTTCAGCGAGCAGTGCATACACCTCAAGCCCTCTCCACCCTTCCTTTTCACAGATAGCCCGAAAGCTTCCCCTCCTTCAGCCCTCCTCCATCACCAAGGCGTCTAGGCAACCACATCTTCGCCATGTCTCATCCCTCTGAACACCCCGCATACACTCCACCATACTCGACCTCGCCCTACCGATGGCAGTATCACCCTTCACCGCACCCTCTGTGGTGGCGAACCATCGACTCGATGGCCAACTTTGTCCTCCACTGGCAGACGCGCTTTCATGGACATGGCGACATGTTTGCTTCGTGCACTCTGAGCTTGTCCTCTTCCTCGACCTCGACGAACTCGAACCAGCCTCCTGACTCGACCTTGCCGACGTCGTCGACATCCAAATCGAACGCGATTCCGAATACTTCGTCCGGTTTGTCCTCCTCGTCCTCGTCTTACTTCACCTCCGCAGCGACTTCCTCCGTCAGCTCCTCAACGGATCTCTCACAGCTCGCACTCCCGACCTCGTCGTCAAACACCTCACCGAGTCCCACAGACAACACCCAATGCACCCTTCCGTGCATTTTGACGCCCGCACACATCCGCGAAGCACTCCGGCGGCTCCGCTTCGCGCGGCCCACCGTGGCTCTTCGTCTCGCCAGTCGTCGCGATCTGGACCTCCCCTTACTCCCAAACATACCACCCCTCCTGGCGCGCAAAGTGGACTTCCAAGTGGCGCTCGTGTACGAAGTCGTAACCTCCCCACCTGACCTCGAGAGGTGGTTGGATGAGACGATTGTCTGCCACACCGACCCGATAGACTGGGAAGATTCCATCACAGCATCCACATCCGACGGTGTTCCACCGCGCGACCGATTGAAGGTGCACTACTGGCCGTTCACCGGGAGGATAGGGGTCGAGCAATCCCACGCAATCAGCGACGGCCTTGGAACACTGCTTCTGTTCGACCTGTTGCACTCGTCCATCGCCGGCGTTCTCTCGTCTCCTTCACCCAGGTCATTCAACTGGGGTGAGGAAGTGACGCGCCTCGAGCCAGCTGTGTGGGACGCGCTGGCCAAGCCGCCATTGTCACCTTTAGCCCTCAAGGACGAGCTGAAGCGCGCGCGTCAGGTGAACGCCGCTCGGATGCATGGGAAGAGCACGCCCCCGAATGCGATCGAGAAGATGGTGGGGAGGATGGTGGCCTTCGCCCTTGCGCGAGAAAGCAGGGTGGGTCGGGTGCTCTCTTCTCCCCTCATCGCGCTCGTACGCCGCACCGTCGCCAAAGGGGAGGTGTTCCCGCTGGGTCTCCTCCCTCCGCGCTCGCAAACTTCGGAGAGGACACATACAGGGTTTCTCAGCACAACTCTCTCCGCGACCCAAACGACCGCCCTGCTGACCATCCTCAAGCAGCGCGGCTTGACGCTTGCACCGTTCCTCGAGGCGGCCGCGCATATGACCACAACTTGGGTGCGTGCTCACCGCGGTCTCGCTGGCAACACCAAATGGGACGGACCGAATCGTCTCCTCGGGAGCTTCAGCAACGCGGTCTCCAAGCGGGACACCTTGCTCCCTGAACATCAACGCTATCTCGGGCTGTGTATGAGCGGCTTCCCCACCACCGTCCCTGCCTCTTCCGCCGTCTGGTCCCAGACCTCCATCGCCTCGCCCACCGGCCCGCAGGACCCTCTGCCTAGCGTATCCGACTCGGACAGGTGTACCCTCTGGGCGCTATCATCCGACCTCGCGTACCAGTACAAGGAGGGCAGAGCGAAAGAGAGCTGGTTGCAGCTCGACGAGGCGTTGTTGTGGGAGACCATGAAGAGCGAGTATCGCGTCATGAAGCCGGAGAGCTACCCGTCCATGGTCTGGCTCTCGTCCCTTGGCAAGGTGGAGAGCTTCTTCCGCGCCTCTCATCCGATCACATCAGAACACGAGAACAAAGCGTCGCGAACCGAGCACGGCGACGGAAGATGGAGCAAGGTTGGAGCGGCCCTCGAGGTAGACGATCTTCGCCTCATCGGCCGCGTAGCCATCCGTCAACCCATCCTTCACGTCTTCACATTCCGCGGCACGACCACGATCCAATTCTCCTTCGCTGATTGGCTGTACAACACTTCAAAAGTGAGCCATGGCAGCGAAACGCAGAGGCAGAACATCCTCGCCTACTGGCTGCAGGTCTTCACCACGCTCATCGACGCCGTCCTCCTCGATGCGACCCAGTCACCGGTGATGCAATAAACAAATGGGCAGATGCAGATTCTCGTGGTGATGGGACGCAAATACAAATGGTACGAGCATAAATAAGAGAAACGATGGCGTGAATGTAAGATGGTGCGATCAGCCCTCGCGCCATGATCGACCTCGATCGCCCGTGCCCAGCAGCGCACCGATGAGGTCGCGCGCCGTGTTGACGATCTCAACCGCACGACCGATGATGCCTCCCTCGTCCTCCTCGACGTAATCGTGCGCAAGAGGTACGCGGGGTTCCGAGTTGTGCGGGGCGACGAGTGCGCCTGTAGCGCTGGTCCTCCGGGGCAAGGTCGGACTGGAAGGTCCACCACCGGCGATATCGGCGCCTGTGCCGGATCCGGACCGACGCTTGCCGCTCGCTCTTGCGAGGATGAAGGTCGGCGTGTTGAGCGGTGTCGGGCCCACCTCTACGGGTCCATCGGGGCTCGTGACGCTGACAGCTTTTGGCACCGGACGGGCGTTGCTCGGGATGTTCTCCACATCGACACTCAAATCCGTGCCGGCCGCGCCTGGCGAGGTCGACTTGGCCCGTGCAGATGCAGCTCTCGACCCGCCCTTCTTGTCGTCCGCCCAGTAGCTTCGTTCGCCGCCGTACATGTAACGGTCGCCATCGCGGTCCTGCGACGAACGGCTCGACCCGGTGTCGTCCTTGCCATCCAGCTGCGGGCTGGCTGGGAAGTTGGGGCTGGCCAACCCGCCGTCCGAGTCGTACTCGTTCAGGGACCGATTCGCGACCGTACGCGCCTTTCCTCCGTGCGCAGCTGCATCTCCAGCTCGAAAGCCATCAGCTCCATCTCGCGCTCCGTCTTTGCCTCCGCCAGCCCGAAAGGAATCGCCACTACTCCGTGCACCACTCCGCGCGTTGGCAGGTGACGTGGAGGACGCGGGGCTCGCTGAGGCGGCCGAGTAGCGATCATAGCTGCCGTTGGCTGCCGAGTTGGTGGGCGAGTGACCGGAAGAAGTGCCGCTGTTGGTTCGTACACGGGTCTGCCTCGCGGCATCCTGAATGCGCTCGTAGCTTGCAGAGCTGCCCAGGCGTTGCGATGGTCGCCCCCGCTCGCGCGAGTCGTCACCTCGAGAGGACTCGTACGACTCGCCAAACGACGAGGCGTCCTGATGTGAGGTACCGAGCACGTCGTAGTCACCCTCGGCCTCCAAGCTGCGCGGCGAGTCGTAGTCCTCAGAGGCGGTCTGATGCACAATGCGATGTTTGAGAATGCCTCGCGGGGCAACACTGGCTTGCGACTGCTCCGGTGTTGCGGCTGCTATGTCTTGAGGCGACGCGGATGAGGTGGATCCGTCAGTCCTGTCTGACTCGCTGTTGTCAAAAAAGCTTCCGTAGGTTCTGGAAGCGTCAGGGCTGCTCGCAGCGTCGCCTGTATTAAAAACCGGGCCGTTGGCGTTGCCGTGGTGATCGCCCGAGCTGTCGACGAGGTCTGGGCCGTCAAAGTAGTCAAAGTCGCCGTTGAAGTCGTCCTCGAGGTCCCACTGGACGCCTCGTGCGGTGGGGTCGCCGTGGCTCGGTGGCACGCCAGCACGAGCATAGCCGTACTGCGCTGGATACGTCGAGACGGTGCTGCCGTTGTTGGCACGAGTGGCGAGGAAACCGCTTGGGTCTACCACTGCGGGTGAGGGCGCTGGGTAAACCTCGGACGTCTTGAGACGAGTGGGAGCCAGCTTGGCGATGGTCGCTTGCAAATCCGACTGCTTCGAGGATGAAGCGGAAGCATGAGAAATGGCCGGCGACGTCCTTGGGCTCGACTTCATCGTGAGCACCTCCTCGTCCTCGCTGCTGGGATCTTCCTCTTCCTCATCAAATTCCTCCTCGTCATAGTCGTCGTAGTCTGGATATTGGTGATCGAGCGCAATGCACTGCTCGACACGGTGGTTGAAGCTGATGTGTCGCTTCTCCTCCGGTCCCAGGCTATCGGCACGGCCGCTGTTGAGCGACATCTTCTTCTGCGCCGATACCAAGGGCATAGCGCTCGGAGAGCTTCCGGCTCGCTTGGGCACCTTGCTGACCAGATTGGAATCGGACTTGACCGAAAAGAGCGGCTGACGCTGGCTTGTAGCAGCAGCTTCTTCCTCTGCCTTGCGATCTTGCTCTTCAATGAGATCGTCGATCGGATTGGTCTCGAGCTCGGCATTCGGAGAAGCGGCACTCCCCGGCGTGTTGAGCATGTCCGAAATGGTGCGGTGCTTGAGGATGGAGCGAACGCGGTGGCCGTTGTCGAGATCGAGGCGATCTGCCATGGTCGCCATCTTGGGCGGAGGTACCGCCTCGACGTGCTCATGGAGAGGGCCGTAGAGCCATGTGACGTCGCTGTCTTTGAGCCTATTGAGTCGATGAGACGGAACGGAGCCGTAACAGAATGGAACAGACGTGGGGTTGGTTGTCAGTATCGTGATTGGTTTCTATGCGAACGGCCAGGTCGACTGCTGCTCCACGAGCAGAGCAGGTCAGCATATTCCACATTGGCTGCAAAGTCGACACTTACCAGTTGAGCGTCTCGGGACTGATGGTCTTGAGCTTGCCACGCTGCTTTGCCCACGTACGCCAACTTGCGTTTTCGAGTCTGACACCATTGGCGATCTGGTTCTTCTGCTTGGTCATAGCCTTCCAACTGCTCCACACGTCTTCGTCGGTCCACTGGTGACTAAGATAGTCGACGCAGACGGTGGGCATGCGCGACTCGATCTGCGCATCGTCGGGTGCAGGCACGTTGTTGGCCACGGTGGGATACGGTTGAGGTGTGGACAGCATCTTGAGGAAGTTATATGCTATTCTATCGGTACGTTATGGACGAGGTACACCGGGGTGGGATGGAAAGGAAGGCAATCGATGGACAGCCGTCTCAGCAGCGAGAGGGCGCGCGGTGTGATAGATCGTCCGATGGAGCAGCCGTTGAACGGTGAGTCGTCGCTACACCTTTGCTGGCTTAGAGCCGATGAGACATGGGTACTGTGCAGCAGAAGCTCGGGATGGGCGTGAGATGCAGAGATTGCAATGCCTTGGTAGGGCTCAGAGGAAGCCTGATCGAAGGCTCCGTGGTGGTCCTGAGAACGACGTCGGCGATGAACGAGAGGTGGCGTTCAGCAAATGCTTGAGCCTGTTTCTTTGGTACTTGCTCAGCACCGGACCGAAAGCCTGTGTGTGTGATGGATCGATGAGCGTAGTCGAGGACGGAAAGGATGGAGAAAATGCTTCGACTGTAGCGAACGAGCACCTAGAGAGGTGATGGGCGTGGGTGATCCGGTTGACAAGAGATCGTTGACCGCAGCGTAGGTCAGGAATGATCTTTGTCGTGAGGTGACGACGACGACGATGACGGAGATAGCGAGTGACGACAAGAGAGGCAAGCTGGAAAACCAAAGGGAATAGCGACGATCCACACTCTTTCGCCAACCACGCCCAAGCAGGATTGACTCTCAACACCGCAACCTCGAACACAGGCGAAACCCGCTTTGGTCGATAATGCAGCAGCCGAGTGTGTGCATGTGGGCGTGCGGTGAAAAGGTCGCGCTGAGCTGCCTCGAAATTTGGCTTGTGCTCAGCCAGCCAGCCAGCCAGGGCGGGGGCGAGGGCAAACCGCTGAGAGCTCAGGGACCGACCCTGTCTTGGCCGGGTCCACTCTCGCTGAGCCTCGCTTTGATCACCGTTGAGCGCGCAGCAGCCAGGGTTTTGCAATTTCTTATGTCTCTCTGCCAAACAAAAGCCTGAAATTTCGAGGCTTTGCACTGTGCAGGTCAGTGCGAGGAGCAAGCAGCGAGGTAGAATTTCCTTCAGATTTTCCGAATTTGAGCGAGAAATTCCACAAGGGCCGACGCTGGACCGGTCAGATCAGCTCGATTCTTGTTTGTTCCCTTCCGCTGTGACGCGGATCGCAGTCCTCTCCCTCGACGCTGATCCCTTGATCCCCCGCGTCTTTGCAGCTCGATGGAGGCGGTCGTGCAGGTCGGCCTTCTCAAAGACCGAAATTCTTCCGAAGCAGGTCTCAAGGTGACGATGGGCTCACCTCGTGCTCACATGACGATTCTCACTGTTCTTCCATCTCGTCAGCAGGTTTGTCTCGTCGATGTCAATCTTGCGTGGATTTCAACAGAGAATCCATGCGCGACTGAGCCAAGATCTGCCCGAACGCATGCTCTTACGAAGGAGAGAGGGGCTTCGCCTTATCCTATCTCAATAACGAGCTTGTCACGGAGGGCTCTCTGCACAGCACTGCGGAGACGGAAAGATGAAAGGCATATCTGCTTCCATCGGAGACTCGATTGAGCAGGCTTTGCGTCTCGAGCGTGGCCAGACGGATTCCCAGCGTGGGCGTAGAGAGTGTCAGCCGTTTGATAACGGAGTTCGGCCTTTTCCTTTTGTGGCTTGCACAAGTACCCGTGCATCAGCCTTGCTCGCTATCGCGCCGACATCGGTGTGGGTTCTGGAAGCATAGTTGCTTCTTGCTAGGCCCCCTGCGTGCCTGTTTCGAACGGCTTAGTCGGTGCTTCTGGCTTGCAAACCCGAACGTTTGAGCAAGCACAGCAATCCCTAACTCAAGCCTGAAGCCCTTGCGAAAAGAACGAGACGCACGCGCCATGCAGTCAAGGGTCAACCCACGGCCCAACTCTCTTCTCCAGGAATATACGGGCGACAAGACTGACAGCCGATTGCTTGGATGGATCGGACAAATATCAAAAGAGCAAGCCCTTTCCACGTCGATCATGCCGCACACATCACCTGCGCTATGATGGAGGTCGCTGGTGCTCCTGATTCTTGGGACCAGCTCCGCTTTCATCACAGGCGGAGATTGGCCGCAACTCGGCTCAGAGGCAGCGCCTGAGACAGACTGTCACGAGACCCTTTCGATCCACAGCTGCTCAGCGTGACAGATACTTCATCTCCGCAATCGACGATCTCACCAGACCCCAGACTTCGGTACCGATACCGAGGGTCTTCTCGGCTGCTCCCACAGCCCACTCCTTGAGACCGATCACTGACACGGCAGGCGTTGATCAACCTTTCATTCTGGGTGACTGCCGAACAATCGATGCGCCTAATGCACAATCGGCGAGGATCTTCATTTGACACGATGAGATGACGGCGGCGTCCGCATCAGAACTGCTACGATTCTTGATGCGGCCACTTCTTACTTCGAGGGTTTTTTTCTCTGCTGAGCTCTTAGCTTGTCGATGAGAATCTCACGCTCGAACAGCTTGACCTTCATGCCGTCGACCTCGTTTTCGTATGCCTTCTTCAGCTCTGCGACTGCGTTCTCGACCTTGCTGATCGCCGCAAGGATGGGTGCAGGGTCGCCAGCGGCACCGTTCAAGGCACCGAGGGAGGCGAGTGGAACATCGTCGTCGTCGCTGCTGCTGTGGTCATTGTTGAAGCTGGCTCTCTTGCGCGCATGCGTTCTGCTGGCTGCGGAGACGGCGCAAGGCCTCGCGGACGATTTGCAGGGCTTTCGAGTTGCGGGCTGAGTTGCGGGCTGAAATGCGGGCAGGAATGCGGGCTGAGTTGCGGGTTGATTGGCGGGCTGAGTGGCCGGCGACGGAACGTACGTGTCGTGGATGACGATAGGTTCTTCTTGCGAGCCAGAGAGCTTGCATAGGCCGCTCGTGAAGCTGGGCTCGGCAGGCGAAGGCGCACGCGGGCCCTCGCTCTCAGACAGCAACTCCTTGACCCACTCCTCCTCGAAGAACGGCTTGAATGGCTTGATGGCTGTTGCGGCGTCGGCGGGCTGTCCAACCTTGGCTCGTTTGTGAGACTGCATCGAGGATTCGGCCAAAGTCTCGCGACGATCGATGGCTGAGGAGAAAGATCTCTTCTGCGACGCTTGCGGATGAATGACAAGGGCGTTGCTGCTGTTGACAGGGTCGACGGCCGGCACCGCTTTTCGGTGCGGCTGCTGGGTAGCCATGCGAAGGCTATCGGCTTCGAGTCTCTCGAACTCGTCGGCTTACGGAGCGAAGCGGATGAGAATGTCAGTCATCAGACCAAGCAAAGAGCGAGAGAGTGCGGAAAGGGCAGCTCACAATCCAAGTCGATGGACGGCTGAGCATCAAACTCGTCCAGTTCGTCAACTTCCTCCTCCAGCTCTGGTGCGGAAGGTCGAGGTAGCAGAGAACTGCTTCGCGCGCTCCTGCTCTGATTCATTCCGCCAGATGAGGCGAGATGCAGCCTGGGAGGAGCGCTTGATGATTGCGATCGAATGCTGCGGTCGACGGGTGGTGGAAGGGTGAGGAGGCTGGGAGAGCCAAATCCGTCGATGGGTGAGGATGGTGGTTGTTGAGAAAGTGAAGGAGCGGAAGGAGCTCCCGCGTCTTGCTGAGTCGTTGCAGACATTGCGGAAGTTGCGCGAGCGTGATCGAGGCTAGTACTTCGATTGGACTCGTCACGCTCCGTGCCAAGACGGAAGGTGAGACGCTTATATCTGTCCCGCTACACATTGTCCCGTCACTTCGGCCAAGCGTGCTGAGTCCAAAGGCCTCTCCGCTTGTCGATGGCCATCTTGGAGCTGAGCGCAATCACCTTCGCGAATCGGTGTTCCCACGCCACCGTCTGGCATCCGGCCCATCCGAAATGCTTTCCTATAATCACATCGGCCATTCCGACCTGTCTCTCTATCCAATCACGCCCAGCACTCTTCCTGCCAGCGCCTTTGTCTTTCCAAGCTGTCCAAGAACCTGCTCGCTTGTTCCTCGTCCATGCCACCGCACTCTCGAGCCAACCTCTCCACCGCCCCTCTCACCTGCTCCGGCATCTTGCCCGACGCACCCGCTACGACTATCCACGCATTGCGCTGTACAATCGCATTCCACAGCACCTGCCTATTCTCCTCCTTCGCGATCAGGTCCTGGACGTACAACTTGTCCTCTCCATCTCTGCTGAATGCGGTATGGATGTGAAGGATGTCGCGGTGCGTTGCTCGCAGCGTCTCCCACTCGTCGCCAAAGAGGTAGTCTTTGGCCCGATAGCGGAAGCCGAGGAAAAGGTGAATCTCGGAAGGCGGTCCGTCGGGATGCGTCAGCCGTTCCATGACGAGCGAGCGCAGTGGAGCACAGCCGGTGCCTGGGCCGACCAGAATGAGTGGCGCTTCTCGTGGTGGCAGCGTAAGGTAGCCCGGCTTGAGCAGGATCGGCACCTGTGTATCGACAGATAGCTTCGCAAGCCATCTCGTGCAGAGACCCGTTCGCGACTTCCGCATCCGCGTCTTGTACTTGACGATCGCAACACTGAGCTGAATGGCGTGCGGTGTTTCGTTAGCCGAGCCGATCCTCGTGAGCCCGTCTTCACCGCAGTGCACCATTGCTGGAGTCGACGATGGAGGCCCACTGGCAATGCTGAACTCCCTCGGCTTGATCCACGGAATCACGTCCGCCACGTACTCGAGCGGGATGGATACCGACTTGAACTCCTCGAGCACCTCCTTGATCGTCCTCCGCGGTCTCTGGGCGTATTCGAACATTTCGTCGATCCCATCTTGCGGGTTGGCGCCCTTGGCGAGCTCCTCGGGTGGATAGATGCCGCAGTATTCGTCGAGCTTTTCTCTTTCCAACGAGCCGGCGGGGGCAAATAGACGGATCTGGTCGAAGAACGAGCGTGTGGGGACGGCGGTAAAGTCGAGGTGGTTGGTGAAGAGGTCTCTGAGGGACATGATGTGCGGATGTTGAGGGACGGTGGGAGGGACAGTGGTGCCAGAGACGCTGATCAATGTGGTTCCGTCGGGTCCAAGGCGGGCTAGGAGCTCGGTCACAGAAGCCTCGTCGTTGACCGGATGCAGACAGAGCACGTCGCCCGGTCGGTAGGTCTTGGATGTGATCCTGTCCTCAGAGTGGACTTGCGATGCGTTCCCGTTGCTGCCATTGAGTTGTGATGCGGTTCCGTTGAGGGTCTCAGTGCTCTCTGGTGGATCGACAAACTCGACCAGACGAACGTCCTGAAAGTGGTCCGTCGCTGTCATGCGTTCGTTCTTGCCCAATCTCGACATTGACCAGCCTTGCTCCTCCAGATACCTGCAGAACCCGTCTTCCGCTCTGTCGCCATTCACCGCCTTCCCCTCCGCTATCCTCACGATTGTCGCAGGAGGTAGCACCTCGTTTCTGCCGATCTCCTTCACCCCCTCCGGTAATGGAAGCACCTCATCCATCCTTCCCCAAAACCTCTCCACCCACGGTCCCAACTCGCCCTCCAACCCCAAATAGTGCATCTCGTCCCCCTCTCCGTGCTCGACCAGCTCCACCGCGCCCAACGCCTTCAGCCTCCGGCTCAGCAGTCGTACGGGCCAGCAGAATCTTGGATAGCTCGTGTCGCCCAGTCCAAAAGCGGCGAAGGTCACATCACCCAAAATATCCTCTGGGATGCCCTTGCGGAGGAGGAAGTTCCAGAAACCCCTCGAGGCGGTCGGAAACTCGCCCTGACCCGTAGTCGAGACGAGGAACAGCACGAGAGACTCGCTGACGAGGTCCGTGACGTCGTAGTCGGCGACGTCGGAGATGTGAACGGTGTAGCGCTTGCGTTGGGCATCGCGGGCAATGCGTGCGGCAATGTCGGCCGAAGTGCCCGTGTGGGTCATGTATAGGATCGTTAGGTGGCGCGCGCCCGTGTCGTCGACGGACAGCGCCGAAGTGGACGCCTCTGCCGAAGCCATCGTCGAATGAAAAGTACGCAGGAGAAGTTCTGGGTGTAATGATGGTGCGAAGGCAAGCCGTGGGCAAGAAGGCCAGGAAGAGGATTACCAAAACCAAAAAAGCAGTTCGGCGAAATTCGCGGTCCGAGGATGGAACAGCTCGGATCTGATAACGTTGCTCATCCAGCATTACGGTAAGATGCTTTCACAGCCATCGTGACTACTGCGTTTCCCACACTGACTCAATAAACACACATGAAGGACGAGAGGTATGATAGGATTGAGATGCAAGCAGAATCAAGCCCGCATTGCATGCTATGGCGTCTAATCTGACGGATACAAGCTCCTGTTGCCCACGCCGGCAGCTGCAGCCGTCGCGACCGGCGTCGCAGCTGGAGGTCCCGGTCTCCCTGCACCAAAGCCCGGACCCATCGCCTTGGCCGAGTCCCTATGCGCCGGATGCCTTGCCGTGCCATTGCTCATCTTGATATCCCTCTCGTCCACGCCGCCCACCGCGCCGCTGGACATCGATGGTGGGGGAGGGAGGTTCGTCTTCCCTTTCCCGTGCGGTGGCGATACACCATCTCGATGCGCTCTCGGCTTGCTTCTTCCCGTCGTCTTGACCGAACCCCTACCACGACCGCCGCTCGCATGGACGTCGTCCGCACTTCCGCGTTCCTTGCGCCCACTGCGATGGGGCGGGGTCGGCGAGGGGGGCATGCCGCCTCTGCCTGCGTTCATAGGCCCACCCGCTCCAGGCGGCAGGAAATGCGGTGGGTAGGGCGCGTACATGTCTGGCGGGAATGGCGAGCTTCGGTGGTGCGGATCGTTCGGGTCAAGACCCATGCGCGCTTGCTGCTCGCGGTGATGCATGCGTGCCGCGCGCTCCATCTCGGCTGCGGCGTAGGGGTCGAAGCCCATCATGCCCATCTCCATGCCTGGGTGCATCGCTCCGGGCGGTGGTGGTGGGAGCGGTGGCATGCCCTGACGGTGGGGTGTGTGGACGGATCCGGGCGTGCCTGGTGCCATCATTCCTGGTGGCGGTGGTGGCATACCACGCGCTCCAGGTGGAAGACCATACGGCATGCCGTTCATGTGTGCCTGCGCCGCCGCCGCTGCAGCTGCTGCTGCTGCAGCCTCGGGGCCGTACATGGCGTACACTTCTGGATTTTGGAACTCGAGCCCGACAGGAGCACCGTAGAATGGGTCGTACATGCCTGGTGGCACACCGCCCGGTCGGATACCCATCTGCTCGATGTCCATCATGACATCCGCTTCCGCAAGCCCTTTGAGGTCCGGGTAGGCCACGAACTCGTCGCCTGCATCGATCTCGCGCGCGATCGCCTTGCGCTTCGCGGACCCCTTCCTCCCACCTTTCGCCCCGTTCACCTCGGCCCGCTCACCGCCTTGCATCAGCGCCGCCGGGTCCAATGGAATGTGCAGTCGGTCCGGATTCCTCACCAGCTCGGTCTCGAAGATCTGATGCCTTCGTGCGGGCCTCGGTGCGTCGAGGGTGCGCTTCTCGCGATCGAGGCGTCTGCGCTTGCGGCTATACTCGTCCATCATGTCGCGACGCAGGCTCGCACAGCTCGAACGCCAGATGCTCCAGGCGGCAAACTCTTCCGCCTTGGCGACGCGCTCGTACTGCTGCTCCTGCTGCTCGAACCACATCTCGACGAGCTCGGTGCGACGCTGACGACGCATCTCGATGGCTTTGTTGAGGTGGAGCAGTTCCGGATGCGTGCCGTCGAGGATCATGTCGCCTTCTTTGGAGATCTCTTGGAGGCGTTCGACGTAGAGACGGTCGCGCAGCATGGCGAAGCCGATCTCGATCTTGGTGAGCGCTTCCATAGCGTCTTGTCGTCGGATGGCGGCTTCGTCGGTCGAGGTGTCGTCTTCGTGCTCGGCGGCGTCGGGTGCTGGAGTGCCTGCGGCGGTGTCGAGGTGTTCCGCTTCTGCTTGCTCGGCTTCGGGTGCCTTTGAGTCGGCATCGTGGTCTTCGACGGTATCGGCCTTTTCAGCTTCGTCATCGTCGCCAAGAACAGATCCAGCTCGCGAGGTAGAGGCGGATCCTGGAAGACTGTCGACCAGCTGCTCTGGCTCGAGTAGACTGGTAGCGCCACCAGTGGCGGCCGCACGCTTCTTCATGGATGCAATGAGATCGAGATCCGTGTCGCGAGGCGAGCCGGCATCCTCTTGATCAGATCCGTCTGCACCGTCTTCGGGTTCGGGAGTGATGTCGGAGCTGAGATCGTCGCCATCACCTTCTTGGCGGAGCTGTTGCAGTCGACCGGGCTTGGCAGCGCCAATCAGGGAGGCGCGTGGCCCTGCTGCTGTCTGGGCAACTTCACCATCGGACACATCGTCGTCTTCGTCCTCGTCGACGTCTTCGCCGTCGTCGGCATCGGCTTCGCCAGCTGTTGCGAGGGCTGCGAGGGCATCGAGACCGGCTGCTGCGCCTGCGTCGTCAGCTGCGCCCTCGGCACCGCCAGTCAGCGCGGCGAGCGCCTCGGCTGCTTCGTCCTCGTGGGTCTTGCTGTCTGCATCGTCGTCTTCTTCGTCTTCCTCTTCATCCTCGTCGTCTGATCCACCGAGATCATCGTCTGAGAGCGACGAACCGTCTTCGTCTTCGTTCTGATCGTCGTCTTCGTCGGTGAGCTCGCTCTCGTCGCTGAATTCGTCGCCTGTAAAGCCGCCGGTCTTTTGCGGCGAGCTCATGTTGGAGTTGGGATCTTGAGCGGCTGAAAGCTGGGAGCCGGGGACGGCGTCGTGGCCGTCTGCACCGTCGTCGTCGTCGTCATCCTCTTCATCAGCTGGGTCTTCTGCCTGTGATGGCTCTAGCTGAGAGTGCTCCATAGAGACGTCGGCAGCCTCGCCGGGCGCATCGAGATCGCTGTCGACAGCAGCCGCAGCGGAGGCAGCCGCGTGCTGAGCGAGATCGTTGAGATCCATGACGTCGTCGGCAGCACCGTCTTGTTCGTCGTCGTCGTAGGGGAGAGGCTCTGTTTCTGCGTCAGAGGTTTCGGCAGGGTCGTGTCGAGAAGCGGCTGCGGAGGTGTGGGCAGCAGCAGTGGTGGACTGAGTGGCCGCGCTGGGGGGCATGATCAGCTGGGGTCAGCGGCGGCAGAAGCGCGGCGAGGGGGTCAGCTGGATACCAGCCGACGATGAACGCAGCGTGTGTCGCAGTGAGCCGGCGACGGCGGTAGAACAGCAAGGCTGCGTGAGCAGAAGCGGTTCACGAAGGAGGTCGAGAGCTGACAGCGGCGACGGTCCTATCGCATTGTCGCGACAGAGAACAAGAGCTGGGTGCTGAGGTGGGTGCGGCGAGATAGCGGGCTAGCTACAACGGAGGGGCCGAACGGCTGATGCGACGATTGATGAGCAGAGCTGTGACGGATGGGCGCGGCTGTCCGCGAGATGGATTCGCACGAGCTGGGAGAGGCAGGGAGCTGAGGATGCGAGTCGCGAGAGCTGTTGTAGAGCAGACCAAACGGCTTGTCGGGCGTTGCGAAGGATGCTGTGCTGGTGAAGCGGATGATCCGACGGTGATGAGAGCGCGAACGGGAGATCCGAGCGAGGCCAGCGCGAGCGTGTTAACGAAGGGATGAAGGTATCGGAAGGTGCGATCTAAGCAGAACAGGAGGCTTCTCCGAGGGCAATCTTTCTCCACTGCTCCTCGCATTCTCACGATCCTGTGTGATTCAAGGGTCGCAAACGAGAAAGCAGCAGCAGCTTGCGAATCAATCCGCCGACTCGCTCATCCGCCCGCTTAGCCAGCCAGCCAAACTCGACCTTCTTTGCGGTTGGTCCGGGCAGGCTTGCTTTCTCTGTGCTTGCTGCCGCCTTAGGGAAATTCTCGGATTTCGCTACTTGCAATTTCTCGAGGGAGCGTGCGTTCGCCCGTCTTTCCGCGAGAAACTTGGGCAGCAGCTGGCTTTCTCAGGTCGAGACGCGTCGAAACGAAGGGCGAGACGGGCGTTTTTCATCGTAAGAGAGGAACCTTGCGGCGTAACATTCTCCACAAGTCCTACAAATTCTGCCGCCCGAGACGAGATCAATCCCAGCCTGCCAGACTCCGCGGCTGTCCTCTGCACTCCACCCCCACATCACCCCGGAGCTTCCATCGTAGCAGGTACCTCCCCTCGCCAGCGAGTCGCTGCGGCACGCTATCGAGCGGTACGCGTGTACAATGGCCCACGACGAGCGCAGCGTGCGTACAATGCACGAGGCGGCAAAGTGCGAGGTGCCGGCGTATCGCGACCTTTCTCGATTCAGGGTCCGGCGAGCTGCTGACCTTTTTGGCTGCATTCGGAATCTTTTCCTAAAATCTAGCCCACGAGTCAGTTAGTGCCGCGTGCAAGGCTGCGACATGTCAAGGGCCCGGATGCAGGCAGGCTCACCATGAGCGCATCCCGCCGTCTTCTTTGTCTCACATTGCAACACTCGAAACGCTTAGACTCCCCGCCCACGAGGAGGGAGGAGCTCTGGCCACGATGTGCTCCGGCTGTCAGTTGCCGACCCTGCTCTCGCAGTGATGCGAAGACCAACATGAGCCAAAGCTTCTTCCTCCGGGGCGGGTTGATATGCTTCCATATCATTCATCCCCGAGCTCGCCGAGAAGGTATATAGACGCTACCTCAGGATCAAGGTTCAGCCAGTCTCTCGTCCAGCAACCGGCTGCCTTGAGGCACATCTTCAAACTCGAGCAGCAAAACCATAACTCAGCCGGAAAAGAAGCTTCGCCATCACCAGCGCAAACAATGTCGACTTCGACAACGCCGACCCGATCCCTGGGCCTGCACGAGCGCTACGCAGTCTCTCGTCGCTGCGTCAACTCGCCCTCCTCAGTCAGTGCTGCGGCCATCCTGCAGCTCGATCTTGCGAGTGCAAGCCGACAGGGCGACATCGACCGAGCTTTCGACGCTCTACGATGTCGCTTGGAGACCAGGATCGACCAGGCGTTCGCGCAGTATCCTCTTTTGGGCTACTGCATCCAGTCCCCGCGTGCGAAGGCCCCTCGTTGGTCGTCTATCACCCCGACACCGACATTCAGGCAAATCTTGCATACCGGCGCGCCGGTCACAAAGCAAGCAGGAGCGCAGGGTGCCAACAAGCTGCTCTCGCAAGCCATCCTCGACGACCACATCAGCCTGCCCAAGTCGACCAATCTCGAAAAGGGTCCTCTATGGAAAGTCACGCTGAGCCGGATCGAGAGCGAGCCAGCTTGCCTCGTAGTGCTCTCTACCGATCATGTCATCAATGACGGCCGTGGCACGCTCAACCTCTTCCGCTTCCTTCTGCAGTCCCAGGAGCCCGAAGCGACCGCGGCACCCATCGATCCGATCCCCCCTGCGTCGGACAAGATCTTCAACTTCCGACCTTCGATAGGCTATCTCCTGCACGAAGCGTTCAAAGAGCTCCTCCTTCCCCATCTGCCACTGCCAAAGAAGGCCAAGCTCAAGCTCCAAGGTCCCACCTCGTGGCCCGCCTCCCCGTCGCCCACCACGACCTCAACAGAGTACGACATCGTCCGCACGCCCAAGCTGTGTCAGCCTACGCTCGATATCCTCCTCATCACGGCTCCGCATCTTATCAACAACCTCAAGAGTCTTGCTCGCACCCACGTCGATCCTTCCAACCCCGCAGCAAGAGCGGCGACGCTGCACTCGATCCTGCACACGCTGTCGCTCGTTGCGCTGTATGCGGCGGTTGCTGTCTCGCACGAGGCCAATTTGGATGATTTCGCCCTCGTTCTTGGCACCGCAACGCCCATTTCGCTTCGCGAGGAGGTTCGACCGTCGAAACGTCGGCGAGGGTTCCCCCTCTCTCCTTCGGTGGAAGTCGCGCCGGTGCCACTGCCGTTTACGTCGGGCAACTTTGTCTCGTCCTATGCAGACACGTACACGCTCCACCCCACGACCCGTTTTTGGGCCTTCACCAACGACTTTGCGACCACACTTGCGAGCCCGCGCGGAAAAAGTCTGGCTCGGCAACACATGGGCCTTCTCGGGTTCATTCCGGATTTCGAACGTAGCACCAACCGCAAGCGCAAGCTGGACGAGGAGGAGGAGGTGGATTCCTCCCTCGGTGGTCGTGATGAGGCATATGCCAATGGATGGGAGAAGCTTTTTGGTGAGCGTGCAGCGAGTAGGACGCCCTTTGATTCGGCCATGACCGTCTCCAATCTCGGCCTGCTCGATGTTGAAAGTTTGGGTGGGGACGGGTGGAGGGTGAGAGAGGCCACGTGGGCCCAGAGCCACACTCCGCAGGGCGAAGCGTTCGGGTTGGACGTCGTCGGTTTCGTCACGGGGGAGGAGCAGACGTTGAGCATTGGACTGTCCTGCAGACCGAGCGCGTTTAGGGATGAGGAGTTGAGGAAGAGGTTCAGGGGTTACCTGGAGAGGCTGGTGAGGGCGTTTGCGGTCGAACCCGTCCACGGGAAGCTGTCCCAGGAGACAAACGATGGAGAGGCCAGACTGGATTTGACCCAGGAGATCAACTTCGCTGGTCTGACACGCTTCCTCACCTCCTCGTAGTTTTCATTCTTGTTTGTTTTCTTGCACATAGCATCGCACATTCGCATCTTCTCATTTCATATCGGACGACCCAGTTAATGTCAAATCTTGCACGACGGACTCGAGTGGTTTGCGCAAAACGTGTGTGACAAGAATACAGCGTGAGTAACCTACGCACTGCCCGCCGGCTTAAATGTGACCTCGCTCAACGTGTTGAACGCCTCCCTGTACGCATCCAGCAACTGCTTCACCCGCTTTCTCTCGCTCGTCAACCCCTCATCCTCGTACAGGAGCTCCTCGAACAGCGTCTCCTTGTACAAGCTCGCCACGAGCCGGTTCTGCACGCTCTCCCGACTAAAGTTGACCAGCAGATGCATGATCGCCTTGGGCACCAGGTCCTGGATGCTCAATCGCACGATGCTGAAGTAGCTGGCTATCAAGCTGCGAATCAGCGTGGTCTCCAACTCCTCCCGGTCCGAGAGGGCGTATTCGGCGGACGAGATCGGGGTGGCTTCGAGGTGTTTGTCGAGCGACTTCATGTCGTATGCTGCCGAGTTGCCTTCTAGGCCGGTGCGACCGGACATGGCGTTGGGCTTGTGCTCGCGCGAGGTGCTGTACTCGGGGAGACGGGGCGAGTGCGCGTGCGGTGCCGGGGTGTGGTATCCGCCCAGCCCGGAGGATGGGCCCACGCCGCCAACGGGCAGACCGGATGCTCCGCCGAAGAAGTAGTTGAGGAACGTATCCTTCGCCCCACCCGCGGCGTTGGCTCCGTTAGCGTAGCCACCAGCGGAGGCGTGGCCGATGGTGTGGTGTCCGCGTCCGTCCGGCGCAGACGCAGAGTGCGGGCGCCCATCGCCCGTCGAGGCCGCCCGCTCCTTCTTGTCCCTCGCCCCTCCCGTCTTTCCAACCCCGTTCACCGTCAGACTCCTCGAGTTGCCACTGTTGTCCGCATCATCGTCCGACAGGTCGTTCGACACATCGCCCTGATCGTCAAATGAGCCCTTGCGCCTCGAACTGGACGGAAGAATGGCGACTTGCTTTCGCGCCTGCGCCTCGCGCTGCTCGCGTGCGATGTTGGCCGAATCGTGCACAAAGGCCGGATGGTTCGTGTTGATGTATGCGGCCTGGATTGCGATGAGGCTCTGGACGTACTCGGATGTGGGACCAAGTCGCTCGCGCAGCAGCTCAGAGACGACTTCGATGAGCTGCGCGTGCAGACGCGGGAAGCGTTGCAGTTCCGAAGATGTGCAGTTGTGGCAGATCTTCATCAGCTCTTCGTAGACCAGCTCGACGCAGCGCAAGGAGGGTGGCTCGAGCAGCTTGATCTGCGGCTTGATGAGCAGCTCGAACGCAGCTTCGGGAACGAAGAGCGAAGGACGAGGACCCGTCGAGTTGCGGATCGCCGTTCGGATGTCCTGCACGGTGAGGTTGTGGGTGGGGTTGATGCTGGTGAGCGCGTGGCCAAAGACGTCTTGGAAGATGTAGTAGATGCGCGCACCACCGCAGAGCTCCTTGGTGGAGATGTCAAAGGTTGTTCCGTCGATGCTGGCGACAAAGTCACGCGCGAACTGGGTCATGAGCTTGAGGACGAGCGAGCCGCGGTGTTGGTCTCCGAGGAAGGTGGTGTCACCGAAAGCGGCGAGCTCCTGCTGCGTCTGGCCCATCAAAGTGTTGAGGCGCGCCTTCATATCCGGCAGCTTGTCGCGGATGTGGCTCATGAGCACCTGATTGAGCGTCTTGGCGAGATACTTGGTACCACAGCGGTGGGCGATGTTCTTGTAGGCTGCGTGCGAGCGGAAGAACTCCTCCTCGGCTCTTCGTGCTGCAAGCATCGAGACGTTGCCGTTGATGTCCTGCTGCGAGCGGTTGACAACACCGATGAAGCCGAGCTTGAGTGGGTAGACGCGGCCAGTGAGGATATCAAGAGCGTGCGTGCCTTGGTCCATCAGGTCGAGCTTGGTGAGCACGCCGACGGTGCGCCGACCCTGAGGATCGACGGTGCGGGCGAGCTTGAGACTGTCCGAGTTGGCCAGGTCCACATTGGCAGGGCTGACAGCGAGGATGATGCAGTTGGGCTTGGAAACGTAGTCGGTGACGAGGTTGCGAATCTGACGCTCGATGTCGGAAGGCTGGTCGCCGACGGGGATCTTGGTGAGACCGGGCAAGTCGACAAGCGTGAGATTGAGCACGTTTGGGCTGTAGATCTTGAGGTGGATGGGCAGCTTGGAGACGCCCTTGTTCTGACCTGCGACACGGAAAGTCTCGTTCTCGATTTCGCGGCGAATCTCGTTGAAGTCGGTGAAGCGCTTGTCGAGATGGAGGAACTCTCCATACTCTTCGTACGTGTTTGTCCTGCCACCGCCCAGTGACGAGCCATTGGAGCCACCGCGGCTCATATCGGGCGCGTGGTCATCGGAAAGGTCATAGGATCGCGGAGACGGCTTGAGGCTCTGCTTAGCTTGGTCCTTCGCGGAAGGAGTGTGAATGAGTTGAAGAACAAGCGGACGACGGGTAATGATGCCGCTACCTCGTGGCAAAAAGTCGCGGCCGACAATGGTTTCGAGGACACTCGACTTTCCTGCTGACTGGGAGCCGACGACGACGATCTGAGGGAGGTCGACCGAATCACCGCCAATGGCGGTGAAGGTCTCCTGGAGCTTGTTGACGACCTGAATCAGGTCGACGTCCATGTTGGATGCTGTGAGGTAGAAGTTGTCTCTCTACGGGAATGGTGAAGGACGGTTTGAATGGTCACTGAGGTCGAGCCAAAGAGTCTTGTGGTGCGCAACAGTCGAGTGAGTTGTCACTCGTTTGTATCGAATGCCAGCTAGAATTGCTCCAGAGATGTTGTCCGAATGATACAGCTCCGCGCCGGGTTGAATGCGCAGCCTGTGCTTGATGTTCAGATAGCAAGCGAAGCGACCAAGAGCCTGAGTTTGTGGCGGTGAGAAGGTGTTTGAGGCTCGTCCAGGGTCGAGGGGCGTAGAGGGGCGTAGAGGGGAATGGTTGCTTGGGTGTGGGGAAGACGATGAAGAGCGAGCTACTTGGATAGGGTCGCGCGGGATGTGACTGAGCGAGCGAGCTGCCATCAAATCACAGCTGCGCTCAGTTTTGGAGTCCGAGCAGAGCAGAGCGCAAAGCAGAGCAACAGAGTCTGAGTCGCGTACCACTCAAAGTCACACCCTCTGCAAGAGACTGACCTGCTGTTGCTTATTTTCATTGTCCCTTGCCCTGAGGCTGCTGACTGGTGATGTGCAGCAGCCTCGCATCTTCTTCTTGGTCCTTCGCCGTCTTGTTGTTTGGCGCAATTTTCAGCTCGCGCGCTTTTTGAAAGAACAACACTGTCAAGAGCTTAACACAACGCTTTTCTAGCTGGCATCGCCATTTGCAACCGCGATCTTCTTTTCTAACCTCAAATTGCCTAGGTCGAGAACGCGCTCTCGAGAACTCGCCTGCAGAGCGCACTCTCCAAACGGTGGGGACGGTCCTCGACACCATCATTGTCTAGAAAGCCAGCCTTGGGAGCTAAGCTTCTCTTCGCTCTCCCTGTCGTGCTTCTCATGTTGTGATGCATCTACTCTGTCCTGTGAAGCTATCTCCCCGCTCTTGCATTTTCCGCTTCTAGCGCATCATTCAGCTCGCTGAGCTTTCGAGAACAACCCCTTCTTCCGCAAGAAGGATGCTTGGCCCAGTCTTGCTTCTCGCCGTGTACTTGGTGACCATATTCTATGTCCGAGCGAGCAATGCTGCCTCTTCTAACACCGGCGATGACTCGATCGAACGACAGAGTCTATCAGAAGCTCCAGCCGTTGGTCCTTACGACCGTACCGAACCAGTGCCAGTCTCACAGCTGAATACACACCTTGATCGATTGTCTCCACGCCGTCGACGTCCCTGGCTATCGCTTCACCTACTCGGTCCGCAACAGGCGCCAATTCCTGCACGTCGCTTTGGATCACCTAATCACATACGACGAGCTTGATCGGCTCGACAATTGCAATCATGCTGTCACTGCGACCTCGAGTCTGATGAACTACATCCTCTTCAGCAGCGGCGATATAGTCACTCGAGGTACGCCCCTCGACCAGGCGCGGTTTGACGCGTGCGTCATCGCCACTCACTACACCGGCGAAAGCGCATCATCTTTGGATCTGAGTCCCACTGCGCTCCCCATCAACAACACCATAGACTCTCCTAGCGCGTACTGTTCTTGGTCTTGACCAGCCTCCATCACCTGGCATGAGCGCTCACCCTTAGCATCGCCAATGAGCCGCAATGATACCCATTTCCTCAGTTCATCGACCCACGCACGACCGGAATGGCGGCTGTCGCAACACGTCTGAATGCATACGACTTCACACACGCCAAGCGAGTCTAGCGATACTATGTATTGATTTCTTTCGTTTTCGATATACACAGGAGGAGGAGCAGACCAGCACAAAGCGCAGCAGAACATCTGCACATACATCTGATCGCGACTCCAACTGTTGAGAAAGTGGATGTGAGAATTCCAAAGAGGTGACGAGAGGGTACTCCATCACGCTCCAAGATCACCTAGAGCGCAAAGCGCTCAGGCAAGGAAGCTCTTGACGTGCTCCTGGACGAGGGTCTTCATCTTGCTGAAGAGCTCGTCGCTGGGCTTGCCCTTGGAGATCTCGGAGAGGAGCGCGTCCTCGGTCGAGAGCTTCTCACGGAACGACTGCTCCCACTCGACGATGCGGTCGGCGGGGATCTCGTCGACCAGACCGTTGACACCGGCGTAGATGATGGGGATCTGGATCTCGGTGGCCATGGGCACGAACTGGGGCTGCTTGAGCAGCTCAACCAGACGGACACCACGGTTCAGGGTGGCGCGGGTAGCGGGGTCCAAATCGGAACCGAACTGGGCGAAGGCAGCCAGCTCACGGTACTGGGCGAGCGAGAGCTTGAGCGAACCAGAAACCGACTTGTACAGCTTGGACTGAGCGGCGGAACCGACACGCGACACCGAAAGACCGACGTTGATGGCGGGTCGGATACCCTTGAAGAAGAGCTCGGACTCGAGGTAGACCTGACCGTCGGTAATCGAGATAACGTTGGTGGGAATGAAAGCGGACACATCACCACCCTGGGTCTCAATGACGGGGAGGGCAGTGAGCGATCCACCACCGTGCGAGTCGTGCATCTTGGCGGCACGCTCGAGCAGACGCGAGTGGAGGTAGAAGACGTCACCGGGGTAAGCCTCACGACCGGGAGGACGACGAAGCAAGAGCGACATCTGACGGTAGGCGACGGCCTGCTTGGACAAGTCATCGTAGATGATGAGGGCGTGCTTGCCGTTGTCACGGAACCACTCGCCGATGGCGGCACCCGAGAAGGGAGCGAGGTACTGCAGAGGAGCGGCCTCCGAGGCGGTGGCGGCCACAATGATGGTGTACTTCATGGCGTCGTTCTCCTCAAGAACCTTGACGAGCTGAGCGACGGTGGATCGCTTCTGACCGACGGCGACGTAGACACAGTAGAGCTTCTTGGACTCGTCCTGGCCGTCGTTCCATCGCTTCTGGTTGAGGATGGTGTCGATGGCGACAGCGGTCTTACCAGTCTGACGGTCACCAATGATGAGCTCACGCTGACCTCGGCCGATGGGAACCATGGCGTCGATGGGCTTGATACCGGTCTGCATGGGCTCGCGAACGGACTGACGGGGCAGAATACCGGGAGCCTTGAGCGAGGCACGGCGGCGCTCGGCGGACTCGATGGGTCCCTTGCCGTCGATGGGGTTACCAAGAGCGTCTACGACACGGCCAAGCAGACCGGGGCCGGTGGGCACGTCGACAATCTGGCCGGTACGCTTGACAGTGTCACCTTCACGGATGAGACGGTCCGAACCGAAGATGGAGACACCGACGTTGTCGGCCTCGAGGTTGAGGCACATGCCTCGGACACCGGAGGAGAACTCAACCATCTCCTCGGCCATGACGTTGCGGAGACCGTAGACACGGGCGATACCGTCACCAATGGTGAGGACACGGCCGGTCTCCTGAACATCACCGCCGGCGGAGGCGCCAGAGATGCGCTGCTCAAGGATGGAGCTGACCTCGGAAGCGGCAGGCTTGGCGGTGGCGTAGGTGCGGACGGCGTTAGCGACCGATCGGCGGGCCTGTAGTGAAGGAAGCGTGAAGGCAGTGGGGAGAAGAGAAGGTCAGCAAAAAAATCCTTGCACCGTCGAAACTATGACAATAGACCATGGGTCGGTGACAGGCTATGTGTGTGCAACGAGGATGAGGTCGGGGTAGTGTGCGTGATGCCGTCGAATGTTCATGTGTGCTGGAAATGTCTGCTGCACGATCAGCAGATGAGGTGATGAGATGTGGAAAGGACGTGTAAGGCGGCCAAAGGTCGGGGAGCCGCGAAGCTGGAATGATGAAGGTCGTCCAGGTATGGCAGGGCTGTAGATCATGTAGCCAAGGATCAAGCAACCTTGATGGCAGAAGCGAGACATCGTGCCATCGTCCTCATTTTTCCGTGCTGAATCTGCGACTCAGGATGCCTATGTTGAGAAGCACCAAGGCTGCCCATCCGTGCGCTTGGTGAGATTGTCTTTGCTGCTTGTTTTGTTGGTGGATGATGTTGCTGTAGACAGGACGTTGGCTGATTGCTGCTGATCCAGATCCTGTTTGTGTCGATGCCTTGTTGCGGTCGATATGAATTATGACTGCACTCCTCCTTCGTCCTCGTTGCAAGACACAGCGTGACTTGTCGGCCATTGTCAAGAAGAGAAGATACGTACCACAGGGACGGCGGCCGATCGGGCGAGGTTGGCGGTGGCAATGCCGGCAGAACGAGCGAGCATCGCGGCTATTTTGTTAGGAGAGGAGGATGGTGTGGGATATGAGAGGTGGTGAGGAAGAGATTGAATCGAAGGGCCAGAAGGACTGAGAAGAATACGGCGCGGGCGAGCCAGGCTTTGGTTTGGAGACGAGGCAAGAGACAGGCCGGAAGAGAGAGAGACGACTGCTCAAGCCAGCCAGCCAAACCAGCGCTCAACCACACACACACGCTCGCAGACACCGAGCCTTGGCTCAAGCAAAAATCGATCCTTCTCTCGCTCCCTCTTCTGTTTGCAGGCACACACAGGCACTTGAGCGGTGATCACAACGTCTCCAATTCGGATTGGTCGGATCACTCAACTGAAATTGGGCAGCCAGGGAGCGAAAAAGAAAACGTTCCTCGTTTGAATTAATTCGAGCAGCTCATCGAATACAAATTCTCTGGACATTCATCACGAAGAATCGGATTCTGTATTCAGTTTGCGCCCTTTCAAGTCTCTTTTGCTTCGCAGCCCACAGTTGGAACCAAACGGATCCGATGGCTGCTGCTCAGCACAGCGAGGACAAGAGTGTGCCCGGGCCGCCGCGAATTTTGGCGCCGTTGATCGAGTGTGAGAGGCAGAGAACGCGCTTCTGTTCCGTCCTTCACCGATAGGCTCTGGAAGCCTGTGCCTCCAGACTGGCCGTTTGGGCTCTGCTGCTCCAGCCTTTCTGCGCTGTTCGTCGGGTACACTCAACCTGAATCAGTTCAGGATTGATGGTGTACATACTCATGCTTGACTGCATATGATGATGCTTGTCGAATAGAGTCACTGACAGCCTGAAGAGCGATCAAGCAGCAAGTGAAGCCGATCACTCCGGCAGCAGACAGCGAAGATGTGAATTTGACGTTGCTTGGCCGGCGAAAACTGGCACGATTGTATCGCGCGAGTGGAAGAACCCTTCCTTTTGATTTTCTCAAGCGGCGGTGCCTGACACCTTTTTGGGAGATTCTCATGGACAACCTCTCACACGATCTGACCATATCAAACACCTTCCAGCTGAGTCCGTACACACAAGCATGAACACGCTCAGGACATCGCTCTCGGCGATGACCAGTACCGCCGTCAAGGGCAAGGGCAAGCAGGTCGCGGCACCTATCGTAACCTTGATCGCCAGCAGAAGCCTCACAGGGTCTGCATCGACCAGCTCCTCAACAGCAACAGCATCGGCAGGTCCTTCCACCTCGACCCTTCCGCCATCGACGGCCGCAGTCGACTCGAACCAGACAGCACTCTCTCTGCTCAAGTCGCAGCCAAAACACTACGCGATCGCCTCGATCACTGGTCGAACTTACCTCGTAGCCAAAGGAGATCTTGTGACGGTCCCCCGGCTCAAGGATGTCCAAGTAGGAGACGTGCTCGTCCTCGACAAGGTGCACGAGATCGGTTCTCGCGACTACACGCTTCGAGCGCAAGACACGCTCAACACCCGTCGCATCTCGTCCGCCATTGACCTTGCCTCTCCCCACCCGCTCGCTTCCTCCACATCACCGCCAACGACGCTTCACGGTGTGTCTCCAGCCGTAGCCCCCCAAGCGAGACGCCTGTTCACACGGCTTGCAGCAGATGAGAGCTCTGCAAGGGGCCCTTTGCTGCCGCTCGCGGATACGTGGTCCTCGAGACTGGTTCCAAACGGTCTCGCTCACATCGGCGCAAGTCTTCCCGATTCGACGGTAAAAGTCACCGCTGTCGTCACGGAAAACACAAAGGGCGCACTAGAGAAGATCCTCAAGAAGAAGCGCAGAAAGGGCTACAGGAAGACCATCCAGCACAAACAGCCCTACACCCGCCTTCGCATCGAGGAGATCCAGATTCAGCCCAACTGATCGGTCAAAGCACCAACATCGATCCTGCGTCGCCGCACCGCTAGCATGCTCAACACTCTTGTACTCTACCATCATCCGCCCCACCTGCATCCACATTGACAATCTCATGGTCGCACTCCGAACGCTTTCCCGGGACAATAAGTCTGATATTCCTCTAGTATTATATGGTGACGTAAGAAGGTATGATGATCCGATAGTATACAGAGCATTCCTTAAAGATGATGACGTCGCATCACTGCGACGCCTGCGAAGCGACACTCGACTCGGAGCCCGAAGCCTGCATTGCCGCCGCCTGCGCCTTGGCCGCCTTCTTCCTGCGCGCATACGCCGCCACCTGCGCCCCCAGATCGAACGGGCTCTCTGGCACGGCTGTTGCAGTGGAGCTGAACAGCGGCGCCTGCGATGCTTTCGGCGTGGCCTTGCTCGACGTCGACTCCCAGTGAGGCGAGGGCAGAATGGAAGCGGTCGCCGCCGCATCATCTTCCGGCACCGACTCGAGCGCTGTGGGCTCAAACGAAAAGTCGTCGGATACACTGAGCATGCTCTCGTCGCCACTGTCGAGCGAGTTGGATGCCGACGATGAAGCGGAGGAAGATCGTGCTTCGAGAGCCTGCATCGCCCGAGCACGAGCGAGATCAAGCGATGAGAGGGAACGTCTTGGCATCGCCTTTGCATCATTGAAAGAGTGAGACGCATCAAAGACGCCATCGTGCTCTGCCGAGCCGAGGTCGAGCGGCGAACCCAGTACCAAAGCTGGAGGCGCTCCGCTTGATGGTGCAGATGCCGATTGCGCTGCCGAAGAGACAGCTGGAGGGGCTGAAAACGGCATCGCGGACTGATGACGCTGCTCCCGAACGGCTTTGCGGGACGAGATGACATCGTTCAGCTCGGACATCATGCCCGATGGGTCCATCGAGTGTCGATGCGGTGCAACCTCGCTAGCTTGCCTGTCCTGTTGCTCCTGCCTCTGTCGACGGGCCTGATCGATTCGCTCTGTTCTGCTGAGCTTGCGTCCGTCAGCGCTGAGTGCAGACAGTCCGGCCATGCCGGCGATGCTCTCGAACACCTGTTCCAAGCCTGGAGGCGGCAAGGAGTTGGGCGATGTAGAGCTCAATAGCAGCGCTGCAAGGTCTTCATCGTCCTCGTTGTCGCTTGCATTGCCAAGCGTGGCATCCTGAGCTTGTCCATCCGAAGCAGGAAGGCCACTGTCACTGCTCCCGTTGGTCCGCAGCGGATGAATGTCGTCCTCATCTGCCTCGAGCGGAGACACAAGATCGCGCGCGGCACTCGAAGCGGACGCATCTGCTTCGAGATCGATGCTCGGTTGCGGACTCGGCGACCTGCGCTTCTCCTTGTAGACAAGCTTGATGGTCGCCTCCCATTCAGCCGACAAGCCGACAAAGTCGTCGCGCATGGACTCGAGGGTTGCTCCGAGCTGAGATGCGATGGCGGCATCGTCACTTTCCTTCTCGAATGTTGCAACAGCCTGTGATGGCTCGACGCCGTGCAGACCGGGGATCGGCTTGATGCGAATATCCTCAGCGCAAACGCGGATTTTGGACTGCAAGGAGCGCAGCGACAGCATCATGGCGTGGAGCCGATCTTCGATGCCAGGATGCCCGGCGAGCGAGCCCGCGTCAGCCTCGCTGTTGGACACGGTCAAGAGCTCGCTCTGCTGTGTGACTCTTCTCTCGTCTATCGAAGTCTGCAGCGACGCTGGACCCATATCTCTTGCGATCATTGCTGTGATCTGTCGAGTGTTGTCGAGCAATGTCGCTGCCATCGACTCAATCGTTGAGCGCGCAGCGATCCAGTAATCGTCGCAAGGCAATGTGTCGCCGCTGGAAAGCCGTACCTGCTCGCTCATACGGAGGTGAAGGGCGAGGAGATGGCAGAGCCAGCGTCGTCGAGCTCTGTGCATCCATTCGAACTTGGCCTTGATGGTCAGCAGCGACAAAGGCTGGCTTGACGCCGGGTTGCTCGATGCCGAGGGCTCCATGTGCGCAAAGATTGAGTTGGACCCAAGGATGGAGCCGCGCTTGATCGCCTTTGATTGCGGACTGGTTGCGCCCGAATAAGTCCGTGTGGAAGAATGAGGTGGCGTGAAGAGCGACGAGAAGTTCGAAGTATTACGCATGACGGGGGAGCGAACTTCGAACAAGCCCGTGGCGGCAGAGGAGGTGGAATTGGATGCATAGCTGAGACGCTTGGCCGCGGCGGACTCGTTCGGACCCGACGCTGATGTCGACCGATCCGACACATAATGGAGCCTAGGAGATCGGAAGCTACCGACATTGCCCGTTTCGGAGGTCAGGCTGCTGCGGCGAGACAGAGAGGAAGATGTGCGCGGATGCCGGTCCTGAATCGAGCTCGCGTCGGACACGAGCGACAACCGTTTGGAATTGACGGGGACGGTTTGCGGGCTGGTTGCCGAGCGGCCGTCCCTGCCGAAATTGCGAGGCGTTGTTGCCGACCAGGCTCTGCGATCGTGCTCCGGATCGGGCGAGCCCTCCGACAGAGCTAGTGTTTCGCGATCGAACCAAGCTTGTTGAGCATCAACGTCTGTTCCGTCCTGCGGGGCTGCATCCAATGCGTAGAGGTCGTGGAGCATGGCCAACTCCTCCGCATCAGTAAGCGTCTCTAGAGACAATGTAGACGAGGTGCAGCGGGCACCGACTTGCTCGAGTGCGTCGACAATGCCCTTGCGCAGCTCGACGAGTCTCTGTGGCGCCTGTCGGCCTGTCGCCAAGGCAGCCGTGCTTTGCTCGACGAGCATCTTTTGCGTGAGATCCAGATCTCCAACCTCGGATGAGACGGCCGGCGAAACACGGCCCGACGGCCTATCCAGAGGAGAAAAGCGGCCATTCGACAAGTTGAGGGATAGTGGGCGATACGCGTGCCTACGGACGGTCGGGGCGCCGTGTCCGCCGCCCGAGAGCGAGCGTCCAAGCTTGGCGTTTGCTGACGGCGCTGAGGGGATCAGAGAGCGGCGTGATCGAGTAGGTGAATCCACGCGACTCGAGCTGGAGGCGGCCTCGATCCTCGAGATGGGTGGCAGGGGATGCGTGAGTTTGTAGCCGCGCGAGACAATCTCGACTTCTTGAATGGCACTGATGGCCTTATTGATGGACACGTCAAAGCTCTGAGCAGCTTTGATGAGGCGTGATACGTCCGGGAGGACGGCGCGTTGCAGAGCCTTCTTTTCTGCTGAGCTGTATTCGAGCGTAGTGGAAAGCTTTCGCAGCGATTTGGTTGAAGCTGCGGCGCTGTGGCCGGCTTGGCGCGAAACGACGAATTCGAGAGTGTCATCCAAGGAGCTGTGATCGAACAGAAGGACGAAGGCCCAGACGAAGGAAGCCACGATGACGAAGGTCGCCAGCCAGAGCCGCCATGACCTGCTGATGGGTGGAAGAAGGAACAGAGCGGACACTAAGGCTGCATTGCGAGCCAGTCGCCCTTGCGCGTCGAGTCGAGGAAGGCGTTTCTGAGTCCAGGCGTCAAGCGCTTCGATGATGGCCGGTGATGCTTCGGATGGCTTGACGAAGCACTGCTTTCGGGATGCTTGCCTTTCGGAACGACTGCGTCGAGTCCCGTTGGATGGCTGCTTGTCGCGGACAGCTCCCTTCTGCTTGGTGTCGGGGTTCTGAAATGGCGGACCGCTCTCGTAGAACGATATGGAGAGGCTGGGAGTGAGCAGAAAGGACGAGCAGATTGCGTACTTGAACTTTTCGATGAAGCTGGCGTTGCTGACGTCGATCGGTTGTCGTTCTGTATATACGGGCTCCTGTGTTTCGACGACACTCGCGGCGTCGTTGACCAACGCTTGCTCCTCTGTCTGGTCGGCATCTCGCAGGTACTGATCGAGTGGCGATCCTCCAAAGATGACTGCTTCCGCCATGACGAGCGAGGTGCGGTGTCAAATGAGCGGTCCAACAGCGAGCAGACCGCGAGGAAGAAGAGTGCGATAGTATCACGGTCCTCGCGCTCTGTGTCTGCCGAGAGGATGTTGCCAAGCTGTGGTGAAGTTGTCGTTGACCAACGAGGTCGGAAGTCGCGAGCCGTCGAAGATGAGGTATGCGAGATATAGTCGACCGACGAGGATATGTTGGGCGAGAGGGCCAGCCATGGAAGCGTGTTTGACGCTAGAGGCAGAGACAAGCCTTGTTATCGATGGCTCCGCCTGTGCGAGAGAGTATCGGCGGTGGCTCGGAATGAAGAGGCCTAAGCGCGCTGTGACTTGATGATTCACGCTTCGAGAAAGCGAGAGCTATTGTGATGGTCGGAAAGGTTCCGGAGGCCTCTTTTCGGGCTATGAGAATGTCCTTTGGATGATGGAGCGCACAAATTGGGTCGGGCCCGGCCCTTCCAATGCTCCTTGTCAGCGTGTGTTCCCACGCTGTGTTCCAATGTTTGTCGGAAGCCTGCCGACGAAGCTGCGGTATTGATCGCTGTCAAAGCGTGTAGCGTGTGGAAAGGATGCTGCTTGCGATCGAACGCGATGTGTGCAATGAACGAAGAGATGCGAACAGACTAGGTGGACGATCATGGTCGACGAGAAGAACGGTACCATCCAAAGGCGCTTGCTTGCTTACCTACGGTACGACAACACCCTTTCGGGGTTGGAAAGGGCAGAAATCAAAGTGTTGCTCTCGCTTGCGTTGCTGCTCAATTGACTTTGGAACGTGAAATCCATCATGCCACGCGAACTCGCGCGTCTCGCTCTGCTTGGAGAGAGATTCTCACGGCCGCCTGGCGCTGGACACTGGGTCGATTCCTGGTGTGTGGGTTTCTCTATCGATGCAGACGATTCAGTGTACGAGACGCAGCTTTACCTGACGTGCTGACAAGCCTCGGGAGGGGGAAGGTATGCTGGAATGAAGGCTCCCAAGATCATGCATGTGGGCGATCTCTTGCAGCTCAAATGGTCCAGAGAAAAGTAACACGGCGGGCTACTGTAGCCTCATCCGAGCCAAGGTCGCCAGGGCACAATAACGCGTCGGACCGCGACCGCAGGCCAGCCAGACTGCCGATAGGGGTCAAAGTGGATCATGCAAGGCAACCTCGATGCTCGACTGTGGAAGCCTTCGTTTGGCAACGTGGATGCTTGCTTCCCGGCGGTTGCCCATCCGATGGCCTCTGTTCGTTGGTCTTCAGCAAAGCCACTTTCCTGGCAACGTAACGATGCAAAAAAGAAGCGTCCGGACAGCCGGAATCGAACCGGCGACCTATGGTGCTTTTCCGTTAATGCCGGATTAGGGTTTCCAATTACAAACCATCGCTACTTCCAACTGAGCTATGTCCGGTAGGGTGGCGGGTCAGCACAGAGTATAGATTAAGTACTCTTTTCTAGTGATTCGTTAGCATTCCCACGATCAAGGCCATTCCCTTGCTAATGACGAGGCCATATTCGCAAAGGCAAGAAAGCTGCCAGATAGCGATGGCTCTGAATGAAAGAGCGCAGCTGATACAAGGATCCGGAGTACCGTTGCTGTTGTCGCTGTCTCAACTCAGATCAACAGCTCGGTCCGACTCTTTCTCAATCCAGCTGCGGAGTTCCAGGGTTCATGATCTTCAGTTCATCGTTGGTCGCTCACTTGGGGGCGATCATGCCCAACCACGACTGAGCAATTTCATTTTTCTTTTTGAAGGGATTTTTGGTTCCTTTTTTTGGTATTTTTGTAGGTGTGTCTGCGCAGATCGGGGCTGTGATCCAATGAATTTGCACCGCCCTTGAAGTGAGGCAGCCTGGATGGAGGCTTCCAACGGCACGCACCACGCAACACGCTTTTTTTCCCTGTTGACCGACGCAAGAACAACTTCGCTTAGGTGGGCTGCACCCTCGGTCGCTCTGTCTGTGCCTCTTCCCCCTCTCTTTCCTCCTCTGACTGGCTCATCTGGCTCATCCGTCGGCAGCGGCTCGTGTTGCTTTTTCGTCGTCAAATCGGATTGGCCCTCCAACCATCGTCGTGCAATTCCGCAATCCCACATCTCCATCTCCATCTCTATCCCCCTCTCGACCGACAACATTGTTCACCGCTCCCGCCCGTTCAAGGCCAAGCTCGTCTCGTCTCCTGCATTCTTGCTGTCACCGATCGCATCGACTCGTCACTCCTTTGTCACCGTTCATCCACCTGGGCCTGTTGCTCGTACGCAGAATCAAGGGTCTCACTCCGCGAGCATCCCCTCTAAGCGGGACCTCGACCTCGGCAACAGCAGTCAATTCACGACCGCGACCAATTGTAACCGCTAAGCAAGCTCCACCAGTTTGTCTTCTGCGACTTTGATCGAGATCGCGCCGCTTCCAGACCAAGCAGAGTGGTCAAGGATTTCGACGATCAGCTACACGCCGGTGCTCATCTTGGCTGCTTCTGACGACCTAGACACACTCAAGCACAGCATCGTGTCCGCGCAGCTCTTTGACATTCGGAGCACGTCGCTGGTCTTGGACAGTCTCCAACAACGCACGCCGCCGACGATCGGTCACGACCATGTCCGAAAAGTCCACCTTTCTCTCTCCGTCCATGTCGCCATCTTCCTCCTCCTCTGGCGGCAATCCGCCGCCGCCCTACGGCTTTCATCACCTTCCGCATTCCCCCTCGGGCTCTCGCACGCCAAGTCGACCCGGCTCTCCACCACATGGCGGGAGCGTCCCCTCTCCGGGCAGCGTACCCGGCACCTTTGTCATCAACCTCGGCAAATTCGGCGGCTTCTACATCATCCGCGTTCCGCCCGTCGTACAAAGGATACTCAGTCTCTTACTCCGAAAGTGGAAGACGCTCATCTTTGTAGCGCTGTTTGGTACACTCGCTGCGTTTGGACTCTTCGGTGCCATGTCGACAGAATGGCGCGAAATGACCTACTACCGCGTCGACCCGTATCCTGTCGTGCCAGGCACGCTCAAGTCGGGTCACGGCTCGGCGAGTCCATTCCATCCACCAGCTTCGCGTCCCATCACTCCACCCAAATTCGGCGCCTGTCTCGGCCCTCAGGGCGTTCCCGTCCCACGTGCACCGGCGGAGCTCTATGACACGCCCGACACGCACCCTGTCCCGCTCGTTGGCAGCTACGATGCAGCGGGCATGGACTTCGGCAAGTGCATGACCTACCGCTCCAGGTATCAGATGTATTCGGACGAAGCGCTCAACATCACCTACCGAAAGGACGTTTCCGAGCTCGAGTCGTATCTCGCCAAGGTCGAGGACTACGACGACGATCCCGACAACGTCAAGCCGCTCAAGTCCAAACCAAAGTCCAAGACGCTGATCAACAGCACTTCGACTGCCACCGCCGCCAATGATGCCTCGACCAAGCGCGAGAAGGTCGATCCTCTGTACGGTCCCCGCAAGCCTGAGGGCATGAGTGAGGGAGAGTGGGAAGGCCGCCTGCGCGACCGACTGTGGCGCTCCAACGTCCTCAGCGAAGAGCTCGGTCCCACCAGCTTCCCAGACTGGCGAGCGCTGATGGACAATTGCTACCAGAAGCGCCTGCACGATCGTGGCATGGCTGGCGGTGTCGACCACTTTGACCCGCACAACCTGCCCACCACCGAAGAGCCTCACACCAGCGGCAGCCGACCGCGCGTGTTCACCACTCCCGAGACCAAGCGCACAGCCGTAGTGATGCGCTCGTACGAGGGATACGCGTGGCGCGAGGACGATATCCTCAACATGCGAGCGCTTATCAGCGAACTGTCGCTCAACAACCCAAACACGCCGTACGACGTGCGCATCCTCGTCGAAGTCAAGTCGCGCCACCTCGCCGTCTTCACCTCGGAATGGGACCGCCTCAATGTACTCCGATCCAGCGTACCACGCGAGTTCTGGGGTCTCGTCGAGCTGTGGACCGAGGACGAGATGTGCGCGCTCTACCCTGGACTGCCAGGAAAGTTCCTCAACAAGATGTTTGCTCAGACCTCGTACCGATCGTGTCTGATGGCGTTGCAAAAATTCTACCTCGACCACCAGGAGTACGACTTCATGTACAACTGGGAGATGGACGTGCGCTACATCGGCAACTACCTCGACTTCTTTGAGGGGATCGAGGAATACTCGCGCAACGAGGCGCTGCACTCTGGCATGGACAAGTATGACACCTGGCTCGTGCCCAACGTCACCGCCTCGGAGGACAATTGGCGCGACAACAAGAGCATTGCCATCGGACGCGGAGAGGAGGCGGACCTGATCACGCTAGGGCCCATCTTTGATCCGCGAGGCTCGGGTTGGTACTGGGAGTACGACGTGCAGAACTACCCGCCAGGGCAGAGCACCGATCGTCGTGCGTCGATCGGCACCAACATGCGAATGAGTCGATCCTTGCTCGAAGCAATGAACGTGGTCAACGCCGAAGCGAAGAAGTCGTTGCACTGCGAAGCGTGGCCCACCACGCTGGTGCTGCACTCGCAGCTGCCCATGTCGCATGATCACTCATTCTACCCCGAAGCGGGCTTCACGCACAATTTGCCACTGCCGTTCAAGGGCGTCTTCGTGCCACATCCGGTCTACTTCCGCCACGTGTGGGAGCCCGAGGTGCTGCACAACCGAATCAACCGACCCGACTTTTACAAAAAGATCAACGAAAAGGTGATGCGCGACAGCTCGTTCTACTACGATGGCGCGCACAGCAGAGAGGTGTACATGGGCTGGAAGGAGAAGGAGAATGTCTGCCGTGCTCCGATGCTGCTGCATCCCATCAAGCGCGTCAACTAGGGGCCATCGATCAAAAGACCGTTCTCCTGCCTCGGACGCAGCGCAACATACCCACACGGAGAGCATCGTCGTTTGTCGAGATCAATGGGCCATATCTACGCCTAGCGATCTCCATCAGCATCGGTGTTTCTTTCCGTTGCCTTTCTTGCATCTCCAGCACTTCTGCACTCAGACACACACCCGCATGCGACCATCACGTCGCGCACCCATGTAAAACAGGGATTGGCTCTGGTTTTCGTCACGCACACCATGTAAATAGGATCTCATAGCCAAAAGAACATTTAGACCGATGTAGTCTCGCTCTGAACAGCCCCAGCACCAGGCAGTTGCCACTTTGAAGCGTTTCATCCGGCGTCGAGAACAGCGAGGGAAGACCTTGCCGCACCACGAAAGACCGACAGATGAGGTCAAGGTGGAGGTGAGGCACATGGCCAGTGTTTTTGAAATTTAGCGTCTGGCGTCGGCGGGTGACGTCTGTTGGAAAGGCCATCGCGGCAAACAACATCAAAGGGTCCATCTGAGGCCGCGAGAACGGAGCATGTTCTCTCAAGCCCTCTTGTCCAGGATAGTGCGTACCCAATTGGCAATGCAGAGGGAAGGAGCATGATGGGAAGCTCTCACTGAGCGCTTCACCTGAAAGTGGCATCGACTTAGCCGCCATGTCAACCGGCCAATTCCCCTTTATATTTTTCCAAGCCTAAGCGTTTGAAAAGGAGAGAGAGTAGTGCGGGCAGCTCGTGTTGCTGCTGAGCACGGGCACATGTCACACTCCCACAAACCTCTTCAACACCATCACATCACACATCGCGCTTCCCCCTCTGCAGCGTCACTTTCCCCTGCATCATCACCACATTCACGACACTCGCATCGGCCGCCCGCGAGTCACGTAGGGATAGCATTGCTTCGCGTTCTATCTTGATCCAACCTCTTAACAAGTCACCGTGACAGCGCACCTCGAGCGACCTGAACCATGCAAAGCGCATAGTATTTCGCCCGAGCACGATTCACCCTCCGCATTCAGCTCGTCGACCTCCCCTCTTCACCGCCATGGACGACGCTTCATCACTACAAAAGTCCAAGGCGCAGTGGCTCGCTGCCCTCGACGACGCACTTGACAACTTTCGCAGCCTCGTCGCTGAGTCGTCGTCCAAAGCGTGGAAACCCGTCAGCCTGGTCGGAAGCAATCCACCAACTCCTCATCTCGCATCGCCGTCCACCTTCACCAACGCCTCTTCGTCCTCATCACCACAGACTGCTGCGAATCCGTTGACACCAAAAAGCGGATCATTACGAGGCAGGCCGCGCGAGTCTTCGTCCTTGCGGCATGTCGAATCCATCGAAGACGTGTCAGCCCGCTACGAATCAAGCGCATCGTCGCCGAATGCCTCAGGCTCGGCACAAGCCCCTGCATCGACTTCGCAGCCATTTCGCATCGGACGCTTTCGACCCGACCACGTAGCTGTGCACCGCAAAAGCACCAAGGGCCCTGACATCTACCGAGCCGTTTCCGAGGTCGCGTATGAAGGCACTGCAGATCTCGCCACCTTCCGCTCCGTGCTTCAGACATCTGAGACTCGTCCCTCGTGGGATCGTCTCGTGCAGTCCGCAGAGCTCGTCGAGCAGCTCGACCCCATCACACGCATCAACAAGGTGCAATACCGACTCGGATGGCCTGCTAGCCCGCGAGATGCCATTGTCATCAACCGGACTTTGGCGGACGACTCGACACTCATAGACATTGCAACCTCGCTACCTCGCTCTCCAGATGCGCCGTCCTACCTCCGCCCAGCTCCTCCCTGCGTTCGATCTCATGTCCACCTCATGGCATGGTGCCTGCAAATTGTTCCTCCAGATGCTTCCAGCTCCTCCTCAAACAAGTCGGCCGCTGCCTCCTCTTCCTCGTCCCTGCGCTCGTCTCCTCGCATCAAGGTCACCGTCTTCTGGTCGTGGGACCTGCGCGGAGCCTGGATGGGCATGCCTGCTGGCGGTCTCGGGATGCACCTGCCTGAGCTCATCAAAGGTCTGCTGAGTCACGCTCGTGACAGTAGCGACAAGATCCCGTTCCTCCAAAACTATGGCAACTGCGTCGAGTTGCTCTCCAACAGCTTCGATACCACACGAGACACGCTCGCCTGCGAATACGCCGTCATTGTCGAGGATACAGTCGCACGCGAAGCTGAAGATCGAGCTCATAAGAATCTCGATACGCTCAACTTGCTCCGTTCCAGGAGAAAGCTCGAGGCAGCGGTCGAATTTTACCTCCCGGCCATGGAGGGATGGGATGTCAGGGTCGAGATCAGGGGACAGACAGCGTCCAAAGAGAAAGCCGATCCTTCGGGACCTGCCGATGCACCCTCGTCACCGTGGCGCGCCACAGCAGAGAGGTCGCCAGGATCTCAGTACACCGTTCTAGCAATACGTCACGATCAGCTACAAGACTCGGAGGAGCTCGTTCGGATCAAAGTCAGGATCCAGAGGGTGGTGGCCAGCAACGATCTACGAGTCAATGATGATCTCGTCGAGGTGACTCAGGTTGAGCCGCGGACGCCCGCCTCGCTCGCGCAGCCTCTTCTCGAAGACACGGCCAGCATCTCGGGGATCAGCGTCGCTACAGCTTCGACAGGCAGCGCCGCCTCCGTCACCACTACCCAGGCAGGCAACGCAGCCAATGCCTCGCGCTCGGGGACGCCCAACCCGGGATTCGCCAATCAGATCAACTCGCAGATCCGACGCAACTACATCTACTTCACCAGTCTGCTCCAAGAACCCGAGGCCAAGTGGAAGCCCATCAGCGACATGAAGGGTGTCACGGTGACGCAACTCGACTCGATCGATCCAACGCTGGTCGTCTATCGTGCTGAAGCCACCTTTGTCGGCGTCAGCGTCTGGGACCTCTTCTCCACCATTGGCAACCCTGGCGCGAGAGCGTACTGGGACAAGACGCTCGATGATGCGACACTCCTCGCCGACATCAATGAGTTGAGCTCGCTGTGGCAGACCAAGACGAAGCCCAGCTGGCCTGTCAGCGCACGCGACACTATCGTGATCCAGACAGCCTACAAGGCGCCCACGTCGGTGCACGTCTTTTCCTTCTCCACCGACGATCGGGCGCAGTTTCCTGCCATCCCTCAAGTGGAGACTGGTACCATTCGCACTCAGATCGATCTGCGCGGATGGTCGATCGAGGCTCTTTCGCCAACGACCGTGCATGTCACCATGCTCGAGCAATCGGATCCCAAGGGCTGGACCAGCAAGTCGGCGACGCCAGCAGCCATGGTGGGTGCCGTCGCCGGTGTTGGCGAGTATGCCATCAAGTTCGGTGGGCCTCCGGTTCTGACGCGCATGCTTGGAGCCAAGACCAAGGTGTCTCGGTACGATCACGAGAAAGCCACCTTTCGTGTTGAATACGCGTCTGATGTATCGCCGGATGACGACCTGAACGACGCCCCTCATGTCGAATGCGAGATCCGATGTGACGTCGAGACGTGGGCGAACTCTCTCGATTTGGTCGTCGACCCTCCGCCAATCTCCATCTCGTGCCTGCGGCGCCACAAGCTTTCTCAAGGTGGTGGCGGGCTCTGGCTCACGATCGAACATGCGGCCGCGTCTCTCGAAGACGACTCGGCTCGCATCACTATTCGTCGCGGCAACGCACGTGAAAAGGGAGCTGTACACGTCAACGGCGCCAGCATCAAGGTGGATGTCGACGAGCTCAATGATGAGCAGGTGCAGCAGCTCAGCCGCCAGAAGCGCACCAAGCCTCAGCGCGTTCCCTTGGATCTCATTCGCCCGGCTCGCAAAGCCACAGAGGAGCCTGCTACACCTGGAAAGGCGGATGCTGCTGACAGCAGTGCATCAGCAGCAGGAAACGAGACCACGAAGGACCAGCAATCGAAGTCGTCGCGTGCCTCGTCGATCAACGAGATGGAAGGCAAAGAGAAAGTTGGCAGCGCGCTCGTCGTTCCAGCCTCCGCCGACGAGACCGCCAAAGTTCGAGAGAGCACCAAGTCCGAGTCGAGGGATTCGTCGGTCAGTCCGAGTCCATCGTTGCCTTTCTCCGATGAGACTCCACGTCAGCCAATGACATGTGCCCTGGACGTCCTCTTCCTGCTTCGACGCATTCACGCCGAGCGATCTCCCGATCCTGCCGGCACGCCTGCTGGATGGGCTCTGGTGACTGAACGCAACGGCTTGTACGTACGACGCAAGTTGATGGAGTCCATCTCCAGCACGGTTATGGTTCAGCGAGGCGACAAGGTCGTCCAGGGACTGTCTGCAGAGGATCTGCTCGACCTCGTGTCGAATCCACAAAGTCGGAAGCAATGGGACGACAAGATCGACTCGACGACGTTGCTGGAGAGCTACGGTGATGGCTCGTTCACCTCGTTCATCACGACCAAGGCGAGCTTTCCTTTCCGAGGACGAGCGTTCCACCTTGCCAGCTTGACGGCACGCGGGATGCCGCCTTCCAGTCTCGGTGCAACCAGCCCAGGGGAGTCGACGCTGTCCAGCTCGGCCTCGTCTTGGTCTGGACCTGCGGTCTACTTTCACGCATCGGCTTCCTTCGCGCAGCAGAAACCTCGCTTTGGAATGGACCGCATCAACCCGAACAACTTGCCGTTGGGCAAGATCCTGATCGACGGCTGGATCCTGGAGACACTCGACCCCTACAGCTCGACCAGCTTTCAGATTCCATCGACAAGATGCACACACGTCGTGGCGATCGACTATGCGGGAAGTCTGCCGATTGCAGTCAACACTATGTGGAACGCCAGTCTGCCGCGATCGATTCTCTTGATTGAAGAGTACCTCAAAGCAAGAGGTTCTATCCCGTCCGTCAAGACTCCACCGCCTTGCCTGCAGGTGCTCGGCGATGGCCGAGATGAAGATCAAGGCCTGATCTGGTCGATCAATGGCCCCGACCGCAAAAATCTTCATATTTCGACTAGCTTTGACCCTTCGACACGAAGGTATGTGGCGGTGAGCATGCATCGGGCTACCCCACGAGCTGATGCGGGTCAGGTACCTGGACTTTTGCCGGCCGCCAACATCGTGACCAACGGCAAAGGTCGGACTGCCCGAGTCTCGGACGCGTCCCTCACGAAAAGCGTTGCCGACAAGCTTGCCCAAGCTATCAATGCTGCGCCAGGTACGCCCATGCTCGGATCAGCCGCGCCTCCCGTGAATTCGAGTGGCGAACAGAGCAGCGGGCTGTCACGGGCCACGAGCATGCACTCGATCGCCAGCACCACTGCTAATAGCAGTGCCTCGACGATTCGCCGTCGTCCCAGCTCGCTTCACGCAGACTCTCGCAACGCCACAGACTTGATCCTGATGGAGGTCGAGATTGAGCTTCGGCACTACCATCAGGGGTACGACGTCCAGGTATACTCCGAGTTCGTCCCGGTAGACGCGGCAGGTGCCTTTTCGCAGGCGTCCACAAGTCAGGCTCTAGAACGACCCAAAACGCCTACCGGGAATGGCGCAGAGCGCGCACCTTCCGAGCAGCTGATCGGGATCTCAGAGAGTGGCAAAGCGCTGGGCAGCACAGAGGCCATTCTGTCACTCAAGATGGCACCAGAAAAGAGCAAGGACTTGCCCGTACAGCTGCGTGTGTACGACTTGCCGCCCAGTGCAGTGCTCGCGGCTACACTGGATCCATCAGCCCGTCCGCGCAAGCATCTCGTGCGTGTCATTGTACCGACCACCGCTTTCCTCGATCCAGTCGATGACCCTCTCACCGGGTCGAAGGCACCCGAGATTCCGGCGTGGTACACGTCGCTGCTGGAACGAGGTGCTGTGCTGCGTATGGTCGTCAAGCCACTGAAGGGCGAAGGTGCCGAGACCGACGGAGGCGCAACAGCACCGAAGGACTCGGCTGGAGGCGTGACGGCATTCACGCCACCAACAGGCAAGGTCAATGTCCGCAGCGGAGAAGCCAAGCTCGACGTCGTTCATGTCAACCAGACTTCTGCGATGCTGCAGAAGGAGCAGATCGGCATTGAGCCCATGACGCAGCTGAAGCGCGTGGCCCCTCCTCGTGCAAAGTCGGGACGCAAGTCGGGTGGAGAGACGATGGCCAACCGAGATGACTTGCGTTTGCCAGCTGCGTTGCGTCGGCCTGTCGCGACGCGAAAGGACCTGTTGGTGGCAAGCGAGACTTCCTCGACTGGCAAGGACAGCTCCAAGACAGGCCCCAGCGCCACGGGTGCCGGCAGCGCAGGAAAGACTGCAAACGGGTCTGGCAGCTCTGTGACCGGGGATGCATCTGCTACCGCCAAGCAGGCTGGCGACCCAGGACCGTCCTCCACGAGCGGCTCTGCCAATGGCTCAGCAGCAGGCTCGGCGCCTCCTTCTCGTGCAGCCACGCCGTCAGCACCCGCTTCGACAGGTGCTGGTATCATGAGCATGTTCGGCTCCTATCCGCTGTCTCGTCTCGGCACTGGCTCTGCTCAAGCATCCTCGCTCACCTCGGTCTCTTCTGTCACAGCACGCGGGAGCAGCGTCGCATCCTCGTCGTCCGCCAAGACGAACGCTGAAGCGCTCGCTGCAAAAGATGGAGGCAAGCACGGCGGTAAGGGCGCGGGGCAGAAGGGAGACAAAGCAGGCACTGTCGCTGACGGCGACGACACGGGAGCCGGTGGAGATAGCAAAGGCGATGCGGGCACTTCAACCGGCGAAGCCGTGGCCGAAGCCGCTGCCAACGCGGGTAACACGGTCGCGCAGCTCGCCAAGGAGAGCGCCTCGGCCATCAGCAAGCTCTTTAGCTCCGAGACGCACTTCCGCTTCTCGACGCTGCTGCTGGTCGCCGTTGCCGCATACCTGCTCGGCTCGCTGATGCGATCCACGATCTCTCCGGTCGACTTTGTGCTCGTACCTACGCGGCAGAAGCCTTTCCATGCTGCGAAGGACGTGGCTGCTGGGCTGACCGGTCAGAGTGCAAGGAAAGATTTCTTGGAGTTGGTCAAATCGACGTCTGGCAAAAGTAGCGGTCTCGAGGACGACGGGATGGTGCGTCAGGTCCAATGGACCCAACTGCGCCGGTTGGTGCATGTGAGGCTTCCCGGTGTTGGATGGGATGTTGTGGTCGGTGGTGTGCGCAGACGATGAAACTGCACGGAGGAAGTTGGAATGCGAATGACATTGCAAATGGGTATGCTGTGCGAGAATGCGAGTGCGAGTGCGAGTGAGAAACATCGGGTGGACAAAAAGGTACATGCGGAGACTTAGGAGTGTGTGAAAGGGGTGAGGAAGGGACGAGCTTGCCTCGCACCAAGTGGAAATGATGCATTCGACTCCGCGGCGAGCATCTGCATTACGCTTTGGCAGAGCTGCACATCGACGATTGGTAGATCACTGGCGAGACTCGTCACTCCGGTCGCATTCCCCTGGATCACCTTTCCAGCAGTGTCAGCGGTAGCACTTGAGATGTTGGGGATGTAATCCGACACTCTGCCCACCACGAAAGCTGTAAGAGCGGGCACTTGGATGGCGACGAGGACGAAGAGTACGATCAACGAGACGAAGAGTAGCAGTGTAAACGCGCGCTCCCAGGGCTCCATAACGGACAGGCCGAAGGTGGCGGTGAATCTGTAGTGTGCTTTCCACGCGCAGTCCCACGCTACGATGAGCCACGGGGGAAGGTTCGACTGTGATGGACGGACGCTTCGGGCTTGCTGTGACGGCTGGCACGATTGAGAGGTCTGACGTTGGCTCGACGGGTTGTGGTGCGGTTTGAGAGGGGTATGCGGTTGGTGTGCCGGGCGTGTGGCGGTAAGGAGGATGTGTCCCGCAGCCAGATCGTCCGGTGCCAGCAACGAAGAGAGCGAGTGCGACTTGCGCTCCGGTGCGTACGAGACAGTGGTTGTCACCGACATCTTTGCCCGCCAGCTTTGTGTCCTCGAAGTGGTTCGAGGTAGACCTTGGAGAGAAAAGAGGGTGCTTTCACAGCGAGTGAAGAGCGATGCACAAGCGTTCGATAAAGCGTGTCTTTGAGATGAGCTTTGATACAGCTTTTGACGGGGCACTGCCTGGGCTGCGAACGCTGTAGGCGGCAAAGTGAGGGCGATCTTCGAATTGTTGTTGTTCACCCGTCTGGGGGAGGCTTTAAATACGATCCCCTGCCCTATAACGTCGATCCCCCTTGACAGCGCGCAGCTTGACTGTCTATCAAGCTTACAGCACGATACGTGTAAGTGGGCTTGTGGTTCAAATGGTCATCGGGTGCTTGAGCTTGAGTCCGAATGGATGATGAAGGAAGTGGGGCGTGGGGGTTAGACAGAATAATGGGGGACCGTAAGCTCGGGTTTTGCCAACAAGCTTTCGCATAAGGCTTCCATCCCTAAGGCTTGCATCAAACAAACGCCACGTTCACATGTTCGGTCTGCCAGAGTTGAGTTCTCGACCTTTGTACGGCCTCGCTTATGCTTCTCCCCGTGATAGGTTTCATGCCCGGCTTACCGTTTGGTCGGTCTTCGAGCGTGTGTCAGTCGTCCACCCACACCAAAACCTTTCACCAATCGACTCAAGCCTCTCCAACATCGTCGAGGTGTATCAAACTCTCCCACTACACCGTCGAAGTGGACGACTTACGATGAGCAAAGGTGGGTCTTGCGGCATGACGCTTAGCTGCAGCCCTTGGCCCCAGCTGATCGACGCACTGCATCGAAGCCTTTTCTCTCTCCGACCTTGCAGCCGAATGCGGAAAATTGCGCGCGTGCACCTGTCAGAAAAAGTTAGGCGAGCAAACACGCGGCGAATTTAGCGCGCGACCACCTCTCCAAGGTGTGAGGCCTGGGCTCTCGAACGTCGATCGATCGGGCTCGCAGAGGGGGAGCAGTGTTGACCTTGCGCGACAAGGTCAGAGTTGTGAGAACTAGGGGTGGTCGAACTCACAGGCGAACCAAGAAGAATCATGCGTACGCGCGAGAGCACGAGGACGAACAGTCGGCGCTCGGTACGCATGCTTCCCCGAGAGATTGTGTGGATGAGGAGCGGGTGGGCGATAGGATCAATTCATATGCTCCCCAGGAAAGGTCAGGTGCAAGAGGCTTCAGTGTTTGGCCACTGCACTTGCGAGAGCACGCGCATTGTTGGTGTCGATCCATATGACTTCCGATCGACGAGCGGTCGGATGACTAGGCCGGTCGTCGAGTGAGCTTCTCTCAAATGCTTTAAGATGAGCCGTCGAGCGTGGGAGCCTTTAGCCGACGGTCGACCGTGGTGATCGCCAACCATGTCAGGCTAGCTCCAGTATCGACGTCGAGCCTTGAGCTGCGACTCTGTGTACTGTGAGGCTTCGTCACGCCCTCCGCAAGTCGTCAGCTCAACACACACCAAACTCGCCTAATCCCAAGCCTCACTTACGAGCATGCCAGACACGAAACACTGATTAGCGTGACCCATAAGCAACACCCGAACCCAAACGCATCTGCACGGTCCTGATCATATCTCGAAGCCCCTCCGTCCCCTCCGCCCCTCTCCTAACCCACCAACCCCGTCACCCTCAAATTCTCCCGCAACACCGTGTCCTTGACACTCATGAGAATCGCCCTTATCTGCGCACTGCTCGTCGCCACCGTCGTATGCACATACAACCTCCTCTTTTCTCCCTCAGCTTCCTTCTCCTCCACCTCGCGTACACAATCCCGAAACTTGCCCCTGAACCACCGCCAAACCGCCTCGAAATCGTTATCGCCTTGATACGCTGCCCAATACCTTCCCAGCTGGATTCCACTCCGGAGTTTTTGCTCGAGCAGATCGATCTTGTTCAAAAACAGTACGATGCTTGCTCCGCGCAGCAGCGGGTTGGACACCACCTGGCTGAACAGCGCAAAACTATCTTCCAGCCGATTAACGCCTGGGTCTTCCACCAGGGGTTGATCGAACGCGGATAGGGGGGCGAGGAAGATGATGCTCCCCACATCATCGAGATAACTCGCCCAGGCATGGCGTTGCGATCGAGAGCCTCCGACGTCGTAGATGGTGTAGAGGAGCGTGCGATCGATGCGGAAGGTGTGGGAGGTGATGCCGAGCGTGCGCACGCGCGAATGGAGGATGTCTTCGTCATTGGGCGTGTAGGTGGGCGAGAGGATGCGAGGGAGGGAATCGAGGAAGTAGGTTGTGGGCGAGTCGGTTTGTGCGTCGAGGAAGAGACCGCGGTGACGGAGGGCGCGGCATGAGGCGTCGGACCAGAGGGATAGGATGTCCGATTGGATGGTGCGGAGGAAGATCAGTGCTGGGTCGTCGTCGGTGTCGGAGGGTGAGGACTCGGGTTGAGTGCGCGAATGGGAGAGCGAGCGTCGTGCGTACGTGAACAGCCGTTCTTGCCACCCGGGTCGCAAGATGAGAGGGCTCTTCTCCAATCCGCCCCTCGATTTGCCCTCGAGAGAGGAAAGGGGACGAGCTTGCCCGCTTTTGCCAGGAGCGGTGTCGGGCACCTCCGCCTCTTCACCAAACGCCCCGAGTTCGCGTCGCATCGCCATCTCCAACCGCACCACCTCCCCCAGATGTGCTGCCCACGGCATGCGCGCCTCGTTTCGCTCGTTCTTCGGTCCGACCTCCCCTCCCTCTGACTCCAGTCGATCCAACTCACTCGATCGTCTCTCCTTCCTCTCCTGGTGAAACCGTTCCATCGTCTCGAGCAGCACCCGTACACTGCACATCGTGTTCAGCAGCACGATCTTGGTCCAACCCCTCCTCTCCCTCTCGTGCGCCTGTGGATCGTACAGCAGCCGCATCTGTTTAAGCACCGTGGTTTTTCCCGCTCCCGCCTGGCCCAGGAGGACCATCTTGTACTCCCTCCCCTTGGGCGAGGTGGAGGGGGGTTGACGGAGAAGTTTGTCGATCTCATCGCTGCGTTGCTTGGCGAGGCGTTCTGATTGGATGCGAGCTGCTTTTTCGGCGGCAGTCTCGGTGGGTGGTGGTTGGAGTGCTAGGCTGAACGGATCGGTGGTGGTGGTGGGGGTGGATAGTGGTGAGTTGGATGGCGTGCGCCGCGCTCGAGGTGAGACGGACGGCGACATGGCGAGTCGAGCTTCAAACCTGAAACCTGAAGAAGAGATGGTTGAGATGCGCTGCGACAGGTTGGGATCGACGACGGCACCAGCGAGCCCAGGGGTGCTTCCTTGGTGGGATCTGCTCCCCGAGTCGCCTTTATATGCCCCTTTCCGCCAGCACGTAGCACGCGCAATGAACAAACCCACCCTCGTTGCAGCCAAGCGGTTGTGGGCGCGCGCGAATCAGTCGAGAGGTCCATGCAACAATGGCACAAACCCCACCAGCCCGCACCTTGAAACCTTATGGTCGGCGATCAGTGCTTCCTCGAGGCGACGCGATGCGATGCGAGGTGCGCGTTCTGCTAGATGTTGGAATGGGCGTTGCTGGTGAACGAGCAGCGCAGGTTGATGCGCGATGGAGGGGTTCCTTTGCGCGCTTCCGAGCAGTAAAGTGAGCTGGGGGAGGTGAGAAAGATTGACTTCGACGGGAGCTGCGAGCCTTAATCACTGGCCCGCATCTATTGCGCGGGCCTCAAGCCACCTGAGGCGATGCAGGGGCCATGCTTTCGCGCGAGGAGAAGGCGGCGTTCTCCTGTGCATCACCTCGCGGGTTGTTGTCGCATGATACGCAGCAGCGCCACCACAATCACGGTTCGAACCCAGATTGCGACAACCGTGCGCCGGTCAACGGCGGACTCGAAGGTCGGCCTCGCCCGAGGTCGAGCGTTCCATCTTATAAGGCGCCAACCCCAGGAGAGACGCTTCTGCGCGGTGCAAGCCGAACCTCATGCGCTGCGCCCGACGAGCCCAATGCACTCCCTCGCACCGATACCCAATCGACCAGCTCGCCCCTTGAGGGGATGTCAACCAGAAACTCCGACGAGCACGGGCACGTGAGAGCGCCGATCTATGCGCGATTCCAGCTCAGCTGTATATAAGCAAGCCACTTCAGGTTTCGCAAGCCACTTTTGGGTTTTGGCAGACCAAGATTCGGCCGCCGCTCCACGGTCTCTCGTGTGCGCGCACTATCAGCGTGGGGCGGCGGTGCAGCCGAGGCGTGACGAGCCACCGTCGCATCCGCGGTTGCGAATTCCCCTTGCGTCCTAGCCGAGTGGACGGTTTCCTCGGCTGGGAAGAGCTTGATCGTCCATTCATGCAACGCTAATCCAATGTTGTCGCGTGCTACCGACCTTGCTCGGTGCGCTTCCTTCAAGTCTCATCCCTAGCTGTCACACCCTTCGTATACGCAGCGGCAAAATGCTTGGGTTCGATACAAATACAGTGCTACTCACACATCCATCACCGCCGTGCAAGCGGCAATGATCACATCCGTCACGCCGTTAAGTGGATGCACGCCATCCAGCGGGCTCCCATCCGGCTTGGTCGGCACGGGCACCCCTGCCAAACGCAACGCACCCCACCCTTCCGGGACCATCTCCAACCCTCCCTTGGCGTCATTACAATAACCCAGCACGACCGGGAAAATCCCTGACTCGGGCAAGCGTGGGTCCATATCGCCCATGCTGCTGCTCCACGGCGCATCGTGCACAATCGCCGTCACGCGGAACGGTTCGAACTTGGTCGGCGGCAGAGGCGGCGATGCTTGCGCTGTAGCGTCGAGGTCGTAGCGCGAGTTGGCGTGTGTGGCGCGACTGCTCGACAGGCCTAGCTTGCGCTTCCACCCCGACTGCCCAGCGGGAACCCGCTCAGCTAGGATGTTGCTGCCCGAGCTGACGCTGTGAGAAAGGGACGGTTCGCCCTCGGCGCTAGGCGAAGCACCCGGCATAGCAGCAGGGCCCAAGCTGGATCCGCCGGGCGCTGCGGCTTCGGACCCTTCCGAAAAGGGGACAAAGTTAACCCGCATGTAGCGCACCGCGTCCTGAGCTCGGTTGCGCCCAATGAGCGGCAGAGGAATGAGCATCGTCAGCGCTCCCGAAGGCACCGCCTCGATTCCCAACAACGCATGGTCCTCGTCCAGGTCTTCGAAGGGCGAAGGCGCACTCGAGTTTCGGGTCGCAGGGCGCAGCGTTCTGCTAGCCGCCTCTTGCTCATCCCACCCGTACACTTGCGACAGCGCCGAGGTGACGGCGTTGCGGTGGTCTGCACCGCTCGTGCCTCCGAGAAGCGCATGTCCTCTAGCCTTGTCCGCGCCCACGCTAGCAGATCGATCGAACGCCTTTTGCGTAGGAGCCTCCGAGCCCCTTCTCGAGTCTGCCGTGACGGTCGCATCCGGACAAGCAGTGCCGAACGCGGATCGTTGAAAGCTGTCCAGCGCTGCCTCAGTCAGAGCGAGCGGATCCGTCAGCGCTTCCCCTCCCGAGCTGACGGACTCATCTCTGGCCCGGTTGCCCCTCCTGTTGTCGCTGTTGGCACGACTTCGGCTTGCCTTTGAAATGCCATTGATAGACAGGGGCCTCTCGTTGTCCGTGGTCGGAGACATGGATGTCGGAGTAGCACCGTTCTCGGGCTTCCGCTTGAACCAAGAGGTGAGCATCTTGTCCTTCTTCTTGAGCGCCTTCTGCAATCCACTGCGACTGCGGCTCTGCTTGGTGCTCGCATTGATGGGCATCCCCGAGGCGGTGACCGGCGAGGTGGCTTGCCCAGACTCGGCCTCGTACGAAGAAGCCTTGACGCTGGCTGGTTTTGGCTGGTAGCGCTGTTGCTCGAAGCTGCCCGGTTGCCACCCCGCCGCGGCGCCCGACGCTTCCGAATTGGAGCTCATGCCGCGACTCGCCGAGGAAGTGGCTGACAGGGTGCGTTGCGCTGGGTCGGCTTGGAAGCCTCGCCGAGCCATCGGGATGGCGGCAGACCTCGTGGGCTCGCCAAATTTGCTGTGCGGCTGATCGTACGAGGTGGAAATGGCGCTGCCCAAGGTGGATTCGCGCGTGTTGGTCGTCGACAAGCCTGCTTCATCCGACGAGCCCGTGTCGCTGCCGGCGTCGCTGCTCGCAGGAGAGTCCATTGACGCCATCGAGTCGGGTCGACCAGATCGGGCCGAGGGCCAGGATTCCTCGGGATGCATGCGAGCGAGCGGGTCGCCGGGCAAGGAAGGCGCGAACGTCTCCGGATTGGTGCCCGTGGCTACAGCCTGTGTGTCGAGCTGCTGAGAGGGACGCAGATACGGCTTGGATCGCGATCGACGCAGCGGTACCTGATGATCGCGCAAGTAAGGACGCGACCTCGACCTTCGAAGCGTGGCAGGCGCCTGCGGTGACGAGTGAACGCTGAGGTGGTCACTCGCAGCAGCCTGCATCACGCGGCCTTGCGTCTGCGTGTGGCGGTACTGATGGAGCCAGCGATGCGTCGAAGCGTTGGCCAGATAGACAGGAGGGCAGATTCGACCCGAGGTGGGGCGGAGCAGACGGAGCTCAAACCCGGCCTTGCCAGAGAATGGAATCGAGCTGCGATGAGACGGACCGACGACTGCGAGCGGAGGCTGTCGCTGTGATGAGAAGGGCTTGGCAGAGGACTGGGACCGATCTCGGTGCGAGACAGCGGCGTCGCTCTCGTCCATCCATAAGGAACGGCTGCTGACGATGACAGTCCTCTCAGCCTGCGTAGCTGGAGGAAAATCATCAATCTGACCGCAAGTGAGGGTAGCGTTGGGCACCACGACCCACTTTTTGTTCCTGCTGGTTGTCTCGGCCACAGACCATTCGATGCGCTGGTGGCCATTGATGGGGCAGAGGATCTCGGCGGAGAGCTTGCATCCCTCCCAGTCATTGAGACTACCCACGTCGAGACTGTGCAGGCCCATCTCCTCGATCGAGAGAATGTCGAGTGGCTCGAGCGGGTTGCACGGCCGAGCGGTGAGGTGCGCCCACTTTGGGGGTGGATTGTATGATGGAGCACCATCACCACCACCGAATGTGGCGAAGCTGTCCCTCCATTCGATGGGGGTAGCAGGAGCGTCGGAGGAGTCGGTGGAGGCCTTTGTGATGGTGCGAGTGGGCTGCTGGCGGATGGGCGCAGGTGGCTTGGAACCGGTTTCTGTCTGCAAGCCGAGACTGGCGAAACCGCCGAGAACCTGACCGTGACTGATGGAGAAGCCTCTGGAGCGTTGCGTGTCGACGGTGTCGATGCTGGCATTTCGATTGCGAAGGTGCTTGTCGACGGCGGCGTTGAGGATGACCTGGGACGACATGATTTCGCGGTAGTCGGAGCACTCTGCTCGAAGATGGTGCGAGAAGCTGTCCTCGATCCCGCCGTTGAGTGCTGAATGAGCGGCGGCGAGATGGTCGTCGGCGCACGAGACGCAAAAGCTGTGCTGATCAAATTTGACGCCATTGTAGGCAGCCACATCGGATGAAAGGTTGGGACCAGACACGAGCGGTTGTGTTGTGTTGGAACGAGTTCGAACGTGACCTAGCGCTTGACCATGGTCGAGAGGCATTGAGTCGTTAGCGGGGTTGCCGCCAAGATCGAGACCGTCGAGATCCAAACGAAGGGTTTCTGCTGAATGGCGGCGTTGTTGTCGGAGGCTGGCGTGTTGAGAAGAGGAGCTAGCGGGCGCACGTTGTGGTCTGGGAGGCGCTGCAGCGGGATCGGCGAGAGGTTGCGGATAGGTGGGTATGGGAACGGACCTGGCAAGAACGTAGTCTGCGTGCTCGGCGATGATGCTGGGACTGACAGAGCTAGAGCTGCCGCTACGTCGATTGTGTCTCGGGATTCGATGAACGTTGTCGGAGATGGCGGGGGTGGTTGATGGCATGCTGTAGCGCGAGAACGAGTTACGACCTGCCGAACCTATTGAGCGGCGTTGAGGGGTGGGTATGGAAGAGGAGGAGGAAGAAGCCATTGAGGAAAGAGCTGCATTGGGCGAGGAGATGGATGTAGACGCCGATGCTGAGAGATTGCGAGAAGCAGAGGCGGCTTGGTCGGATATGGAGCGTCGCGAGGGTGGACTGGCAACGTCGGCCGGCCGACTGGTGGACGCCATTTTGATCTAATGCCGATGTTTGCTCTTGACAATGCCGGGCAGCAGGGCGATGCGCCAGCGTCGGGGGCAGTATGCTATCGCTCAGAGCGATCTTGACGTGATTCTCGGCATGAGATGGTGTGCGATTGAAGGTGCGACAGCGAGGCAATCTGCAGCTGATGTGAATTGGCTGAAGGCAATGGCGGTCGCTCGCTGTGGTCCGATGCTGCTTGCGAGGTAATTGGGCGGAGTGAAGTCGATGGCGACGACGGCAGCAGTTGTATGCGGCTCGGAGAGATGCAGAAAACGAGAGGGTGATGCCGAGTGAATCGTGGAACGAGAGTGCGCGACGAACAGAGATGTGAGGATGATGGCGATGATGATGGCGATGGCGATGGCAGAAGGTGCGCAACTGAGCGGAAGAGAGAGCTGCGGTGAATGTGATGTGTGTGCGAGATGTTGCAGGTGTGAGCGAGAATGTGACTTGTGACTGGAGAGGAGGAATCCTATCTGTTGGTCCGCTGCTGCTGCTGTTAGCCGCTCTCAGTTGAAGGCCGCGAATGAGCAGTTTGGAAGAGAGGGAGAGAGAGAGAGCCCCGAGAAAGGGTTCGCCTCGCTTAGGCTGGCCACGAATTAATGCGGTGACTGACTGACAGACTGACTGACAGAGTGACTGATTGTTCTCTGGGCCAAAGCGAGCGAGCGATAGAAGCTCGCTTCAACAGTCTATCGCCTGCCCAATTTCTCAAGACTTGCAGCGGGGCGGAGTTGCGACCGAGAAAAATGCACACACAATTCAAAATGAATAAAGTACACTTTTCGACTTTGCACTTTGACTGCACTACGCCTGCCGCCAGTTAGCCGAGTGAGAGTTGCTCGGCGTCCGACAAGTGAGGCTGCTCACAGACGCATCCATCGGCTGCCCACACTAACTTAGCTTGCAAATTCCTTCAACTCTACTCGCCAGTGTCTCGCTAGCACCACAGATCACCGTTCACGAATCGACTTAGGGTGCTGCCATCTTGACATGTTTCCTTCATCTTGCAAGCGACATTCAGCGAGAAGCTGTCGAAGCAAGGCAGAGCACAACACGCACAACGGTGGTGAGAGGGGTCCGTTTGGTCCCCCGCGATCCACGAGAACAAACGTGTGCTTGGAGAATGGCACGACCCTTTTCCCCTTCTGCCACGCGACGGTCGAGCTCTGTGGCGCTTGACTGTCTGCGCAAATTGATGAAAAAGCATTGCAGCTTGCTGCCCACGCCAACCCAAGCACGGCAGAAGCGGCGCTCGCTTGCGGCATGGTTCCTGAGGTCGTCATGTCGACTCTCGCCGCAGTCACTGTCGTTGCGATGCTTCTCAACTGACGAGGTCCTCACTCTCTTGATCTGTCGCCTCACTCGACCCAGAGTCGGACACGGTCGGAGTTCTGAAGAACAATGGAGTGGACGCCTCCTTCTTTTTCGCTCGAGTTCTAGACCGCCTTTATTTCCACCAGACTCACTCGCCATCCGCCCGCCATCAATTTCGACCTGCAACAAGATGCAGCGGAGTTGAAGCTTACCAGTCGAGAGATAGAGGGTGCGGTTCCGCACATTCAGCTTCCGTCGGTCCGTGTATCGACCTCCCATTGTCCTTGTCGGCGCGCAAAAGGCAGCAACCGCGTGGGAACAAAGACGCGAGGATCGTCCCGCTGCTTACTTGTGCCTGCGTCGATTGCCAACCCTGACGACGCTCGGTCCCGAGTTTTGGCAGCCGCTCAGGGGCCAGTGGTCTGGACGGAGGACCGGCTTCCGTGGTGTCATTTGCAATGAGCGATACCGCATTCACCAGGCTTCTTTGCAGAAAGCATGTCTCTGATAAGACAACTGTAAGCTCTAGCTGGCACGGGAAACAGTAACGTTTCCGATGCAATGCGCCCGCATTCGAAACATGACTCCTTTTTGCGGAGCCGAGCTGCACCATGCAAGCCCTCTCGATTCAGAGACAACCAAGCTGGGGTCAAGACCTGGCCATGGTACCGTACTTGGGTGCGGAAGAGTGTTTGCTGTTACCCTTCCAATGACTGCTTGTCGATTCAGTTAAGTGACTGAGCGTGCCTGTCGATCCTGGTGAACACGCGCGCAAGAGATCGAGTTGACCGGTGACCGACAAGGTTTGACCAGGCGAACGGGACCGTGAGCCTGCATTGGGGCGCGAAAATTGGAGCGACGGCAAACCATCAGCCACGCGAGGGACAGAAGCGCTTCGTTCAAGTGCGCACTTGACCGTAAGCGAGCTGTCACGTTGATCCCGCTGCCCGGCTTTACACGTTCTCTCTCCTTGGCGTCATGGGTTTCGCCTCAAACCGCTCGTCACTTTGAGTGTTTGTGAGACAAGCTCTTTCCAAAACAGGAAGCAGCACAGACCCGATTGGGCAAATTGTCCACCGCACTGAGGGGCCCTATTCGGTCTCAAATCGTTCGAAGCAACCACACGGCGAATGGTTTTGAGAGCCCGAATTTTTCCAATAAGGATGCTCTCTGTCGTCCTACCATTCATGAATAGCGCCACAAACGGCCACCATTCTGAATCAAAGCTGTTGCTCAGATCCCGAAAGTTCCCTTTCGATTACAGCAAGGTGAGAGGGCCAGCTCCGACCGTTCCTGATTGCCCATCCATCCCTGCTCTGATTGACAAGATTCGAGCAATGACGTCTTGCATTGCAGATGCAGTGAGACCACTCCTCTTCAAGCTTGCCGTCCAGACAGTGGGGATGGCTTCCATCCCGCTAGCCGAGACCAACACGCTCTCTTTTGGTGCAGATCGTTCATGCATGGGCCCTTTCCCATTGTATCGGTCGGCGATGATCTCCTCTGCCTCTGACGCAAGTGTCTCCTGCGACCGTCTCGTGCATCCGTTTCCTCACTACCATGGCCAACTTCTGATCTCCTCGACCTGGCGACATCGGATGAGTCTGACAGCGAAAAACCTGGCCATACGATGAAGCATACTGTATCAGTCACCTGACAAAGACATCCATTCTCAGCAATGCACATTGACGAACTCGTCCAATGCATTCAATGACCCCCCTTCTCGCTACTTCTCCAAAGGACCGCAGATCACGCCCTTCGCAAGCGGCCATGCACGTTCACCCAGCGTCCGCTCGCCAAGATGACGACCCTGCATCCAGCCTTCATTCATGCGTCCTCTGCCCCACCTTTGGATCATCGTACGAAAGCAGAGTGTGTAATTGAAACGGCGACCGGTGCACAACTCCGCCGCGACCTCTCACCGCACTCGGGCTGAATTTCAAATAGGGCTTTGTCACGCTGGTGACACGATCCGGTCTCCCAAGGGAGCGGTCTGGACCAAAATTCGGTTTTGTTAGAGCCACGAATGTGCACGGCGAGGTCTAACAATCAGAGGAGAAAAAAGTGGAGGCACGTGATGTCCAATTTTTGTGGGCGGTTGAAATTTTTGGACGGCAAAGCTTCTCGAGGCAAGAAAGGGTCCTGAGCTGTTTCTCCTCACACCATCCTTCGCCCGCCATCATCTGGCTCCGTTCGCACATTTCACTGAACATCCGCTACGAAACATCTTTGCAAAGCCACACAGCCAGCATTCTTTATCAAGGACACCATCAGTCATTCCCACGCGCCCTTCTTCTCCAGGCGGCAGGTCTCCAAGCTCCCACGCTCCTCGTCCTTGAAGTGCGTTTCGACATCGGACCGCCTCATCGATCGGTTGACCACGCTTGAGTCGAACCGTTCCCTCGCGCTCGACCTCTGATTGGCGCTTTACCAACACCACCTCAACGTCCCTTCACGACCCTATCTCAGCCACCCCTCCGCCGCGATGCAGTCTGACGACGTCATCTGGACCATCATCGGGCACCAATTCTGTTCGTACAAGATCAAGTCCAAGACGCACTCGACCTTTTGTCGGAACGAGTACAACCTCACTGGTCTCTGCAACCGTCAATCGTGTCCTCTGGCCAACTCGCGGTATGCCACTGTTCGTGAACGGGAGGGGATCGTCTATCTCTATGTGAAAACGGCCGAACGGGCGCATTCGCCACGCCGACAATGGGAGAGGATCAAGCTGTCCAACAACTACAGCAAAGCGCTGGAGCAGATTGATAAGGAACTCGTCTACTGGCCCAACTTTATCACGCACAAAGCCAAGCAGCGACTCACAAAGATCACGCAGTACCTCATCAAGCTTCGTCGCATCCGACTCAAAGAGGAGGAACAGCCGAGTTTGGTGAGCATCAAGAAAAAGACGGAGCGTCGAGAGGCGACGAGGGAGATGAAAGCCATGAAAGCCGCTCGATTGGAAAAGTCGATCGAGAAGGAATTGTTGGAGAGGTTGAAGAGTGGTGCGTATGGCGATGCACCGTTGAACGTCAACGAGGAGGTTTGGGCCCAAGTGCTCGAGTCGAGGAACCGCGAACAGGAGTTGGAGTTGGAAGACGAAGAGTCTGAAGAAGAGGACGAGGAGGATCTGGAAGAGATGGATCGGATGATGGAGGAGGAGTTTGAAGAGGAGGAGGGGGTGGGCGAGAGGGAGTTTGTCAGTGATGATGATGAGGAGAGTGAGGATGATTTGGAGGATTTGGAGTTGTATGACAGCGATGGCAACACTATTGCGGATGATAGCGATGCGGATGACAGCGATGACGAGGAGGATGGGGAACCTGCGGCGAAGGGCGGAAAGAGGAAGGCAGGCCCAGCGGCAAAGAAACCAGCTCGCAAGGGTGGCAAGAAGGGCCCCCAGATCGAGATCGAGTACGAGGAGGAGACCGAACCCATGACAAAGGAGGCCTTGGCCAACTGGTGATCGCCATCTCCAACCAGACCAACCTTCGTGGTCATCGCGCGCCATCGAATCGCTCATCCCGTCACCATCGACCCTGTCCCGTTTCGCGCTTCTCCGTTGCATCTCTTTCCCTCATCGTGTACTCTAGCCCATCCAAGCATTTGCCCGACCAATCACATTGTCTCTCGCCTCCGAACTCGAGTGTCGAGCGGTGAACGCGGTGCATTTGAGCATGGCTAGGCTGTCGACAGCGTCGCGAGAGTCGCACGGTGATCGCAAGAAGCAGTTCCTGCGCACGCCACCGTCACCTTCGCCCTCGACTCGTACTTCACCACTGGACGTCGCCTCGCCGCCGATCCGGATCGTGCCACAGAAGAGCCAAGACAGAGGCACAGCAGACCATAATCATGCACAGTCTCACCAGCCCGCAGAACGAGGAAACCATATTTTAAAACGAAACAAAGCGACTCCAAAACAGTGAACGATCGTGTTATAAAACGAATGTGGGTGCTATCCTGTTGTCCCACGACTAGTACACGCCACCATAGGCATCCTCATCATCGGCCATGGAGCTAGCTGTGGAGATGGGCCTCTGACCAGCAGACAGGCCTGCTCCACCGGCCGGGGTGAGGTTGCGCACGCTCAGCTGTTGCTGGTGTTGCTGTTGCTGCTGGAGCTGGAGCTGCTGCTGGTAGTGTTGTTGCTGGAGCTGCTGCTGCTCGTAGGCGTAGGTTTGTTGGACGTTGGGCAGGTCAGGTGTGCCAGATCGGCCTTCGGAGGTTCCGGGGCGACCGGCGGTGTCGTAGGTGCGGCTGGGTGGGCTGGTTGATCGGGTCAGGGAGGATTGGTGTGCGAGTCCCGCAGCGAGCGTCTCGGCTGCGTTGATGGACGCGTGGCGCTGGTCGGCGGATCCATCTCCGGACGAAACAGAGCCAGATCCGGCGTGGTGCGTGCCAGGGACGACGGCGCCGGGGACGAACGAGCCAGGAGACATGCCACCGCCGTGTGCGCGGTCGAGGTGGGCGTACGGGTTGGCAACGTTCTGCGCCTGCTGCTGACCTCGGCCGACACCAGCGATGGAGTACGGATCGCCGCCGAACGCCGCGAGGGGTGGCAGCTGGGGTGCGGGCGAGATGGCGCGCTGTTGACCCTGACCGAAACCAGGTTCTTCGAGGTACTGTTGGTCAGCGGGGTGATTAGCAAACGCAGCAGAGGGCGGGGCGTGGTAGTCCGAGTGCGAAGGCATCGAGTTCATCTGGTTGGCGTAATCGCCATCCTTGTAGTATCCGCCGACCATAGGCGCGTTCTGCTGCACACCGGCAGCGTGCTTGGCAAACATGGTCGGGGGACGAGGACCGCCCTCGTTGTGCGCTGCCATGGCTCCCATAGCGCCGGCGCTGACACCGGATTCGTACGCGGGACCAAAGTTGTTGTACTGGTGGTAGTGTTCCGACATTTCGGGCGACATGCCGCCGGCGCCTCCGTGGCCCTCGTCCGAGTCGAAGTGGTCGGGGATCATGGCCGAGTGGCGCTGGAAGGCATCGCGGTCGAAGGGGTTGCCCTCGTAAGGGTCGTCCTGCTTGCGGTATTTCTTGAAGAGGAAGCCAATGAGACCGGAAAGAACGACGATGCCGACCAGCGAGCCGGCGACGATGCCGATGATGGGACCTGCAGAGGAAGTGGCCGACTTGGGCGTTGCCGAAGCGGTGGCCGCAGAGGAGATGCCGGTGGGCGTGGCGGTGACGACAGCAGTAGCTGTGATGGGCACGATCGAGGAGCGCGACTGTTGCGGAGGGGGAAAATTATCAAAGAGTCAGTTACGTTGTTGCTTATGAAGAGAGGAAAGAAAGAGAGGTGAGTGCGTTGGGATGGGATCTTGGAGGGTTGCTTGAGATGAGGCGGGTCTTGCAGATGAGCAGGTCTTGCTTTTGATGTTCGAGACGGGGAATTTGCGCGGAGACTGAGAGGGATCTGGAACCAAGCCTTTGACGGCCATGTACAATCTTTGCGAGCAAGCGCATTTGGGAGAGGAGGGACAAGTGCAAGGAGACAACAGGGAGGCTAAAGGATGACATGGATGTGAGGGCCAACAAGTGTAAAACACAAACCGAGGAATTGTCCTTATCGTCGTTCGCCGTGGAATCGTCCGTTGATGTAGCTGTTGGTTCAGAACTGGAGACACTAACCGAAGATGTGGAGCTCGAGGTGGAAGTGGATCTAGTGCTGGAGGAAGTTGTGGTGGACGAAGAAGTGGTGGTGCTCGATGTGGAAGTCGAGGTGGACGTAGAGGTAGACGAAGAGGTGGTGGAGGAAGAAGAGGTGGTGCTGGAAGAACCAAAGAGAGAGTCGATGAGACTGCCGAGGGGATCGTCGCGGGTGGAAGAAGGGACTGAGGTGCTGGTGAAGAGGTTGCGGGAGAGCGAGGTGCTGGTTGCGGCTTGAGTGGTGCGGGTGGCGGCACGAGTGGCGGTTGTGGTGTCCGAGCTGTCATCGTCTCCGAGGCCAAAGCCACCACCCATGGGAGGAGCGTTGCTGCTACGACCGGGACCGATGCCATTGGCGCCATCTGCCTGACGAGCGACAAGCTGAGCGTCGTTGGCGTGGTCATCGACATAAGAACGAACAGCGTTGGCGAGCTGAGAGCCGTCGTCGTTGATGCGACGCCTGTGGCGACGCATGCGAGGAGCGTTCTGATCGAGAGAAGACATGATGAGGAGCGATGTATGCAGAGGAACAAACGAAAGCAAACGTCGATGGATGGCGAGACAAAGGCTGCAATGGTAGTGGAGTGATCAAAAGAGTGTGCTGTGGATGCGCGACTGTGTTGGTCGGGTGTCAAGTGTTGGAAGGGAACCGATGCTCGGTATACACGTGCCAGCCGTGAATATCGAAGCGGAGGGATGATTGGTGGGGAAGAGTGAAAGTACGGTCAGAGATGGTGTGGATGAAACGGATGGAGAGGATGGTGAAAGGCAGATCGAGGAGCAGAGCGGCACACGTCGACGCGAGGTCAGAGACAGCCAAAAAGGGCAAACACAGGGGCAGCAGGCTCAGATCAAACTCGAAACTGGGGTTTCCTGCCTGTCAAAGGGCTTCTTGCTTCACTCGGCCCTGTCTCGCTCGCTTCCTCCCCTCTCCTAGGAACCGCGCATCATGTTGATCGTCGCCAATGGTGGCTATGCCCCCACATATGATCATAACAGGCACACGCCCATGCCATCCATTGTTGAACGGAATGAGGAAGCGCGATCCAGGCCCACAGAGCGAGCGTGGGATGAAGGCGAAAAAAGTGACAGCATCGACACAGTGAGCAGCCGAACTAGAGCATTCCAGCTGCGTTTGTTCTCCCCTTGTGCCGTCAATCTCCCTCTCCATTGTCGCCCGCCACAACGGCAGAGTGCCGATAGCATCGTCGGCTGGTGACCGACCGAGGGAAGAGCGTTCGGATGCCCCATCCAAGTTCACGGCGCTCTGTTGGTTTCAGGCCGTGGTGAGTGTTGTTTGCTGGCATTTTCGACCATCCTCTGCTCCATTGCATCGATTTCGAAAAATCTGCATGGAATGTGCGTGCAGCCGAGGCGAGTCTCAGACGCGTGTGGTGCGCGTCGATGGTGCCCTCTCGGAGATGGAATCCTGCCCAAAAGAAGGCTCGCTGCATGGCTCCTCTCGCCGAGTCCGAGGCATGCTTCTCAAAACACACGTCGGCAGCTCGAGAGTGGTCGGCTGCATGCTGGTTGTTTCCTGCAACAGCACCAGCGCCTGTTCAACTGCACTAATGTGTCTGCAGGCCAGAACAAAGTGGGTTTTTAGGGGGTGGCTCGCTCGACCCTCGAACGATTCTCGCTTGCTGCTTGCTACAGCCGACGCCAGCTCGCTTCATCCAGACTCGAGGTTCATCTTTGACAGCGTCGATCCCTGTTGTTGAGCAGGGTCGAACTTGCTCTCGACGGGGATTGGAATGAGAGTCGATCGTGGAGAACCGTATCTGGTGGCCACGACAAGCACCAGGCATGCAGCAGAGAAGGCTTGAGCGGCACGAACTTCTGCAGGCTGTCGATCGTTTCCCAGTGACACACGCGCCCCTCGCAGCGGACCATGTTGCAAGCCTGACCCACGCCTTGCTGCTGGGCTCGTTGCTGCATCGTTGACCCGCCACTTTGACGCCGTACGCCGCCAATCAATCGCCTTACACCACAACGTCATCGATTCGCCCTCAGCAGGCCGCAGCTCGCTTGCTCTGGGGCGCAAGACGCCGGGTGTCCATGAACACCGTCCGTGACCCAGCCCAGCGGTGTGGCTGCGGATCGGGAGGATGCGAGGCTAGTGTCACCGCCTTGCGCAGGCGTGCATTCCAAATGTTCTCAACAGAAGCTTTCGCTTTAGGCGAGCTCAGCATGCCGTTCGACAGATGTGAGCGCTGTTTTGTGGGACGAAGAAATCAGAAAAGAGCCGCGAAAAAGAAGGCTCCAAAATCCTGGGCAGGAATCCGCTCTTTGTTAGGACGAGGCGAGACAACATCCCAGCGCAAACTCGCCCAAGCATCGCTCACCCTCACCTGACCCAACACAGACACTCCGAGGACAGATAGGTCGATTGCAGGGCAAAAAGCGAAGGGCGAAGGCGAAACGACGACATGGAATCGAATCAGATCGTCTATTTGTTGTGCCAGAAGAGGTTCCGCAAGCTGTATCATTCGCAAAGGCAACCCGTGGTCAGCAACGTCTCTCCACCGTTCAACCCTTTTCTTCTCTGCAACGTACCTGTCCCACTTTTCGGCATTGTGGTAGAGATAGTCCATGCTGTTGACCATGCCGCTCTGGATGGTTTCGCGTCGGTACTGGTGGAGGTACATGACGACGCCCCAGGTGATGGTGGCGTAGGCGGCGAACCAAGACTTGTCGGTGGGTCGGGGTTTGCCGGCTGGCCAGTCCTTGGGTGTCTCTGCTCGCGGCAGGAACGATGCGATGATCCTCGACGATGTATACAGCACAATCTATCCACCGGATGGAAGCTGTCAGCAACCCTTCCCTCTTTGTATCACAGCCTGGGAGGTGAGAACGTACCTGTTCGTTAACGGGCGTTCGCTCGCCGAAAACGTAGTAGCCACCGATCAGCCCGGCGACGAGACTGTGCCAGTGCGGAACAGGACCCTTGCCGCCCGTCGCCTCGTAGATGCGTCGCAGCGCGATGGTGAGGAACTTGTAGAGGGGAGTGAACGTCCCCAGGTTGAGCGCGTGCTGCTTGGTCGCGCGGAGGATGAACGTGAGCTTCTCACGAGGTGTACCGCGACCGAAGAGGAAGGTCATCACCAAAGCATGCGGAAAGCGAATCTTGGCACCGTACACAATGCCATTGCGGAAACCCTGTTGTTACGAGAAACGTAAAGAGGATGGTGAGTATCGGAATGGCACGGAGGGTGGGTTGTGGGGCAAACTCACCTTGAGGATGGTGAACAGATCATGGTAGGCTGGGTTGAGCGCAAGCTGCGTCAGGCTCTTCTGGAGGTCCGACATGGTTGCTGTCTATGACTGGGAGCGATTGAGAGCTGGGAGCTGAGCGGCAGGAACGGACCCTCCAAGGTGCTTGTTGCGCGTGTGCAAAGGCGGCAGCGACCAATTATGCAATCTATGATGCTCGAATGTTGCGATGTCAATTGATGACGAGACTTGCGAGTCTTCAAGACGGTTCCGAAGGACCAGATAGGATCGAGAACCGATGAATTAGCCGTGAGTGCTTCGAGCCGGTGTCTTGACCACTGTCGAACGTGAATGTATGCTGATCTGCCTATCGGTGCGAGTGGGTCAGTGAGCGTGTACGACGTTGTCTTCGGTATCGAGCGTGTGATCGTGATCGTGATCGTGATTGTGTTGAGGATCAACCAGATGATTGTCAGTGCGCTTGCCAAAAAGTGCAACCCATCCGGCTACAGATCGACCTTGTTTCTGCCGGGTCACTGACGCACGATGCTCTTGGCTCGGCTAACCACCTTTTTCCCGCTCGGACAATCTGGAGAAATCGAGGCAAAATGCGGAGTTGACTGGCTTCAGAGCGTGAAAAAGGGCGCCTGATCCCGCACGACAGGGGAAGAGACATGCGAACCAGCTCTTGGCTCTTCCGTGGTGCGAATCCTTCTTCCGCTTGTGCCTTCATACGACCCTTTCCCTTCGTGATCAGCTCACACACTATCAGACGATCGACATATTGGAATCAAATCGCATTCTGCTAAAACATGAGACAAGACAAAGTGGCAGCCCGACGGAAGGGTGGGCAGAAGAGAGTCGGCATAGCTAGCACAGCAGCTGCCAACAGCTGCCAAGGAGGCTCTCTTCCACCAACTACCGTGTTTGCGTCAACGCACGGGCTGAGAGCAACAAGAACGCGGGCAAAGCAAAGAAAGTACCGCGACTACACAAAGGACGAAGCCGGGTTACAGACAACAGGTATCGGGAAGCAGCGAACGGATGAAGAGCGAAGAACAAAAAGAGGAGCGGAGGGAAAGAATAGCAAAGGGGAAAGCAGGAACTATTGCGAATCTAGAAGTCGGAGGAAGAAGAGCTTTAACGAGACTGGTTGCCGTGGTCAATCATCTCGTTGTAGCCCACCACCTCCTCCTCGTTGAGCGACGAGCCTGCGACGCTCATGTGACCGCGATGGTTCAGAGGATCCGGCGTGTAGAGCGATCGCGAGCTCTGCACCATGGAAGGCGCGTCCGTCATGACCGAGCCAGCACCCTTACGCAGCGATGCGTAGTGCTTCATGGCCTCGTCCGGCGATGCAAAGTTGGACGGCGGTGCCATGCCCGTCTGCGCCGACACTGCGGGCTGGTGCTGGTAGTGCTGGTGGTTCATGTAGTCATCCTGGCTGCCGTTGGACGCCTTGCGCTCGAGGTGAGCACCGTCGAACATGTCGTGGCCGTCGCTACCCTCGCGACCAGACGACATCATGCTCAGCGCAGGGTAGGCCAGCATCGAGTTGCGCGCGTTGGCGTCGATGCTCTGTCGCATGCGGTCCACGTCGTTGTTACCGAGAAGACGAGGACCGTCGTGCTGATCAGGGCTCATGAGCACCTCGTCGTCGTCCTCAGCGTAGATGGCAGCGTCGGCGAAGCGCGAAGCCCGGTTGGTGTCCTGGCTAGCACGGTAACGAGCATCGACTTGAGGAACGGCAGGCGCATCGGGGTCGTAGTACGAGTCGACGAGTTGCGAACGGCGCGTGTTGCTCTGCTGACCCATCCTGTGGGGTGTAGACGAGGCCGCCTTGCCGTGTGCATCGCTCGAGTTGGCGTAGCTGATGCGCGAGACACGGTCACCACGCGTGGTGTCGGCGAACGAGATGCGAGAGGTGCGGTTGCCTTCCTCGTACATGGACAGACCGCGGGGCATGGCCTCGCGCATCTCAGCCTCGTTGGCGTAGCTTGCGCTGATGTCCTCCATCTGGCGGGGTACACGAGCACCGGCGGCGCCGCGACCAGCAAAGTTTCCGTTGGCATCCATCTCGCGCGATTGACGGGCGATATAGGAGTGTGGCCTCGTGCCCGGGACGGCACCCGCGGAACCGTCACCTCCGGCAGTCCAGTCGACTGAGATCCTGCTCATGCGCTTGTCCATGTTCTCAGCCCAGTCGACGGTCTTGTTGAAGCGCTTGATGTGGAGACGACGAATAACGAGACCCAACACGACAGCGAACACGACGAGAGGACAGACGATGGCGGCGGTCTTACCGGCGGGCGTCAAGTGACCGTTCTCGAGGAAAGCGGTCTTGACCGAGTTGGAGAGCTTTCCGAAGAAGCCTTCCGCCTTGGAAGCACCCTGGCTGGGGACCTCGTAGTTGGCGTTGAAGGTGGGACCCATGGGGTTGGACGAGTCCCAAGGCTCGTTGCCGGAGGGAACAATGTTGAACGAGACGGGGACGGACGAGTTGGTGTTGAGATCACGACCCCACCATCGAGGGTCGAGCTTGGTCTCGTAAAGCTGCTGCGACTTGGGAATGCCCTGGAAGACGTGGATGGGGAGATACTGGTTGGAGATGGAGGGCGAGTAGATGTAGATGTCGATTTTGGAGACCGTGTTGTCGAGACAGGACTGATCCCAACGAATGTCAGTGACGTTGGTGACCAGGACCTCCTGACCACCGCCAGGGCTGACATAGAGACCACCTGCAAGACATTTGGCCGAGTTGTCGATGGTGGAAGCCGACTGGCGTTTGACGACTCGTTGGGTCTTGGGCTGGACGTTGCGGTGCTTGAGTTGTTGCTGGTGGTGCAGCATGTGGCTGCGAGTGTCGAGAGTCATGATGGGCGAGAGTAGAGTGGGTTGCTGGATGGAGAGGTGGACGTCAAGATCGATGTTTGCAAAGTGTAATGAATGAATGTGAGCAAGGGCCGACCTGGGCTGACTGGTGCAAGGACGCGCTGGAACGTGGCGACTGAGATGAAGGGGCTGGGGGTAAGGAGAAGGGGACCGTGAGCTAGTGACGGATCCGAAAGGGGAATGGAGAGGGAGAGGAGTGGGGCGATGATGGTATGTGGGGGGGAAGTGAGAAGGGAACGAGATGATGGAGGCCAGAGTCCAAGACGAGATCGTCGCGGTGCAGATCTTGTGCCAAGGGGAAACGAGCGACGTGCGACCAGCGACAACGACGAAGAGCGAGGGGCAGACAAAGTTTGACACTGTGGCAGGCAGGCAGGCGAAACCAGGATCGACGATGATCTTCAGCCTTTGACAGCGAGAGGCACACCAGCAGTCAGAGATGGGACAAAGGAGGGCGAGGAAGCGTGTGTGTGGTGTCAGCCTCGAACCGCTGCAAGTTCGGCTGGCTCAAAACGAGGAGGAGGGGGGCGAAGGAGGAGAAGAAAGGGCGGCGGAGACGCGCAACACTTGAAACACACACAGAGACACATCAACACAAGCCTTTCGCAGTGAAAATGAGGCACAAGAGCAGTGAAAAAGCGAAATTCAGGGGCAAAGGGCTGTCGACTGCACCAGCACAAGAGCAGTGTTGGCTGACATCGAGCCATCGAAAGGAGCGCGTCAAAGCCGAGCAGCCCCCTTTTTTCAACAGCACTTGAGCAGCCTTTTTTTCGATTGATCGACGACCCGCAGCTCGACCTTGTCTTGGCTGTTCGACTGCAGAGAAACAAGAACGCGCTCGTTCAAGGGCAACACGCAGTCCCAAGCCTCATCTGTCGCCAGCCAGATGCAGACCACGTCAGATGTCAGCGTCGATTGACCTTTGTACCATCAAACAGCACTGGTCGGTTCAGGCTTCGGGAACAACTTGGCCTTCTTCTCTTGGCTGTTCCTTGCATCCGAGCCTCCTGACGAGATTAGCGCCACAGGAGAGCAGCGTCGTTGATTGCTCATGTCGCTCTTCGAGTCAGTCTCTGGAGATCTTTCGTCGGCATACCGCCCTCTGCAGATGAAAGTGGCTCTGCTCGGTGACGACTGCAGTTGGCATTCTAGTCTGAATGTTAGAGTTTTTGTCGTCTACAATACCAAGAAAATTGCGACTTCGGGAGCCGGCGACTTTTTTTCGACCCTGCGCAGCTCTGAGCCAAAAAAATCAGAAGAAAAGCGCAAAATTTGCCTTTCAGAGCTCCACCAACGTTGTCTGCATCCATCAACTGCTCCTCACTCACCTTCTCAGCGGCCAACGGATCACCTTCAAGATGGCAAAGAAGTCAAAGAAAGCAGACCAGTCCAAGGCGCAGGCAGCCGAACCCGTCGCTGCGCCGCCAGCCAACTTTGACTCGGAGCTCGACGCTTTCTTCAAGGCGGCTCCCCCGGCTCCAGCACCTGCTCCTGCTGCTTCGGCGTCGACAAGCAGCGTTGCAGTTAAGGCTGGGCCTTCCAGCTCAAAGAAGCGCAAAGCGGTCGAGCGACCCGTGGAAGAGACAGTCGAGGCGACAGAAGAAGCGCTTCTCGATGATGACGAGGACGACGAAGAGGATGACGAGGATGTAGAGATGGAGGAAGGCGATGGAGACCTGTCCAGCATCGACGAATCTCTCGACGACGAGGGCTCCCTTCTCTACAGCCAGAGCGAAGGCGAGGCCTCTGATGCAGAAGAGGACGAGGAGGACGACTCAGAAGACGAGAACGAGCCCTACGTCCCACCTCAGCACGAATCCGTCACCAAATCCCAACCCACCTCGACCGCCGCAAAGAACCCCAAAAAGACCTTCAAAGAGGCGCCCGAGCCCTCCGAGACGCGAGACCAACGCACGCTCTTCATCGGCAACCTCCCCATCGAAACCGCTCAATCCCGCTCCTTGCAGCGCAAGCTCGTCTCCCTGATCGAGTCGCTCTCTCCCTACCCGATCCTGACCAAGGCGCACGGTCTGCGCTTCCGCTCCGTCGCCTTCTCCGTTCCCACCGTCCACCTCGATGCGGACGACGACCACGACGCTGACAAAAAGAAGGCTAAGAAGGGCAAAACCAAAGAACGATCGCAGAACTATCGCGAGGCGGTCGCCGCTGTCGAGGGCGAGTCCGCCCAAGCCCCGCTCACCGCGCAACAAAAACGCAAGATCGCCTTCATCAACAAAGACTTCCACGAGAAAGCCAAGAGCGTGTCCGCCTACATCACCATCGCTCACCCCTCTGCGGTGCTCGCGCACCTGCACGACATTGCGCCTGCGAAAGCCAAGTCGAAGGGTGCCACGAGTGCCGGGCCTATTGCGCTGGATCCGAGGTTGACGGGCAGCGTGCTGGCCGCGCTCATCGCCGCCTTTGCCGACGGGGCCGACTTCCAGGGTCGTCATCTGCGCGTCGATCTGGTGAAGTCCATCTCGCCGAGCGAAGTGCTGAGTGCAGGATTGGAAAAGGTCAAGTCGTTCGATGGTGTGTTGGTTGGATCGAGCAACAGCGCCGTGGACCCGAAAAGCACACTTTTCGTGGGAGGCCTCGACTTTGAGACGGACGAAGAAGAGGTGCGGGCCTTCTTCGAGGGTTTGCTCGCTGAAGAGATTGGTGCCGCCGGTGACGCGATCACCATCCCGATCACGGGACTGGATGGCAAGCCTGCGCCGTCGTCGCTACTCGAGAGCCTCTCGTCGGAGTTCCCCTTTGTGCCACCGGAGAAGCGATCAACGACCGAATCGGTGACGCGCGCGGCGCAGTTCGTTCGCTCTGTCCGCCTCATCCACGACGCCGCCACGCAGATGGGCAAAGGCTTTGGCTACGTGCGCTTCACCTCGCAGCAGTGCGTCGACGAGGTGATGGCGGTGTACAATGCCGAGCAGGCGTTCCTCGACAGTCGCAAGGGCGTCAAAGGCAGTCTCGGTGCGAGCGCTGCCATCGCTGCGGGAGGCAAGGAGTTCAAGCGTCGTCTCAAACTCGGTGGACGTCCCATTCGCGTCGCTTACTGCAAGAGTCAGACCAAGACCTCCACCCCGCAACGCGGGGGCAAAAAGGGGAACAGGGAGGAGGAGCCAACGACACCGCGCAAATCGCCCTACGAGCGCTCGAGCGGCGCCCCTACACCCAATGGCACTTCGCCACACGTACTCGGGAAGAGGGTTGCAACGAAGATCACACCAGGCAGCCCGACAGCTTCGCGCTCGGCGAACCCGGTCGAGATCGCAAAGAAGGCGGAGCTGTACGCGACACTCAGCAAGGACCAGCGCAAGCAGATGAAGAAGGACGATTCCGACAGGGTCGAGCGCAGGATGGCTAAGAAGAACAAGAAGTTGGGCGGTGCTGCGGCGGGCGCGAAGGTGGATAGGAGTCTCCTGGCGGAGGGCGAGAAGGCGAGGAGCAAGGAGAGGGTCAAGTTGCGACAGCCTGCCGCTGGATCGAAGGGTCCGAAGGGGCCGACTGGCGCGGCGGGTGGGAACAAGAGGTTCAAGAGTGGCCCCGGTGGCCCGCCGAGGAGAGGGCCTCCCAAGGGCAAGTGATCAGTGACTGTTTCAAATGGCAATGCATTCATGACGATCTTTTCAATCCACAACTGGCCTGTCTTTCATGTCATTGGTTCAAGAGTCGTGGAATGCAAATGTGATTTGTGACAATGCCAGACATGCAGATGAAGGTGTTTCATTTCGGTGAATTGATCTGTCAAACGCCCCGCGCTGTCGATCTACGCCTTGCCTTTCTCCTCCTTCTCCTCCTGCTCGAGAGCCTGTCTTTGAAGCGCCTGACTGATCTTGCTCCTGGCGCGAATCTGTTTCCCGTAGAAGAACAGTACGAAGGGCACGACGCCCAGCACTGCTCCCAACAACGCCGAGAGCGTGCTCGCCCACTGATATCCGAGATTTCTATAGAGCTTTTCGACGAACAGCGGGAAGATGAACCCAAAGATGTTCCTTGCGAAGCTCTGCGCTGCCAACGCCGATGACGCATACACTAGGTATGCATCAGCAAGATAGTTAAACACAGCGAGGTAGAGAAAAAAAATCGAGACCATCGTAGTGAGGACGCCAACGATGGGACCAGCCATGGAGACGTTGGGGAAGCTGGTCCAGGCATAGATGAAGCAGCCGACAGGGAAGCCGACGGCGCCGATCATAGCAAAGTACAATCGCGCCTCGGGGCCGCGTGTGGGGAAGTTCTTGCGGTACAAGCGCTCCTGGATGGGGTTCAGGAGATTGCCGATGATACCAGCCCCAGCGATGGCGAGGAAGACCAAGCCGGTCTCTCCGGGAGTGTAGTTGTGTTGAGCGGTGATGAGTCCAATCGAGCTGAGAAGCATGTACATGAAGCCCCAGGTGAAGGAGATCCATAGGCTGAAGAAGGTGACGATTGGCTCCTTGACGAGGAACACCAATGGTCTCGTTAGCGAATTGCTGATCAGAACGCTTATACTCGCACGCTCGAGTTCGGCTCTTGCCTTGTATCGCGAATCGCCCGTGGTCTTACGCAGTTTCGCCGCGCGCCGTGTGAGAATGATGCTTCCCCTCGTCTCTCGCAGAAACAGCAGCAGAAGAATCAGGATGAACCCGGTATAGATCGCCTGAATGTGCTGAATCCAGCGCCACCCCAGTCTCTGATTCTGCTCAACCCAACCGGCCCAAACAGGCCCAATGCCCGTACCGAAGATCGCTGCCGTTGCGAACAAGGCCATCGGTTGCCCGCGCTCGCTGCTGTTCCAAATATCGGCGATGGTGCCGCCGACCATGGTGGAGCCGGTGCTGCCCATGCCGCCCTGAAGGAAGCGCAGGATGATGACTGTGGCGGTGTTGTTCGCGAAGCCTAACCCGACGAAGAGGACGGTGTAGCACAGGTGGCACACCAGGTACATCGGATTTCGCCCAAACACCTCGGATAGTGGCGCCAGGACGAGAGGCGGCAATGCAAATCCTAGCGGGTAGATGGCGATGCCGAGAAGCGACAGCTCGTGGTCGGTGATTCCCAGATCGCGCTCCATCGACGGAATGCCAGGGACATAGGCGGATGCGGTCGCCGCCACTTCGGCGGTGAACAGCACGCCGAGGATGGTGATGCACCACTTGCGCGTCTTGCTGAAGTTGAACGGATTCTCCGGGTCGCCCGGCGGGAAGTCGACCCAGATCACATCGTCGTCGGCTGACGCTTTGAGTGTTGATGGATCCGCCTGAGGCACCTTTTCGAGATCGCGCTCCGCGGCGGAGGAGTCGATGGTGGTGACCTGTTCCGACGCTGCGGGCGTCAGTTCGGCCGGGATGCATGCTGAATCGGATGTCGGCTTGATGTGGTCATCGTGCCGTGGTGGAGAAACGTCAAGAACAGTGCTACGAGAGAGATGCTGGGATGAAACAGAGTCGGTGCGCGTCCGTGACGAAGACGCTTCGCCCGTCATGGTGTTGGGTGTGCTATAGCCTGCAGAGTCTTGGGGGTGTGAGGCATACGAGCTCATGTTGCGCGCTGGAGTAGACGAAGAGATGTATCCATGGATGGGTATATATTGTCGAGCTCGTCCTTCTGCAGAGCCTCTCCTTGTTCGAGTGTCGAAGAGGGTGATGGTGGTAGATGGTGAGGAGAGCTACGTGCGCTTCTTGCCGAATGTACAGGGTGGATAAATAAATCTTGCCTCGGGGAAAAGGCCGGAGAGTTCTGCGCCCTGACTCACTGTGCCGCCTGCATTTGCGTATTTCCGACTGAAAAAAGCGGAATCGGTTAGCGACGGATTTGCAAGCCAAGACTGCCGGCGGACGGCTGTGACTCTGACACAAAGCGGACTCGACATCGACGTCGACATCGACATCGACAATGAGCAGTGCAGCTCGCTAGTGAACCGCGCATAACCAAGGGTCGACTTGTCCTCCTTTCTTCTCACCCTATTGTGTGCAAGACCCATCGAAATCGGTTAAACTTTGAATTTCCACGGCGGCCGCTCATCAGATTAGGTTTTTAATCTATCGAGTCAGCGCCTATCTGACTCGAGACTTTGACTCGTATCTCGTCATGGTGGGGACGACAAGGTGTTTCTGGAAGCAAGACTCGGCTTCATTCCGCGGTCATTAACAAGACATTGTGGACGGAAAGACCCAGCGGGAAGGCTTGGTGGGAGGACGCCAAGATGGGTTCCGGCGTCCGCAAGAAGCCGTAGTCGCCGGACGGGTCAATCCTCGCGGCAATGCATTCGAGCTTCCCTAGCTAGTAGGCATTCATAGACGCAATAGACGAAGCGGTCTTCATCTGCGGGGGTTTAGCTCAGTTGGTAGAGCGTTCGCTTAGCACTTTGTCTAATTTGCGAAAGGTCGCGTGTTCGACTCATGCAGTCTCCATCCTCTTCTTTTTTTGCTCTTCTCATTCCGGACCTTTGTGGCTCTTGTGCTGTATGTACCATTCACACACGCAGAAGGGGAGCACGCTCGAACAGGAAGTGATGCTAATGCTGCATTCATGCGTGCTGGGCATTCACTTGCGTGACTGGGCGGAATGCAATCGATCCGCGCGCTTCTCAAACGCATCGATCATCTGAGCGCTCATCTGCTCGAACACGTTCCCTGCCACCGCGCCGTACACTGGGTTCCGAAATGCATACACCAGGCTGAACCCCACCAGCGTCCTTCCGCCTTCCAAGGGCTCGAAGGTCCACGTTGTGGAGAGGAACGAAAACACCGGATTGGGCTGGACCGCCTCGGCCACGACGCTGCTGCTTTTCTTCCCCTCGTGGAGCGAGACTTGGGACGTGTAGGTTTCCGAGAAGCGACCAAAGCCGACAGTGAGGTCTGCGAGAACGGCTGGTTGAGGTGCAGGAGGCGGGGCCGGCCCAAGGACGCGCGAGTCTTGACAGTACGGCACAAATTGCTTGTACGACTCCACGTCAGCGACTACGTCGAAGAGTGTTTGGGCCGGGTGCGCGAGGATCTTGGACGTCTCGTAGATTGTTCGGCCTTGCGCATCCCGGTACGAGCGAGAGTCGGCGTCTTTGCTGGTCCCGGGCGCAGCGGAGGAGAGGGCGCTAGATGCCAGCTTGCCTAGGTCGGGCAGTCCGAAGAGAGTGCGCCTCGACAGCTGCAGCGCTTTTTCAGAAGCCGTTGTTGAGAGACGAGGTCGCGAAGAATAGGTCCTTGACTGCCCCAAGGGCACTCCAGCAGCAGTGTGCCCCGCAGCGTACGACGAGGACGGTCGGGAAGCACCCTGCAATGGCTGCTGGTAGTTGGACGGCCACGGTCTCGCAGCACCTGATCCACTCTCCCCTTTCACGCTGGCGTTGAGCGAAGCCTCGTCCTTCCATCCAGCCAGCTTTCGAATGCCGTAGACGTCCACCGGACCAAACACTTCCTGGTCTTCAATGGCGGCGCAGACCGCCTTGGCGACGGTATCGACGTGCAGTGGCGGAGTGGTGAGCAGACGCGACACGGACTGCGAGGAACTGCTGCCGGCTCCGAGTCGGGCGATCAATTGAGCGGGAGTCGGGATGGGAAGCGGAAGAGGTGGAGAGCGGTGCAGCGCTGCTGATGCCTCCAAGATGGCAGCTGGCAGCGTAGAGCCTGGTCGAGTGTGTGGGTGGTACATGAGACCGGGGCGCAGGAAGACCGGACGCACGTAGCCGTGTGATGCGTTTGAGTCGGTATGTGACTGGTCGGGATCCAGGGGTGACGACGATTCAGCGGCTGCCTCGTCCCGGAGTTCGGCTTCCAAGCCTGCTCCGTCCGAGTCTAAGATGGTCGCTCGGGGGGTGTCCTGGGATGAAGCGCGCGGTCGAGGAGCATGGTGATGCGCAGCAAGGCGAGCGATCGCCGACTCAGCCTGACGCTTCGTGCGAATGTACCTGGCATCGACCACTGGTCGGAAGAGGTCCTCGGCCGAGATGTAGATGAAGGGTGCCGGTGAGGCCAGCGACGCCGACGCTGACGTCCCTGCTGAATGCAGTGATCGGTGTCGTAAGGAGGACAGGAAAGTATGAGCGACGGCAACGGCGCTGTCTCTGTTCATATGTTCGTAGCTGAAGCGGCCTTTGCCGCGAGAAGATGAGGCAGCTGCCTGTACTTGGTTCCCATCTGCGTACTTGGCATCCTGAAGCGGATTTGAGTCTCCCCCTGATCGACCGACGTTCCATCCCCAACCTTTGGCGACGCCAGCGATCGCATTGCGAATCGGTGAGGCTGAAGATGATTTCGACTTGTAGTCCGACTCGAGTAAGATACCGACCGTATGCACAGCAGCTGTAGCACGATCAGCTAGATGAGCATACGATGCGGGGTCGAGCGCATCAGCAGCATGCCATTCGATGTTGGGATTTGATGACCATGCTGGACGGTGACCCGCGGGAGTGTGGTAGGGCGTTCCGGAGGGCGAGATGGACAGAACACGCCAGCCTTTGGCGAGAGCCGCTTTGGAGATGGCGCTACCGAGGAAGCCTGCACCTCCCACCACGAGGAGCGTGTGCTGCTGCATCCCTTTCCGGTAAGATCTGTGATGAGGGTGATGATGGTGAGGACCGAAACAGCGAGGAGAAGAAGGAACAGCTCTGTAAAAATGTGGAGCGCGAGGCACCTTGCTGTATCAGCATTATGTAACAATCCGACACGGCTCTGCACCCTTAGCCAAGCACACAAGCGAAGACTGATTCAGTGCCCTTGCTCGTCTAATATGGCAGACCCTGCAGGCTGCAAGCGCTTTCGGGATTCGCTGCCAGCCCAAGCTATAGTCCCAGTATGTGAGCTTGGTCTTGCCCGGTCTGACTGCCTACAGGAGACCAGCACTCTGCTGTTGTGGTCCTCAGGAACAAGAGGGTTCTACGGAAGCGCATCAAGCTGATATACGAGCGAAGACGATGCCGCCGAGGTTGGAGTGGGCTGCGCGACGAAAGTAGAACCTCGCTTCAGCTTCGCTTCGAGAAAGGGCTGCAGTGGACCATCGATCCCCATGCACAGCTGACATGCCATGTGCATTCGTTCATTCCTGTCCTCACTCTGCCCGCTGCGACCCTTCTTCCTCCGTCCCAATTAATGTAGGCCGTCAAACGGTCACTCAGCATGATGCGGACGCGATGGCCCATATGAGGCCTGATCTGTACGATTGACGAGAAAAGGACCGAGAGAGAGAGAGAGAGAAGTGCGAGCAGGAGGCGTCGTCGCATGAGAGATGGTGTACGTCACCGCCAGCTCGCGAGAAAAGAGGTCGTGTTGCGCGGAGTTTTCGAGTTTTGTTTGGACGCCGCGCTTCGATGCACCTGTCCAACGCCAAAATGACAGCAGCAAAGACAGCGGCTGGCGAGCGGATTCCGGCGTCTGAGCCGTTGTGTCTTGCTGTCCGCAAGCCTCGTCGGCGGTGAGGATGGAGGCCCGCCTGCTGGCCCCTGTACCTCTCTTGTGCTACCTCCTCCATCTTCCCGCTTTTTTGCTCGTCAACGAACGCCCTTAGCCGAGCTCCTCGAATCCTCCTAACAACCCTCTCGCTTTTCCTGCGATCCTCGTCGGCTCTTGTTCTCCTTGTTGACCGCATCAAGACGGACCTCGTGTCGAGCCGTACAGAAGTGTTCCGCGCTCTCGACGCCTCTCGACCATTCGGCAATCCAAGTTCCATCGTTGTTCGGAAACCGCATCGCTTCGGAGCGCTCTGGCACATGCATCGTACACCGTTCGCCTGACCCTCTTCACCGCTTCCAGCGTGACACCCTGCCTTCCCTTCTGCCATCATAGACCCGATTGGAGGCAAGACAGCGATGCCTTCTTCCGCTCGTCCATCATCTAGATCGCCTCCCTCCTCGCAACCAGCTGCCACCTCGCAAAAGTCTCCCCTCCGTTCCTCGCCGGATCCCCTCTCCTACCAGTCGCACGGCTCGACACCACCGTCTTCCGTCTCGCACTCCCGGGTTGCGAACGGCAAATCTCGAGCATTGACACGGCAGCCCCCCGCCGACTCGGAGCAGGACTCGACGTCGCTCGACGATTTCTACGACGACGACGACGAGCAGGACTACTACCAAGGCGAGCGAGACGGCGACGCACGTCGGCCGTTCCTGCAGCAACGAAGCAGCACCTCGTCGAGTCTGCGCAAGAGCCGTCCCAACACCAAACGGTCCAATTCGATCAAGATGAAGCGCTCCAATTCGCATAGACTCGCAGATCAGTACAAGGACGACGAGGCGACGGCCAAGGCGAATGGCAACGACGGCAATCGCGCCGCTTCGCCGAGCAGCTCGAGTCCGCGCGGCACCTCGTCGAGTGGCGGCGGAGAAGTCTCGCGCGGTCCCAAGGATGTCACGTTCGACGACATCTTTGATCCGACCAAGACGCTGCGCGAGAACAAGTCGATGATGATCTCGGCGGAGCTCGACCGCATGGGCATGGGCAAGTATCAGATCTGCATCTGGGTGCTGTGCGGATGCGGGTACTTTATCGACCTGCTGTGGGCGCAGGCATTGGGTTTGATCGTAACGCAGGTGGCATACGAATTCAATGTCGAGGGCAATACCGGTGTGCTCTCGACTGCCTTCAACACGGGCCTGACGGTGGGCGCCTTCTTCTTTGGCTTTGCCGTCGATGTGGTGGGCAGAAGATGGAGTTTCTACCTCACCACCTTTATAGCCTCGGTGTTCGGTATTGCCAGCGGCGGCGCACGCAGCTTCGATATGCTGTGTGTTCTTTCGGCACTTATTGGCTTCGGTATCGGCGGCAATATCCCCATCGACGCTACGATCACGCTCGAGTTTTTGCCCACAAACCGCCGCTTCCTGGTCGCCGCGCTGTCCATCTTCCAGCCCATCGGCGTGCTAGTGTGTTCAGGCATCGCCTATGGCCTCATTCCGAAATACGCCTGCGAATCGGCAGATCCATGCCCTCGATCGAGCAACATGGGGTGGCGCTACACGCTATACACGCTAGGCTGCATCACTTGGCTGATTTTCGTGGCTCGGTTTTTCGTATTTTCATTCCGAGAGTCGCCGCAGTACCTGCTCGCGCGAGGAAACGACGCCAAGGCGCTCAAGATCATCCAGCAGATCCTGCACACCAACAAGAGCAAGCTGGAGCCTCTGTTCACGCAGGACGACTTCCGGGAGGCAGCGAGGCGGATCGCCGAGCACGAAGGCAGGGCGTATAATGCCGAGGAGGAGGAAGAGCAGGAGGGCCTGCATGCCGGCGGTCGCAAGACGTCGCGATGGGAATCGTCCAAGAAGTCGGCCAAGGAGATGGCGTCGCTCTTCCTCAACGCCAAGACACTGTTCCGAAACAGAACAATGTCCAGAGTGACGACAATCATCTGGGTGACGTTCATTGCCGACTTTTGGGGCTTCACCTTGGCCGGCTTCTACTTGCCGCAGATCCTCCGCCTCAAAGGAGCGCAATTGGACGAGTCGATCGAGACAACCTATCGAAACTATATTCTGGTCTACTTCCCTGGCATCTTTGCGGTCGCTTTCGGTGCCGCCATGATCGAAGTACCCAAACTGGGCAGGCAATGGGCGATGGTGGCGTCGTCGGCCTTGATGGCCGTCTCCTTCTTCTTGTTCACTGTCGTGAACTCGCAAGCTGGATCAATCGGCTTCAATGCGATGGAGTACTTCTTCCAGTCCTTCTTCAACTCGATCCTCTACGCCTTCGTACCAGAAATCTACCCATCGGAGGTGAGAGGGACAGCGTCAGGACTAGCATCGACGCTGGGTCGTTTGTCGAGTATCGTGGCTCCCCTGGCCGCGGATCCGCTGTTCAGAGACCAGACCGAGCTGCAGGCGAAACACGTTCTGTACCTAGCAGGCAGCATCACGTTGATCTGCCCGGTTGCGTTGGCCTTCTTGCCATACGATACGAGAGGGATGAGGGTATACTGAAGATCGATGCTTCCCTCGGCACAAAATCCCGACGATTACGATTATTGCATTGCTCCAATCCATACACGAATAGCATACTCGGATACTAGTACATCTCCTGTGCCTCCCGGAACGTCGCTTGTGTGATGTTGTGAGCCAAGAAAGGCCTGAACAGGTCGAGGAAGATCGAGGGGGAGGAGAAGGGGGTCATGGATCCCAAGTGAGCGGACATTGTGGCGCGTATTATGCAGGGTCCTTCTTCTGCAGGGCTCCGCAGCGGCGAACAATGCCGAGATGCTGATGAAATTTACCGAAGAGGCCCAAGCTCGTGCGTTCGGACAAGCCGTCAATGTGATCATGTGAGCAGTCAGCGTGAGAAGATCGATCGGATGGAATCCGTTCATGTGAGCGAGTTGGTTGGGCCGATGACGAGCGTAGGAAGGGACTCAACCAGCCTGTCGGATGACAGCCTTAAGCACGGACAAAGGACCGATGGCCTGGTGTGAGTTGCGTGCACCGTCGAGACGCCCGACTTTCTGTGCTTGCCCGATCCAAGGGTGCTCGCAGCTCAGTAGACACACGGGGAACCACAGCGGCTGCTTCGGATCGTCCGCCGGGGCGGTGCATGCCGATCTGAGGGCGTCGTTCAGTTGGACCTCGACTGGTCAGCTGGACGCTTGCGGTGGTCACTGCTCGCAAAGAGAGCTGCCGTTGCAAGACCATCATGCACCATCTCATTTGACCTGTTCAGCGACCTCTACGCAAGTCGGCTGAGCGGGAAGCATGGCTTCGTTTTGATCAGACTTGCATCTCGCTAACGGCTTCGTACCTACGGCTAGGCTGTCATCGAAGCGCAGAAGCATGATAGGCTCTTTCCAGGAAAATGGCAGGAAGGCCAACGTGGCCGGTCGAGCGAGGAGGTGCCAAAAGACGGGCGCGATTGAACCAGGCCAGGCGTGACCCATCCCATCGGGCTTCGCGATCGACTGTTGTCGGTTCTGTCACGCTTAACTGACAGACAGACATGTCATGTCACTGGACTTTCAACAGTGGGAGAAAGACTCGGTCTACTCGAACGTCGAGTTGAGCCGACCAAACCAAATGCGGTGCCACAATTAGATGGAAGCAAAGTGTCGCGGGATGCACCGGCAATCCCAATTAGGATCAACATGCATGGCAAGCCGCTGCTTGGAGAATGCTCCGCCGATCTCAGACCATGGCATTGCTTGGCACGCTATGCTTGCCGGTTGGTTCGAGTGCGGAGTCGATGTTCCAGGGCGTTGGCATCGACCCAAAGTTTGACACATATTTGTTCTGGGCAAGGAGCCAAAATTCGAGTCAGGGGCAGGCTCGGTGCCTGACTGCTGCGGCTCAATTCTGAGCAAAGTCTCAGCAGGAAACATGACATTGCAAATTCAGACAGAGCCATTGATCGAATGCGGATGCATGCCATCCTGCCATGACTGAGCAAAGGACGGACATCTGCTAGACGTCTTGGGCAAGCATCCTGGCCGGAATCGACCCAACGGCAAGCACAATTGATAAGCGCCCGCCGAAGGCAGATGGGGAAGCAGAAGAGCGCCTTGGCGCGTGGGAGGGGCCGATTTGACATGCCGCTTGACTGCTCGCTTGGACGATCCTGTCGATTCATGCATTGGCCGCACGACGCGCTGTCACCCTAAGCAAGACAGGCGGAGTGCCGGATGTGCCGGATGTGCCAGATGGATGGGTGATTGAATGAGAGCGGCAGTCGACTCTCAGAAGCACCACGCGGCTGTGGGCCACAAAGAGAGATTCACGGCGAAAGCCTGTGTCTCGGTGGGGGAGCCAAGCCTTTTCGATTCCCAATTCGGTCTGAAGCCAGACAGCAAAAGGGCGTAAAAATGTTCGGAGTTGCAATAAATGCGCGCAGCGGCTCTCTTGATCAAGCAAAACGACGCGGGCTCAGGAACACCGGCAGCAGGCTGGCGGTACCAAAAATACGACTCCGTGATTTATGCCAAAGGGTGGTCTCACATGAGGAGGAGGAAAATCAGATCACAGCAGGGACAGAGCAGACAGGGTGCAGTACCATCGTATGGTCATTGTGGCTTTTTGCTCGTGCGGCTCCCGTTGTGAGCGCGGGAGAAGAGAATTCAAGGTCAGCTCTCGCCTCTCTTCTTGGAATTCATGCCGATCTCACGTTTCTCTCCTTCTCCTTTTGGCCTCTGGTCCTCCTCTGCCTTCTGGCTCCGTCGAGTTTTGCATCGGGGTGAAACTTGCCAAAGTCATCTTTCGATCCATTCATTCGGAATCCTGACTCAGTCAGTCCGACACACACATGGCAGCGTGAGTGTGAGTGACTGTTTGGGTGGTGATTTGGTGCGTGTGATTGTTTTAGCTCGGTTCCTGAGCCCTCTTTGGCCCTCTTTTGTTCTTCGTGCTCTCGCTCTCGGCGCTCGTCCCTGTCCGCTTGTGATCTCTGCGCCTCGCACCCACCGAGACGATCTTCTAGTCCCTCTGTAGGTGTGTGTATGCTCGACCCAATCTCAAGCTGTTCTTGTCTCTGCGGGCCCGTGTCCCACTTTAGGTGTGGTATTTTATCATTGAGTGGGACAAATTCTTATTTGTTTTGTTTTCAGCTGTGCGTGTGCTTGGTTCCTGATCCGCCCACCTGTTTCCGTCTTGTCATGCGCCCACGCCCGCTCACTGGTCAACCGTTCCTGTCCCTGTCCGAGTGCTCACTCAGTCCATGGCTTGGCTGCAATTTAGAACTGCGGGCTGCGCTCGAAATCCATTCTCCCTCTAGGCCCCTTCCTCTCACCCTTCCCTGCCGAAGACCAACTCCTCCTCCTCCTCCCTCTTGCCTCATCTGCAGGCAGGTGGACACTGCCTGCTCCATCCTCCATCCTCGAAGGGTTCGTTGTTCCTTATCGCCACTTTGACCCCCTCTTCACCTCATCCACCACCATCTATTCACCACTGCGCATCACTTGATCACCGACAAACTGCTTTCCCGACGTTGCTATTGCACCTTCGACCTCGATATCTAGACACATCCATCCTCCGATAGAAGATGGCATCGGCGCCAACAACAGCTCCCTATCCGACCTCCCATTTGCTTCCCGACCTGTCGAAAGCCTACATCGGCGCCGCACTCGATCCTCGCACCATCGCGGCCATCTCCTCCTCGTCCAACTCTTCCGGATCGGCCAATTCGCGGCCCAGAGCGGATCCCTCCAACATGACGTCCTCTGCGTCCTCGTCCTCGCAACCTTACCGAGACGCTTACAAGGAGTACAACAAGTTCTCATCAGCGTACAGCAAGCGCGTCGGAACCGCGTCTACAGCCAACAACTCGCGCACCGCCTTGATATCTGGTAACAATGCACAAGCACGCATGCCATCTTACGCCGGCGCATCACCACAACGCACCGTCGGGCAGGTGCAGAGTCGCGTCTATGGTCTCACACCAGATCTGCGCGACCCCACCTCTTCCACCGCCAACTCTCCAGCCGTCGATGATGCCACCCACATGGCGCGCCTGCTCAACGACCAAAAACCCAACTTCAGTGTCGAAGTGTTCGCCTCGGACTTCGATCACCGTGGCTACCCCGTCATCGCCGGTCGTGGCGCCACTGTGCGCGGTGTAGTTCGAATGTCCGCCGCAACCGGCTGCGACGTCAAGATGACCATCTCGGCGCACACCACCTCGGGCGCACCCGCAGCAACATGGCAAGGCATCGCCTTGGCGCCTTTCTCTGCCAGCGGCGAGAAAGCCGTCTTCGAGATCGAGGACCATCTCGTGGCCAATCACGACCTCGCCCGCCCACGTTCGACCTATGCGCCCAAGAACGAGGACACGTTGGAGGCTGCACAGGTGTCGGACGACGACATGGTGCTGCCCATTCCCTTCTCGGTGCAATTGCCATTGGGCAAGGCGACACGCTTCATCGATGGCGAAATGCAGGCCGTACCTGTAGCGCTTCCTCCCAGTTTCGAGATCAGTTCCAAGCATGCAGCACAGGAAAGGAGAGAAGTTCGATTGGCCACCAAGGGCAAGGCGAAGCTGCCTGCGGCCAAGGAGCTCCTCGAAAAGGGCTTCGAGAAAGTTTACCGCATCGGGTGCTACTATCAAGTCACATGGACGCTCCTCCGTCCCAACAACGACAAGTCGAAAAAGTCGTCCAGCAAGTCGGCAAAGGAGCCTGTCGAGGGAGACTCGCTCACTTTGCCTTTCATCTTCCTTGGCGAGCCTACCTCGATCCCGCCACACCCTCCCACATTGCCATCTATCATCAGCCCGGATGTCTTTCTGGACCAGAACACAACATTGGGCGATCAGTGGACCGTGCACCGATCGCAGGCCAAGTGGTCCGGCTCGCTGCTAAAAGCGCCCAAGAAGACGGTCGACCTGGAACTTCACCTGCCCAACCCGCCTGTACTGCAAGCGCCCTCGGTCCTGCCCGTCATGATCGTGCTTCGTCCCACCGACCCAACGTTGCTGTCGCAGGTGCGCACACGAGCGCCCAGCGAGACCTCAACCGCACCAGGATCGCCTGCCGTCGGACACGTCGATGATCCGATGGAGACGCTCTCCTCGCCCGATCTGTCCGTAGTAGGCTCGCCAATGACTGCCTCGTCGCCGCCTTCAAAGGAGCGCGATATCGACTCGGACTCCATCACCACCACACGCAGCATCATGTCGAGATTCCTCAAATCTTCTCAGAGCTCGAGTCGACTGTCCGGATCCACCGCGCGCAAGGGCCCTTCGAGCATCTTCAGCGGTCGACGCCCGAACACGGCACCCAGCTCCCACGGCAGTGGAGAGACGAGCGTCTCCAACGCCTTGACCGACCGCACGTTTGTAGCTGGGGGCGCTCTGCCCAACTTGGTCAGTCTCGTGTGTCTGTCGCTGATCCAGACCACGTTCAGCAGCAACGACAACATCAACGATGCGCCCGAGCATCGCAGGAAGCTGCTCTCCGTGGCGGACCTGGAGGAGGTGGACGTGCACGGATTGCTTCTCAGCTCCGATGGCTCCGGCTCCGGCAGTCAGGCTGGATCTCGACCTGGCTCGAGTCGATCGCCCGAGCAGATGGCGCACATCAACGAAGCGGCTGCAGCAGCCAAAGCGGCAGGCGTTCGTGTCTTGGTGGGCTCGCTCAAGGTGGCAGGCACCACTCCTCCCGGCTTCCGTTGCCATGGTCTCGAGGTCAAGTACGCACTCAAGGTGGATCTGCTCCCCGCAAACCGATCCGGTGGCAGCGAGGGAGTCGAAAAGGCGATGCGCGGTCTGGGACTGCACAACCGCAGCCGCAATTGGTCGGACGGGGTCAGCACGACGGCGTCGATGCACACGCAGACGCAGTTCACGTCGATCTCCAATGACGGCCTCAGTCCGCCTCCGACGCCGCCCAACGTCGCGACATCGTTGTTTGGCGAGCGTGGTCCCGCGAATCGAGCGCTCTCGCGGACCACGGGCAGCCGCAACACCTCGCCCTTGAGCGGCAATGGCGCTTACCCCAACGCGCAGACTATCGGCCTGGCCGTCTCGACCGCAGACGAGAGCGCTCTTCCTGCGGAACAGCCGGCTGCGGCGGAAGGCGAGGTGCGTGCGCCGGTCGCACCCTACCCCACCAACACCGCTTCGCCGCCCATGCCGACGCGTCAGCTGCTCGGCAAAACCGCACCGTCGATGTACGGATCCGCGGCGTCAACGCGCAGCGGATGGGGCGGCAGCGGCCAGTCGGTGTCGGACGCTTCTGGGTTCCAGAGCAGCATCTACATGTCCGAATGGGGCAGGGACCGCAAGACCGTTTCCAAGATCAACAAGACCATCGGCGAGATGTGGCTCGATATCAGGGTGGTGCGCGGCTACAATGCGTACTGAGCATCAACCCTGAAGGAGCTTCTGGCTCAATCCTTCGAGACAGGCTTCACATGACGGCCGGTGATGTTTTCTTCAGCTTCATCAGCTACCCTTTTTGTCACCGTTTACAAGTAGGCTCTTTGCCATGTGTTACGTTTAATACACTAATCTGATACTGTCACGAACGTAATTGAAGTGCGAAAGGCTCGACTGCATCGCACCTGAACGAGACGCGAGAAGTATGTCTGTGCGGATGTATCTGGCTGAAGGGGATGAGTGCGGAGTCGAGCTGTCGAGTTGCGTCAGAGGCTACTGCAGGCACGCGCACAGACGCTGCACCCTGATGCACAATTTCAGGGTCTCGACTGAGCCATTTCGACATGTCGAGCGACTCCGCCACCTGCCTCTCCTCTTCACCAACACAGCAGCCTGGCCGCCCCCAAGACACCGGCGAAGCCCCACGACACCATCATCCACTTCAGCGTGAGGACTGAGTCTCATCCAAGATTGGCCATCCTCGACGACGGCTCACAGAGGCCCACCGAGCAGCACTCAAGATGCCTCTCAACCCGCTAGACCTGCCGCTCCCGCTGGTGGTGGACAACCTGCTGCCCCTCCTGCCCAATCGGGACTTAGCCACGCTCCGCTCTGTCTCGCGGCACGCCAAGACGCTGGTCGAAGACGAAGTGTTGTGGCGCCGCAAGGTGCTTTCGGACTTCACATTCCCTCCTCACGCCTCAGCGCGCATGGGGGGCTGGTTCAACCTCTACTGCGGTCTCTCTAGTCCGCGGGTGTACGTGTGGGGGCAGTTGGACAACGGGCGGCTCGGCCTCGCTCAGCTACCCGCTCCGGTGAGGGAGGATGCAAGAGGCAGCGGTGGTGGCGTGCCCTACCCTGTCGAGCTCGAAAGTGTCGGTGCAAGCAGGATGTTGCACGGTGGTCAGGGGAGTGATGGGGAAGACAGAGTGGGGGCGGTGGTCGAGATCGTTGCGGGCGGATGGGGGTTTCATGCGCGAACGTCGACAGGGAGGGTGTGGTTCTGGGGCACCATGGACGGCGAGACGTTCGCAGGACCAGTGACGCCCATGAGGGACCCGGGGAAGATTGTACCTCACCCACAGCTGTTGGATGCCTTGCCACCCATCGCGGCTCTCTCGGGTGGACGATGTCATGCTGTAGCCCTGACAACCGAGAACAAGATCTTAGAGTGGAGGAGCTGGGGCACAGTGTGGGAGCATCAAGGCCTGGACGTGGCCGGAGAAGTGACGCAGCTCGAAGCAGGCTGGTCCTTCACCGCTCTCCTCACCCACGACGGGGCGGTATGGGTATGGTACAGCGACTGGAGCGCCGATGCCTTCACCCGCACCTACTACGCGGGCAACCCCAGAGCGGCAATGATGCACGCCGAGCCGGTCGGTCACGAGGGCCGCACGGTCTTCACCGTCGATGTGACGCCCGTCCAACTGCCACCCCTCACTCCTCCAACAGACGCAGATGTGCAGGACAGAATCATCCAGATTGCGGCCGGAGAAGACTTCCTCATCGCCCTCACCGCAACCGGCCAATTGTATCGCATGGACCTGCACCTACCACCACCCACCTCGGAAGACCATCTTCTCAGGCGACGCATTCTGGAGGCGCGCGACGATCCGGACGATCGCGACCTCGATGCCCGAGTACACGCCGCACTCATGGGTCGATATCTGCGCACGCGCGCCACCTGGGAGCGTCTGTCCGCATTCGAAGACCCCACATCTTCACCGGCCTTCGATCCAGCGTGGCTGTACGCCCCTGGCGCAGACGGAAAGTCGACCGTGGGCAAAGTCTCGCACATCTCTGCGCACTTTCGGCGGTTTGTCGCGTTTCTGCCCACCCACACTCCGGGCGCAGATGGGGAAGCGGGGACGCTGGTTCTGCTCGGCACGCCGTCGGGGAAGGAGCCCGAGCTGATACCCGAACTGCAGTGTAGGGGCGTGATCAAGGTCACTATGGGCGACTACCACTATGGCGCGCTAACGGAGAGGGGGGAGATTCTGACCTGGGGAGCGTTTAGCAAGGGGGCGTTGGGGAATTGGGCTCCTCCCTGGGCGCCCGTGGCGAACGAGAGCAGGCCGTACGACCCTGGCAACGTGGAGGAGCAGGGGGACGAAGGCGAGCGCGGGTGGCTGGACAACCTCATCCCGCTGCCGCGCATTTTTAGAGGACCGATGCAGCCCAGGATTGGGTTCGCGGGGAGAGGAAGGGTGCAGCGATCATCAGCGGGAAGAGGGCAGGTGAGGGAGGGACAGAGTCAGGCGGATGTTGCTACGCCAACTGTGGTCAACGTTCACCCACAGGGACAGGGGAAGGGCACACCGTTCGCTTTCGACATCGCGTTTGCTGGTTGGCATAGCAGCGCCCTCGTCATGGACGCTCCCGTCGCATCGGCTGAGGGTGAGTAGGGATGCAATCTTAGACAAGGCCACAAGCACGGACGAGGAGGTGTTTCAGAGGGGTGTATGTGTGTGTGATTTCGGTTGTTGCAAAGAACATCAATGAGATTCGAGATGTGTGGTATCTAGAGCGATAAGCTAAGCAAGCTGCGTGACCGTCGTCGAGCCCCTTCCCTGTCCAGGCGGGAGCGTCGGCTCGGTCGAACATCGCACATGCACCTTGTCCTGCGTCTGACTAGCCGTGACGACGGGATTGGTGCGCGTGAGGAGCTTATCGTAGAAGCCTGCGCCGGGATGCTCGCTCGTCGGCGTGGTGGTGGCGGTGTTGACGGTCGACGAGGCGGTGCTGTCGGTGTGCGCGGTTGACGAGCTGGGCGTGTGGCTGTTGTAGGCGGCGGGCAGGTGGACCGCGGTATCTGGCAGCGTGAGCGGCAAGGTAGTGTGAAAGCGTCGTTCGGTGGCGGGAGGATGGTTGGTGTCAGAGCGGCTGCGGTCGAGGTTCCCGCGGTGAGAGTCGTCTCGGTTGGGTCCGCCTCGACTGTCGTCGCCGTGACCGTTGCCGTTGTTATCGCCGCCAGTGTTGCCCTCGTTGCGCCTGTCCCCGGTGCCGCCAGCGCCTGCGTCCGGTCCATCGTCGCCACCATCCGCCCCTTCGACTCCTCCAACACTCTCGTCGTCACCCTCCTCGCCCGCCTCCTCGCCCCTCGTCTGGCTCAACCGCGTCAGCGTAGCCAACAGGCTACTCATGTACCCGTATCCGGCCGTCAACCCGCCTCGTCCCGTCCTCGCCAGCATCGCCGTCACCACGTACACGATCTTGTGGATCAAACTCAGCCCATTACTCGCCAGCGCGTCCAGCGGTAAACTGTTGAAGACTCTCAACATGTTGGCCGCCGCATCCTGCCACAGCTCGCCCTGGATGTCTTCTGGCGCACTGGTGAGCGCCGACGGGTGATGCAACTTGAGCTCGTTGATGCGCATCGAGATGAGCTCGCGGTACTCCGTGACAAGGAAGCGAATGAGCGATTCGGTGGTCACGATGTTGGCGTGCATCGTGCACATGGGCGACAGGATCGGGGTCGATTCGGGCGGCGGGGAGGGACGGAAGACGTTGACCAGGTCCATCATCGTCAGGCCGCCGCTGTTGGGGTCATTCTCGCGCTGGGTGGACGGCATGCCGGACGAACGCGGCGTGCTCGAGCTGCGCGCGTCGGCAGGGTTGGGCAGCCCATCGCGGCTGAACGTCTCGGCTGGCCAGGGCCACGATGACGAGCCACTGAGGTGATCGCCCAAGGCGGTCTGAGTGGCCGGATCGAATCCGATCGCCTGCAACAGCGGCGCTTGGCCGGGCGTAGCAACACTGTCGAGCGTCGGCAAAGCACTGCCTGGCCGACGCACTGGTTCGGGCGGCGAATGCGTATACACCGGCTTCCTCAGCTCTTCGGGCATCTCGTCGATCGCCCTCTGGAGTCGGCGCAGCACGTCCGCCAGATAGCGGATCCTCGACCTTGCCACGCCGAGATCGTCAACGGGGAACCTTCGGTCGCGACGATACGACTCGAGCAGCTCGAGCATCACCTGGTGCAGCCGCGTCACGGTCAGAAAACCGGAGAGAACGCTCGAGAAGCGCTGCGGATGGCCTGGGTCCGCCAACGCCTCCTCGGTCACCGCGAGCGGCAGATCCACACACGCATCGATGGCGTGAATCAGCGCCGGCCCATCCTGCAGCATGGCGATCGTCGTCGAGCTGCCGTGCAGCACCCAGAACATGCGTTTGCGCAGCTCATTGTTGACCGCGTTCGCCGTTGGCGCCCGGTAGTGCGCGAACGAGGAAGCATCAAGGCCATAGGGCGCGGCGGATCGCCCGCCGTCGTTCTTGCGCTCGTCGTGCAGGCCGAGCGTGAAAGCGACCTGCACGGCTTCTGCCAGCACAGCATTGGCGGCGTTGACTTTGCCTACGGTGCCGAGGTAGATGTGGTCGCAGTAGAGCGTGTTGACGTGCAGCAGCTGCGGAGGGTCATACCTGCGAGGCTGCATCTGGCGCGAGGTAAGGTGGCAGATGCGATGCAGCCTGCGGTAGACAGACCAAGGCGCTGGGATGACCGTCCTCGGGCACTGGATCAGGGTGTACGAGGTGAGACTGAGCACGAAGGCGAGGAAGGCCTCGTCGCGCTCGTCTCTGCGGTTCAGCAGATCGTGGCTGAACGTGGGTCGATCTACGATAGGCAGGAGGGGCCACAGGTAGTGGAAGTAGAGCGAGACGATGGCCAAGAAGGTCTGACGCGGAGCGATGTCTTCCAGCGATCGCGGTCGAAGCACAGGCTCGCAGGCCGTGGTCGAGTGACCTGCCCTATCCTTGCCCTTGCGGCCGGAGCCGGTGGTTGCAGCGCCAGAGCCGACCCTTGTGTCTGCGTTTGCAGAAGGGCTGTAAGATCTTCCATGTTGCCGTTGCTGTCCGTGCTGCTGGGACGACTGAGGCTGCTGCTGCGGGTGGTGGCGGTGCTGCTGGTGGAGACGCGATGCCAAGTGACCGCTGACCTGTGTCGAAGGCGCCGACGCGGTCATGGGCGAGTGCATTCGCGAGAAAGATGGAATCTGGAGCGGATGCGGCGTCGCCCGACCCTCGCTACCAACGAGACCGGCTATGGCGTCGAAGGCGTGCATTTGGTCCACAGTCGAGGGTGCCTGCACCTGAGCCTGTGGAGCGTGTGTGTGGCCTCGCGAATGCGACTGCGCAAGCGAAGCAAGCGGTGCTCCAGAACGAGAGCTGCCTGCATCCGAACGGGGCGGCCCATGCCACGAAGACGAGCCAGCGTAGCTTCCAGGGGTAGCGGCAGATGCGTTGGACATGCTCATGGACGGCGACGGGCCTGATAGGTTGGCGAGGTTCGGGGTCGACATATCGAAGGGCGAGGCACCGGGCATGCCAGGGAATTGACCGGGAGTCATGGCGAGCATCGAGTTGTTGAGGTAGGCGTCGAAGTTGGTGACGCCACCAAAGGACGACGAACGCGTCTGTTGGCCGGCATCTATGTTGGAGGGGATGTTTTGGGCTGCGAGTTCACGATACCAACTGTCGTCCGCTGGTGAGTGGGTGGATGCGTCCTGCTGGGAGTGCGGCGATGGGCCTCCGAATCGAGACGAAGGCGTGTTGGCGGCGACAGCAGCTGTCGAAGCTTGGGAGCGCGACGATGGCGTTGCTGCGGAGTGGGCATGAGACGATGCTTTGGCCTGTGCCTCTGCTTCACGCCTCGCCGTCTTTGCGAACGAGCTCTGTGGACCGGGTCGCTTGGGAATGTAGTCGAAGGTGCACTTTGCGTCGATGGCACGGCACTGGACGCACCGGCTGTCAGCTGCAGCGTCCGGACCATCGACCGGAAGACGGACACATTTGATCTTGCGAGAGCGGCAGGTATCGCAGGACTGAGGACGCTTTCGTTTGGCGGCCAGCTGTGCGTCTGATTCGAGCCTGGCGTCGTCGACGCTGCGCTTGCTGGGATCACCGCCAGCCATGACGAAAGGGGACGAGGTCGAGCTTTGCGGCGACATGGTTGGTGGGAGCAGTAAAAGGGGATCGGAGGACGTTGTCGTGTGGTTCTGAAGAGGAAGATGAGGTGCACACTACGGAGAGCCTCAAGCAAGGTGCATGGTTCCAGGAAGAACTCGAAATGTCGCGAAAGGTTGCTGCGTCGATCGTGATTGTCGAGGGATCAGGGCGACGAAGACAGAAGGACGCCAGCGATGGAGCAGATGAAATCGAGCGTGGCTGTAAAGAAAGGGGTTGTCGGGATTCGATTAAGTCGGAAGCGTGGCAGCGGCAAGGCGATCGGAAATGCGAAGACGGCGCGAAGAAATGGTCGTCTGTCGGGAACGGCTAACAGTCCAGACTAGCTTGCAAAGGATGATGCGGCTATGGGCTGTAGATCGGCTAGATGTCTTGAGCGTTGCTCTGCCAGGTGTCTGGCGTTGCGATGTGTCGAAGCGCGAGTGAGGTTTCGAGGGGGTGTGTTGCGTCAAGACCAGAGACGGGCAGAGATGCAGCAGAAAGAAGAATGAATCCGCGGATGAATCTGAGTGCGCCAGCAGCGGCGCAGAAGCGAGTCGAACGATGAGAGACAATGGCGTTGAGCTAGAGTGGTACCTCAGGATGAGATGCAGGACGATGCAAGGTAGTGGAAGTCGGTTTGCCGGATGACGAGATGAGAGGAGGAGAGTGCAAACTGATCAGATCAGATACGATGCGATGCGATGAGAAACTGTCATCAGCTTCGACGCGAGAGAGGCCAGAGGAGAAAAGGCCGGGACGTGCATGCATGCAAATAGACTACGTCGCCTCGCCAAGGCCGATGATCCTTGAGCTTGCTTGTCACCAGACTTGGTTCGTCTGTGTAGGCAGCTGAGCTTGTTTGTCGAGAAAAAGGCGAAGGTTCGGTGGACAAGATTGGATAGGGTCTCACTTGCGCGTTTGAGCCAACAAGATCAGCCAAACCCTGACGTTTGGGGCAGACCGAGCGCGTGCCGGCCCAGCTGCAGAGTTTCCGATTTGAATCGAAATATTGAAAGGAAAGAAAAAATTCCTTTCCTTCCATGGCCACGTGAGCGAAGTCGACCTTTGATCTTGTTGCGCAGAGACATCTGCTTGGCTCCCTGTAGGACTATGGCTCATGCCAACAGCGACACGGCTGTCTAGTCTACCATACACCCCGAGCAAGGAGGTCTCCAGATGCGGTGAGAATGCATGCCTGCGAGAATCCAAGCAGAGAGCAGGGTCATCCGCACTTCGCTTCGATATTAGCCCTTCGGCAGAGCATCGCGCGACGTGCTGATTCTTTTGGACCAACGGCGTGGGAAAAAATTGGGCTGCTTCGTGAGCCGTTCGGCACTCTTCCGACTACGCCTTGCGTCCCTCTTTCGAGATTGAGTCTCCGCGCGAGAGTACTCCGACGGGCCAACTCCAACATCAGCGCCATGACAATAGAGCGGAGACGGTCCTCTGACGAGGCCTGGCAGCGAGCCAACAATGATCAGGCAGAGCAGCAGAATTGAGAGGGATCGAGCCATTCTTCCAAATCTGGAGTTCTTCTTGGACCGGGGCCTCGGCTGGCAAATCTGTTTCCGAGATCGATAATGGATGATCTGCGGTGCTGCTGGCTGGTGCCTTGCCTAAGCGCTCGGCTGGCTTTGTTTCGGTCGCGTGCGGTTTTTCCCAAATTCGAAAGAGGGGCCGTGGCAAGTCGAGAAGGTCAAAAAAGAGAGAAGATCGTCCAGCTTCGTCGTCGTCTGAGGGCGAATTGTCTCCACGTTCCGTAAGTCGGGATGGTGATCGTGTATGTCAACCAAGCTGACCAGGTCGTAGAAGCGCTCCAGAAAGGCTAGGCAGAGGCAAGACTGGGCTAGGCTGCAATTGCTGAGATCGGGTGCGATGTCGTAGAAGCATGTCTGGAGCGTTGCGTCGGTGGTAGATTGAGGCTGCTCCAAAGCGCGACAGTCTGTGCTAATTGAGCAGCTTCTCGTTGCGTGCGAGACAGCGCGTTGCTCTTGCAGCTCTGCAGTCTTTCGCATCGCTTGCTGCCCGCGACTGCTCGTCAAGACCATGCTCGGCTCTTCCGATCCTGTGACGGCCGAGAGAGGGCGTCTCGACGGAATCGGCCCGATGGCTGACTGACAAGGTCACGAGGAGCCTCGGAGGAGCCGTCGTTGGGGTACGCCTTGCATAGTCTGAAGCCCATTCCAGCTTCGTCACCATCTGATCATGTGCTGAGGTCGACACAGTCCAGTCAGAGCTGACTGTCCTGCAGAAGAATCCGAAGGTGGGCGGTGTAGGGCGTGGCGACAGCGAGATCTCGACGTTGTCCGCTCTGTAGCTGCAGATTATATCGGCGGCTTATCGCTTTGACGGATGTTCTCTTCTGTCTTCCACGAGCATGCGTCGACCAGGCTGAGGTATTGGTCTGTCGCTGGCCGAGCACGCCAAGTATCTATCTGTCGAATCGACTTAATCTTCTTCATGGCCACCTTCCCTATCGACGACGTTGCCGAGGTCCGACGCTCATCGTTGAGCACGACTGTCTAGACCGGGGAGCCACGAGGCGCTTGCTGTCGACGATTACGGCCAAGGCTGCGATACTGGACTTGTCGAAGGCCAGCAGCATCCAAGCTCGGTGTAGATGGGATTACTTCAAAATGCGGTCCCGCCGTCAAGGCTGATCATGGCGGCTCTATGGGCCTACGCGTTGTCGGAGGCAGCCGGTGATCCTCAGCTGGGATCAAGTTGGCGTCTTAGAGCATCTTTGAGTCGATCTCCGACCTGGTGGTGGATGCCTGATCGAGAGCTATGATGCTGTACGCAAGTCGAGGGCGTCTATCTTATGACGGAGTCCAGTAAGAAGGCGATACGTCTGATGGGCGAATCAAGTCGGCTGATGCAGAGCGCGCCGGTAGTGTCGAGAAGCGTAGAAGGATGTAGGGGAAGGAATGCAAGTCGATGCCGGAGGGTGGCAGGTTGTTTGATGAAGGTCGAGCGTGAGCGTTCGGCGCGGAGGAACACCTCATCTCTCAGCAACCGGACGAACAGGCCAACTCTTCCTGACTCTGACGAGCCGCGTCGGCTTCGGATCTTCGGTCCCTGTCGGCAGACGAGAGCGAGCACAACCGATTGAGACGGAGCGAGCAAGGACAAGCGAATTGCAAGCCAGCCGACCAAGATTCTGCTACACCACAAAGCCGGTCCGAAGTCGCCGTCCCCTCCGCATTTTCCCGGACGGTTTCTTTCTCACTGCAGCCTTGCAAGGATCACCGACCCGATCGGGTGTCTCTTCTGGCACACATGTAGCGTTCCTCTCATCCATCGTCTGCTATAAGCAGCCCATGTCATCTCTGCATAAGAACAAGGTTCATTCATCTCGCCGCCCCATCTTTCACGATACGGCAAACAAAAAGTCTTGCCGGATTTCCCGGCAAAATTTGGCTCGCGGATCTCTCCATCTGTGCGGGGCTGCTCGGCAGGAAGCGCGGAGAGATTCTTCCCCAAGCAAGCGCTACACAATGAATGCCCAAGGCGCTCGACACAATCGCCTGCTCTGCTCGCCTTGACCGCACATTCGGACATACATATAGACACGAGCATGCCGTCTCAAAGCAGTCTGCCTTCGTCTCAGCGACTGGTCAGTTGGAAGGAATCACCGCGCAGGCTATGGTCGGCTCACAATTGACCGACAGAAAGTTCGAGCGCGAAGAACGCATTTCTCCTTTTCGGCGAGACCCCTCGTGGCGCAAACGCCTGTTCTTGTGGGCCCAAAGGGTCGCCGGTCACATGGTGACATGTCAAGGTGACGGTGGCCAATCTCTGCTGCCATGTCACATTTCGGCTGATTGTGATGCCTACAGGTGGCAAAGCTTCAGCGCCGTCCCGCTGAATTCTACAGTATATAGCCGCCGACCGAAATTGCTCCGCGTCTCTCGGGGCGTTGATCAACGACTGTTCTACGGACTTCACTCGACCGCAACGAAGAGATCTACCGACGAGGTCGCGGACAGTCGGCGAAACTCTCATCAAAGATCCAGCCGCCTTTGATGACGAACAAGACGTTCCGAAAAGAGCCCTTGTTCCCGCCACCGGCGTCCTTCTTGAGTCACAGGACCGGGCAAATCGGTCTCGTTGAGCTTTCCCGGCTTTCTGGACGAGATCATCCACAACAGAGATTGCCGCTCCCTAAGTACCGTTGACCGGGTATGTCTGCCGGCTGCGCTGCTGACGTTCTCGGAGAATCACTACTCCTACACAGCGCCGAGAAGTCCCCGGGATGCCACACAGTCCCATGGCCAAACACATCCACCGGCGACGATGCACTCGGCTTTCTCTCTCGACCCAGATTGCCGACACAAGCGCACGTCAAACCACGTGCCATTGCAGATCATCCCAGTACCAGATTGACAAACTCGACGATCCTTTCGACGTACGACTCGGGCAGCTGGTGCAGAGCGACGAAATCTGCCGCCCCTTGCCGTCTGTCATCGTCCCGATTGATGGGGAAAGGTAGCGGCTCAGCGTCGTCGGAGACGTCGATCTGGAGAACATAGTCGTAGGACTTGCCGTCGTGCATCTGACCTGGCTCGTCGGGGGAGGCTTCGGTGGACGACTCCTTTGCTTGTGTTGCAAGAGTGAGTTGCGCCTGAACGTCCTGCGCTCTCTGTACTTCATCAGCCAGTTCGGATTCTGACAGTGGCGCGCCGGAGAACTCGCTGTCTGCTGCTGATGGCGGACAGGGTCGGCGGGAGTAGATGCGCACCAGGCCGTCACTGCACCCCGCGACGACGTCTTGTGTCTGAGGAAGGACAGAGATAGACCACACCGAGACCACCGGCACTGGAACTGTCTGCAGTAGCTTGCCCGAGACCCAGTCCCACACGCGAAATGAGCCATCTTCGCCGCTACTCACCAATCTCGGCTGACCCGTACCGCGCTCGATGTAGGCAGCCACGTCGTAGACGAGCGAAGTGTGGCCGTGGAGCACGCCAAGAGCTTCTCCGCCATTTCCGGGGTTTGGGCTACGGCGGGCGTCGAGCGACCAGATGCGAATGGTGCCGTCGTTGGATGTCGATGCGAAAAGCTGTTCGTCTGGGTAGAACGGTGGCCTCGCATCATTCTTAGCAGGTTCCTCTGCCTCTACGTCTGCGATGTGCGAAGAGGGCAAGGTTGGTAAGATGTGCAACGAGCGAACGACGTCCGTGTGCCCGGCGTAGACGGCATACAGCTGCTCGCCGTGGAAGAGGCGGATGAAGAGGTCTGCGGAAGAGGTGAGGTACCTGCCCTGGTTAGGAAGCTCTGGATCTCCTTCCAGGACAGCCGATGATGGAGGCTCGACAATCTGCACTCCCCACACGGCCTCGTCGTGACCACGCAGCACCAACCTGCTCTTCCACTTGCCTTCTACAGGATCCCATATCCACACTCTGGCTGTCTTGTCCCAGCTCGCCGAGATAAACACCGGTACTGCCGTCTCCCCTTCTGTCCGATGTCGATACGCCTTGAGCACGGAGACGTTGTCCCAGTGATCCGAGAGCACCTGCAGCGGCTTATCCGCACGAAGAGGGTCGAAGCAGCGGATCTGCGAGTCGAGACTACCCATCAGGATCTGTCCTTGTGGCAGTTCGAATGAGGGCGAAGGCGTCACGAAGTCGACAGCATTGCAGAAGCGGTGTCCGTGGAAGATGGCGCCCCTCTCGAAGCCAGCGTTGGGATTCGAGGATGGACCGGAGGGGTTGACGGATCGAGACCAGTACGTAGCTGTCTCGTCTCTGGAGCCTGAAAGCAAGGCTTCGCGAACTGAGAGGCTGTCAAAGGTCGTTGCGACGGATCGCACCTATGCGTAACACAGAGAACAAGTCAAAATGGTCAGCCTTGGCCTCCATCGCAATCACGGTTCGAGACACTCACATCAGACGTGTGACCTCGTAGAACGTGCGTCAATCGGAAGCCTTGCGGTGCAGCCACCGATGCAGTACCAGACACATCCGAACTGCTGGACACTGCGAGTACTTCAGCTTTCGTCATGCTCGCTTTGCGAGGTCGACTGCAGCAATGACAACGAGAGTGAACGTCAAGAACATGTGTTGGTCTCGTCGGACCTGGTTGCCGCACGAGAAGCTTCAGGGTCCAATTTCTGAGAAAGCGCAGACACGCGAGGCGAGCTGGAAGCACGTTGCTGAGCCTCAGGCTAAGGCATAGGAAAAAGATCAACACTTTTGGCTCTGCGAAAATTACTCAGCAGCGCGTCGTGGGCTTCGCGTAGAGTGGACTTGCGCAGAGAACACGCGCGCAGCACCAGGCGACCGCGTAGTAGAACCTGAGAAGACACTGCGACGCAAGGCAAGAGCTTCCAGGCCCAGCACAGCGCAGTGTGCCCTCGAGCCAAGGAGCAAGAGGAAGGCAGATCAACAGCCTTGCGAGCGCTGATCAATTCGTTCCACTTCTTCCACCTTTCTCCTCTTCTCTCTCCACACCTCTCACGGCCATCTCAGCGCGACCTACCACCGCACCCCATCACATCACTCGCAATCATGTTGGAAGCTCGTCTCCGTGAAGCTGTCCTTGTAAGTTCAGCACCCTCGAAGAGCAAGTGATTGCGAAATGATACTGACACACACGCCTCTTCTCCCCCTTGGACACCTGCAGCTCAAGAAGGTGCTCGACGCCGTGCGCGAGCTCATCACCGATGCCAACTTCGAGTGCTCCGAGGACGGAATCGTAAGTCATCATCGTCGCTCGTCACCGTTTCGTTTTGCTCTGACTGACACTCCTCCCTCTCGCCCTAAACCCCTTCGACTCACACAGCGTCTGCAAGCGATGGACAACTCGCACGTGGCCCTCTCCGCCATCGAGCTGCGCACCGACTGCTTCGAGGAGTTCCGATGCGACCGACCCATGTCGATCGGCGTCTCGCTCTCTTCGCTCGGTAAGATCCTCAAGGGCGCCAACAACGACGACGTCCTCTCGCTCAAGAAGTCCGACGACGGCGACACGCTGCAGATGACCTTCGAGTCGCCCAAGTCGGACCGTGTCGGCGAGTTCGAGATGAAGCTCATGGACATCGACAGCGAGCACCTCGGCATTCCCGACACGCAGTACGACGCTGTAGTCAAGATGTCCTCGGGTGAATTCGGGCGCATTTGCAGGGACCTCACCAACATCGGTGAGAGCGTCAAGATCGAAGTCTCCAAAGAAGGTGTCTCTTTCTCATCCGAAGGTGAAATTGGTGCTGCACGAATGACCCTCAAGCAAGGCAGCGGGACTGCTGTCCTCGCCGATGAGGATGAGGACGACGACGAGGACGTCAAGCCCGCCAAGAAGAAGCGCAAGGCCGACTCGTCCACCAGCGGCGGCCAGGTTCCCGTCAAGATCGAAATGCAACAGGCGGTCAACCTCACCTTCTCGCTCAAGTACCTTAGCAACTTTGCCAAGGCCGCGCCGTTGGCGGACGAGGTGCAGCTGCACATGTCCAACGAGGTGCCCCTGCTGTGCGAGTTCGGGTTCGAGAATGGATACGTGAGGTTCTACCTCGCGCCCAAGCTCAGCGAGGACGATGACTAGACGTCGGATAGCGCTTGACCTCGCGCTTGCCAAGTTCACTTTGCCCTGTTGCGTCTCTTCTGTACATCATCTCCCACACACACACACAGTTCACGAAATCACCCACGCTCGTTTGGTCCACATTGACGCTTTCACACCCGATTCTACACATGGCTGAGCGGAATCACTGAGATTACGACCGGTCAACGACGGAGATGCTGAAGAGCCTTGGCTTTTTGGGTTCTGCCGTTGTTGGCGCAGCACTTTCTGTCTGTGCATCTGGGTGGTCGATGAGTTTTGGCGCGCTTGCTGGTTGAGTCTGTCCAGCTGCGCCAGGGCGGATGGCCTTGTTGTTGCGGGCGGGGAAAAGCTCCTCGAGCTTGTCCGCAGCTAGCAGTCCTAGCACCGCAAACACTGTTTTTCCATATTTATAAGATGTCAGCACTCTGCCTTTCGAAGTCAAGCGGAAGGGAAGGAACGTACCTGCGCCGCCGGTCCAAAAGACCAACTTTGTATTGTAGGGTAGTGCCTTATAGGAGGCGTAGATTGAGCCTGGCTTGCCGCCGCTACGAGTTGGTGGTGGGGTTGGTGATGGAGCTGATGGGAGCGATGGTGATGGGCGAGGCGAAGGGCTGGGTCGGGCAGGTGGGGAAGGTGCGGGCCGTGCATCGCCTTTGAGCACGGGTTGCGAGGCCGACGGCGAGGCTGGGCCGCGCGGTCGAAGAGCGGACTGGCGAGCCGTCGTGCGAAGACCTCGTATCGCAAGTGATGTCATGCTGGAAGCGGACCTTGGCAACGCCATCGTGGAAGCAGCTCGTGACAAGGCGCACGGTGGAAACGATCGAAGAGAACGGGAACGGTCGAGTTGAGAAGAACGCCTTCCAAAAAGTGTTTGGCGTGGCGAGGGTCCACTTCCGCAAGCCGAATAATTTGCCGATGCCCTCATGAAGGGTTTTCGACAGCACCGGCTGACGGCCTCGTTTGAAGCACTCAACACCCACTGCCTCCTGGAGCTCATACCAACACAGTCACTTGTATCACCCCACACAGCTCATGTTCAGAGGTTGAAAGATGGAAGACAAGGATCTCTGTTTCCGATGGACCTCTATGACTTTATGGCGGATCAAGCCTGTCATCACAGCGACAGCACCTTGCCCCACTCGCCCCTCACTCTCTCTGTCGTTCTATCGACCGCATTGACTTCACCAGCGTCAGCCGGCTTCATCTCAATGAAGGTCGCATACGCCTGAGTCACCTTCGCTACGACACCAGCGACGATGAGCCTCTGCACCTCCCGGTCCTCCACCCAGAGCGTCACCTTGCCTGCCTTTTCGGGGGTGATGCTCTCGATGCACGTCTCGAACGCTTGGTAGGTGCTCGTGAACTTGGCTGCGTTTGCTTCAGCTGCGCTCTGGTCGATGTAGACGCGCAACGGAAGGATGATCGAGTCGGCCCACAGCTTGGAGACCTGTTCGACCAGCGTTTGGAGCTTGAATGCAACGTTGGAGGTGCATGGCTCCATATCGAGTTGTGTCGATGTCAGGCTGTCGGCTTCGGCCGCGTCAACATTAGTCGTCGGATAGAAGAGGCGACCTGTGTTGGTCCAGAGCGAATTGATGGCGGCGATGAGCGAGGAGAGATCGACGAGCGCTGCTGTCGTTCCAGCATTCAGCTGGGAATCGGAACGGGCCCGACCCTTTCCATCGGCCGCAACATCACCTCCAGCGTTCTGCTGCTCGTACGCTTGCTTGAGCACGAGATCCGCGGAGACGACCGTCTCTCGCAGAATCTCGAGCTGACGAATTTCGAATAGCCATCCGTCCTCGCGTTCCAGGCTGTCCCCCTTTGTGCGCTTCACCAAGGCCTGCGACCCGGTGCTGACGCTGGCGAGGCATGCTTCGACGGCTGCAATGGCAATGCGGCGGAACGCGCTCGCTGGTACACGAGCCTGCAGATTGAAGAGCAACTCGAGCATGTACTCGATTGGCGCATAGTAGGTCGACAGCAAGGCAGCGGGGAGCGTGAAAAGCTCCACCTTTTCCTGCTGCGTCTTGGAAGTGGAAGCTGCATGTGATGTTGGGAGGGCTGCATCGAGCAGACCAGCGCCCGACTTGCCGCGGCGGTGTGACCCCTTGACGACAGTGGCTGTCGATGTCGTCGTCACTGTTTCAGTGCCGAGGCTAGCGAGTGATGCTTTGTACGTTCTGATACGCTCCGGAAACTCGAGGTCGCCGCGCTCTTCGCGTGCGGTGAAGCTCGCGATGTCGGACGATATGACGACTTGTGCTCGGGCAATGAGACGCGATTGAGCCTCGTTGACAACTGGCTGCAAGCTCCGCACCCACGGTGTCTTGCGTTCATCGGCGAGGACCGTGTCAGAGACGACGGCAGAGGTCTGAGACAGCACCACGAGATTCTCCTCCTTGAACAATCTCGGACGCAGTCGAGCTGTGAACGTTTCTGCGATTTCGGACAGGTACGCTGCCAGGGCCGGATCGGATTCTTGCTCGGGAGTAGAAGCTGGGAGAGACGGGTCGCCGCCGAAAAACTGCTGGTAGAGGTCGTGCTCCCTCTGCAAGACGAATCGAACAAGGTGAGTGCCGGAGCGAGCGAATTGAACGACCGGATGCGAGGTCTCGCCACCTGCCTGCGAGCTGGTGGGTTGTGCCTCGATCTCGGTGACGCCCTGTGCGAGCGTTCGTGAGAGTAGAGGACGACGGTATTGAAACCAGGCGGCCCTGCATTCCTGCAGAAGGGACTCGTATTCTGCTGATGTAGATGCGTTGGCGGAGGAGGAGGAAGCTGCATTGCTCGCGCGTCTCTGCAGCTCAAAGATGAGCGGACGAAGCTTTGCGACTTGATGTTCTGCACCGCCGAACAGGGCCTCGGCCGTCTCCGTGGGAATCGCAGATTCGGAAAGACCGATGGCTGAGTCGTGTGTGACTTCGCGGCCCTTTCCTTTGGCGTCCAAGCCAGCTTCTGCAGCCGTCGCTGCACTGGTACCGTCTGAATTACGACTGGAATCTAGCTGTTTCAGCTTGTCTGCTGTGCATTCTGACTCTGCTCTAAACTCGCGCACCACCGCCAGCTTTGCAAGGGTGGCTGCCCTGGTGACGCACTGCGCATACCGCATACGGTAGAGAGCAGCATCGTGGTAGGATGCTGCGGGCTCTTGTTGCAGGAAGAGGAGCGCCATCTCGAGCTGGTCCATGAGATCGAGAAAGGACTGAGAGTAGACGATGGTCGAGTCGGGGGAGCTGAGCATGTTGGTAGCATAGGGAAGCAAGGTAAAGAAAGAGAGGCGAGAGGCGATCTCTTCTGCGAGGGTGTCGAGGTGGGTCTGTGAGTCGAGGAGTGATTGCGCCTGTTCGCGGATGCCTCTCGACGAGTCTTGAACGAAGGCGGTGCCTGCACGGAGCTCTGATACATTGACCTGGCACGCCTCGAGCTGAGCCAAGAGGTTGTCTGCGGTGGAAGTGGTGTCCGAGATGCGCTGCAATGCTTGGCGATGCGAGGTCTGCGTGGAGGATGTGATCGAGTCGGAAAGCTGCGTGTACCAAGCAAGGAAGCTCTGCGCCGAGGCTAGTGGGACTCCAGCTTCTGGAAGCGAGACTGCCTCGCTGCCTTTGGTGCTTGTGAGGTCAAGAGTGCTTATCGGTGCGGTGTCATCGATGTCGGTCGGATCGGCTGCGGCCGGTGGTCCGCTGGAGCCATTGCCTGGCTGAGATGGTGGAACTTGGCGCTGTTGGTCATTCTGAGGCTTGAAATCGGACGAGTTGCGATGAAGCCATTCTGCGAGACGATTGACGGAGGCGCGTTGTGAGGAAGTGAGAGGTGCCTTTGTGTTTGCCCATTGGTCAAGCTGCAACGGTCTTGCTGACGAGCTCGCCATGGATGGTGGCTGCGCCGCCTGGGCGATCGAAGGAGCGTACATGTTTGCTTCTTCCGTCGCTCAGCTGTGCAGGCTGCCCCTTCGGCTGAGTCGAGCCCAGATGGAGATCGCTGGGAGGAGGATGGAAGCGTGATTGGTGTCGAGGTGGACCCTGAGTGTGTGAGTGTTATGTTCTTCTCACTTGGTCATGACTAAGCCTGACATGCCGGCAATGACAAGCACAGGCCATCCAGGCGGCTTCGCACAGCCCAGCCAGAGGGCGTGTGGAGTTGCCAAGTGGAATATCGCCAATTCCAACCTCAGAAAAGGTGTGCCCTCTCCGCATCGCCGCGTGCTGCCGTCCAACTCGAATCGGCTGACCCTGCCAAATCGAATTGGCCGTGCGTGATTGACGATTCCTTCTCAGCCATCCACCATCCGCATCCACGCCCTATTCCCTCATCCTAGTGTGGTCGGCTGCAAGTTAGCCTCATTCGCCGTCGCATCACGCAAATTCGAGCTATTGCTAGCAAGGCCAGTTCTCACAGGCAGAAACGCTCGATTGGATCGACTTGAACGACTCACAAATCAAGGACAAGCGTCTCGACTGCCCTGGGCTTCACCGACATAGAGCAACTCCCACCATGGCGGATCAAAGACCCGTCGTCGTCGACAATGGTACCGGTTTCGTCAAGGTCGGCTACGCCGGCTCCAACTTTCCCGAGCACGTCTTCCCATCTATCGTTGGTCGTCCCATCCTCCGTTCCGAAGAGCGCAATGATATCTCGAGCAATACTGGCACCCAGATCAAAGACATCATGGTCGGCACAGAAGCAGAGGAGCTCCGCAACTATCTGCAGATCAACCAGCCTATGGAACATGGTATCGTAAAGGACTTTGGCGACATGCGTCACGTTTGGAACTACACCTTCGACGAGAAGCTCCGCATCGACCCACAAGGGCGCAAGATTCTGCTCACCGAACCTCCCATGAACCCCAAGAAGAACCGCGAGGAGATGTGCCAGATCATGTTTGAGGAGTACGGATTTGACGGTGTTTACGTGGCCATCCAGGCCGTCCTGACGCTCTACGCTCAGGGCTTGCAGACCGGTGTCGTGGTCGACTCGGGTGACGGTGTCACCCACGTCGTCCCCGTCTTCGAAGGCTTTGCGCTTCCACATCTCACCAAGCGTCTCGATGTGGCCGGTCGTGATGTCACGCGCTACCTCATCAAGCTCCTTCTCATGCGCGGCTATGCCTTCAACCGTACTGCCGATTTCGACACGGTGCGTCAGATCAAGGAGAAGCTCTGCTACGTCAGTTACGACCTCGACCTTGACAAGAAGCTCGCCGAGGAGACCACCACACTGGTCGAGTCGTACACGCTGCCAGATGGACGAGTCATCAAGGTCGGATCCGAGCGCTTCGAGGCGCCCGAATGCATGTTCCAGCCCCACTTGGTCGATGTCGAACAAGCGGGTGTCGCTGAACTCCTCTTCAACACCATCCAGTCCGCTGCCGTTGATACTCGTTCGGAGCTGTACAAGCACATTGTGCTATCCGGTGGTTCGTCGATGTATCCCGGTCTGCCAAGTCGACTGGAGAAGGAGATGAAGCAGCTCTATCTCACCCGAGTGCTCAACGGTGATGGCTCGAGGTTGAAGAACTTCAAGATTCGCATCGAAGACCCACCTAGGAGAAAGCACATGGTCTTCTTGGGAGGCGCCGTGCTGGCGGACATCATGAAGAACAGGGAGAGCTTCTGGATCTCGCGTGCAGAGTGGTACGAGCAGGGCAAGGCGTGTCTCGACCGACTCGGACGTCATTCTTAGGCGTCATTGCATCTACATGCTTGACCCTGTCACTGCTGCAATACACAATGATGAATCGGATCAAGAGATGGGAGCGTGGATGTGATTGTGACTGTGAGGTTGATCGTATGACAGCGCCCAAATGGGCATGACAGTGTGGCTCCAAAGGTCGATACAGGCTCTGCAGAGACGTGGCTGGATTTGGGCCTTTTCAGCCAAGCGAGCCCTTTGTCGGTGCCTGTTCAACCTTGATCTTGACAATGCCGCCGACTGTTGGTTGAGAAATGGCCCGCCTTGGTCGCGGACGTCTATCTCAATTGATTCAGAGCGGGCCGCCAGCTCATTTTGTTGTGGTTCCGGGCTCTCTCTCGATTGTGTGAGTCGCCTTGCTGCAGAATTGTTGTTTCATGACGACGGATGCGAACAGCCGATGCGACTGGATGAGTGCGAATGGTGCTACTTTTTCGTTGGAGTGGATCTGGTCGCCAGCGCCATTTCGTCGATGGTTCCAGCGTTGGTGCTCGGAGTCGATTTGGAAGTGAACAGCTCGGAACCGGCTGCCAGTGCATCGATGAAAAGCGGAAGCCTCGTACCGCCATCGGCGCCTAGCGTGGGTTCGCGCGTTCGAATCGCATCCAGCTCGCCGCCAAACTCGTCTGCAACCGCTCTGAGCCACAACGAGCGGAACGCCTGTTGACGACGCTCCTTCTGCGCCTGGGTTTGCTGTGATGCAGTCTTGTCGGTATTGTGCGCGGAATTTTTCGCCGAAAGCGGAGAGTTCTTGATGTCGACAATGCGCTGCAAGTGCGGAGGAAGCGTCGGTGTCGCTGGTTGGAGCGATTCGAGAATGGCTCTTTGCGTGCGGCTCTCCTTGTCGAGTCGTTTCGCGCGAGGCGCATTCGGATCTGGCTCGGGCGTTAGGCGGAAGACGTGTTTCTTTTTGCTACCTGGACCGGGCAATTCGGCGGCTTCGGCTGCGCTGCGACGCTTTGAGGTGCGCTGACGTGCTACTGATCGATCAGAGTCGGACGACGATGAGGACGACGATGAGGACGAAGATGACGAGGACGAAGATGAGGACGAAGATGATGATGAAGAGGAGGAGGAGCTGCCTGACGAAGACGACGATGAAGACGAAGATGACGCCGACGACTCGCGGCGCCGACGCACGCTGATGATCGACTGCTTCGGTCGCTGTGCTTCGACTTCGAATTCGCTGTCGCTAGACGATGAAGAAGAGGAGGAGGAGGAGGAGGAGGAGGAGGAGGNCTGTCGCTAGACGATGAAGAAGAGGAGGAGGAGGAGGAGGAGGAGGAGGAGGAGGAGGAGGAGGAATCGTCGTCTGAAGAAACGCCGAGAGTCCTGGTCTTCCTTTGACGTCGTCGTCGAGGAGCCGCCGACGAGCTGCCGGCCTTTCGCTTTGCTGGCGCCATTGTGTGTGCGTGCTAAAGATTTGAGTCGATTCTTTGCGAGCACGATGGGCCGAACGAGACGAGATTCGCTGCTATGACGGAAGGTGTCGAGCAAGCAGCAGTCGAAACTTTTTTCCTCGAGCAAGCGGCCAGGGTTCAGCAGCGCAGCATCCGACATCCGCATTTCACCCCTTGCCCCTGCATCTTAACAAATATTATTAATACAAGCATCATCATCGGCAAGCACTTGGACCCTGACCACCACCCTTCACGCCGTCATCATCCGCCGTCATCTCATCCTTGAACAACATTGGGCCACTACTCTGCGAGGCACTACTAGGCCAGCGTTGCCCTTGACTTTCGCCATCGCAGATCAGCATCACATCTGCCGCACTACCAGCCCTGTAACGCAACCATGGCGCAAGCACAGCCTCTCCAAGGCATCTCGATACCTCGCTACGAGTCTCGCTCTGGCACCGCCTCGTCCTACATTGTCTATGCCGTCGTGATTCAGCTCCCAGTTCGCTCATGGACGGTCTATCGACGCTACTCCGAGTTCGTTCGACTCGACAAGAACCTTGCTGCATCTCCCAACGGTCCTGCCGCTACTGGCAGTGGAGAGCCAGGCGGAGCGGGTAGACCCCCACCTCGCACGCTCCCACCGAGGGAACGCGCACGAGAATGGAAGAAGACTTTCTCCGGCTTCCTCTCCTTCGCATCTGGTGATCAGTCTGGAGACGGCTTCGACGACGAGGTGTGGCTGAAGGAGCGGATGCAGTCGTTGGAAACGTATCTCAAGGCGATCGTGATGGACGAGGATGCGGGATGGCGAGAATCCGAGGCGTTCAAGATGTTTATCGAGTGGCCGATGAGCATTCGGATGGTCACAGCGACCGCGTCGTCCTCGACAGCATCACCACGAGTGCCACGGGTCACAGCTGCACAGCGCACACCGGGGAGCATGCCAGGCGCCCTGCCTCCAGGTACAAGGACACTCGGCGCACCAGCACCAGCCGCGCCCAGACCACCAGCAGAAGAGACGGATTCGACTCGCCCGCTCAACAACACCCAGCTCTTCCAGTCCCAGACAGACGCCATGGACCAACAGGACGAACAGCTGCTCAACCTCGCCGCGATTCTACGTAGACAACGGCAGATGGGCGAAGCGATCAACCAAGAGCTCGGCGAGCAGACCGAGTTGCTGAGTCAACTGGACTCCGAGGTGGAAGGCACGCAGGCTAAGCTCAGCAAGGCGGATCAGAAGATGGATCATTTTGACGGAGGGAAGGCCAAGCGCAAGGTGGGCATCGGGCGAAAGTTCTGAAGCTGGTAACGTAAGATCAATCACAACAACGTATACCCGCTTACGAGTTCGGTTGAAGCCTGAACCACCGAGCACAGGTTGATGGCTCGACTGCGTGTCGATCAAGGAGTGACTACGTTTCGTGAGCTGCTCGTGCATACCAGCTTGGTCCACAATCAACATCACTTGCTGAGCCGGCATTGCAACCTTCCCCGATGAGCTGTGAATGACACTTCGAGCCACCCTCCTCATCGTCGCTGACGACAAAGCGAATGCGCTTGTCTGTACGGCACGGACTCACAGCGACCTCGTCGTCGCCATTGGAAGGTAGCGCTTGCTTGGCTGACGGACTGCCGCATTAGTACTGAGTCTGCTCATTTGAACTTCGCACACCGTCTCAACCGATGACGACGGAATGCGATTCGAAACGGGTCGTTTTCTTCTTGTATCTTTTCATAGCCCAGTCCCGCGATGGACTTCGCTGTGACGACGAGGATGTCCAGCCTCCACGAACAGTCCGGAGTGCGATCAGATCACAGCTACGTTTCGTGAACTCGCCTACAGGCACAGAATGATAAGTTTCAGGCGTCGACAGGCGCCTTATTGCGGCTTCGGAAATCCTTGTTCATCTCGTCGAAGGTGCACCACTGCACGCCCTCGTGGGTGTTAATCCAGTCGATGAAGCGTTCGTGCATCGCAAGCACCTGCGGGCGACCCGAAACGTCCGGATGAACCGTGATAGGGAAGACAAAATCGCCCTCGTTCTCGTAAAGCCAAGTGAACATCTCCTTCCACATGTCCTCAATATCCCTCGGGTTCACGTAACCATGACTCGTCTGCGAAGTCTTAATGAACATCATCGGGGGGATGTCATCAACGTACCAGTTCGCCGGGATCTCCACGAGTCCTGTCGTCTTTCCACGCACCAGCGGCTTCATCCAGGTCTCTGCCTTGGCCTTATAATCGATTTTGGTCCATTGGTCCCCGGTCCTGAGCCAGTAGCACTGACTATCGTGATGGTGCATGCTGTGGTCGTACTCGATGCCGTACTCGAGCAGCAGATCTGCGTTCTCCTCCGAGGTCTCCCACCACGGAGCGACGCTGCCGGTTGGTGGCTTGCCCACAAAGTCGGTGAGCAGCTTGAAGGTCTTTGCTAGGATGTCGCGTTGCTGCTCAAGAGTCATGGCGTTGGGATTCTCGTGGGTGTAGCCGTGCAGACCAACCTCGTGGCCCGCATCGACGATGGCTCTGCACTCGTTCGGAAAAGACTCGAGTGTATGGCCAGGGATGAACCAGGTCGCCTTGATGTTCTTCTTGTGGAACATCTTGAGCATGCGAGGGACGCCCACTTCCGCGGCAAAGATGCCGCGAGAGACGTCCGAGACGGAATCTTCTCCGCCGTAGGAGCCGAGCCAGCCGGCGACTGCATCGATGTCGACGCCGTAGGATACAAGAACGCGAGGCATGTTGAGTGGATCAAGTGTGCAGAGATGGACGCCAGAAGGGAAGAGCGTCTGATACTCGAGCTAGCTCAAAAAGATAAGCACTTCCAACAACGCACAGACTCTCGGCGACTTTCCCCACACTGGAAGCGTGACTCAATTCGGCCTCGATGCTTCTATCTTCGGGTCGAACATGGGAGGCTCCTTCTCTCATCGCATTACCCCGCACTGCTTGGATCATGGGATGGCTTGAGCGCATGGCAGGTAGGACAAAAGCGAGCCAAGGTTGGATAGCCGTGCCATGGTGGAGGCCGGCCAGGTCGCCGGACTTCACCCACGGAAAATGACGATGTAACATCCTTGAAGAAGCCACGGCCGAAAGCGAATTGGGCCGCGACACACATGATCTGTGCGTGCAGAGCGCAAAGAAATTTGGTCGCTTTCAATGCCGCAAGAGAGACCCTTGGACTCGAGCAACCTTCCCATCATTCCACGACGTGCCGCGCTTCATCTCTCCTCCCTCTCGTTCCGGACGACCAACCTATATAGTCCAGGCGGTTTCGAAGGTACAAGCTCATACATGTCGATTCTCCCCATTCGGACATCAAGAAGCCTCCTTCGAGCGATCTCTTCCTCCGCGCCTGCCATCTTTGCGCCGACAAACTTCAAAGTAGGTAGACCTCTTCGTCAACACCAGAACACCGACGACTCGACTCGAAGCAACTCCATCCAAATGATGAGGACCATTCTAAATCATGTGAACAATCCAACACTTAGGAGGTCATCAGCCTCACACTGTGCGGAGTATAGATTAACCAGACTCTGAACCCCTTGCTTCGAGTCGACGTTGGCTAGCTCAAGGTGCAGCGAATCGCGACGAACGAGACATGCTGATTCTCATCTTCGTTGCTTTGTACACCAGTCACAGCTTCCGTATCGAGGTCCTTCTTTCGGCCTCGCATTTCGAACGAATCGCCGCTTCGTGTCAACAGCAAGCAGAATCGATCCCGCCGCCATCGCATCCCACCTCAGCAGCATGGCATCCACTTCGAAAACACCGGCGCCTGAGCCAACGCTCTACATCGACGGCAAGTGGACGCACGCCAAGGCCGGACACACACGACCGATCATCAATCCATACGACAGCTCCACGATCACTGTGATCGACGAAGCCGGTAGCGACGATGCGCTCGCGGCTATCAACTCTGCAGTCAAATTCTTCCGCACTTCGTCTTGGCCACATCAGACGTGCACTGAGCGTACATCGCTGCTCACCAGGGTAGCCGATCTGTTGCAACGAGACAAGGATGTCATTGCCGAGATCGAGACCAAGGACACGGGCAAGACGCTCGAAGAGAGCAAGGTGGATGTCGACGACGTCACCAACGTGTTTCGCTTCTACGCCGAGGAAGCCAAGAAGCTGGACGAGCCCAAGAAGATCAAGTCGGACGTGATCCCTGATTCGGTAGAGAGCACCACATCGCACGTCCCTGTGGGCGTCTGCGTGCTGATCGCACCTTGGAACTATCCACTCCTGCAGATCTGCTGGAAGGTAGCACCGGCTCTGGCAACGGGCAACGCTGTCATCATCAAGCCGTCCGAGGTGACGCCGCTTTCGACAGTGCACTTTGTCAAGCTGCTGATCGAGGCTGGCGCACCTATAGGGTCAGTACAGCTGCTCACGGCGGGAGGTGCATCTGTGGGTCCCACCCTCACCGAGCACCCCGACGTCGACCTCGTTTCATTCACCGGTGGCCTGGACACGGGCCGTCGAATCATCTCTTCGTGCGCGGCGACCGTCAAGCGATGCACGGTCGAGCTGGGTGGCAAGAACCCTAACGTGGTGTTTGCCGACTGCGATCTGGAATGGGCCATCGACACGGTGGTAACAGCCGTGTTCCTGCACTCGGGCCAGGTCTGCTCATCTGGAGCGAGACTGATCGTGGAAGAGTCGATCGCAGACAAGCTGGTCGCCGGCGTGGTGGAGCGTGCCAAGCGCATTCACATGGGCAACGGCATGGATCCCGCATCGGAGACCGGTCCCCTCGTGTCTGCAGCGCATCTCTCGAAGGTGGAAGCGTTCGTTCAGCTGGGCGTCTCAGAAGGAGCCAAGCTGCTCGTGGGAGGGTCTCGTCCCGATCCCAAGCAGCATCCCGAACTGGCGAAAGGCTTCTTCTTCTGCCCGACCGTGTTCGACCACTGCCACCGCGACATGCGCATCGTCCAAGAAGAGACTTTCGGTCCCATTCTCACCGTAGAACGATTCAAAGACGGCGATGAGGAGCACGCGATCTACCTCGCCAACGACACCAAGTACGGTCTGGCCGGCGGCGTGCAGTCGGGCAACGTGGAGCGAGCACAAAGGATTGCCAAGCGTCTACGACACGGCACGGTGTGGGTCAACACGTACGGCTCATACACGCCTGCGGCCGAATGGGGCGGCTTCGGCATGAGCGGCAACGGGAGAGAGCTGGGCAGCAAAGGGCTGGACGAGTACATCGAGACGAGGCACGAGTGGGTCGAGACCAACCCGGCCAAGCCTGGATGGTTCAAGGGCCAAGGCAAGGCGCTGCAGCCTTCCAACTCCAGTGCGATCAAGGCCAAATTGTGATGTTCTGTATGTTGATACCATGTTTGGAAATGTATACCTATTCGAGTCAGAGATGGTGTGAGCTGAGTCGCCCCCTTGAGAGCCCCTTTCTGCGATGCTCGAAGCCTGGGAATTTTGTGCGTGAAATTGCTTCTCAAAACTCCACTTTGGAGTGGTTGCACCCCGCAGACGCTCGCATCGCACAGCACAGCACCGCACAGCTCAGCCTTCTGAATCGCTGCACAGCACAGACGCGATCCGAGGCCATGGCTCAATCTACTCACTCACACCCACACTCCTATCACATCACATTTTGGCATCGCCTTCTTCTTCTTCCTCCCTACAATCACCTTCCGTGTTCCGGACATCCGTCATAGCGGCACATGCATCACCAGCGATTCCCCAGTTCGTCTTTCTCGACTGTCCCTGCATCCACCACTCTCGACGTCGCCGACGGACAGTAAATTCGTCGCTCAGCCATTGTCGCACTTAGATAGCGGATTCAGCTCGGTGACGATCCTCAGTCTTACCTCGCGACCTCCTAGGCACCGGATCGCTTCCATTCACCACTTCTCACGCCGTCTGGCTGTGCTACTACCGCAATCATGCCCGCCGCGGTGGGCACTAGCAACGGCGCTGCCGGCACCAGCTTCCTCTCCGCCAACCACCCACTCAACCTTCGCAAGCAAGCGCAACCCAAACTTGACTCGAGCTTCAGCGTCAAAACCTATATCGGTGCTGCAAATGCATTGCTCGACAAGGCCAGAGCCGCCGACGCACAGGACCAGATCGAGGTCGCCTTTGTCAACTACCTCAAAGCTGCCAATGTCGCTGCCTTCATTGCCAAGCACGATGACTGGCCGAGGATAGCAAAGGCGCGAGGTTCCGTCTACCAGGCATACAACGAGCTCATGAAGCAGGCTCCCGCTTTCATCGACCGCACAAAACGCCTCGAATCTCAGCTTGCCGTCAGAGAAGAACGCAATGCCAAGGCTCATGCAGAAGCTGCAGCGGAACAAGCTCAAAATGCGCTGCGCCAACGGGAAGCTCAACCGCCAGGCGATTCGGCTCTCCGCAGCGAGGTCTCCAACCACTCGGCTGCTGGTGCTACCATGACCTCTGGCGCTGATTCGGATGAGGACCACTCCGCGCATGGCACAGATGCGGAGCCCATCGACCATCACGCGACAGGCAGACGTACCGGAAGCTCGCTAGCAGATCGTCTCCAAGCCCTTCGCAACTCGGCTGCTCATGATCCAGCAGAACTTCGCAATCGTTCTGATAGTCAACGGTCTGGTGACGTCGCTGCTCGTCTCGAAGCTCTTGCCGAAGATTCTTCCAGCGATGGTGCCTTCTCCACGCATGACCTGAGACAGGCCTTGCCAGATACGTCGAACGGCGGCCCCAGCTTTCCTGACATTCCGACGGCGTCCGAGTTCAACTCATCCTATCCGACCATCGATCAGTTCGAGAGCAACTCGCCGCATCAGGCTGACAGCGACTCTGCCGGCTTTCCGGCACCACCGACGCACCCTGTTGGCAAGGCGAAGCGTCCACTGCCTGCGCCTCCATCCACCAGCTCCACCGATGTCGCTCGCGAGTTCGCCTTGGCACGCGACGTTCCTGAGCCTTTCGATCCCAGCTCACAACCAGCACCCTCAGCACAACCGCAACCACCACCACGGCAGCGTCAGATCGACGGACTGCCAAATCAGGACTCGCATCGCTTCAGCTTACCGTCGCAGAGCTCGCGCTACTCGAACAGCTCGGCAGGACATCAACCATCAGCATCCAACCGCAACTCGGCTTCCGCAGGCGCTGCTTCCTTGGACCCAACGGCGATCCCTCGCTCGCTCATGGTCGGCGCCAAACCAGCTCTGCCCATGAAGAACCACATATCGGTCGAAGAGCTCTTTTCCTATCTCAACCCTGGCTTCCAAGAGTTCACCGATGCACAAGGTCAGCGCAAGATTGGCAAGAAGGTCGGGCTCAACGTGCTGCTGCTCGATGTGCGCAGTCGAGCCGAGTTCGAGGCGGGTCGTATCTCCGGCGCCAAGGCTGTCTGTATCGAGCCCATCACCTTGCGTGAGGGCATGAGCTCAGCAGACATCGAGGACAAGCTGCTCCTCTCCTCTTCTGAAGAGCAGGCAGCTTTCGCGTCGCGCAACCGCTTCGACCTGGTGGTGCTCTATGACCGCAACCTTCGTGCTCTCCGTGGAAGCTCCTCGTCGGACAACATCCCTCAGGATCCGACGGCGCAGGCGAGGATGGACGTTCTCATCAGGGCCATCTACGAGAACGAATTCACAAAGACGTTGGCGCATCAGCCCGTTTTGCTGGTCGGAGGGTTCGAAAGATGGGCGCAGAAGCTTGGCGAGAAGTGTGTCCTCCGCAGTGGCGCGAATGGAGCAGGGCAATTGACGGCAGAACAGGCGCGAGAGCAGGAGCTCAAGCGCGCCAGGCGGCAGCATCAGGTCTTTGCTGACGGGACCGGCGCCTCTTCGCCGCATCCGCCCTCCTCTGCGCCTGCGTCCCCACCCATGGCACCGAGGACAGGCATGCAGCCCGGCGGCGTCTACCCGAGTCGAGCCATGAACGGCGCGAGCTCTCCCTTCGCAGCCGGCTCCATCGACGGCGGGTTCGGGGGTCCCTCGCTTCCCGCTCGAGCATACCAAGGCGCACCCTCGTTCCCACCTGCAGCAGCCTATCGTCCGCCATCATCGCGCTCCAATTCGACCACGAACTTCGACTACCCGCAACTCAAGCCAAATTCGGTCGCCGGCGCCGTCTCTGCCTACGGCATGCCTGCACCACAGCCTCCGCCTACGGCTGCCTCGACTGCGACACCGACAGCAGCTACCATCGGCTCACGCGATCGCTCGCCCTCCGCCGCCTCCGGACCTCCCATTCCCGGCACCGGCTCCGCTGGCGGCAACGATCCATCCAAAAAGCAAGTCATGGCGCCCGGCTACGCAGGCCATCTCAGCACACAAACCTCTCGCATGTACGCCAGCCCGACCAACGGCCGCAGCGCCGACGAGATCAAGATCGGTCTCACTGGTCTCAAGAACCTCGGCAATTCGTGCTACATGAACTCGACATTGCAGTGTCTCTCCGCGACCATCCCGCTGGCTCGATTCCTGCTGGACGGCTCGTACAAATCGGCGATCAACCGGACGAACCCCTTGGGAACGCAGGGGCAGCTGGCGACGGCGCTTGCCGGGCTCGTGCATGTGATGTGGGGCGAGAAGTACGCGTTCGTCTCACCGGTCACGTTTAGGGAGGCCATGGCGAAATTCGCGCCCAGCTTCCGAGGCTACGACCAGCACGATTCGCAGGAGTTTCTCGCGATTCTGCTCGATGGCATGCACGAGGACCTCAACTACGTCACCACGCGACCACCAGCGATCGAGATGACACCGGAGCGCGAACACGAGCTGGAGACGCTGCCGCAGCAGATCGCATCGGTCAAAGAATGGAGCATCTACCGCATGCGAAATGACAGTCTCGTCGTCGACTGGTTCCAAGGACAGTTCCGGAACAAGCTCACCTGCCTCACGTGTAGCAAGACGAGCACGACGTACGAGGCGTATACGTATCTGTCGTTGCCGGTGGAGCACGGGCGCGGGGTGAGCAAGGTATCGCTCGGCGCATGCCTCGACGCCTTTGTCAAGACTGAAGTGCTGGACAAGGGGGATATGTGGAATTGTCCTCGGTGCAAGAAGCCGAGGAAAGCGACGAAGCAGCTCTCCATCTCGCGATTGCCCCAGATCCTTCTCATCCACCTCAAGCGGTTCAGCTTCAAAGGCCCGTTTACGGATAAGATCGATACCACCGTCACCTTCCCCACCAACACATCGCTCGATTTGACCAACTACATGCCCCCTCCCCTACCCCCAGGGACAAGCGCAAAGATGGGCGTCCAACAGAGCATCTCCCAAACCCCACCGTACCTGTACGATTTGTACGCGGTCACGCACCACTTTGGCAGCCTGAACACGGGTCACTACACTGCGACGGTCAGGAGCAACAAGGAGTGGTGGTACTGCGACGACAGCCGGATTGCGAGGGGGGATGATAGACAGCTGCACACCAACTCGCCGTACGTTTTGTGGTTCAGACGGAAGCCGAATTAGTAGGTGGGTCGATGCAATGATGATTTATTCGCACGGGAAGGGACCAAAGAGTGTGATGTGTGGTCTACGCAGCTTCTGACTGGAAAGTGCGAATCTCTTCGACGAGGCTCTGCAACAGCGCGGGGAAAGAGCCGGGAACGTCCTGGAACTCTTGCTCCTCCGCCTGCGCTTCATTGTCCCTGTCGTCCTTTGCATCCCCTTTGGGGCCATTGTTTGCGTGTGGATCGGCGAAAGATTGAGTCGCGACGACGACGTCTTGCTTGGCCTTGTCAGCAGAGTCCCACGACTAGCCACGGCCGTAGGAGCAGCCAACCTTTTGCGCGGCGCCCAACTTTTGCTCCTTCCCAATTCTGCGTTGAACGTATTCCTGCGGTTGAACACGACGATTCTGACTAAAGGGGCCGAGGATCTTGCATTGGGAATCGAAGCGGCCTTTGGCGCCGCATCTGGCACAGATCAATCGTGGGCATTCGGCAAGCAGATGACGCTCGTCAAGCTGCTGCGCCGCCCACTTGCAGAATTGGCAGACTCGAACTTGCCCGGGAAGAAGAGGTGGACGTTGACTTTGTTACGCCAAAGGACCCAAGCGGGCCAGTAGTGGACCAGGTCGTAGAAGCGTCCACTGCCTGGGAGGGGGGCGGTGAATTCGACAAGAACCACAAGCGACTGGGCGTAGAGCCAGATCGGCTCGTCACTGGCCTTCATCGAGACAGATCCCTCCATCTGCCACACGTCGACGATGCGGAGCGAGATCGAGGCATCGTTGAACTGAGCGAAGAAGGATGGCAGCGAGGTGATAAATTCGTCGACGTGGTTGAGCGGGATGTTGTCGAGCTTGACGGGGAAAAGCAGATCGCTGGTCGGGAGACCGACACACAAAGGAAGACCAATGGGGATTTTGCCCACCTTCCACCCCTGCTCGAGCGCAGCCTGGACGATGTCATCCGCATGGACGTTGTCGTATGGCGTCTCGATGTCGATGTGCCGATAGCCTTGCTGGTTCTCGAACAGATGTACCCGCGGCAGCTTCTTGCCTGGGAAGGCGGCACAGAAGGCCGTCTCGAGCTGCACCTGCACGTACTTCCACTGTTGCGGCTTCAATGCAGGCGACATGCGGTACCGAATGACATTGGGGTTGAGAGCAAACCAGACGGTGTGGAACATGGACATGAGCTGCTTCCATCCAACGGCTGGTGCGTTGCCCAAGCTGCGGATGAGTACGCCTCGGCGGTCCCGGCCAGCTGGATGTGGGTCATCGTACTGGATAACCGTGCCCTCGGAATGAGCCATGGTCTCTCCTAGTCCGGTCATTTTGGCGATTGTGCCTCGGTCTGGCGTCCGGGAGGAAGGAGCGCTCGAAGTAGCTAGAAAGTAGTAAGTGGACGAGAGGAACAAGAAATCGCGCTGCTCAAGCTCTCATACGATGCACAGCCTTCCTGAGCTGCGCTCTGAGGAGCAAACTCAGTCGTCATTCGAAGTTGTGACTGCGCAGAGATCTCCAAGAAGCTTTCTTGTGCGATGCATTCTGACTGCATCACCTCATGCGCAAGTGTTGACCGAGCAAAAGTAATACCAAATGAGATCTCAAGAGCAGCGCAAAGGAGGAATCGAAGCACGAGCGAGGACAACGCGCAGTGAAGCGGGGCGCAAGCTTTTCATCAAGCCAACACATCATTCTATTGTTGCACCGCCAGCTTCATGTCGGATCGCTCTCACATCGCAACCCACTCCGCTTCGCCGTTGAGGACATCCGGCTTCTTCCAGGATTGTATTGCGGCCCTCAGCTCGCTTTGCCCTGTCCCGCGACTCTCGCGAGCGTGACAAACACCGATCGACGGCGAGAGCGACCCTCATGCGCAGTTGCCCATCGCCCAGGCAGGCCAAGCTTGACGTTTGACAGCTCGCGGTGTGTGATTTTTTTTAGCTCGAAGCAAGAAGCTGGGCTCTAACAACGCTCGCTTCCCCGAAAATAGATTTCGCGCGATAAAACCGGGCTCTAGGACCCCTCTTTCTTCCAGGTGTTGCGATCGCACCTTTGCATGCAGTTCGGTCGACTTCGCTTGCTTCTGTGCCAACTTCCACCATCCACCTCTCGACAGTTCGGCGCAGTCTTTCACGTTGCTATCAACACCATCACTAGACACGTCGTATCAATCAGGGCTCATCTGCGCTCAGATACAGCGCCTCTTCCCTACATCGCACACCACCGCACGCAACCATGGCAGGCGGAGGACTAGACGACGAGCTGCTCGAGCTCGCAGGCGGCTCTGCTCGACAGATCGACCTTAGCTCCGATGATGAAGGCGACCGCGTCCGAACAGGCTCGAAACGCGACTCCAAACCATCCACATCCTCCTCGCTCGCCAAGAAGCGTCGACTGGATCTGCTCGATGAGTCCGCCTCAGGGTCGGACGCAGATGCTCCAGGCTCCGACGATGATGCCGCTGGATCCTCAGCAGACGAGCGAGGCGATCCGTATCCGTACCATGGCATCTACAAGTCGGCAAGGGACATGGAGCAGCTGATGGCGATGAACGAGTTGGAGCGCGAAGACATCCTGGCCAGGCGTAGAGACGAGATCAACACGCGCAGGCAGAAGTCCGAGCTCGCGGCGCTCGTGAGGGCGCAGAAGGCGGCAGCTGGTGCGACTAAGAAAGCTGTCTCCAAGAAGCGTGTCGTCCGGGGCGGTCGAGGCGGTAGGAAGGGAGCAGACTCGGACCTGAGTGAGCAGAGCGAGGATGACGACGAGGACGAAGAGGAGGATGCCGATGGCGATTCCGACTTTGCCTACGGCGGTGCAGCAACAGCGGCCAAGAGCAGGAAGAAGAAGCTACCCGGTCAGACCGACGCCAAATCCGCCAAGCTCTCGGAACTGCGCAAGAAGCGACAGCAGAAAGCGGCTGGCGTGTCGCGCACCGCCGGCCTCGACTCGGACGACGACGCTGCCGCCGCCCCATCCAAATCGCGTCGTCGAGGGTACGCCTCGTCCGACGACGAAGTGTCCTACTCTGACTATTCGGACGAGGACGACTACCCACGTCGCTCGCGTCCATCCAAACCGGACCTCTCGTCGTCGCGCGACTCCTCCGACCCACCGACCTTGGCGGATCTTAACGCAGCCCGCATCACGCGCGACAACGTCGAGTCGCGTCTCTACGCCCCACGCTTCCGCGAAGCGCTCATCGGCGGCTTTATCCGCTACAACTGGGGCACGCGTCCCTCGACGTCCAACCCGGGTCGCACCGAAACCGTCTACCGCATCCATCAGATCACCGACGTTCACGAGGCACCCGGCAAGTTCTACGACCTTTCCGACGACCGTTCGGGCAAGTGGTGCAACGTCTACCTCACGTTCGAGCACGATGGAGAGGAGCACCAGGCCAAGATCAACATGCTGAGTCGTGGCGAGTTCAGCGAGTCGGAGCGCGAGAGGTGGATCGCCTTTGTCAAGGCCAAGGGCAACTTGCCTGGCAAGGGGAGGGTGGGGAGGAAGGCGGATGAGCTGGAGAAGTTCTTCACCAGCCCACTGACCGAGGCGGACATCAAGGGGATTCTGGAGACCAAAAAGCGATTGAGGACCGAAGCGGAGAGTGTGATGGGCAAGAGCGTCGATGGTCCTCGTGGAGGGCTCAACACGCCGGGTGTCGCAACACCTACGGCAGCAGGCGGGGATGTCCAGCCTCAGAGCCTGGAGGCGCGACTCGCCGCGGTGAACGAGCGCAACCGTGCCCTGGATAGGAGCAAGCAGTCGGACGTGGAGAGGAAGGCGAGGAACAACAAGCTCGCCGCCTTCCAAGCTGCCAAAGCGCAACAGCAGCGGGAGGAACGTCAGGCTCAGCAGGGTGAGGTCAAGGACGGGGAGGCGGACGGCGGCGTGCAGCTGACGAACGAGAAGGTGGGTCACACCGGCATGGGCAACGGCTTCGTCGCGGTCAAGAACTACGCCACGCTGGTCGAGGTCGATCTGGGCGACTTTTGAGCGGATCGCGGATGGATACGAACTAGGATGCACTCGAGTCTACACATGCATAAATCTTACGGCAATTTACATTTGATTGAAGAAGACGAGACTTGACATGTAATGCCGCTTTGTGCGGGCCAGGAGAGAGTGGTGGAGTGAAGCAGCTCGCCGTCGAGCTGTTTGAGGGGGTTGAGGAAGACCTTGTGTTGACGAGTCACAACGTGATTGTCGATAGGTCGATGAGGGATTGAATGCTTACAGCGATTCTTCGACCTTGACCTCGGCCTCGTTGTCGTCGCCTTCTCCCTCAGGCCCGGCGGCGTTGTCCTTGCTGGCAGCGTCCTGGCCCTTCTCCGTGGCCGCTTCGGTCGCCCCTTCGGCACCCTTCTCTTGGACCTCGTCCTCGTCGTTACCCTCGACGTCTTTCTCGACCTCTGCGCCTGTTGGCGTCGTGTCCGCAGACGAGGCGCCGGCAGCGTCGTCGGCCGTCTTGGCTGTTCCTTCCTCTTCAGCCTTCTTCCTGGCCTCCTCCTCTTCGGCTGCCTTCCTGGCAGCTTCCTCCTCAGCTGCTCTTTTCTCGTTTTCAATCCTCTGTCTCTTGCGAGCTTCCTCTCTTTCCTCGTTCCTTCTCTTCTTTCCCTGTTCGCAGGCCTTCTTGTTCTCCCCGTCTGGGTCCGGCTTGCCCTCGGCGCTATTGTGGCCAATGTGGCCGCAAACGCCGCATGTGATCTTGATACAGGCTTTGTCCGTGTGACGTTGATTGGGACCGGATAGATCTTGAGCGGTGTGCAGGCAAAACTCGCAGAACTTGAAGCGGCTGGGGTACTGGAGCTTGATAAGACACTCGTCCTCGAAATGGAACCACCCAGGCCAGTTGCTGGCGATGTGATTAACACACGTGATCGAGGGGTCGGGGTCAGTGTCGGTGACCGCGACGAGGGCAAGGACCCTGCCGTCAAAAGTCCAAGGTGACTCTTGCGACCGTCGCGACTGCGACTCCCATATGTCGACGATCTGGAGGGCCTCGTATGGATCGAGCTCCGTTGTGAGGTATTCCGGCAAGGCGTCGATGAAGCGCTCTTTGCAAGCCTCGGGCACTCCGAGGAACTGGACCGGTAGGAGCAGTTCGTTGGTCGGAATGCCTACGTACCAAGGTTTTCCAAGCAGATGACCGTCTGCCTTCCATTCGTACGTAGCAGCAGCAGCTACTATGTCGCCAGAACGCACGTTGGTGCTGGGTGTATCGAAGCCGACATAGGTTCCCTTCTTGCCACGTGAATTGCCGTGATTCATTCTGATGCGCGGCTCCTCTGTGAACGGAAAGGCGATCTGAAAAAGAGTACGAAGACTGTCACGCACCTTGTCGAATCCGCTGGCATCGATCGTGTGTGGCACATGAAAGCCAACGAAGTTGAGTCTCGTGTGATTGGGATCGAATTGTTCCACCAGCCTGTACCATGGGACCGCAGGTGCTTCCCTTGAGGATGCGCGGAGAACTCCTCGCTGTAGCGGCGGGCTGGAAACATCGGGTTTGTAACTGATGAGGTTTCCATTCTCATCCTTGAGTGGCCAGTCGTCCACGGAGAATGCGTAGTTCGACATGTTGGTCTGCTGCCTCAGACCACGGTAGAGAACGGGCAGGCTGAATCTTCGATATGGTCGGGAGAGAAGGGAAGAATTGCCTCGGGTCTTGTTTATATACTTTGCCGATGACGCCCCTTTGAGGAGTTTAGACTTTGGCACGCACTTGCTGAGCATCTCGAATTGACTTAAGGAGACAAAAGGGATCCGTGCTTGCTCACAAGCCGCTTCTTCACCTCGAAAGCGTCCAATCATGGTCGGATGAGCCTCCAAGACAATGGGGCCATGCACGCAACGGCCCACCTGCATCACCCCTTCATTTCCCTAATCACACTTCCTGCAAATCCTATCAACATGTCACACTTGTCACAGAAAGTGGGAGAACATTCGATGATGAGATTGTAGAGTAGAGCGAGCGGTGGCGTGACCGAGCTTGTTGTCGGAAAAATGAAGCCGGCGCAGCGTGATGCGGAACAGAGCGGAGGGCAGCAGCGCGCGATCTGGTCGCGGCCGATATGCAATTTGCGCTTTTGCGACGCGTAAAGACGCACAAACAAAGGGACGCTGCTCAGCCGTGCGCCGTGCAGATGCATATGCAAAGACATCGACGGTAAAGAGATAAGAGTTACATCGATGTTGCGGGAGCGTCATGGCAACGCAGATAGTGTGACATGAGCCTTCAAGTCTTCATGCGTGTGAATATGCGATCATCCCTCGTACTCATCGAGCTGTGCACCCTTCATGCCGTACGCCTCGCTGTCCTCCTCCTCTTCGTCTTCCGCGCCATTCTCTCCGGCAGCATCCTTGTCTTGGGCCTCCTTCTTCCTGCGCAACTGATCCCTGTGAAACTCGCCGACCTTCACGATCGCTTCCGGGGGAATCACGCCTTTGGGGTTCAAGAACTCAAAGTCGGGACCCTGGAAGACATCGAGGTAGTTCAACCACTTGCCAAACTCGTTGGTCTCGTGCTCGGTGGCGATGATGCGGTCGTAGATCCACTGCTGCTTGAACGTCTCCATCGCCGACGTATGCGAGTTGTACGAGATGAACTCGCGCAGCTCATCTTGCAGCGACGAGGCTTTGCCCGCTTCCGACTGGTCCGATTTCGACTCGGTGGGCGGCGCTTCCGTCTCTGCCTCTGACTTGGATTGCGACTTTTTGCGCATGAGCCTCGAGATCTTGTCGTTGTTGTTGCGGATCCTCGTGTTGTAGGCATCAAAGATGGGACGCTCCAAAAGCAGGCCCAGACCTGGTGCTTTGGGGATATGCACGCGCGCAGGACCGAAGCACTCGTCCACCAACCCCTCTCCAGCGCCTGTCCTGCCTACCAAAACCAGCAGGCCGATCATTTTGCGAATCTGATGCAGCATGAAGCTCTGACCGTGGAACTTGATGCTCACCCACTCGGCGTCCTGGATCATCTTGGGGTCCGAGATGGTGAGCTGCTTCATGAAGCGGTGGCACGAGCGATCGCGGAACTCCTTGCCGACGGTAAAGTTGTGGAAGTTGTGCGAGCCAGAGTAGTGGGCGAAGATGCTGCGAATGCGCTGGAGCGCTGCTGGAGGCAGGCGATACTTCTTCTTGGCAGCAATGTCGGTGGAAAAGTCGTGCGAGGTGCCCTGCTCGGCCCAGAAGGGGTGCTCGACAATGTCGTCCAGCTTCGACTTGCCATCTGAGCCCTCCTTGGCAAGCTCTTCGGTGCGCATGCGGAGGAGCATGTCGTGCATGGTGCTTCCTGGCTTGGGCGGGATGAAGACGTAGGTGGGTAGGAGGTACTCGTACATCCTGCTGTCACAACTCTGCCGCGCGTTGAAGCCGTTCTGCACGCGAGTGATCCCCCATATCCTGATGAACTCAGGTAGCAAGCTGTTGACCTTGTCGACGAGTGTTTCTCCCTCCTTCAAGCCCTCTGGCTGCAAGATGAGCTTCAAGCTAAGTAGGTTGCCCGCAGCATGCACGCCGCGGTCGGTACGAGCTGCACGTTGAAGACCAACCTTGTTGGGGTTGACGGCATTGTCTGCCGAAACTGCACCGGCAGTGCAGAAAGCTTCGAAGATGTCGCCCTCGATGGTCTTGACGCCTGGGTTGATCTGAAGACCAGAGTAGCCGATGCCGCAGTAGCCGAACTTGACGGCGACCTTGCGTTTGGGGAGGCGGTCCGCGGAGGAGCTGGAGGAGGAAGGATCCGAGGCGGTATTCTCCTCAGAGCGACCGGTTCCACGACGGTCTCTTCGCTCCCACTTCTTCTTGCCGTCCTTGTTGCGAGTGACGCTGTCGTCAAAACGCGCGCGTTTGGCGCCTGCTTCATCTGTGACAACGTCCTCGTTTGTGACCGGGGCGGCGCCAGTGGTGGTGGACTCGGGGTCGAGCTGTCGCTTTTGTGAACGAATTTCGTCCGTGCCAGCCGCGGCTGCAACCACTTCCTGTTCCAGTCGCTCTGTCATGCTTTTGATCTTGGCGAGCTTTTCGTCGAGTGAGTCCGAGTAGAGAACGGTTCGCTGTACGGGCACTCGTTGACCTTTGCCGATGCCGAGAGCGATGAACCAGTCGTAGGCTGACGGGCGAGAAGGTACCGAGAGTGAGACGTGAAAGGAGCGGCTTGGTGGAGCTGCTACTGCTGTGCGCACTAACGCGAGCGATGACCAAATGAAAGGACGGATCTTGACGAGTGTTCACAGCGCAATTGCAAGCTGTCAGTGGTCGTCGTTGGCGTAGGTGGTGAAGGTGAAAGTTGCAAGCAGCAACCTTCCGCTGAGTCTGTGTTGCTTCTCACTTTTTCTTCTCAAATTCGCCGAAGGGCCGGGAAAAAGGCGTAAGTGTGAGATTGTACATCGGCGATCCACAGTTACAGCTCCCGATGTGCGCGGAGAGAGAAGCGAGAAGAAACGGCGCTTTGCGAGAAAGAAGATTTTGAAAGTGCGCAGGAAGAAGCCGACTGGCTCAGCTCGCTCCCTCTCTCTTCAATCACAATCACACGACCAACACACATCGCCCTTCCTGAGATCACCTCGTTCACCGACTACCACTTCAGCCTCGTACACTCATACAAACAGTGATACCAGGAACGGTCTTAAGCTCGCCAAGTGCGCAGGTTCGCGCTCAACTCCCTTCTTCCACCATGGCGTCCACTTCTCGCTCGCCCTCTCCCATGGACGAGGATCCGCAATCACACATTAACGGCAACGGCAACACCAACGGTGCAACTGCCTCCTCATCGTCAGCAGGCATGAACGGCGCAACTTCGTCTGCACCTGCAGAGCCGACACCGGAGGAGAAGCAGCAGGCGCAGCAGCTGAAAGCGCAGGGAAACTTGAGATTCTCATCCAAGGAGTACTCAAAGGCCATCGAGGCCTTTACACGAGCTTACGAGCTCGATCCTACCGACTCGACCTTCCTCACTAACCGTGCTGCTGCCAAGATGAGCCTCAAAATGTACAAGGCGGCGCTCTCGGATTGTCAGCTCGCCAAGGATGTTCAGGCAAAGCAGTCGACGGATGGTATCGCACAGCCCAAGACGCTCGTTCGACTGGCGAGGTGCCATCTCTATCTCGGCAACCCATCTGGTGCGCTTTCCGTGCTCAAGCCCGTCGTCAGCATGCGTGGGCTGGACGACGCAACGCTCAAGCAGGCCACTCAGCTTCAGAACCAGGCCAACAGTGTCGCAGACCACCTCGCATCCTTCCAGAATCTCTCAACACAAGGCGATTGGTCTGTCGCAGGCTTTGCGCTCGACCAGGCTCAAACACAGGCCGGCATCTCGGAGGGCGACGTGCCGCTCACGTGGAGGATCATGCGAGCTACCGTCCATCTGCACAAGAACAACCTCGACCAAGCCAACAGCGTCATCGCAGACGCGCTTCGTGCCGACTCGAGCAACCCAGAAGCTCTCCTGGTACGAGCACGCATCCTGCTCGCCAAAGGTGACATCGCCAAAGCAGTTGCCCACTGCCAAGCTGCACTGCGCTCTGACCCAGAACAGTCGGGCGCCAGGGACCTGCTCAAGAAGTGCCGTCGACTGGAAGCCAAGAAGGAGGAGGGAAACACGTCGTTCAAGCAAGGCGACAATGCTGCCGCCGTCCAGCACTTTACTGAAGCACTGCAGATCGCCGACGAGCGATCCGACCGCGATGGACCCGCACAAGGCTTCAAGGCGATTCTCTACTCGAACCGTGCCACTGCCAACTCGAAGAACGGCGACCACGCGGCTGCCATTGCCGACTGCGACGCTGCGCTCCAACTCGACTCTGGCTACGTCAAAGCGCTTCGCACACGCGCACGAGCCCTTCTCGCCTCGGAGCAGTACGAAGATGCCGTGCGCGACTTCAAGAAGGCGCTCGAAGAGGCCTCCGTTAGTGGCGGCCGTGAAGCCGAGCAGCTGCAACGCGAGCTGCGCTCCGCGGAAATCGACCTCAAACGATCCAAGAAGAAGGACTACTACAAGATCCTCAACGTGGCCAAAGACGCCTCGGACAGCGAGATCAAGAAGGCGTACCGCAAAGAGTCGCTCAAGCACCACCCGGACAAGGGCGGCGATGAGGAGAAGTTCAAGCTGTGCAGCGAGGCGTACAACGTGCTGAGCGACGAGAACAAGCGAAGGCGGTACGATGCAGGTGCGGATGATTTGGAGTCGGATGGGATGGGCATGGGTGGCTTCCCCGGTGGTATGGGTGGGTTTGGCGGTCCAGGTGGCGTCGAGATCAATCTGGCTGATCTGTTTGGTGCTGGTGGTGGGATGGGAGGCATGGGAGGTATGGGCGGCATGGGAGGCATGGGAGGTATGGGTGGAATGGGTGGGTTCCCAGGTGGTGGTGGACAGAGGAGGGGAGGTCGTCCCCCGCCTGGCTTCCACTTTGGTTGATCGTTGTGCTGACAGCTTCACGCATGCCATTGACTTCTCATCATACAAAAGCATTTGCACGAACAAGATCTCTGTAAAGCTCGCGGTGTGTCTGACATTGCATACGAAAGGCTCGATAACGACAATTCCAGAATCTGCACTGAGTGCCAGGGGCGTTCGAAAAGAGATCAGGAGCAAATCCTGCGATGCTGGCTCAGCCATTGAGCCTCTTGAACACGTTGTAGGTAGGGAAACCGACGATGAGCTGGGTGACGCCGTACTGGAGAGTGGTGACCAGGTCGGCGCCGCGGTAGAGACAGTAACCGACCATGGCGACAGCCTCAGCGATGTGCAGGTTGACGACGAGGTTGAGCACCTTGTCAATGTTCTGGCGACCACCGAAGAGGTTGGCAAAGTCGCGGTTGTCGCGGCCGAAGTAGGCGGCGGCGAATAGGCCGACGATGACGACGGCAGGACGTTGAGGGAAAGCGTAACGAATCTGATGCATCACGCGGACGTGAATGACAGACAAGTCAGTATACATGTGCCGAATCATCGAGAGAACTCTCTGATACTCACAGGTCTGGACATGTTGGGCAAAGTTAAGATGATGGTGTGGTCGAAAGGATCCCGATGACGGACGAGGCTGAGGATGAGGTGTGGATCGTGTGACGCATCCATCCATCACACAGGCAGGCGGCGCCTCCTCCACTTTTGGGGCGGCAACCGTCTTTGAGAATGCTATTTCGGGCACCTCCGGCCCACATGTAGCCGTGTCACAAATGGTCCCCACCGTCGTGGATAGGCGGTGACGCTGGCCCTCCTTGTCGGTATATCCGGTGTCAGACCTCGTGATGAGATCGGAAGGCATCGCCGATCCATCGGAAGCCTGCCCGAAGAGAGCCACACACGGATATCGCGCTTAGGTGGTGTGAGAAAGTCGTCCGTCGGACTGGATCCGCGGTCGGAGAGCGTCCGAAAAAGCTAAATTTGGCCGGTGCGCTGCCTGTCAATTGCGGGGTCAGCAAAAGGTGCATGTGACAGCTCGAGAAGACTCATCGGCTATCCAAGGCGGACAGTCCGAAACAAGGGTCCTGGCGAGAGAGCCTTGTTGCTTGCTTGGTTGACGTGACTGGTTGCAGAGTCAATCCTCAACACTCAGACTCGTCTTGGCGCTAACCTAGGCCCCACGCTGATGTTCCGCCGTGTGGATCAAGGCTGACAAGGATCGAGCCTCGAGTGTTCGGACAAGATGCGCGAGCCCGGACCCTCTCCGTCCAGCATGCACAGACGCAACGCTACCTCGTCCACATATAAGCAGCCTAGGCTGAGGCCTCGTTGCGCCTCATTCACCCCTGACAACACCGAATAGATCACCATGTCGCTCATCGCCCTCGAAGAAGCTTTCAACATCCCCTCGCTTGCCGAGCAGTCGGCCTACCAGGCGAGGCTCTTTGTCGCCGACGGCAATGGACAAGCCCACGCAGACCGTCTCGTCGACATTCACGGCGAGCGTCTCGCCAAGATGGACGAGCACGGCGTTGCGCACACCATCCTCTCGCTCACCGCGCCTGGTATCCAAGACTTTGACGAGCCCAAGGCGGCAGCTGCAGCAGCCAAGGAGGTCAACGACTGGGTGCATGCCAAGGTGCAAGAGAACCCCAAGCGATTCAGCGCTTTCGCCTCGCTCTCGATGCACAACCCTCAAGACGCCAGCGACGAGCTGAGGCGATGTGTCAAGGAACTCGGCTTTGTTGGTGCGCTGGTCAACGACAACCAGCGTCTCCCCAACGACGAGGCGGCATGGTACGATCTGCCCGAATGGGACTCGTTCTGGTCTACCGTCACCGAGCTCGACGTGCCTTTCTATCTTCATCCCATCGCACCCAAGGGCGAGATCCACCGTCGCATCTACAAAGACCGCGCAGCACTCATCGGCCCCGTTCTGTCCTTTGCCAACAACGTCTCGGCCCATCTTCTCGGCATGATCGTCAACGGCGTATTCGACCGTCACCCGAAGCTCAAGATCATCGTCGGACACCTGGGCGAACACATTCCGTTCGATCTCTGGCGCATCAACCACTGGCTCGAAGATGGTGAGTTTAAATCCACACTTGCTCGGTACGACGTTCCAGACTGACACCTTTCTCCCTTCTCTCCTGCAGTGCACAAGCCCCGAGGCGCAGTAACGATGAAAAAGACCATCCGAGACTACTTCAACGAGAACATCTGGGTCACCACCTCGGGCCACTTCTCCACGCTCACGCTCAAGTACGTCCAGGACGAAATCGGAGTTGACCGCATCCTCTTCTCGATCGACTACCCTTACGAAAAGTTCGAGGACGCCTGCAACTGGTTCAAGACGCTCGACGGCAAGTTCTCGGCAGAGGACCTGGCCAAGATCAGTCATGAGAACTCCAAGAAGCTCTTCCCTCATCTGCGCTCCTAGCGCGATCTGTACACTTCTACCCCTGCACAGTCTATGTCGTCGAACATGTAGCAATGCAAGATCGCTTGTCACCAGTCTATACATTGTGAAGGTCTGTAACGGTGGGCCGTTCAGGTCTCGCGAGGGATGCCGTCCTGCTCCGACGCTGAGCCGTCATGTGGTGATGTCTCGATCTCGTGGTGCTCGGAGTCGACCTTGCTGTTCAGCAAGTCTCTCTGTTTAGCAAGAGCTGCGACCTCCGTCTTCAGTTGATGCTCGGCGACTCCGCCGTCGGCCTTCGCTTCTGCTGCCCCCCGAAGTCCAGTGACGACTCCAGCCGCAACGACCATGACCAACTGAACGAACCCCATGATCGCAATGAACAGTCCATGATAGAGAATGGCGTTGCTCTTGCATAGCAACGTGCAGCCTGACACGCCAATGATCGATGTAGCGCTGTATGTGCCCTCGGGACAGGGTGGACACTTAGCGTCTGCCATCGCAGGCGATGTTCTTGGTGACAGTGTAGACACGTTCGAAGAGGAGTACGAGCAGAAGGACGTAGACCAGGGACGCGAGGTTGCGATCGGCAAAGCCTACGAGGATGACCTTGTCCATGAGTGAGGAGCGCGAGGGTAGAGAAGCTGGTCGAGACCGAGTCTGTGGTGAGTGAGTGGACGGGACAGCAGACGACGTCTCGAGTGGGCCATTATATAGGCTCGTATCTGGGCATCAAGGCTACTGCGTGTGGGTCAGGGAGCTGTTCGCCATTGTTGCGCCAAGCTCATCTGAACCAAAGCTTGCGCATGCGAGAATCGACTAGATGATCTGAATAAGGATCTTCATCTGCGTGTTCTATTGTGGTTCAGCAGCGTTCTGCAGTTCGACTGAAAGCGAAGCTCGATGCAGCTGCTCAGAATGTTGTCGACCCTCGAATGAGCCCTCGGGAAGCCTCTGGTCCGCCGACCATCTCCACGCCAGTGCAGCAAGAGCTCAAAGTCAGTCGAATCTCTCTGCTCAGCGACGGAAGAACTTTCGATTTCAGAATCAAGGATGACATTGTCGATGCTCCTGTCTTCTTGCACGACCGCACACCACCCTTCCATCCCGAGCACGAAGTCGAGCACAACCTTCTTTGCCTTCGCCATCCTTCCGACGATGCAGCATGGGGTAGTGACCATCAGCCCATGCACGCCGAGCACTTCAATCGCGCGCTTTACGTCACTGGTCTGCCAGAGTCATTTCGAACGACGGCGTCGTGGGCACGCTTGTGAAGGTCATTGGCGCCGTTGAACGCCGCTCCGTTCGCATGCGGCCCATCTTCTTTCGACGTGTGCCTCGAGACCAACCACGTGATGCCAGCACCAGCAGCAAGGACCGTCATCATAGCCGTGCAGTAGGCAACGAAGCCCTTACCAAACTCGGCCGCGTCCTGCTTCCACCGCACCCATCGAGGGTCAACAGCTTCTTCGCGTGCAGCTGCCATTTCGATCTCGGTGACGGGGTTGACCAAGGCACGCTTGTCGAGGTGCTTTGACGATGATTCGTCGAGCATGTGGTGATCCGGAGAGGCGCTGACGCCCTTTTTGAAAGCTCGAAGCTGCTCTCGCTGCTGCCACTGGCGCTCCTTCTCCCTTGTCTCGGAGTTGATCAGCTTGTAGAAGAGGTAAGTGAACCCGGCCTCGGCGGCAGCGATCGCTCCCGTGAGCATAGCCCACTTGCGCACCTTTTGCGCTCGAATTCTCCTCTCAGTCCATGTGAGCGCATGTCTCTGTGGAACAATGTTGAGCCTTTCACCAGCGTTGCGCCACAAGTCGGAGAGGATCTTTTTCGACCAGCGCTTGGACAACGGTCTGTCCAGAATTGCATCGCGCTTCTTGAGGCCAGGGTCGTCGGGGGCCTTCGTCTGCTGCTCGTCCCGTTGGCGCTCCGCTTGCAGCCGCTGTTGCTCCTTCTCCCGCGCCTTGGCACTAGTCAGCCTGTAGTAGAGGTAGGCCAACGCGCTCTCAGCACTGACGAACGCTCCAGTCACGAGGATGAACCAGTTGCGCGCCCTTCGCTCTCGAGCTCTGAACTCTGCGTGACTGAGAGGCAGTCGTCTCTGAGCGACATTAAAGTCTTCTGGCGCCATTCGCCACATCTCCACGAGCGCATCTTTCAACGAGCGCCTGGATAGATGCTCTTCACCGACTTCGTCCCGTTTCATGACTGTGGGGCGGTGAACGGGCTCGACGTGAGTCTCGTGTTGTTGACGTTCTTGCTCCAACAGCCGCTGTCGCTCATCCTTCCTTGCTCGAGCGTCAACGACTTTATAAAAGAGGTAAGCTTTGGCAGCTTCGAAAGCGGCAGCCGCACCACCGAGGAGGGCGTACTTGCGCAAACGCTGTGCTCGTGCTTGCATCTCCATTGGTGTCAGCGGCGTTCTGTTGATCAAGGTCTTGAAGTCTGCCTCCGCCAACTTAGCCATCTCTGTGATATCTTTCAGCGAGCGCTTCGACAGAGACGCCTCGGAGCCTTCGTCGTTGTTTCGATTGACATCGCTCTCGATCGGTCCTGTGTACTGCTTGCGTTGTGGACGTCGTTTTCGACGAAGCCGCTGAAAGCCTTTCTTTTTCACGCCGTGATCCGCCGTTACCAGTTCTAACAGCAGATACGCATTGGTAGCTTCGAACGTTGTGGCAGCACCACCAGAAAGAGCATAGGTGCGAAATCGCTTCGCTCGAGCTTTTCGCTGACTCGCGCTGAGCGATGTCTTCCTCACCAAGCTTTTTAAGTCCTTTCCAACCACTTTGGCCATTTTGGAAAGATCTTTGAGCGAGCGCTTGGACAGTGTCGCGCCACCTTCTTCGCGTTGGCCTTGATCGAAACGATGAGAGTCTGCGACCGTCGGCTGCTCGTGCCGCAGGCGTTTCTTCTTGGACTGCTGACGCTCCTGACTGATAGCCTGGTGGATGGGCTCCTTGAAGCTTGAGTAGAGCTTGAAAGCTGCCGCGCGGCCGATGGGGATCGCTACGAAGGCGTAGTCTTCAAACCTCTCGGCGTCCTCTTGCTCTTGTAGGGGCCCGATCTGCATCTTGGCAGCCAAAGTCTCCATGTCCTGTCCCGCCTCACCGAGCCTAGTTACGCCGACTGCGCGCTTGAAGACCGGCGGGTGGCTTGGATTGTCGACCGACTGATTTTGCGGGTGCTTCTTGTTGTAAGCGACAATGAAGCCGACAAGCCCACCAAATGTGGCAACAGTGGCGGCGAAAACAGGAATGGCAAGCACCCAAGGGCTCAGCTCGCGGGTAGCCTCGACAGCATCCGCCGGCAGCTCCATGTCGAGCGGAACGATCTGTGCCGTGGCGCGTCCGTCTGCCAGATTGTTGTTCGCTCCTCCGGCATGTGGGTTGAACATGCGTTTCGCGAGATGCTCGTTTGCTACGGAGCCAGGCCGGTCCTGACGAGTCACTTCTAACCGCTTGAAGATCATCGTGTGGATTTTCGAATCAGCGAGAACAGTGTTTGGCGTAGTCCGATGAGCTTCCGAAAGATTGGCTGGAGCAGGCGGAGGTGCATCATGCTTGGTATCCTTCGTGGAGCCAATCCATAGAAAAGCCCCTGCGACTGCAGTCAGAGCTCCAGCGCCGAGGAGGGACTTGACGATCATCTGGTTGCTCTCGGAAGGGTATCGCTGCAAGATCATCTGAAAGTCTCGAGCGCCTCCCGCCGCGGGCGTGTTTGCAATCACGGCCCGAGCTGCTGCGAAAGGGTTAAAGCGCTTCACGAGGAGAGGACTCGCTTCGCTCTCCCTTTCGGATATAATCGTTGGTGTTCCGCGGCGACGAAGACCAGAATGGCTGGGAGCAGCGGCAGCACGAGCCTCGTTCTGAGCGACGGCTTGCTGGACTTGCGCCTCCTGCTGAGCCTGCGACTCGGCCACTTGCGCGTTGAGGTTCTGGATCGCTTCTTGATCTCGGTGCATTTTCTGACCTATGAGCAACGCCGAGCCTGCGCTGACGGCAGCAGCAACGGCCATACGAGGTCGTTGCTTGGGATCCTGCCAGAAATGGCTGTACACCTTTTTGCCGCCTTCAAGGCCTGTGTCCGTGGCATCAGCAGCGGGTTGAGATTGGAGAGATGGCCTGTCGTACAGTCTAGCCCGAATCAGAGCTTGATCCGCATCGCCAGTGTAGCCAGCCTCGGTGCCGGCGAAGCGGAAGGGTCGTCGAAGACGTTGTGGTGAAGAAGGCGCTTCGGAGGCTTCTTCAAAAGAGAGCCGACCGGGTCGAGGAAAGGGTTTTGGTGTCGATGCTTCGATACCGGACTCCGTAGCTTCAGCAGCTTCAGCAGCCTCAGCAGCGACGTTCTTGTTGCCCCGAATACGCCGACCGAGGCGAGCAAAGATGTCAGCGATGGCTTCCGAAGCCTGCGAGAGACCTTCAACGCGCTGTTTCGTCAATCATTCCAGGAATGGAATTGAGTTAGCCTAGTCGCATTGCGAAGCACATCATGGCTGAGACGGTTCCGGTCTGCTTACGCGTTTGACTTTTGGTCCGGATGGTCCGGCCGCCTTGGTAGGGCGTGAAGTCTTGCGAGCCAGCTCAAGATCCGACTTTGCCTCTCGTAGAGGCTGGCACGCAACGGCCGCGATCAATAGATACACAGCCACAAATAGAAAAAGAAGCCTCATCGCCGTGGATCGTGACTGCAGTCAGCAAGGTGATGAGTGACTGAGGAGGTGTGTGAAGCAGCATGCGAAGATCAACTTCGAGGTGAGAAGAGTACCGAGGCGCAAGAACAGAAAGGACTTTGGCGGGGTCGTAGATGCAGGCATCAGCTCCTCATATACCCTGAAAAGTGGGCTAGTGGCGTGTATATTTGGGCCCCACATGAAGGCCGTCATCGTCCAGGCAGTGGGTGGCTAATCCAGGCAACGAACGTCGAGCGAAAACTTCGACTTCATTTGCAGGAACAAATCTGCTAAAAGGGTCGAGTGATGCGGACTCGGCGGATATGAGTATGGGCGTGCGATGATCAGGCACCGAAAGCAATAGAAGATCTAGCTCGACGAGACGAGTTGACAACGCTTGTCCCTGAAAAGCACGATATTGAACGAGTTTCCGCAAGACGGGGTCTTTCGACTTAGTTGGAGTCAGCTGATCAGTCCGGTCTCGACGTTCGACTGGCGCAAATGAATCAAGCGGGGCCGTCTGATATAGGACCGATGACTTCAAGCCGTCGACGCCTCTCGACGTTGGCAGCTCGGCTGCTGTCATGGGATCAAGTCGGCGATATACAAAACAAGCGGCGACTTGGTGGCGACCTCGCTCGACCGAAGCAGCTCCGCTGTTGCTTCGCTTTAACAAATACCAAAAATGGAGCGCACGGACGCGAAGGTGTTGATCTTCCTATGATATTCGGCTGTGCTGCGTGTTCATGCAGCTGAAAGGGGGAGTGTCACCCTCCACCACTGTGCATCCATCCTTCCATCCATATCCTCCTCTTCGTCGACCCGTAGCTGTCTCTGCACTCGCTCTGACGTCATGTCGGCCACGCTACAGAACGTGCTCCCGGGCAACCCTGCCACCATCCGAGCTCAATCCACCAAGATCTCGGTGGATCCCAAAGGCGAAAAGGTCGTCTACTGCCAGAACCGCACTGTCTTCATTCGCTCCATCACCGACCCCAACAAACCCGCCATCGCCTACTCGCAGCACTCGCAGCCCACCACAGCAGCGCGCATCTCGCCCACCGGCTACTACTGCGCATCCGCGGACCAAGCTGGCAACGTCCGCGTATGGGACCTGGTCGGTGACGAGCAGATCCTCAAGAACGAGGTCAAGGTCATCGCTGGACGCATCAACGACCTTGCGTGGGACGGCGAGTCGAAGCGCATCATTGCCGTCGGTGACGGTCGCGAGAGGTTCGGACACGCCTTTTCATTCGACAGCGGATCGAGTGTGGGAGAGATCACGGGTCACAGTCGACAGATCAACGCGGTGGCCATCCGCAAAGACCGCCCCTTCCGCGCTGTCACCGCAGGAGACGACAACGCGCTCGTCTTCTACCACGGTGCGCCGTACAAGTACAACAAGACCATCAACACACACACTCGCTTCGTTCAGGATGTTGCCTATGCGCCCAACGGAGATCACTTTGTTTCGGTCGGTTCGGACAGCAAAGTCTTCGTCTACGATGGAAAGACGGGCGACACGGTCGTCGAACTCTCCGAAAAGGCGTCCGGTGGACACACGGGGACCATCTTTGCCGTCGACTACTCGCCCGACAGCAAGAGGATCGCTACGGCGGGCGCGGATGGCTTTGTGAAAGTGTGGGACATCGCAGCTGCCAAAGTCGAGGCATCACACGACTTGAGCAGTCAGAGCAGCCAGAAGGTGGACGATCAGCAGGTGGGACTCGTGTGGGCAGGCAGTCGCATCATCTCGCTCAGCTTCGCAGGCGCGTTGAACGTCATCGAGGAGGGCGGAAAGGTCAACAAGCTCTATGGCGCATGCAAGAGCTTTGGTGTGCGATCGCTGGATCTCGCCGAGGACGGCAAGACGCTCGTTGGTGGCAGCTACGACGGACGCGTGCTGTCATGGTCGCCAGATGGAACTTGCAAGCCGATCACGGGTGGCGAAACTTTGACGGCTGCTGTGCTGGGTGTCCACTCGACCCGCGATGGTGTCGTTGTGGCAAGCATGGACGATTCGGTGCGCAAGATCTCGGGTGGCAAGTACGACGGTGCAGCTGTAGCTGCTTCGAGCCAGCCCAAGGGGACCGCAGCTTCGACTAGCGGCGTCGTCGTCATCGCCGGTGCGCAGGGGATCGACATCATCGAAAACGGCAAAAAGACACATCACGCTACCACCTACACGCCCTCCTCAGCGGCCATCTCGGCAGACGCATCGCACGTCGCTGTCGGAGCTGAAGACGGAAAGGTGCATCTGTACACACACTCATCCGGCTCGCTCAAGGAGAACGGTACGCTGACCAACAACCGATCGGCCGTCACGGCGCTTGCCTTTGACCCTCAGCTCTCGCTGCTCGCTGCTGGCGAATCCACCGGCAAAATCCAGGTCTACGACCTCGCCAGCAAGTCGCTCAAGATCGCGCACTGGGTGTACCACTCCGCGCGCATCAACGACATCCGCTTCTCGCCCGATGGCACCCACGCGGTCTCGGCGAGCTTGGACACCCACGTCTACGTGTGGAGCGTCAAGAAGCCGATGAAGAACATTGCGATCAAGAATGCGCACGCCAATGGCGCGCAGGCGGTGACATGGTTGGCCGACAACGAGTTTGCCAGCGCCGGTGCGGATGCGGTGGTGCGGACGTGGAAGGTGAGGCGTCACGAAGGGGCGTGAGCTTGGATGCCGCTCTAGACCATGTTGTAGCAAATACACTTTTGTTCACGGGCATCTCTGTGTTGGGCAAATGGCGTTCAGCGATCGAGCCGCCAGTCGCATTTGCCTTGGAGAAACGAAGCGGCCTTGCTCGTTGGCGTCTGATGAGCAAATCACTCATTGACAGGCGGGTCTGATCACTGCGGCTCCTTTTCGTGGTAGACTGAAGCGTGATACAGTAGCTTCCTTGGTCGGCGGCCAATTCGCCTCGAGAACGAACAGAGGCCACTCGACGAGACGTCTCCTGGAGCACTGGAATCTCACTCTCATCGATGCATATAAGAAGGGAAGGTAGTTTGGCCTCTTTTCGTCCATGGTTACCCACTCGCTCGCCCCACAGAACTCGCCAGTACATTCCTTTGCATCCTTCGCTCCCTCCTCTGTACCCTCACTCGTTCGCCTCGAACATCCACACCAACCGGGGATTCGCTTGCCAAGAATGCGATTCGCCATCCGATATGCGTGCTCGCTGCTCTCGTTCATCTTTCTCGTCGTCCCCTCAATGGCTCTGCCCAACATTGGCGCTCTGATGAAGCGGGGTCCCGACGGCGAGCCGTCGCACTTCGAAAGACGTCTTCTCTCGGCAGACCCCATCTCGCTGCACACCATGATCACCAGTCTCCGCGACACGGTGTCCGAGCTGAACAATCGAACTTCCGTTCCCGAAGCAGACGATTTGATGCGGACGCCCGTGAGGCAGGTTACATCAGACCAGATCTACCGCGCGTTCAACATCCAGCCCTCGGACGCGATGGCTGACTACTACCGGCGACGCAGCCTCATGCCTCTAGGAGAAGACTCTTCGCATGCGTACCAGCCTCCTGCGCAGGGGGCACGACGTGGGCCGTGTCCAGGATTAAACACGATTGCTAACCACGGCTATTTACCCCGAAACGGCATCGTCAACCCGATCCAGCTCGTCGTTGGCACATTCGAAGGCCTGAACCTCAGTCCGGACCTAGCCGGCATCCTCGCCGCAATCTCCTTTATCGGCATGGGCGATCTCCTCCAAATGCAGCTGTCCATCGGCGCCAAATCCGGCCTGGGCGACGGACTCAACCACCACGGCATCCTCGAAGGCGACGGCTCCGTCACCCGCCTCGACCACTACTTTGGCAACAGCTGGGATGCCAACCCCGCCCTTGTGGAGATGTTCATCAACGAGACCAACACCTGGGGTCATGGGGATGTGACACCGTATTCGCTGGCTCACTCGCGCTATCGTGCCTGGGACTATGGACGCAAGTCCAACCCAGTGTTCGATTTCAACCCGTGGCGAATGCTCGTGGCGTATGCAGAGAGCGGATTTGTGCACCAGCTACTGCGTGGATCGCTGAGTCGTTTTGACGAAATCGCCATTCGCAGTTGGTTTGTCCAAGAACGCTTTCCGGAAGGTTGGAGCAAGCGTTTGGTGCCGTTCAGCACACCAGAGATCCTCGCTTGGGCAGGTCTCATTGCGGGACTCAAACCGATCATTCCAGGAACCGGCGATGGTCACGGGGGGTTTGTGCCGACGCCCAACACCGATCCTGCATATAGCAAGATGGCCGGCATGATGGGCAACAAGTACGCAAATACGACGGTGGGCGACCTGCTCTGCTACGCCGGGAACGAGGTGCTCGGCTTCATCCCCTCGCAGTTGATCAACATCGTCGGCGCTTTGGGTCTCAAGGGGGTGAGCACCGAGATAAAGTGCAAATAAGACTCGTGCGCGCACACGCACACACGCTTTCCTATACTTCTCCTTGCAAATTACTTCCCTCTGCGCCGCCCAAGACCAGCTTAAATACAGTCCTTTCGATTCCCTGTGTCCGTTCGTGCTTAGCATCCTGTTCGAATGATGCGAGCTTTGTTCCGAATGAAAATCACCCATCGTCATCCTCCTCCGCCCCATGTACGGCTTCAAAATAGCTCGGCGGGAGATCGAGTTCCATCTCCTCGCCATACATCGCATCGTCCGTTTCGAAAAGCGCCGAGTCGTCCATAAGCGTCGTCTCGTGGGCGTTTGCTGCTGGTGCAAACGCTGGTGGTGGAGACAGTGTGTTTGTTGGTGAAGGAGGTCGAATTGCTGCTGTCGATGGGGGGATGGGAAGGGGTCTGCTGGTTGACGCAGCGGCTGGGTTGCGTCGACGTGAAGTTGAGCCGCTTTCGGGACGTTGCTTGTCAGTCCGCTTCTGACGGGGTTTTCGACGAGATGCAGAACCGCCCACGAGCGCATTCGCTTGCTCGCGGGCTGATGTCGACGCACTGGCCGGAATGCGGGGCAGATCTTCGGCGTTGGTCACGAACAGCCCGCGTCGAGTGTGTCCACCATCCGAGGAAGCACCCAGGTCCAGTGAGCCGGTCTTCTCCTGCATGGCGGCAAATCGCATCGCATCTGGGTCGATCGAAGAGCGTCTCGAGCCACCAGCTTCGGCGAGCGGTGCGGCGCCCGATGCCGAATATCGAGTCTGTCGCCGACTGCTCGCGATGGACGCCGTGTCGCTCATATCGGCTGCGGCGAGGGTCGTGTCGGGTTGCGAGCCGCGCTTGGTTGACGAGGCAGGACCGGCTCGCAATGATGCTGGCGCCAGACCCTGCTCTCGGACAGGGTCGAGGTTGCCCGTAAACTGCATGTAGCCCAAACCCGATGCACCCGCCGAAGACGCAGGTGGTGGATTCGACATGCCCGCCAGACCCATCGGTGCAGCCCCTGCAGTGGCACCGGTATTGGTGGAATGGCTCAACGTGCTCGCTGCAGACCCGTGTAAGTTCGAATCGGTCGAGCCGCTGCGGTACGATCGGAAGGAGGGAGCCACTGACGTGCGCCTACTCGTCCCGTGAGCGCTAGACGAGCTCGAACTGGCCATGCTGCTGAAGCTCGGCCGTGCTCGCGACGACAACGATGGCGACATCCCCGCCGATACTTCCGACCGCGGTGCAAGGGGTGGCGAATAATCGTCGCTCGACGAGGGCGATGGTTGTGGCGATAGCGCTGCCGTTCTCGCCTCGCGCCACGCGAGACCGGACGGATAGGGTCCATACGCAGTCCTCGGCTCGACAGGCGGAGGACAGGCCAAGTTGACAGCCTCCTTATGCAGCACCGCACCATCGTGCAGTCGCACCACGGCGACGTAGTAGTCGAGCGCCAGATTGTGCATCTCAAAGTTGGGCACGCAGTTGGGTGGGAGCGAGATGATGCCGTTGATGCGATGAACGCCGCGCGCCTCGACGGCATATCGCAGGGCTGCCTCAGCAACGGGTTCCTGTTGCATGGCGATGGCGCGCTGCTTCTTGCCCGTCAGCAGACGCACCCTTCGATAAAGTCGAAACGCGAGCGGCGAGGAGCCGCTGAGATCGATGGGCTTGTTGGTGGTGCAGCGCACAATGAAGGGGATCGCGGAGCGAAGCGGGAACGAAGAGCGACCACTCATCGGCATCGAGAGCGTCCAAGCTTCGTGCCAATGCACCACATCCTGCTTCTTAGGTCCGCTGAAGAGGCCGGATAGAAAACCTCCTTTCTTCTCCGGTCCGCCAACGAGCTTCTGTGGACCGTTGGGCGATGTGAGGAACGAGAGCGGGCGTTGGCGCCACTCTTCTGGCGTCTCGATCGGCTGACAGCCATCGCCTTGACGTTGCAGCACGATCGCTGCCATGGACGCTCCGAGCGCTCGTCGTTGAAGCAGTAGGGATGCGGCGGCGGTCGGCGGGGGCGGCAGATAGACGAACGGTGCATAGCTGCGAAGATTGCGCTTCAGCAGGCCGGATCGTTGAACGGTCAGCTTGAGCTGATACTTGACCGTCACCCACGCCGGTCGGACTACATCTTTGCCTTTCGACTTGCCAAAGATGCCCGAGGAGGCTTGACGAGCTTTTGCTTCGCTGGGTCCCAGAATCAACGGCTCGATGACGCACGAGGGTGGCAGGAGCGGTGCATTCTTCTTCTCCTTATTGCCCAAGAGAGGCAGCTCGATGCTGAACGGGTACGAATGCTTGCCCTGGGGCAGCAGATTGTAGTCTGCGTCGCCGGTCTTGAGCGGCTCAAAGAGAACCTGCTCGAGTTGGAGGAGCGTGACCTCTTTGGTCTTGGTCTCGTCCGGATCGATGGCCATGCGATCGAGCGCAGAGGGCGCATCTGTCGATGCCGTTTTGGGCACGGTAGTGGTTTGTGTGGCGGTAAGCGTGAGCTTGATGGCGTTGATGCGGTCGCCCGACGGTTCGGTGACCTGGATATCGACCGTGCCGGCTAATGGACCCCATCCGCGCTCGTAGCTGCCGCCCATGAAGGTGGGCACACGCTGCGGATACGAGAAGATGCTGAGAGACGCATTGCCGGTCTTGGTGGGGTAGGTATGGACCGTCTTAAGAGGCACGGGCTTGAGGGGCACGGGTGCCCTTGCAGCCCGTACCATATCTGCATGCTAGGAGCGGACAAGCTCGTGATGGACGCTGAAGATGCTGGTGGATGCGCAGATGCTCCCGAGTAGACGGCAGCCGCTCCTCAAGCGTAGCTCGGGCCGAACAGCGCACGGGCAAGGTGCCGGCAATGGAGATGGTGGAAGGAGGATCGACAAAAGGATAAAGCTCGAACGAGAGAGGTCCCTGCATGACATCTGGGATTGTCGCGGCAAAATCTGGCAGATGTGAGCGTGTGGAGAAGGGATTGCATCACTTTAGGGCTCACCTCGCTTCCAAGACTGCCGCGAGGTCATCTTGGCTCATGGACCCCCGCCACGAAATGTCTTGGCACCTTAGTACGCTTGCAAGCATGCTCATTCGTTTATACCCATGCCTCAGGATCCGCAACGAAGACGGGCAATCACAGGGAATCGCAAGCTCAGGAACTCGGTGTCAGCCTTGGTATTAGCAGACATTGACTGGCACATCGACTGGAATGCTGCTAGGCTTCTGCGTCTTGCCCCAGCGTTGCGAATCTACTGTGACGATAGAAGCTGTTGGGTCGATCCTGGAGCCGATGACCATCCCATCCGCAACCTCGTCCTGCGCCTCGGGCAAGTCGGAACGCTCTTGGTAAAAGACCGGGGGGCTGCCGAGCAGGATGAGACAATTGACCATGGCGGGGAACTGTTCATTATCCCTGTGCATCAGCACAAACATGTCGTCTTCCGTGTATTCGAGACGGTAGGGGCCTGTACCGGCCAGACAGGCGGCAATGTCGGTCGCAGTGGTGCCGTTGTCGCTGATGGGCGGAGGATTGGGGACTGGGGACGTGACGCCGTCCCACAGCCAGCCGTGAGTGGCGGCAAGCGTTGCCAAGGTGGACGAGCTTGAGGAGGCAGGAAGGGCACTCGCTGTCGCCAAGATGCATGCCAGGAGGCATGCGAGCTTGAATACGAGCATGATAGTTGCGGAGAGACCGTTGACCAGCTTGACGAAGAACAGCAGATACGCAGTGCCGGCCTTGGAAGGTGGCGCTCGAGGATGTTAGCGAAAGAATCAAGAGACTCGAGACGATTAGAATGCGATCTCCTGGCTGTCAATGGTAGAAACAGACGATCGTGCTGTGTCTGTATGATCTGAAGACGCTTAGGGTGAGGAAGTCTATTGCACAAGAGCTCATTCTGGTCGCACGCTGGTCCGGCGTCGAGCTGGTGGGTCATTTTCGGCAAGCTGCATGATCCCACCTGATTCAGAACTCGGTCCCCTAGGGCGCTTGTCTGGCACGTTTGCAATGAGAACGTTCTTCTAGATGTAGTCACTCCCAGCCGGCTCGGCAGTACACACTCACACGCACGCCAGCAAATCTTTGGCGCGGGCAGTATCGCATTTCTGTTGAGCGCAGTGGACTAGCTCATCCAACCCCAAAACGCCTCGACCACCTCTTCCAGCTCCCTGGTCACCCGCTTCACCGCATCATCGTACCTCTCTCCCTCCCTGATCTGGCCCAGCGCCTCGGTGTAGATCTTGACTTTAGGCTCTGTCCCCGAAGGACGAACGATAATTCGTATATCGCCTAGCATGATCTCCTGCTCATCGCGCTTGCCCGCAGAAGTCGTGTCGATGTGGCTAGGTGCGACGTAGAAGCGGAGCACGTCGTTGCGCGGAATCGATAGATCTCCCGCTTCCGCCTTGGCCTCGTCGTACTTCGGTCTCGTCGACAGATCATCCACCAGACTGAAGGGGTACGATTTACCCTCCTTGGAAACGACCTTGTCCTTGCCGGAGTCGAGATCCGCGCGGAGCCTAGTCATCACGTCCGTGCCCCTCATGTCGGGACTCAGCTGAATGATCTTTTGCATCGTAACACTCACCCCCACCAACCGATGCAGTTCCTCCAATCGATCCCACAAGGTCTTTCCCTCCCTCGCCAAATCAAAGGCCATCGAGACGACAAGCAGATAGGATGAGAGACCGTCTTTGTCCCACACCGAACTGGCCGCCATGTATCCCAGCGCCTCTTCGTATCCAAATCCGAACGAGCCGGTGCCTTTTCGGGATTCGATCGACCGAGCTACGTTGCCGAGCCATTTGAAGCCGGTGAGCGTTTCGACGTGCGTTCCGCCCCAATGGCCGGAGAGACGCGCCAGCAGTCGGGAGGAAACGATGGTGCTCAACGTCCACACTCCCGCTTTGCCAGCGTTGGACTTGGAGGCGCGTCGAAGGATCTCGTCCCCGAGCAGAGCGCCGAGTTGGTCGCCTGTGAGGGCCCGAAGTTTGCCGGTTTGGTCGCGAGCGGACACGGCGAGACGGTCCGCATCTGGGTCGTTGACAATGGCTAGGCCCGTGTGGTGTTGCTCCGAGAGCGCGTGCACCCGCTCCAGCGTCGACAGCTCTTCAGGATCTGCGATGGCAAATGAGGAAGAACATCGGTTGTCAGTACGAGCACTCATCGTCTGTGAAAGAGGCGCATCTACCTACTAGGAAACTCGAGCGTGGGAAACGCCCCATCTGGCACCCTCTGCTCTGGCGAGATCCAAAAGTTGACTCCTTCGGTAAGACCGATGACCTCCTTGGACAATCGATCGATCGAGTGCGCACCCACGCCGTGAAGCGGACTGTAGGCGATGCTGATCGGCGCGTCCTTCCCATGTACAGGGGTTGCAGTAAAAGTATGAAGAGCCTGAACATCCTTGATGTAGCTGGTGAGCATCTCGTCGTCGAACTCCTTGATCGTGCCATTGCGCTTGCATTGCTCGAGATCCGCCAGCGTCGGTGGCTGGGTCTCTTGCGCCACTTTGAGGATTTCATCGGCGATCTGGCCGTCGACGGGGGTGTTGATCTGCGTACCAGCAGGACCGTACACCTTGTAACCGTTGTACTCTTTGGGATTGTGGCTCGCGGTGACGACGATGCCGCCTGCCAGGCCGAGCTTCTTGACTGCGTAGCCGCACATGGGTGTCGGGGTGGGCGTCGGGTAGATGTGCGACGGGATGCCGCGGTAGGCAAAGTGCTGCGCAGACGAGTAGGCAAACTCCCTGCTGCCGAAACGACCGTCAAAGGCGATAGCGACGCCCTTGGTGGTGGCTTTGTCCTTGTCGCTCTTGAGCAGGTGTTCGGCCAGTCCCGCCGTCGTCTCGAGAACGGTGAGGAGGTTCATTTTGCTGGGCCCGACGCCCATGACACCGCGCAGACCAGCAGTGCCGAACTCGAGTCGACCACGAAAGCTCGACTGGAGCTCTTTGATGTTGTTGGAATCGATGAGCTTGGCGAGCTGATCCTTTGTCGTCGGATCAGGGTCCTTTTCGAGCCAGGCTTTGGCCTGCGTGAGCAGCTCGGAAGACATTTTTGCAAAGCAGAGGTGAGCTGACGCTGGGTAGGTCAAGATCGGTGGCGGTGAGAAGCAAATGAAGCGCTATGCTTTGGAGCGTATGATTTGGCGACTCGATTGGCTTCGATGTGTGGTGGAAGCAAAGGACGATGCCGCTCCGGATGCTCGGGCCATACTTCAACCTTTTCTTCTCGGAGATCGCCGGCCGCGAAATCCTTGCCCGAAAAGCATCGTCGACGTAACAGTTTGCAAGTTTTCATCAGTTTCGAGGCGTGTCCTCATGGCCAAGATACGAGACTCATCTGGCCGCTGCATCACGTCTACATGGCTCAATTGGCAGACAAGTAGCACGACGGCGATGTGCAAAGGTAGATTCACATTGTCATACTGGCATATTACGGCCTTTTGTTCTACAAGTTTTGGATGATGATGCTGGGCGCACGATGCTAATAGCCGGGCACGGCGCCATCGGTAGAGAGAAGCAGCTTCAAAGGCGACGCTCACTCCTTGCAGTCGGCCCAGATCGAATCGAGCGCCCGGACCCTGAGACTGACCAGCTCCAGCTTATCGTCTCCGATCGACACCTTCAGCTGGCTTGGCGTCTGGTCGTTGTCAAAGAAGAACACCGACGTGCCCGCCAGCTCGCCGTCGTTGACAAACACCTCGATGACGCTCCTGTCCACCACGGCTTGCAGCTTGATATATTGATCCCTGCCCGTGGTGGAGAGGTGCGCGCTTGGAGGGAGGGGGCCTAGAATGTGCTGCTCAGACGTGTAGTTGGCTTCGTAACGGATGATGCCGGACGTCTTGTCGGTGAAGAAGGGGTTGTCGGCTGCGAACGAGGGACCGGCAGCACGGCGGTCGATAAAGGCGACGGCTGGCTCTCCCATCTGAATGCCGGTTTTGACGCTCTGTTGGCCGTCGCCAGAGGAGATCTCGAACGAACCAATCGTGTTGTACGTCGCATTCGTGCCAGCGGGGAGCTTGAAGGTGGCGACAATGTTGAACGCGCCTTCGCCAGTCAGCGCAACAGTCTGGTTGCCGAGGTTGCCTGTGCCGTTGGACCTGTACAGCGTCTGCCCACCGAGGGCCGAGAGGTTGGCAGGCTTGTTGTTGAGGATCAGATCGCCAAACTGCGGAGCGGGACGGTAGTACTTGAGCGTGAGCTCACGCGGCAGACTCTGGATCGACCGGAACGGCGTGGTAGGCACAACGTTGGTGTACTGCCAGTTGCTCGCCCATGCCACCGCGTAGGCCTTTTTGCCCGGACTGTTGTTCCAGCTGCTAAAAGCGTAGAAGTCCTTGCTAAAGTCCATCGTCCTGACGGCGTTATCGCGTGGCGTGAATTTGGATCCGTCCCAGTCGCCGACCCAGTACTGGACGAAGGAACCTCCGACAGGCGCGCCGGGGTTGATCGAGATGGCCAGCACCCACATCATCTTGCCGTCATCCGGACCACCCTCGACGGGAACCTGGAACAGATCGGGACATTCGTACTGGTAGCCCAGAATGCCGTACGACTGGAAACGGCTCACCTCAGTCCAATCCTTCATGTTGGGCGACGAGTAGAAGACGATGCCGAACTCCTGCGAGAGAGCAAGCGCGACGATCCAGCGCGACGAGGTCTCGTCCCAGAAGGCCTTGGGATCGCGGAACTGCGTCTGGTTGCGCGAGATCACCGCGGGCGGATACTTGGTGAAGTTGACGCCATCCGAGGAGTAGGCCAGGTGCTGCGTCTGAGATGTCGGCGTGTTGAGCGTGTAGAAGGCGACGATGCGTTGATCCTTGGGGGTCGACTCGTCGAAGAACCCTGTGGTGTTTTCGAAGTCGATGACGGCGTTTCCGCTGAAGATGCCGTGACCTTCCTCTTCGGGAGCGATGGCAATGGGCAGGTTCTCCCAGTGATACAGGTCTTTCGAGACGGCATGGCCCCAGTGCTGGTTGCCAGCTACGTTCTGAGTCGGGTTGTACTGGTAGAAAAGATGCCAGGTTCCGTTGCTGTAGACGAGACCGTTGGGATCGTTCATAAAGTTCACCGTGGGGGAGAAGTGGATCTGGGGTCGAAGCGGCTCGGTGTAAAGGGGAGGCTGGTAGCCCTGGAGCGAGCTGCCGTTGGAGTTGCGACACTGGCCATTGTTGTTGCTGGCGCCATTGTTCATCCTGGGAAACAGGTCGCGCGGCGAGTGGCGAAGGTCGAAGGGGTTGGCGGGCGAGGGAGCGGCGGAGACACACGCGGCAGCGGCGGCGAGCGTGGCCAGAGCAGCGCTGAAGAAGGTAGCCTTCATTGCGAATGGAGCGGAAGGAAGGTGGTGAAGCGAGGATCAGAGACTCTGAAGGAGAGGGGACAGCGGGGATCTCGATCGCGGCGAGGCTGTTGACGGCGGACTTGGAATCGGATCGACGAGGAGTGGCCGGCTATGGAATTCGAAGGGACCCTTGTCGGAGCGTAAATGTGCTTGGGATCGACGCCAGGATCGGAGACGAAAGGGCTACTGTCCGCTTCGATGGGGTCAGGTACTGTCCTGGAGTAGCAACGCGCGCAAGTGGGTTGGACGAAGGAGGACGAAAGTCTGATGAGATGGGGCGACCACTGCGACAAGGAGATGGACAGATCGTTATATAGACGTCAGGGAGAGGAGCGCCCAAGGAGGCGGTTGCTGGGGAGGGGGCTGTCTACCTGGGCAAGGACGAGGGTTTGTGGAGAGGCTGGCCGACCGAGACAAGACCATTGGCGCAGAAGCGAGGCCATTGTCGTTGAGCTAGCCGAGACCAAAGATGAAGCAGGGGCCTACGCTCGGTCGTCGTGTGCTCACCAAGCTGCACAGTCGACGGAAGATCCGTGAGACCAACTTGGCAGGACCGCCACAGACGGTCAGGGCAGCATTGTCTGGCAGGATTCATGGCGCTGCAACGGCCCGTACTTGCCACGACTGGTCGCCCATCTTGAGCCAATGTTGGCAGCTTTGCCGAAATGAAATGCACCAGTGTATTGTTTGGTGTGGCACAACAGCCTCAGCCAGCCTCCTGTGCCCCCACATGAAGTTGACGTGCGGGAACAGCAGCTCTGGATTCAATGGAGAGACGTCAGAGCGGGGCTTGGCAAAGGTACACGATGAGACAGAGAAGAAGAGTGAGGGGTACGAGCGATGGCAAGGTCGGCGGTCAAAAACCCCGAAGAAGGGGTACATGCATGCATGCATGCATGCATGATGATGACGTGCGACGATCAGCAGCAATCTCGTGCATCCTGTGCACAAATTGCTGTGGGGTTACTGCAGATTTGGGCATTGTGCGGGGGCAAGGCCACGCGATTGGCCGGTCAATTAGGAGCGAGCAGAATTGCAAAGAGTTGGTCAAGACACGGCAGCCCATGTGCAAATGACCGGAGACTGCAGCCATGGAGCAAAGATTTGACAACGATGGTCCTCTGCCGGGTATCGATGAGACATGTCGTCTCTTAGTGGCGAAAGCGGCGACCACGGCTGCGAGAGGGGCGGCAAACGAGGAAAGCGAGGCAGAGTCGAGAAAACTCTTGGAAGCCGAGGATGCGAGCACCGAGAGTCTAAGCGAGATGCCTTGGAGAGCGAGATTGCTCCGTGGTTGCAGCTCGCTTCGAAGACAAAGACCGCACTGTTACCTCGTTGGTGTCGAGCTTGGGTCGACTCGGGCGGGTCCGTTTCCGGTTCGAGCCGGCTTCAGGATGCTGCGCAAGAGGATGGCGAACAATGCATCGTCTGCATCGAGAAATTGAACTAAGAAGATGAGGTCGACTGGGTATGGTCATTTCGGCTCAAGATGCCACGCTTGGTGGCTCGGTCAAAGATCGGGTGCCTGTCGCTGTGACAGGCTCCACTGTGCGGCAATGCACAGAGCTTGAGTCTGTTGTTCAAGCTTAGACACTTGGACCCAAGGCTGTGGAAGCAAACGCTTGTTGATCCGTGCCGATTCGGATGCATACGTATCGAACGCGATCTTGCATTTTGCAAAGCCCTTCGAGGTGGCCGGCTAGGATGACCGCGTCAGGGTGCAGGGGATGACTGCGCAGATGCTGTCAGCGTTCGCGGACGCGAGAGCCACTGTCGTCGAGCAACAAGCAAGCCGTGTCTTGCGGCTCGATCCATCTTGCCAAGCGCGAGAGCGCCGCCGTGCCTGCGCATGTTTCAGCCATCCATTGTCATCTCAGTGGTGGCAACCGTGCAAGAATGGAGCTTAATCCTGTGTGAACGGCCGAGAGAGGTCCGATGGTGGATCAACAGACAATAGCAGCATCGTCAGCATTCCCCACGAGCGCAAAAACGGTGAGGTGCGAGCTGGATCACGTCGGCAAGTGTCGAGACCGAGCAGACCATCATCGCCATCATGGCTGAGTTTTTTGGTTCCCTTTTCTCGAGTGGGTCTTTGTGGCCGCAATTTCACTGGGCTCTGAGCTGGACGCGGATCGAGATCTGACGGTGCAGTGGGTTAGTCAGATTCAGGGTCCAGTGTGCGCACCAGCCATCCTTCGAAGCTCCACTTTGTCCGACCCATCTTCTTGACACCATCTCGGAGTCGTCCACATTCATTCGCTTCGAACCGCATCCCTTCCATCAAGCACACCGCAAAGATGAGCAAGCTCACTCTCCAGTCGACCTACACCCTTTTGGGCGATGCGGGCGTCGAAATGCCCGTCCTCGGTTTCGGTGTTTACAAGAGTCCGGCCGATGTCACCGAGCGCTCCGTGACGACGGCGCTCAAGACTGGGTATCGACACATTGGTGAGTCTTCCTCAGATTGACGCTCGCTCTCATTCAGCTTGCACTGACATCCGATCTCGCATCGACTCTGGCAGATAGTGCGCAATACTACGAGAACGAGGCGGAGGTGGGCCACGCCGTGCGCGCTTGGTGTGCCGAAACCCATTCTTCTCGTCGCGACGTCTTTGTGACGACCAAGATCATCTTCCCCTCCGAGACTCCGGAGGAGACGCTGGCGTCGTTGCGCGAATCGGTCCGCAAGATCAACCTGGACGGATACGTCGATTGCTTTCTCATCCACACACCCACGTCCGGGCCCGCTGGTCGCAAGCACCTGTGGGAAGCCCTCAAGACGCTTCGTTCCGAAGGCAAAGTTGTTACCATCGGCGTGAGCAACTTTGGCGTCAAGCACCTGGGCGAACTCATCGATGCGGGTGAGACCCCGGCGGTGAACCAGATCGAACTCCACCCCTGGTGTCAACAACGCCCCATCGTCGAGCTGTGCAAGAAACACGGCATCGTCCTCCAAGCCTACTGCCCCATCGTGCGTGGCGAACATGCGGATGATCCAGATGTGTTGGAGATCGCCAAGAAGCACAAGGTGGATTGGTCCCAGGTCTTGCTCCGCTGGTCCCTGCAGAAGGGGTTCGTTCCGCTGCCCAAGTCGGATACGCCCAAGAGGATCGAGAGCAATGCAGATCTATACGGGTTCGAGCTGGATGAGGAGGATATGAAGATCCTCGATGGTAAGGATCAGGGTGCCAAGGGTGCCGTGGCGCCTAACCCGGTTGATTGCGAGTAGAAGACAGCACGCAAACGTCGTCTTGCCCAAAACATCCGCGCGATCGCGACCAATTCAACGATTACGGAAGGACATGCAAGGATTGGATCGTTGATGCTACCGAAATGATATATTGCAAATGGAACGTGTAATGCAGTGAGTTAGATAGACAGATCCTCCTCCTCTTCCTCGTCGATGACGCTGCCCGCGATGGACGAAGCGACGAGGCCGAGCGGGCTGAATGCCGCGGCGTCCCCACTATTGATAGCATCCACCGCCGACGTGGTCTGAGCCAACCTCGGTCCTGTTGCACATTCGACATCTGGCTTTGCCGCGTCGTGCGTTGCCGCACCAGCCGCCGAAGGATCATCGACCGCCATTCGCAGCTGCACCTTCTTGACCTCCCATTCCCAATCCGTGATGCTGATCAGCCAGAACATGCCTGCGCTTCCAAACAGCAGCGCAATCGTCAAGCCCCACCACAGACCCGCCAGACCCAGATTGATCCGGGTGAAGGTCAGCACAAGACCGATGGGGATACCGATGATGTAATACGAGATCATGTTGATGCCTGCACCAGCAGCTTGACGACCGGTACCACGGAGAACACCACCGCAAATGCCGCAAATGCCATCGGCGACCTGGAAGAAGGCGAGCAGGGGCAAGATGTGCTCCACCAGCTGGATCACTTCGACATCCGAGCTGAAGAGCCAGCCCCACTGCTTGCGGAAGATGAGGAAGAGCGCCGAGTTGAGCCCGCCCATAGCAAGGGAGAGGATGAGACTGACGCGGCTCGAGATCTTAGCTTCGTCGGGACGGTTGGCGCCGAGCAAGTTGCCAATACGAACCGCCGCCGCTACCGAGGCACCAAAGGGAAGCTGATAGGTGATGGAGGAGCTGACGAGGAGCACGGACTGAGCAGCCAGAGCTACGACGCCAAGCTGACTCGTCACCAACCCAACGATCTCCCAAGCCCACCATTCGGCTGCGAGACTCACCATGCCGGCGAACCCGAGGGAGAGCACGGGCTTGATGCCCTCCCACTTGAAGGCGGCGCGCGTGAAACCATCCCATGCATCGCGTGGACCAAGCACGCACTGGAAGAAGCACAGAATCGCCATGAGCCACATGGACAGCGCCGAAGCGAGAGGCGCACCGATGAAGCCCAGTCGGATCGACTCGGGCCCCCACACCAGCAGGTAGTTGGCAATTGCGTTGAGGGGTGAGACGAACATGAGCACGATGGTGGGGGCGTGCATGAGACCTTGCGCCTGGAGATATCGACGGCAGACTTCGAAAAGAGCGTAACCGGGCAAACCAATGGAGAGGACAGCAAGGTAGCGACCGGCGAGATAGGCGACTTGAGGGTCTTGACCGATGCGAACGAGGATGGCTTCGGCGTTGAGCCAGACGGCAAAGATGAGTGGCAAAATGGCAGCGAGGATGACGCCCATGCGCTGCGTCCACAGCCCAACCGACTTGGGCTGCTGCGTATAGGCGGAAGGGAGAAGCGTGTCCAATGCCGAAATGAAGCCGGAGAGAACGCTGAAGCCAGAGACGTTGGCGGTCATGCTGGAGAGGGATGCAGCGGCGAGCTCGACGGTGCCGAGATGGCCGAGCGAGAAAACGGAAGCGACCGAGAGAGAGAGCTCCAGCAAGTGGGTTGCGAAAATGGGGATGGTGTAGCCGGTAAGCACCCTCGCCTCCCTCCATGCGATGTTGTCGTGTGGTTCGCGGGCGATGGACGCGACCTGCTCGACGCCTGGCAGTGGTGCTTCACGGATGAGGTTGGCAGCCGCCCAGCCACTGACGCCAGGACCACCAGTGCTGAGGATGCTGGCACCGTCGAACGAAGGACGGCGCACCGCACCGTACGAACTCGAGGCCGCGCCAGGTGCTTGAGGAGGATGAGTGTCTGAGGTACGGCGGCCGAGTAGTGAAGTTGCTTCGTTCGCATCGAGCTCCTCGCTCCTACGTTCTGCGCCGGCCTCTTGTGATGCACGGGCTGGTTTTTGTGATGTGTTGTGAGTAGCGTCAGCAGGAGCCGGAGCCCCGAGGGAGATGTTGGATGCTGTGCCCGGGTTGTGTGTTGGCGGTGGAACGGCAGTGCCACCAAGCAGATACTCGGAAGGAATACCTGCGATCTGAGTGTAGGCATTGACGCTGGGCCGACGATTGCGTGAAGAGGTGATGGGGGTGATGGCTAGTCGATTTGAGCGCCCGAAAGCGGGTGAGTTGGGTACAGCTGCGTGGTTGGGTGGAAGCGAGATGTTACTGAGACCGTTATCGGTAGCATCATCGACGTGAATCGATGAGGTCGAGGCTGATGTGGAAGCATCGTTGTCGTCGAGGCTGTTGTCGCCGAGTGCATTCTGATCGTGATGGTCAGCGTGTTGATTGGCTGCTCCACGAGGCTGGCTTGTTGCGAGCGCTCCAAAGTGCTGATAAGTGCTTGGATGACCTTGAAGGAGGGTATAGTCTCTGGTGACGGATGAGCCGTAGCGTGGAGTGAAGCTCATGCTTTGCGATGCTAGCTCACTCGTTCGAGGTTGGCGTGGTGGTCACAAAGATAGAGGACAACGAGGGGGTCGAACGTCGAACAAAGGAAGAGAAGATGGAAATTTGCTGCATCATTTCCTATGTGGCGCCATCGAGCCCACCGCAACCGAGCAACACACACACGGAGACGCGCCCTCTCTAACATCCTGAGACAAGAAGAAAGATTTTGTGCTGATGCTGCTGCTGCTGCTGCGCGTCTCGCTTTTGGCTGAAATTCGAGAAGAAAGGCTGAGCGCGCTACGGTCGGCTACTGTATCAGCAGGGCAACAGCTGTCGAGACCCTAAGCCAACGGCGCCCAGAACCAAACAGCTGGACCGCGGCCAGCAATCGTTCCAAAATCGCCGGTCTGCAGACGAGTCTTGTTTGCCGTCCAAGAGGCCGACCATGATCCGCTCGTTTGGCTCCCTTTCATGTTACTAGCGAGGTGACGGTGGCAAACGTCCCCTTCCTGCCTTTCACTGCTAGGCAGGTCGACAAATTACTCTTCAAGATCGGTCTCATTTGTGCCGGCAATGGCAGGCTCTCTCAGAGTCGAGCAAGTCGACTGGGATCATCCCGACGCCTGCGATCTTCGACAGCAGCAGCGCATCGACATTGCAGCTCTCTACGAGCGTGTCGACTCGGAGCCAGGAACAATACCGACGGCGGGTGACATGACCTGCTTTTGCGTCGCCTACCAGGACGGCCAACCTGTCGGCTGCGGGGGTCTCCGACGGCTGGATCACGACTCGGCCGAGCTCAAAAGGATGTTTGTCACCAAGGCTGCTCGCGGCAAAGGCGCCGCCATCGCCATCCTCGACTTTCTCGAACGCACATCGCTCAGGCTTGGCATGCACCGCTTGCTCCTCGAGACCGGTGACAAGCTCATGGAAGCTTATCGCTTCTATACTCGCAACGGCTACAAGGTCATCCCCAACTTTGGATACTATCAGGGCGTAGACACCTCGATCTGCATGGAGAAGCTTCTCGTCGACGAGTCAATAGACGTTGACCACAAATGAAGAAATACAGCATACATTCATACATTCAAGCATTGTATTTCCACCACTGTGTGCCCGAAAGCATCTTGATCTACTGACCATGTCGTCATGAAACTACGATCAGCAGGTGCTGCAGCCGTTGACGTCTCTGGCGCTGAAGGTGACGTGGTTGGTCGAGCCCTGGCCGAGCGAGCCGCCGCCGAGAATGACAATGTCCTTGGGGTTGAAGCCCTTTGTGACCTCGCGCGAGTAAGCCGCGGGGGCGTTGGATACGGCGAGTCGGGTCCAGGCATTGGCAGCGCCGTTGGCGCGGTTGACGTACAGCCCTGTGTCCGAGTAGGCGCTGACGACGACGGTGCCATTTGCGGTCGTACCGGCGCTCGATCCAATGGGCGTCCACATGACGTACGGGCTCGAGCGCGGTACAGTTCCATCGTTCGCCTTGAGCACCTGCTGCGCCTTGTTGCCCCAGCTCGCCGGGTCGTTCGAAATCTTGTAGTACACCGAGAAATCGCCCTCGGGAGCTCCACCGTATTCGAACGTCATAATGTAGTTCCCATTGCCCATCTGTGCCACAACAGGCATGCCGGGACGAGCAGAATAAGCAGATTCGGTAACATCGTTGACCACCGCACCCCAGTTCTTCAAATCCGTCGTCGTCTGATGCACGATCTTCTGCCCATATGCGCTATCGCGCTGGTCCGAGTAGTAGCAGATTAGCTGCCCATTGTTGACCAACAGGAAGGGCTCCCAGACAGGCGTCTCGCCGTTGTTGGGTACCGCTTTGCCACCGGCCGCAATGTGCGAGAGGAACTTCCACGTCTTGCCCTTGTCCGTGCTGATGTACAGGTCCAGCTGCGTCTTGGAGAGGTCTTCGGGGATCGAGTTGCCTGCAAGGAGGATCGAGCCCGCGGGATAGCCGGCAAAGCTCTGCTTGAGCTCATACAGGAATGGCTGGTAGCGAAGTCCCCAGCCGTTGACCTGATCCGTCACTGTCGAAAAGGGTGACCACGTGTAGCCGTGATCCGTCGAACGGTAGATCGGGAACCACGTCTTGCCGCCCGAGTAGTTCTCCCAGGTAGACAAAAGCGTGCCAGTGTTCTGCAAGGTTCAAATGACGCAAGAGGTGGCTGTCAGCAAGTGAACCATGAGCGTATCGGCGAAAAGGTCGACTTTGGGGAGCTTACATCGTTGACGGTGAGCATGAGAGACCGAGCGTAGAGCGAGCGGTCGCTAGTGTAGTTGCTCGGTGGCGTGTAAATCGTCACCGGGCCAAAGTCACGCTTTTGAAGTGGCGAGGCGCTGATGAGCGACAGCGCCACGCTCACAAGCCCCATAGCCTGAGTGAAGAAACGCATCTTGACGAAAAGGTGCCTGACGTTGGGTGTTGCGGAGGTTGCCGAGGTGTGATCCTGGAGAAGTGTTGAGATGGGGTGCGATTTGGCTGGTCGATGGCTTCTCCAAATCAGCGTCCTTATATCCTCATCGCCTCGACTCAAATCGTCAACTCAAGTAGCGAGCTCCAAAGGCGGGTCCTTGGATCCGCTTGCACGGGAATCATGCTCCCGAGGTGACACGAGGCGCTAAGCGAACTGGTGGTCAAAGGTCATGTCCGAGCGTCCAATTCCCACGAGCTGCGTCTGGTAGAACAAGTAACAAGGTTGCGTCTCCGGTCGCATGTCTGCATGACCTCGGCTGGAGAACTCGACATGACGGGCAAGCAGAAGATGTCCGTCCTCGCTCCCTGGAAGAATTTGGCGTGAGCGCTCGCTCATCAGAGCTGCAACCACGCGGACCTCGGCAATGTCTGTGTCGAGAAAGGTCAAGGGATGAAAATCGGGACGGACGTGGCCTCATGACCGGGCATACTGCGTGAACGACAAGCGCGGATCGTGCAAGAGATATGCGTACTTGAGTGAATGGTGGGGAGGAGCCCCGCATTCTTACCCCAGATTCTCTTCTGTCTTTCGGTACTGACAGCAATCATACGAAGGGTTTGATACGGCAATCTCGTGCAGCGTTCAGAGCGAGATGTCCGGACTCAAGGTAGATTGCCGCTCGGTCAAGCACAAGCAAGCTTGCACCTCCGTGTCACCCGTAACGGGGCTCGAGACGGGTAGTCAATCGCAACTTTCGGTGTAGGGCATCCAGCGGCGTCTGCAACGGTCCGAACGCGACCGAGCACGTTTGTTTTCCCCTCGCTCGCTTAGCAGAGAAACCTTAGCGAGATGGTCTCGCAGGGTCTTGCCAACACGCGGCCAATTCTCATATGGCGGGGTCTGAGTCCAACAAAAGACGCGGAGAGAAGATTCAAGCTCCGCTGCGGGAATCTCTCTGTCACGCAGCAGCTCGGTCGAACTCAGCAGAAGCGCTTCAAGCGGAAAAGTGGCTTCCGCTCGACGGCGAAGAGAGCAAGCTGAGATCGTCCGCGGCGGGCCATCCACGGCCATCTAGTCACTGGTCCGCAAGTCTTTCCCAGATTCTCGCACGCAACGATGAATCAAACCCTTCAAAGCCGTGTGCGACGGCAATCGCCTCCTGTAGCTGCCGTTGTCTTTAGCGATCGAGTGCGAGGGCCTGAACCTGCACTGTGTCGTCTGAGAATTCCAAGTCTGCGTTCGCGCGTGCCAACAGCAAGTCGGACGGCTGAACTCGTTTCCGACATCCAACAGGTATCGTGTGCATGTTTCTTGCGGTCGGAAGCGTTCACCAGGAATGCTCACACGGAGACAGGTACAGACAGGACCAACAAAGGTATCATGATCAAGTACATTGCGATTCGTGACAACAAAAGGCTAAAAGAGAACAGGACGTGTCGGTAAAGCGAGCAAAGACGATATGGAATCAAGAAGAATTTGCTTAATGCTTCTCGAGATCGTGGCTGTGGTTGCTCGTCTTCATGCCATCGATTTTGTCGTCGGTGCTTGAGGTCTCGTAAATGTCGGGCTGGGCGCCTTGAACATGCACAACACCACGACGAAGCTCCTCCTCGCGCTCCTTGGTGTTGATGCTGGTGTTGTGGAAGGCGACGATCCAGGGCGTGTTCTCCATGAACTCGTCCATCTCCTCGAGCGTTCGACCTTTGGTCTCGGGCAGGATCAACCAGAAGGTCAAGGCGTTGCTGAAACCGCCGACGGCAAAGAGGATGTAGTACTTCCAGCCGACGCTCTCGAGCGCCTTGGGCGTGACCTGGCCAATCATAAAGTTGGCGATCCAGCAACTCATGCTGGTGAGAGCGGTTCCCTTGGCTCGGATGTTGGTGTTGAGCAGCTCGACCGGTACCGCCCACGAAAGCGGACCGATACCGGCGCTGAAGAAAAAGTTAAAGATCCAGATCATGGCGATGAAGGCTCCACCGGCGGCCGAGGAGAAGCGCGGGCTGTCGGCAGGGTAAATGGCCTGCAGCGCCGTGGCGACCGCAAAACAAGCACCCGCCATGGCGTTGCACACAATCAACGGCCATCGACGACCCAGCTTGTCGACAAACAACACGCATGCTCCCTCGCCAGCCAGCGCGATGATCGAGTTGATGCTCTGCAGCAGGAAGATGCGGTTGTTCGAGTAGCCAAACGCACCAAAGATCTCCGGTGCGTAGTACTGAATCGCAGCCACACCCGTCATCTGGACCGAGAACTGAAGAATGACGCCGATGGCCACCTTGCGAATGTTCTGCGAGCTGTTGAAGATCTCACCCCAACCACTGGCGGTGCCCTTCTCGACGGCGAGCTGCGCCTTGATCTCGGCCAGCTCGGCGCGGACAAAGACGTCGGAGGTGTCCCCACGAGCGTGGAGACGAGCGAGAGAGCGAAGCGCCTCCTCCTCGCGACCCTTGGACATGAGCCATCGCGGCGACTCGGGGAAGAGCATGATGAGGAACGCGAGCGGCACGGCAGGCGCAATCTGAAGACCGAGAGGGAATCGCCACTCGAACACGGTGTTGTGGTGGTGCAGGTTGGTTCCGTAGACGACGAAGCTGGCAATGAGCGCACCGATGCCGAGGAAGAATTGCTGAAGCGTCGTGAGCCTTCCTCGAATCGAGGGATGCGCGATCTCGGATTGGTAGAGCGGTGCAAGCATGGAAAGCATTCCAATGCCGACGCCGGCGAAAAAGCGGCCTGCCATCATCATGCCCTGGTTCTGAGCAGCGGTCTGCAAGACACCGCCGAGGATGAAGACGATGGCACCGACCATGATGGCGAAACGCCGCGAGAAGGAATCGGCGATAAGCGAGGCAGGGATGCATCCTACGAGCGCACCGAGCAGCATGGAGCTGACGATGAAACCAATGTAGTCGGAACTGGGGTTCTTGGTGACGCGGAGGAAGTCCGGTGCGACAATGACACCGGCAATGACACCAAGATCTGTCGGAGCGAAAACATGCGAGTGTCAGTGGATCGTGAGGCGATGCGATGAAGAATGTGAATAGGAAAGCTTACCATAACCGAAGAGAATGGAGCCGAGGGCTGCAAAGCAGCCGCAAAGCCATGTGTACAGCTTAGGAGGGAGCGCCATGATGGGACGGAGAGTATGGCTGGAGGAATTGGGTGAAGGGTGGTTGGGGGACAGCCGGAAACGAGAAGCGCGAAGTTGTGGGGGATTATATGGTCATTCGATGTCGTACATGCTCACGAAGTCTCTTATTGCTCAAACGTGGGGGCCCGCAACGACCACATGGTGCAGATGCGGGGGACGATGGGGCTGACGAGGAGGAGAAGGAGGTGCGTGGACGCGAGCGACTCAGGAACAGCAGGCGTGCATCGTCAAGCGGTCGGAGAACCTCAGCTCAGTTGCAAAGCCACAGCGGCACATGTGGTCTCAGAGTGATTGAAGATGCGCGACCAATGGCAACCTCAAAGGCAAGGTGATACCCGAGGAGCGAGGACAATAGACTCGCCACTCGAGCTAACTTACCGAAGCGGGGCAGCTGGCGAGTCGTGACCGGAGAGTATTTCTGCTGTCTCTTTCCGCGCTCGCTCAAGTTGACACTCCGACTGACAGATTGCCGAAAACTGGTTTAAGCGGTCGAACCGCCGCTTGCACAGACGACGAGCCGATACCATGGCACCTCTCTCACCAGCCAACCATCGTCGCTGTTAGCAAGACAGATCGCCTTGACGCGATGAGCGAGCGATAGTTAAGGCTGACAAGGTCTGAAACCGGCGCGAGAATTCGCTGGCAGCAGCAGAGGCAGAACTTGCCCCGGAGACCTCTCTGAACAGTGTCGCGCGGGGAGATTCGTTGGAAGCGAGCTGCTGGCCTGCACGAGCGGGATGCCAACCTCAACGGAGAGATTTGCGAGGACAGGACTGACCGCTTTCTCACTCCGATCCGGTAATTTGTCCATCCCCGGCTATACCGGTTGCTTTTGATTGCCCATGTTCCGGTTCGATCCCACCTTGTGAGACCCTTAAGCTAGCTCTTCCACATGCTCATTGCTCGGCAATCTCTCACTTCTTGTTTGGGCATGCTTCATCGTGCCATCATGTGATGGCCTCGTGGCATCGCAAAGCACATCCTGAGTCGGAGCGTGACTCTTTCATCGAATCCTTCTTACGACATCGTGCCACCGAGGTCAGCCCTTCAGCCCTTCGCTTGCGGTGCATCGCTCGGCTATCTCGTCATATAGCAGCTCCTTTTCCGAACCAGCACACTGCTATGAGCGATCGCTAGGTCGGTCTCGTACCTGACGGAGGATCACCGCAAGCGAGTCTACTAGTAGTGGTTCCTGCAGCACACATGTCATCCCAGACATGCTCCGAGGGTCAGTCTCGCTCGGTCGATGTTCGCCGACGCCGACGATCAGACCTCCTTGCCAAGAGCCGCAGCCAGAACTTAGTCGGTCCATGCTAAGGCTCGCGCGTTGTTTCAATGTCAAAGCGTCTCAGCCAGCTGCCTTAAACCCCCTCTTCGGCAATCTTGATGACGACCGAATACGAAGAACAATAGAGCACCTCCTCGGACGAGAGATCTCCGAAACAGAGTTTGCCGAGCCGACCGATGGCCATGAGACTTCGGTGAATTTGCAGCCAAGTAAGGGTTCTCGCTTGCTTGCTCGTGTTGTTCTCGAAGACCCTTCTTAGCCTTGTTGGACCGCGGGGCTCCCATGGGTGCATCCTTGTCCTTCGGCGGCCCCTGCTTGTCCATCTCCCCACCCGCGAAGCCTTGCGTGTCGACGTGGGCGACGCTCAGGCCTTGGAAGAGCTCGTGCATCCTTCTTAATACCCATCGCACTCTAACTTCCCTTCCTTTCATCCATCTCCTCCCACGACAGTGAGCTCTCAAATCCGATATGGCTGGTGTCAACCCGTACGCTGCGGGCTCGGACTCGCCCGCCTCGCTGCGAAAGGACAGCTTCCAGCACCCGGCGCAGCTCACCAGCGAGCTCCTCCGCATTCATCCACACTCGCTCACCCACCCGCGAACCACGCCCTTGATCAGCGACAAACTCTACTCTGGCTTCGTCGAGCACCTCGGCCGCGGGATCTACGGTGGAATTGTTGATGACCCCAAGAGGCCCAGTCCAGCGTCCATCCTCGAGAAGCAAGACAAGGGCGATGATCGCACCAAGGGTCGTTTGGCGTGGCGCAAGGATGTCGCCAAGATCCTCTCCAGCGATGGCGAGCTCGAGATGCCCATCCTTCGCTGGCCGGGTGGTAACTTTGTTTCAAATTACCATTGGCAAGATGGCATCGGACCCATCTCGCAACGGCCGAAGCGAGTCGAGCTGGCTTGGCTGTCGACCGAGACGAACCACTTTGGTACGGACGAGTTCATCGACTACTGCCGCGAACTCAAGGTGGAGCCCTACTTCTGCATCAACATGGGGACAGGAACGTACGAGGAGGCGCTCGCGTGGCTCGAATACTGCAACGGTACCGGTGACACCTACTGGGCCAACCTTCGACGCAAGAACACGGGTCGTGACGAGCCGCACAACGTCAAACTCTGGGGCCTTGGCAACGAGATGCACGGTCCGTGGCAAGTCGGTTTTCTCAATGCCACCGACTACACCAAGATGGCCAAACGGTGGGCGCACGGTATGAAGCTCGTCGATCCATCCATCAAGCTCGTCTCGTGCGGCAACCAGGGCAATTCGGAATGGGATCGTGAGGTTCTCAACGGTCTCATCGGCGTAGTCGACTACCACTCGATCCATCTCTACTCGATGCTGGGTCACGAACACTACAGCACGCTCTCCGGGTTTGAGTATGAGAAAAACGTCTTTGGCCCTGCCGCGGCGGAGAGAGGGATTGAGATCTGCGCCTCGCTCATCGACCTGGCCAAGATCGACAAGGCGTCTTCGTTGCTGGACTGGAACAATCGCGATCAGAAGGTTGCCGCGCGCGACATCAAGATCTGCTACGACGAGTGGAACGTTTGGGACGAAGTGAAAGCGCCTGGATCTCAAGGGCTGGAACAGGCCTACGACTACACGGATATGATCGGCGTCGTTGCATGGCTCAACATCCTCGTTCGCAAATCGAAGGATGTCGGCATCGCATGCATCGCACAGAGCGTCAACGTCATTTCGCCCCTCATGACCAGTTCCGATGGTCTGCTGTTTCAGACTACCTATTGGCCCCTCCGTCTGTTTGCGCGGTACATGAAGAACGGTCGACTGCTCAATCTCGGTTTCACCCCCGACGCCTACGAGGGCCCGACGTACCCAGAGTGGATCCAACACCTCTCCAAACCGGCATACGTGGATTGCGTCGCCGTGCTCGTCCAGGACCAAGGCGGCAAGAAGGCCAGCATCCGACTCAGCGTACTCAACAGACACCCGACGGCAGACTGGAACGGCGAGATTCACTTCGACGGTTTCAGGATCGACAACGTCGAATCGCACGTGCTGTACCACGACGATCTGTTGGCCAAGAACACCTTCGAGCAACCCAACGTCGTCGTTCCCCAGGTCACAAAGTTCAGCGGCAAGGAGTGGACAAAGCAAGCTCCGCAGCCCGTACGAAAGCACTCGTGGTCCTTCTTCATCTTTGACGGCACTGTTCTGTAGCACCGGCACGGTCACCCAATCTCAGTCACACTGCAAAGAAGCACTAGAAGCAATTAAAATACGAAATGACAGTGCGAGTCGAGACGATCGACTCATCTATGAACCATGATCAGCCGGCGAGACCATCGCGTTCGAGCACCTGCCCGATCACACCCAGCACGTCTCTGCAGCCTGGCGCGGCAAACATGTCCTGCGGTTCGTCGATGGCGTGGTCGAGCACGGCGTCCAACAATCGTCTCAACTGGGCGCAAAGCACGCCGATCCTCGCATTGGCGCGCAACCTCACCCAGTTCTCCTCCTTATCTCCGCCGCCGGTCTGGTTCGTCCCAATCCCGATGCCGCCTGCAAAATGATTGATCTTGAGCTTGCCACCGAACAGCAGTAGGCCGAAGAGGGGCACCTCGGTGGCATCGCGCAGGTAGACCTTCGAGTCCGTTGCGGCGCCCGTCGAGCTCTTGGCAAAACTGGTGAGGTACGACGAATCAAACCCTTTGCAGCTGAAGAGCGTCGAGGAGGGATGCAAGAAGACTCGACCGTTGCGGTCAAAGTAGCGCACCTGACGCGCTTCCGCCTCGCGCTGCACCGTTCCGCTCGACGACTGGTCAAACTTAGCGGAAGGCAGATCGATGCGCACCACCGAAGGCCACAGCCCTGCCATGACGATCGATCGTAGGATTCCCGTGTGGTGCGCGTTCCGGTCGTACTCCGAGTCGTCGTAGATGCCAAACGGACTGTAGTGGTTGGCGACGAAGCCCATCTCTTGCAGATGCGATAGCAGGTCCAGTCGGTTCGTCTGGATATCCCTCAGCGTCGATTGCGAGATAAAGTGGCTCTCGCACCAATTTCGGATCTCGCCGTTGGGTGTACGATCGGCGCGCATCGTCTGCCACTGCTCAAAGGCGGCTGCGTCGGCCAGGAGGTCGCTTTTGCAACCGGCGATGGCAAAGCTGGCTCGTGCCTTGCTCACCTCGTCCCGCTTCTCGAAGGGGGCCGAAAACAGCGGCTTGCACGACATGATGCTCGCCACGGTCAGCATGGGCCCCAAGCAGCCAAAGATGGTGCCCATAATCAACAGCTTGGCTAGTCGCAAATCCAACGGCAGCTGCGCCAGGTGCTTACCCAACGACGTCAATCTGCTCTTGTATCCTCTGTCGGCTCGGAGCGCCCCGGCCTCGATGAGGTTGCTCAGCGCCGCATCCATCGACGCCAGACTCGGCGGATCCAACGCCTTGTTCAGGTACTCCTTCACATCCTCGTCCTCGCGCATCGACTTGACTTCCAGGAAAAGCGACTCCAGCGGCACGCGTCGCATCTCGGGCGTCTGCTGCGCCGCCATCTTCTTTTCGTCGACGAACCGCGTGTAGAGGCGGAAGCACTCTCCGGCGCGAACACGACCCGCACGTCCACGTCGCTGCTTGCATGCAGCGCGAGAGGCCCAGCATTCGACCAGCCGCGTGAGGCCGCTTTCCGGCTCAAAGCGCGTTTCCTTGACCCGACCCGTGTCGACGACGTATGAGACATCCGGGATCGTGATCGACGTCTCGGCGACGTTGGTGGACACGACGATCTTGCGGTGACCCGATCGGACGGGTTGGAACACGCGTCGCTGCTCGTCCGGCGACAGGTTGGCATGCAGCGGTAGGAGGTCCACCTTGCTCTGCCCACGCAACGTTGTCGAGATCGCATCGATCGCTTGTCGAATCTCGCCGACACCGGGACAGAAGACCAGGATGGCACCTCCGACGCTGGCGTCTGCGGCCCCACTGAGCTCCTCGTTCTCGGCCCTTTCCACTACGTAGCGCACCACGGCGCCGATCAGCTCGTAGCTGATCCGACCTCCCGAACGCGACACGCTCTCGACCGCACGCATCGTCTCGTCGTCCACCTTCTGCGCCTGCAGGTGGGTGCGCAGCTGACCCATCTCCTCCTCGATCTGCTTCCCACCACGTGCGCCGTATCGGAACTCGTTGCCCGAAGGCTGAAATCCGCTATCACGCACAATGTCCTCCAGATAGTAGTCCTCCACAGGGAAGGTGCGGCCTGGAATCGAAATGCACGGTGCTCGACCAAAGTAGCTCGCAAACGTCTCCTGGTTGATCGTGGCACTCATCAGCACGACCTTGATTTGGTGGTTGCGCTTGAGGAGCTCGCGCAGTTCGAGCAGGAGAAAGTCGGAATCGACGTTGCGTTCGTGGACTTCGTCGACGACGACGTGCGAGATGCCCTTAAGATCGGCATCTCCGCCGGCGCCGAGTCGTCGCAGCAGCACACCAGTCGTGGTGAAGAGCAACCTGCATTCCCGAGAAGCGCGACGCTCACCACGGATGGCGTAGCCGACCAAGCTTCCAGAGGCTACGGGCTTCTTCTTGCCATCCAGGTCTTCGCCTCGTTCGACGGCGACCCGCGATGCGACACCGATGGCGCTGACGCGCCGCGGCTGGGTGACGACGATGTTGCACTCGCTGCCGCTGCCCGCCTCGATCGCTTGATCCAGAATGAACTGTGGCACCTGCGTCGTCTTTCCGCATCCCGTCTCACCAGCGATGATCACCACGCGGTTGGTGCGGATGAGCTCGAGGATTTCGCCAGCAGCAGATGCGGCAGGCAACGAGTTGCGGATGCTCGCCATCTTGGAGAAGCTCGGCGAGGAGTGCAGCTGCTGTTGCTGGCGTTGAAGGTGAGCGTCGACCTGAGCATCGCGACGAAGCGGTCGGCCTCCTCCGGCTCGGCGCTTGTGGGTGGTGTTGCGGTGACCGGTGGGCGTCGCAGCGCGAGACGGGTCGGGTGTCCCCTCGACGCTGGGGTTGTGCTCGGTGGCGACGAGGTGCTGCATCACGCTATTGAGCAGAGGTGGGTCGTCGACCACTTTAGACCATGTGCTTTCGAGCTCCTCTACGATGCTCAACAGCACCCCTCCGTCGCCCACCTCGATGGCGTCGAACCAGTCTGGCCGCTTGTTTTCTCCTTCAAAGGCACGAAGCAGGTGCTGCGTGAGTGCGAGCTTGAGATACGACGGCAACGTCTTTGATACCACGCAGAAGGCCGGTATTGCCATAGCGTCCGCCTTTTCGCGAGCCAACGGATAGAGTGCGTACGGATGCGAAGAGATGCGCAGACGGACATCCTCCTTGCCACCCACGGAGGTGCCTGGTCCAGCGATGGTGATGTCGTAGTCGTGCGGTCCGAGTCGTTCGTGATCTGAAGGAACGACGACGCGGTCCTCGCCCAGAACCGCTTCGACGGCCATGCGTTCGTCCGCGCGCTTCGACTCGATCTCCTCCTTGTCCTCGTCGTGGATCTCGACAGGAAAGGAGAGGACAGCATCGAGAATGGCGTTCGATGTCCATGGGTCCTCGGTCTGTTCGGCTGCATCCCAGCCGGCCATCTGTCGCAGCAGCATCTCTAACGCCAAGCCTTCTCTTGCCGCCCTTGGCAGGTCGACCGATTGCGATCGCTCTGCGGCCGCAATGCGTTTAAAGACCGCTTGGACCGTCTTCCTAGGGAAACCAGCCTGGTTGGAGAGCTTGTCGATCGCCCAGCCGAGAGCGAGCGCGTCGCCGCCGGCACCCGCCTTGGAAGCGGTAATGAAGCTTTCCGAAGACGTGCTGGGCTTGAATCTGGTCGGCAGGTCCTCTTCGGGGGTGTAGAGCATGAGATACTCGAGTGCGGCTTCGCGATCAGCCAGCGTCGCAGCAGATGCAAGCATAGGATCGGTGAGCGACGATGCACCAGAGGAAGAAGGGTTGGCGAGGGCGGTGCGTGCCGATGTGAGCCAGGAGATAGCGCTTCTCGCATGTCCACGTCGAAAGCCGTACGATGTGAGCTCCTTCTCGAGGGCGGCCGCGTCGACCTTGGGCGTTGAACTTCCAGCTTCAGGGTCCTGATCCTCTTCGATCAGATCGAGCGGCGCAGTGCTGGCAGAGGGAAAGATGCTCATGGCGCGACGAATGGTGGCCTCGATCTTTTCTCGCAAGGCGCTAGCAAGTCGGACCTCTTTGGCCTCTTGCCATGCTTTGCTGAGTGGCTTGCCGACACCGTTAAGCTTTCCGTTGACGATGCCGACCTCGCCTCTGTTGGCGGCATCGGCAGCTGCCTGCCTGTCTGACTCCTTCTTGGCCTTTTCTGCTTCTCGTTTGGCGGCGGCTTCGAAAGGGTCGTTCTCCCACATCCAATCCTGATGACTTGGTGCGGTCTTCTTGTAGGCTTCCATCTTGACCCAGTATTCTCTCGGCCCCGGTGGAAGCGCGAGGTTGAGTGAGAGGTGGTTGAAGATGCGAAAGAGGGCGTAGGTTGCGCCCCAGTGCTTGGCCTCGAGACTGGACTGGCATTCGAGTCGGAGTCCAGGTTCTTTTGGCTCGAAGATGACTGTGAATGGGTTGGAAGCATCTTTCTTGTTGACTTTCTTGAGCGTGACGGCACAGCTGTAACCTTCTTTGTGTCTGCGTGGCTCGACGATGGGCTTCTCCCAACCTGGCAGCTTGTTGACTCGTTCGTAGAGCATGTTGAGCGGCGTCTTGCTCCCGGGTGGGAAGAGCATCTCTCGCTGTGACGGGCCGGCAGTACCTGCCGATGGCGCCGAAGAGGGACCTCCTGATGCGTTGTCGGGTGCCGCATCTTTGGTCTTCTGTGCTTGAAGCTCCTTGCCGGCTTTGGTGTAGGAGGGAGGTGGTTTGGGACCTCCACCTTTGACCCAGTCTGGGAGGGGCGATGCCTTGGACGAGGTGGTGCCGCTCGACTTGATGGCTGGGTTCTTCTTCCTGGGGGCCATCTCGCGACGTCCTTGGGTCGCCTCGACCAGATCCGAGGAAGAGCGTGAGTCGAGAGGATGGTGGACAGATTCGTCGTCGTTTGCTGCGCCATTTCAATTCTTCTCGCACACCTCGAAAAAATCCAACTCGGAATTCGGATCGTCATCGACGCACCATCAGCCTCAGACGATCGTCATATGCTCTGTCACTTGACACTTGACGAGTGTCTTTCACATCTTGCAGCAGACTAAGACCGAACGCTTGAACGGACAGGATCGTCTAGAAGTCGTCACGATCATAGAAGTAAGGACAAAGCGACCTATTGGCGCCACCTTGACCAGGTCCAATATTTTTGTGGACGCGACCGCGCGGTAACTTTGCTCCACAAAGTAACACACCTGAAGCGGTATCCAGCGGTCACCACATGATCCAAGCACTGCGTAATGCCTTTGTACGGGGTACGAGTGCTGAGCTGCAGGCCAACTTCTGACAATGGACGGTGACAAGTTGGCTCGTTTCGGGTTGGTCGCTGCCATGTTTCAGAATGCTACTCTATCTCGGTCAAGGCAAGGTGCGATGCTGGTCAAAAGACGTATTCAGAGTGCAATTAAATGAAGCCTATCACGGCCGCTTGTTGTTGACTGAACGCTCATCCTTGCTCCGCCACACCGCTCTGCCAAAGCAGCAATGACTTTGTTGGTCGTTACGCGTGACTGAAAGGGACTTGGATTTCAATCGCACCCTCGAAGCTAACTCGAGCGGCACTGGCAGAGGGCGCGAATCTCGTCTGTGCCACTCTTGCAGCAACCACCTACAAAGACGCCCCTCCAGACATCTGGCAGGTTGGCATCGCTTGCCGAGGTGATGCTTTTGGCCAGCTTCATCAAATTTGATGCCCACGACGCTGCCGAATTATCGCCGCCCAGGTCACCTGCATTGGACGGTGTAAGCCAGATCTTTCGCACAGCGTCGTACACGAGTCCTCCGTCTGGATAGAGGAAGAGCAGTGGCTTGTGCAGTCCCGCCGCGTTCCTTCTGCTTTCGAGATTCATTCCGCCTTGGCTAGCGGGCCGATTGAGTGTCGCGAGCGAGGCCGACATGCGATGTGTTAGCTTGGGCAGCAGGTAGGGCTTGGTGCAGTTGATGCCGATGCCGCTGATGGGCCAAAGCGAATCCTGACCTTGCACCTGTGTATCGGTGACGATCTGAACTAGCCAGTTCATCTCCTCTTGTACAGCTCCTTCCTCGTCGGCTGCGTCGTCGTCGTCGTCCGCATCGTCCTCCTGGCTCATGTCAATATCGCCTTGCTGATCGACAGCAGAGCTGAGCTTGAGAGGGGGCCAAGGCAGACGTCGGTCATCTGGAAAAGCCATGCTGATGTACACCGGCTTCCTGTCCAATGACCTGCCCTGCTGTTGGTGCGCTCTCGCAATGTTCTCCAATGCCATTCGGAAGGCGAGCGCCTCGTCGGCTCGCGGCACCGTCTCGAGCGCCAAAACTCCGACGTCCTGCCAGCTGGGCTGCGCGATGAACGCCTCAATACGTCTCTGGTGAAAAGCGGCCATCTGCTCGAGCGAAGGCTGCTGCTCTCGTTGTGGGTCGGACTCGGGGAGGAAGGTAGGTCGATAGTCGCCAGTGTACTCTGCTCCGTTGCTGAGCATGGCGCCGTAAGGACCCAAGCTGAGGCTGATGATGGGTTGCGGTGTTGAGGTTGATGCTGCCGCGCTGCCATCATTGTAAGAGTGGACTGCTTGACACGCCAAGTCGACCGCCTTTGACATGAGATGAGACGCGGAAGGCTGATCGTAATTGGCCCTTGCAAAGGACTCGAGCGAGGCTTGATAGGTGGCAGTGCCGATGATACCTGCGCCAGCTTGTAGATAGTGGAGATGCGCATCAAAGATGCCCTTTTGTCCTTTCCCGTTGCTCACATCCGGCTCTTTTTCGTCGAGCAACCGTGCGCTCCACAGCGGACCTTTGGAGAGATCAAAGTTGAGGCCATCCTCGAGGTAGGTGGCCAGTCCACCGTCCAAGATGCCGATGCGAGATGAGTCGAGGAGCGCTTCGAGGGCGCCATGATCGATGGGAGCGGCGGTCATTGTACAATTCGTCACTGCGCTGGTGTCGAGATGGTGATCAAGTAGGAAGAAAGGCTCGCACAGACAAATTTCTTCCTCCGCACGAGGATCAGCCGCCAATTCTTCCGCGCTATCTTATCGCTAATAAGCCAGCATTGACCAATGCAAATGACGATCTCACATCTCAAAACAAATGCACGGGGCACGGTCGAGAGTGTTCCGAACGAGAATTAAAGCTCAACTCTGCTCATTCGCCACTGTTTGCCGTCGTTCCTCCTCAACTGTCCCGTCTGTCTGTTCTACCGTGCCGTCGGCAACTCTCATCTGCATGCACGCCGTCGACCCTTCCACGAGGCCCGCATCTTCCTCTCTCTGTTCCACTGGATACGCGAGATTAGAGGTCCAGTCCTCCAATCAGACGACTGGGCCACTCCAAGCAAGCTCCTCCTGGAGCTGCCTCCGTTCCTCCCCTTCCTTCCACCACCTCGACACATCGTTCCCGTCGAGACGGCCAACACAGACGGCAACGATCGCCCAACATGCTCGTCCCTCTGCTCGTCTCGTCGATAGCAGCCGGTCTGCTCTCCGTCACCACCTACTTTCCTTACAAGAACCACCTCAAGCTTCACGGTGACACCCTCGACAAGGCGGCTCTCTCTTCGAACCATCTGCTCAACATCGAAAATTGCTATCCCATCTCAACACGGTTGCCACACGAGCCAGCTGCGTCTGTCGAGCCTCAGTTCTGCGAGGATGTCGTTCTGGATCAACGCTCCGGTATGGCGTATCTCAGCTGCGACCCCACCAGGCTGACCTGGGATGCTCGCGCAGGCATCTACGAGGACGGCAGCGACAAGCTCGCCTCGGAGTACGGCACGCCCGCTATCTGGGCCTGGGACACACACAAACGCGGTCTCGCTCGCAAGCTCTACATCTCGCTCCCGCCCCCCGAGTATCCCATCCAGCCACCCGCCGATTTGCGCTCCACCTTTCACCCGCTCGGCATCGCAGTCACTGCATCGCACCCTTACTTTGTCGAAGAGGTGGATGAGGGGGTCGAGCCTCGACCGCCGCCGCCTGCGAACCTGGTCATTGTCGCCAACAAGCCCTACGCCGATCGCCCCGGTGTGGTCGACATCTTTGTCCACGATCTCGACAAGATCGGTCGCAAGGACCATGCGACGCTGCGCTGGCTCAAGCGCGTCGAGGGCGAGGCACTCACCGGCACCCACGTCGATATGGATACACCCTTCAAAGTGGACCCTTTCCGCATCGCCGTCTTCGAAGAGCAGTACTCGCAGCCCTTCGACCGCGACTACCCAGAGCCGCAGCATGTCCGGGACAATCCCGACCACCTGGCCGGATTCCATGATGACGATGTTGCGGGCAAGGCGTTGCGTTCTATCCGCATCCCCAGCTTCTTCGTCACCTCCCTCCCCGATCGAAGCGGTTCATCTGTGGCCAAAGGGCGATCTTCGCTCTTCTCAGCCGTCTGGCAGCCCGTCGCCTCGCTTTTGTCTTCGCACTACTCGCTCAGCAGCGACCCAACCACGCGAAAGGTCTTCCTCCACCATTCGTCGATCAACAAGACGCTGTCCGTTCGACTCGACGGTACCGACCCGGAGCAATGGGAAGGGTTCCCACCGCTCCTCCAGACTTGGAACGGAGGAGGCAAGGCCGCTGGCGCCAACTCGTCCGCTACCGCGCTCTACATCCCTTCGCTCGGGGCGGATTCGGCCAAGGTGCAAGAGTGGGAGCAGCATTGGGTCCGAGGTATCGCAGGTGGTATTCGGGATCACAACGTCCTCCACAAATCCACCACCTCCGATGGGCAGCCGAACAACCTGCTGCGCATTTACAAGACGTATACGCCTTCGTTCGTGCAGTTCTTTGCGGCCGAGCACGAGATGCCGGTGAGGGCGATGGTGGTGGATCCGCATGGACGAACGTGGACTGCTGGCAACCCGTCCACTCGTGCGGTCGAAGACTGGCTCGCCTTCCAGCGCGATGAACGGAGGAGACGCTTGGGACTTCCTGTCTCGAGCGGGACGTTGTCCAGTTCAGATCGACCCCCAAGACCAGCGGGTAGGATCGATCAGACCACCTACGTCTTCCGTCACTTTGGTAGCGTCGTCGCCCACCCTTGGGAGTCGGACAAGCTCAAACTCAAGAAGCAAAAAGGCGTCTTCCTGCGTAAAGAGTTTCATACGTTTAATGTGTTCAAGAGTCCGCAGGAGACCAAGGCCGAGAGCGAGAGTAGAAGTGAGGAGGAGGAGCGAAAACGTGGATTCTTGCCCACCGTACCGACAGGGTTGGCGGTGGATATTAAGCGCAAACTGCTGTATGTTGCGGGTGCGTATGAGGAGCGCGGTGTGGCTATCTGCAAGCTTCCCGAGGACTGGATCGAGGCGTAGATATATCGAATAGACCACCATATGAAATGCCCAGAGAGTCGTGAAGGACCCTCGCCGGCGGGGGCCAATGGCAGATCGAGATCATGAACGTCGCCTCCGCCAGGGTCGTGCCAATCTAGTGCGTCCATAATCTCATCGGAGAGGAACGTGCGAGACCGAAGCAGATTGATGCTGCGTCTCCTGTCAGCCAAGGGATCAGAACGATTGGATGAATATGCAGCGAAAGGGGCCGTACAACAGGAATCTGCGTCTCTTTCACTCGTCTTGCACTCGCTCCTTCGTCGCTTCCCCTCGCACGCGCCCTTCGCTGTTGCCCGCTCCCCTTGCGTTCGTTGCGCCGACGTCCGAATCACAATCACATTTCGAAGATCCATGCTCGGGATCTAGCATGCAGGCTATGATTTCTTGGCGGGAGGCTCATGCGCAATGAGCGTCACTCCGTTCAGGCGGAGCTTACCTGTCGCAGAAGTCCTGAACACGAAGCGTTTGCTCAAAGATGCTCTGACTGTCGAGGTCAGAGGGCGTCTCGAGGGGCAAGGTTGCACTCTAGCTGCTTCAGATGGGAGCGATCCGATCCTCGCCACGTCTATTCTCATTTGTGCAGGCGAGGCGATCTTCGCTGCGGCTTTGAGGGTCGTCCTGTAGAGGGAAATTGGCTGTAGCAGACGCTCTGAGTCCACAGTCTGTTGACCAAGCCTCCTCTTGCCTGTTGCAGACAGCAATGTTCGCGAACGATGCTACCAACTCAAAGCTATAAGAGAGCGGCCATTTGGGAATAGAGAAGACCTTTCCTCACCAAATCATCCTCAAGCCTCACTTACAAACACAGCCTCCTCGCTCTCCAATCCATCTCAGCTTTGACAGCCCAATCTTTCAACCTCAAGATGCAGTTCACCGCCACCATCTCTACCTCGCTCCTCGTCATCGTGCTGGCCACGATGGCCTCGGCCTCTACGATCGTCGATGTCAAGCGAGACATCATCACGATCGATGCCTCGATCGTCAACCTGTACCAACACCTGCAGGCGCCCAGTCCGAACGCGTTCACCGCCTTTGCTGCGCACCAAGCGTCAAACCATCTCATTGCCGACATCCGCGCTGGCTCCACGTGCATCTCGCAACTCACCGAGAAACCTACGGATGCCGATGCCAAGTTGATGCTCACCACCCTGGGCAAGACGGAGACCAAGGCCAAGGCGGTGGTCAACAAGATGATCGCTTACTACCCCAAGGTCACCGAGATGGGTGGACTCAAGATGGCCACGAACACGGTGCTGGAGCTGCAGAGCCAGGTGAAAACCTTTAGCGAGCAACTGGTCAGGTTGGCGCCAATGGAGGAGATGGGCGCCGCAAAGCAGTTGGGCGCACGATTCAATGCCGATCTTACTCTGTGCGCCGATGTGTACACCGGCAAGACCAGCCCAGAGGCCGCCGCAAAGTCCAACGGTGGATTGGCGTACAACACCGAAGCTGGCACTACCAATGTGGCTGATCAGGCCACGACCGACGCCACTGCTCAACAGGCTTAGAGGTGATTGGCGAGACAATGCGATGAGTAGCTTCCCATAACGCCAGTCGTTGATCACCTCCCTTTGCTGGTAGGACCACACCTTCCTGTTTAGCATCGTCGAGGATCTCATCTCGCCCTCATCCTCCTCGTATCCATTCCCGTAGTCACTCAATCCGAACTTTACCCTTTCTTCATCATCATCGTCGTCGTCTGTGGGTCCAGTGCCGGCGAGTTCACAGCCAGCCGGACCTGAGACACGCTTGGGCTTGGAACCTCGATGCATATGCGAGCCTCGTACGCCTCAAGGGACGATTCAGCCCCATATGGACAGCACTTCAGACATGGCAATCTACAGCAGGTTGCAACCTACGCCAACGTGCCGGACTGAGTAGTAGGTGAGTTGATTGCCAACTCACATCCTGCTTGTTTGAAGCAGGAACAGACAGCACGAAAAATGCGGTCACAAAAAATGTTTCGACAAGCGGGCTGCACCTCACGAGCAAGAAGATTTCAATGACACACGCCCAAACCAGCGGATGAGAATCGGGGCTCGTTATGGCAAGACTATGTACAGTGGAAGACGAAAGGGTTTGAGGGGTATAGGAGCTCGAGAGTGTCTCGCCTAGTTGGGGGTGAAGAGCAACTGGTAGTCGGTCATGCCGCTGGGGTTGACGATGACAGGCTGGCTTCCGTTACCGGCGGCGAGGGTCCAACCGAACTCTGGCTTGTTCTCGCTCTTGGTGGAACCGAGGTAGTGCACCTCGTAGCCACGGGCATCCTTCTTGAGGCGGAAGAAGTTGGGCAGCTGAGCCTTGCCGTCGCCGGTCAAGCACTGGTAGGTGCTCTCCAGGATGTAGTTGTTGACATTGCCGTTGTCGGTCGGGATTTGACGGCTGAAGCAGGCGGTACCGTTGTATGCCGCGGACTGAAAGTGACCATAGTAGTCGCCATCGGTCGAGGTGTATCCCATGTAGTCCGAGCTGCACTGGTAGAAGTTGAACGTCGGGTTGCCGTTGGCGTTGATGAGGGGCGATTTGGCATAGGGGAAATTCGAAGGGAAGTCGGTGGTGACGCTCTGGGTGGCACCCGTCTTGGTGTTGACCAGCTCCATGTTGCCGCTCTTGACCAGCTTGCAAGCGGGAGATGTCGGGGCCGGCTTGGTGGTAGGCTTGTACTGATCACCCAGCTGACCGATCAGCTGGTGCGCCCGATCGCCCGTCTGCGCGTTGCTCGGCTGGAAACTGTTGAACAGCCACTTGTCGTTGGGACGCGACTGATACTCGGTCTGCAGGCTCCAGTGCGAGTGTCCACCCGCTCCAAACGTCTCGTGCTCCTGAGGTCCCGCCTTCTTGCCCAAGAACACGGCCGAGTAGAAGTAGGTAAACGTATCCAGCTGGAACTGGAAGTGCTGAGCAGCCTTGACACCACCGTGCGCGGCATCACCGCTGAAATCACACGGCTCCATCTTGACATACGAGTTGGGACTCTTGATGTGTTGGACACTAACACACTGACCGTCGGGCCCACGGATGTGACCCTGGTAGGTGGAGATGGCTCCCTTACCCTCAGGGTACTGATCAGGAGTGTACTGGCACTGGATGAACTCAAACATGGTCTGATTCTCGTACGTGGGCGTCTTGGACACGGCAATCTGGTTGTCGTTGTTTGCGTCGATGGTGAGGTAGTAGGCGGGTGGAGCATTGCTGTAGATAGGGATGCTCGTCGAGTTGAAGCCGAGGGCACCCTTGCCGAGGATCTTGCAGTTGGCACGCCTGGGCGACAGGGCAGAGGGAGCAGCGGCAACAGCTGGGATCAGCGCGATGGCGGCGGCGGCAGCAGCGGCCGAAGCAGCGAGGGTAGACTTGAAAGGCATTCTTGTGGATGGCGAAGCGTCTTGTGGAAGGGTGGGTCGATGAGGATAAGAGGGGGAAAGTCGAGGGCGAATCCAGACGCCTTATATGCTGTTCAGTTGGCTCGTTGGCCGTGGATGTCGGTTCGCTGTACGTACTTTGATGCTACTTGCGTTTTGGATCTCAGACAGGGTCACATGAGGTACATTCGACGCAGGGCGGGAAGGACGGTTCCATCTCGATGCGGCACGGGCGCGAAACAGGTCGGAGTGAGTTGAGAGAAGAGGACGCACAGCGGTCGGCTGCAGAGAGTGTTGTTGATGCCGCCGGATCCCCGGGGACGAGGATCGCCGACGGTACCCCAGGCCAAGGACGAGCTTTGAGCGGAAGAATAGTACCAACGGAAGCACAGACTAGGAACGGATGCACGGAAGCCTCTCTTACGCGCGTGTTTTGGCTGTGTCGAGCCATCCTGTAGCGTTCTCGTGGCAAGGTGTACGTTTGATGCTTTGTCGATCCCACTATTGTTGCCCGTGGCGGAGTTTGAAAGGAAAAACGTTTTCGCCGCCGCTTCACACCGAGCCGACGACTCGGTTGCTCGGAGACCGAAGAATAATTCGGCGACGGATTTCCTACGACGACTCCGAGGGTCGCCTTATGTGCGGGGTCGCGAAGGCAAAGGGCAGAGGGGACAGCAGCGTCGGGCATCTCGCTTAGCTTGCTCGTTGATCGTGGATCGTCGCCCTGCAGCAGTCATCTGATTAAGCTGTCTCGCTCCTCAAGGGCTTCTGTTTCGCTGGTCGGGATTTCATCGCTCGCTTGACCTTAGCCGATTCGGAGAAGGAGCGTCGTCGTCGAACAAGGGTCTCTATTTCATGGCTCCGCCGGAAGCTCTGCGGGAACGTGCGTGTTCAGCGGCGGCAACTCGACCTGAGCACGAGCAGGTGCTGTCCGCCCGCTCCGGGGTCAAGTGACTCCGATGCGAGCCAGTGGCACCGCATTACGGCAATGCACTTTGCCCTCATTCGTCGTCGGTGATGCTGACATATTCGAAATGATTCGATTGAGCCCGATGCCTACAGCGGCCCTTGAACGTCGCAGTAGATCGGAACGTGATCACTGGCACCGTAACACTCGTGCCTGATTTCGCAGGCGAGTGCTTTGCTGGCGATGCGTTCCGAGAGGATGAACGAATCGAGTCTCCAGCCGATGCCCTTTGACCTGCAGAAGCCGCGCCATCCGTAGAACGTGTAATGGCCGATGGCATCCGGATGCTGCTGCCTCCATACATCGACGAGCGGCTTTGACGCAGGCGTCGCCTTGCCTTGGAGCAGCTCGCGGTGGGCGTCGCACTCTATGGCTGTATAGCCGGGGCTCTTGTTCCACTTCTTGGAGGCAGCTGCCAAATCGCGTTCGTCCTGGACCACGTTGATATCGCCGCACCAGATGACAGGCTTTTGCGCGTCGAGCTCGGCAAGATAGGTAGCAAAGGCGGCGTTCCAGGCTTGCTTGGTCGCCATGGTCTTTGCAGCCGAAGTCAAACAATGTTGGGGATGGTCAGTATGCGCTCTTGCGATCTGCACGAGAACAAGCTCGACACGGAGAGGACATGTGGCTGTCTTATCAGGCCCTTCGAGGTGAACATAGTCGGGTCAAAGACGGGACAAGCACCCGAAGAGATTATGAAGAGAGCTCTGCAAGCAGAGGGTTGCTATACGGGCCGCTCCAGGGATCTCCACCTGAGGAGTAGCGGAAGAGATCTTTTGAGATTGGGCGGCCCAATTGGAAGGGAAGGGGAGAGGAAAAGAAGAGAAAGTCGCAGTTCAACATACCTTGAGACCCTCGCCCGCATTGACGGCATACGTCCCCACGAGGAAGCTGTTCTCGAACTCGAGCGTGACGATGCGACCTTTTGTGTCCTGATCCTTGAGGCCGGGCAGCCCGTAGACGGCTTTGACAGGCTTGATCTTGGAGAGAATGGCAAGGCCGGCATATCCCTTCTGCTTGCCGATGCCCCAGTACTGATGCTTGTAGAGCTTGGTGAGAGCAGGGTGCATGGGCACATCGTTGACTTTGGTCTCTGAAAGCACCACGATGTCCGCATCTTCTGCCTCGAGGTAGCGCATCATGCCCTTTGGCTCACTCGACTTGAGACTGGTGATGTTCCACGATGTGATGCGAATCGCTCCTTCTGCTGAGGGACGAGAGTAGGAGAGAGAAGCCGGCATCTCTGTATTAGTGGGTAAGCTGGGATCCGCCGTGGTATCGTCCGACTTGGGCGCGCTCGGCGAGTCGGAGTCTGGGACGGCTTTCTTGCGCGACTTCTTGGCAGGAGCGGCTTCTGAGGTCTCGGCCGTGGTGGCGTTGTCCTGTGATGCTTCACTGACTACATTATTCGATGTAGCTGACGAGGCAGCTTTCCGTTTCGATGACGATTTGGCTGGTGATGATGGAGCTGATGTCGAGGTAGATGGAGCAGTTTGCTGAGTGTCTGCGACGGCGGCAGTGCGACTCGAAGCACGCCTTGCCGTTGTTCTTGTTGGTGTTGCTGCCGCCATGATGTTGAGTCTACGGAATTGAGTGAAGGTGAGCCTTCGCATCAGCTTTGCTTTCTCAGCGCAGCAGTTGTCGGGCAAGAGTGAGAGGATGAGGATGAGGATGAGGATAAGGATGAGGTTGAGGATGAGGTTGAGGATGAGGAAGCATTTCACATCGATCTCCACTTGAGACGGACTAGACCTAACAATGCTACTAAAATGTCCAAATCACGTGCATGTTGGAAGAAAGGGAAAATCTTGGCTGATCTTGTCGAGCATCCTCGAGTCCTACCACCATCAACTTCGACCATACCAACTTCAGTGCAGTCATGATCAGGCCCCTCGCAAGCACGCGACCTCTCGCGCGAGGTTTCGCGTCCAGTGCTCGCGCGCTCTCCGAGGCCGCATCGTCTTCTGCACCCGCACCAGCATCAGCAGCACCTCGCCCACGAACAACCAACCCATCGCAGCAGCGCTCCTCTCAAAGCGGCCAGCGCAACCGGGATCGACCTCCGCGAAGGGAAGGCAGTCAGAACAACATCCGAAACGGTGGCGGTGAGCGACGCGGCAAACGACTGCCATCGGTCTTCGACGCCGCCTCCTCCTCCAACGAGAGCCGAGCCGGTCGCGGATCCAACGTCAAGAGTCTCACTCAGGGTTCCAGGAAGATGCCTGCACCGCTGCCAAAGACCGACTGGAACAACCCGCTCTTCTCCAAACCCGGTTTTGAACGCTCGCTCGCATCTGCGCCCCGTCCTTCATCGATCTTCGTTCCCAGCCTCGCAGCCGCAGCACCTTCCGCATCAGCATCCGGAGGCAAGGGCAAGGGCAAAGCTGCTGCAGCGCCCGTCAAGTCGGCCAACGACAAGCTCAATCTGCCCGGCATCAAAACCGCCAACAGCGCGCTCAAGCTCCACCTTCGACCTGGAGCACGAAACATCCTCGGTCCGATGCACCACCCAACCGGAGTCGCCGCTGGCTTTTTGTCACAGAACCGAGTCGTGCTTCCACGATCGACGGATGTGAAGGCTTCGGATGATAAGTCGCTGGCAGCAGAGCTCAAAGCGGCTAGGATCGCCTTGCAGGATGAACAGATCGGAGGCTCGTACGACCGATTCCAGACGCAGTCGGTGCTCAAGGCAGCTGGCGTTCCCGTCGACAGCAAGGGTGCGTCGATCTCGGTCAAGGCAGTCCAGGATGCCGCACAAGCGCTCGCTGTCAACCCTGACGTTGCGCCAGAGGGCAAGCACTTTGTCACCAAAACCATCTCCGAACGATTGAGCGCTTGAGCTACGTTGGCGCTATGTATCCACTCCGAATGCAATGTCATCACTCGATGCGACACGGGCAGAAGAGAACGTTGCTCCCAGTCGCAAGCCAGAGACGAGATCGTGTGCAGTTGCATTTCGTCCTGCTCGTTGTCTGTTCAAGTCAACTGTCATGAATTGCAGAGGGTGGTCGCGATCGCACTGAAGCGGTCGGTTCAGAAGAATGGTGAGGGCAAGAAACGGACCAAACGCACAGTGGAGGCACGACGAGAAGGTTCTTGTGCGGCACGCACCGCCTGCAGCTGTTCGTGTCTTGCCATTCGTGCTGCGCCGTCTCGCACGCGCTGCTCGTCCTGCCTCCTCATGCCCTCCTCCCAGCTCGCGTAGAAGTGATTGAACTCGACCCCGTAGAGGTTCCTCCTTGTGCCTGACAGCCCCGTCGAGGTGTGTACAACTCGGTTGTCAGATCTGGGACTGCGATGTGAGCATCCTGTGCGACGACGAAAACTCACCGAAGCGCCCCATCCTCAGGGCGTACCTGTGAAACGCTGCAATGCCGTCCGTGGCCAGACCCATGGACGGCTCTCCATCTAGTCAGAGTGTGAGCGCCATGGAGCAATATAGGGCGGTATTTGGTTCAGACCGGTCTCACCATTTACTTGCTGCGCATATCCGTGTTCAATCCACGCCATGATATTGGCGGGCATTTCGATGTGCGGGGTGCCAGCGGACCAGATGAGCGCGTTATCCGGTAGGATGGCGCCGCTCACGCCAAACGCTTGCGAAAGAGCGACGAGGGCGATGAACAGAGGTCCTATCATCATCATTGTTGCGAGCATTCGAGGGTCGAGCAGACGATGGTGGGGGTGGTAGAGGAAGGAGTCTGGGATCTTGTGGGCGACAACCCCGATATTGGACGGTGCTCACTTTCGTACAGTGAAGCTGTTTGACGATGCGGCTGCTTGGTTGTCATGACAGTCACAGCCACCTTGACGTTGACATGTCAACCGATGTTGGAGTTCCACCCAGCTGTCATTTGACTTGCACGACGACAGACTTGCATAGCAACTTGTCGGACATCTGCGGACGTGTGACAGGAAAAGGTGCAGTAGAGATTGCCGAATGCTGTTGCTCTCGCTCAGGATCAGACAGTATGTCCATCACACCTTGCGCATCCCTTTAGCGATACCTCCTTGTTGGACTGGACAGTCTAGACTTTGCTTCCCCGTGCGATGCTGCTGCCCCTTCAACCGACGTGTCGTCATCCTGTTTGAAGTGAATCGAATTACCTTCAAAGACCCCAAGAGGGCGCAACAAGCTCGCAATGCAGGTTGCACACTCAATCGACGACACACCCGTGTCGTTCAGTCTAGACTTTTTGCGCTCCTACTCCGGGACTTCGACTTCAACGAACGTATCGCAAACCTGCTTCGCCTGGACGGGGCGCCCTTTCAGGGGCACTGTGAGGGCGCGACAGCTTCGCGATACATAGCTCGGATCCTCGTCAAGCATATAAGAGAGCTCTGACTGCTCAAGATGGTGCGAGACACATCAACAGTAATCTGCGAAGCCCAAGTGCATCCTCAGAATGCTCCCCTTTCTTCGCCACCGTCTTTGCCTTTTCGTTGCCTTCGGCTTCGCTCTCCTCTGCTTCCAGGCAACCTTCGTGCTATCTGGCGGCAGAAGCTCTACTCGTCGCAATCAGCAATCGGGTCGCAACGCGGCAGGCCCTTCCAGGCAGGGCCAACGTCAATTTCGGGGCTCAAACGATCCTGTGATACCTCAGATCCCTGCGAAGCTTTCCTACACCAAGATGGATCGAGGCCCTGAACTGCAAGAGGCGGTTCGAACTCTTCCTGTCACTCTTGGAACGCTCCGATACAGTGGTGCCACTGCCACTGTCCACGAGCTTAAAGTCAAGGATCTCAAAAAGGCCGATGCCGCCATCATGGAACAGATGCGAAGCGACCAGAGCAGGAAGCAGTTCTTACCGCTCGTCACTGGAATTGGCATCAATCGCTACGCCATGCCCATTCGAGCGCTTCCTCGAACGCAGTGGCCCCCCAACGTCGGAGAGTATGCTGGAAATGGAGGCATAACCAAGGCAGTCATCTTCAGTGTCGCTCGATCTGATCCCAGGCGACCTCTTCTGCGAGGCATCACAATCCACGGGATGGCCAGGATCACCAACGCTCCCGATCTGCATGAGCCTCCCGAGGCCGTCCGACAGATGCTGCACGACGTTCACGCCATGCTCCGACTTTATTGAGCATATCATCAAGCTGCTGGTGATGTCCTTCTTCCGTCTTAGTGGTCGCAGCTGTTCCCGCCTTTTTCTTTCAGAAGCCGCTGATGATGCATCCCCACGAGATCAGCAAGGCATGCAGCCGACGCTCAGGGTCCTGGAAGTGGGAACACGAAGCGTTCAGCTTGATGAAGAAGCCTACCTTCCCTGACGCAATAGCATCTGGCCAATCTTTGCGAACCTTGTCCATCGCGTGTATCTCATTCTTGGACTGCGATGCGGTCACCATGCTCGGCTTTGAGCGAGTGGCGTGAGAACATGGCTTGGTACCGTGAGAATAGTGAGCGCACCATCAGAAGAGGCAAGCTTATGGGGCCGGTCTTAGCTTCGCACGCCTCATGAAGCTGTAACTGCTATCGATGTGACCGAGGGACTCAAAGGAACCCGCAAAGTATATAGCACAGCGGCAGGCTGCGACCAGCACCATCTCTCGTATGCTGACCTCAGAGCAGCAAAACAACAGATATGACTGTCATCCTCCACCGACACCTTGTTCTCCTCATCAGCGCCTTGCTGTCGCTTCTCTGCTATCAAGCCAGCCTCGTTCGCTCCGGAGCCACCAGCTCCTCGGACCAGGGTCGGTATGTTGCTATCGTCCCGTCCAATGCGGTAGAGACGCAGCACAGCGACTACGCCACCCCCGATTCAAGTAGCTCCTCGGACAGCTCTGAATATCTCGGGTCTCCAGAGCCGGACGAGACTGCTCTCTACGGTGCAGGCGCGTTCGATCGATCGGACGAAATCCTGACGCGTTCAGCTGAAGTCCTGCCTGACCGGCTGCACCGGCTCGGCTATCCTTCTGCCATCGTCTCGTTCTTCAAGGACGCATCATCCGCCAGCAGACGCCACTACAGAGAAGCCATCCAGGCCCAGGTCCAAGAGAATCCGTTCAGAAAGCAGTTTGTGCCGCTCTTTGGTATGGACGGCATGCGGACGTATGCTATGCCCATCGACGACGTCTCCACGGTCCCATGGCCGGCGACTGCCGGACGCTATGCCGGTAGAGACGGAGTCACCAAGGCTGTCGTGCTGACCGTTTATCGTCCCCCACAGTATCCAAGAATGCAGGCGATGATGAAGGTCTACGGCCTTGTCCGGATCAGGAACGCACCAGACCTACATCATCCGCCTGAGCAAGTCAGGCAGCTCATGCACTCTTTTCTCGAGACAGCGCGGGCATGAACCGCGTTCATCTAGTTCATCTAGATCTTGTTCTCACTTGACATCCACCAACGCCCCTTCTCAGAGTAACACGTCGCTTTTCCCACCCAACGAGCGTCTGTGGCTGTCTGAGCGTTCCGACGGAGCCTTGCATGTGAGCTTCACCGCAGTGTGACATAGCGAAAGGCCGCCAAGGCCTTGGCGTTGAGAACTCAATCTGCACTGCATGGCTTCGTGGGCAGACATTGTCATTGGCCCACTTCAAGCTCGCGTCGACCTTCGAGGCGCAATCGATCGTCGTGCCTGCCTGATGTGACAACGGTCAGGAGGCTGAGCTTTGCTCTTGCCGACGAGCAGCAGACCAAGGCGCGGTTCTGCTGTGCAGTACGCTGCGTCTGAAGAGTATAAAAGCGCATCCTGGATGAGCCGGAATGATCATCAGCTTCAGAACAAGCACTCCCTTGACAAAAGACCTCAAACGATGTCGATCGCGTCTGTCTTCTTCCTCTCCCTTTCGTTGCTTCTCTTCCAAATTGGAAGCATCGTTGCATACCCGTCGCTGCCGAGACCCGTCCTACAGCGACGTCACCCGCCTCTGCCTGACAACCTAAGGGTGCGACCACTACTAGGACCAGGATACGATCATGCTGTCCGGTCACTTTCTCGGCAAATTGCGTTCCTCGGCTATGATGCCAGCGAGGTCACGCCTCATCGGTCCGACATCGTGCCGTCTCTCCGACCCTTGATCCGTCAGCAGATGCTTGCCGGCCCGGATGCGCGACAGTTCATCTCGCTGGATGTCAACGAAGGTCGCCGCCAACACTACGCCATGCCCCTCACGCTGGAAGACTTTGCTCACCTTCCGACCTCTCCCGCTCTCGGACGCTACGCTGGCACGGGCGGAAAGCAGAAGATCCTCATCTTCAGCGTGACGCATCCCTCGCCTACGTCGCTGTCGCTCTTCCGCGGACCGGCGGGAGAGGAGGCGCCCGAAATCGTGTTGCACGGCTTGATTGGTGTCACTCACGCCCAGAGTCTGCACCGGCGCATCGCGTTGCCTTGGTTTAACGCCCATGTTGCCGTACCTCTGAGGGATGTTTTGCGGCCCGTATAGCCGAGGCGGCGTCCGCGCAACCTGACAACCGCGGCGTTTGGCCAAGCTCGGCAATTTTCGCCTCTTCGACTCCACCAACAACCGCGCCACTTGTCAATCATCGCCGCCCACACACCGAGCACAAAGGCGTGTCAGCAATGGCAATTTCCATATCAATGGTCTGACCAGACCCAGTGCATGTTATATGAAGGATGATGAGATGGGTCTTGAGCGTGCTATAAACTGAGTGACATGCGTCAGCGTTGTCTCCTCCCACTTGCGATTGTGATCAACGTCCGAGTGAATGAGGGACTCGACAGCGGTGGCCAGCCCCACTCCGTCGGAACGAAGTGCGATACGACCTCACGCTAGCATCTCAGCAGCCCTCCGAGCCACCCTTCTTCACAGCACGATACATGCGGCTGCTCATGAGTCGTTTCGGGAAACTATGCTCTTTCCGGATAAGTTCTCGCCGTGCCCTCGCTGATGCATCCTGACACTCCCCTCCAACCTTCAAGCTCGGCAATATGCCCCTTGGTACATCTCGATGCATGCGACAAGTCTCCAGCATGATTATGATGGCAACGCTCGTCCCTCTTTTGACGCTCTGCTCGCGCTATGCCTTCGCCGGACCAGTGGATGCTGGCCCAAACAGATCTGCGCCGGACCTCCTGCCTAAAAGGCTTCTAACCCCGACCATTCCCAGCATTCGACTCGTGAACTATCAGAACCAGCTTGCCCAGCGTCTTTCTCCTCTTAACATACCACCCGAGAAGCTTCAGCCCGTACTCGGACGAGAAAGGTTGCGAAAAGCGACCGTGAGCGCCGTTCGCCATCAAATGTATCAAGGTCGATCGGGAAACCACTTCATTCCTCTCTCGGACAATGGCAGGGGTCACAAGGTCTACGCTATGGAACTGGCGTACCGCAACTTGTTCGGCTCTGACCGTCAGACGCGGTTTGCGCTCGTTGTTGTCAGGCATCCTCCTCCGTCCACCGAATTAACACTCCACAGCGGCAGCTTGCACGTGCAGCCAGAAGTCAGCGTATACGGCTTTGTAGACGCGACTGGATTGTCGGACGTTAGGAACATCGCTGACACCTACAGCCAGCATCTGTCTAGCCAGGACCTACTCTCTATTTTGCGTAACAAGTGAGGTCTAGACTCCTTGCTATGCTGTCGCATCTTCTCATCTCTCTCATGTAACTCGATCGAGGACAGTGTCGCAGCATCAAGGGCACGATCACGCCATTGTGACGCGTCTCAGTAGTCTCAAAACCATCCCTCCTCCCTCACTTCATCGATGGCTCGCAAAAGTCCCAGGCCCTTCGTTTCAAAGGCTAGCGAATGCCAATTCATACACCTTCAATCGTTTGCCTGTTGTGACTGAGGAAGGCGTTGCAAGGCAGCAATCTGAGTCAATTTGCCCCGCTCACCGTTAGTTGTAGGCAATCCCGGACCGCTGGCTGGTGACGGACGGATATAGCGGGCGGTGCACGCTGTTGTTGACGTCGCAGACAGTCCCCTCATTCACTTCGTGACAGGTTATTCTCTGCTGGGCCCTCAAATTGTGTGCTTCTTAGCTACCTACCATTGCCTAGCTAGCGCCCCGAATCACTTGGTGACACTTCTTGCTCTGTTGAGCCCCCGAACCCGTCCTTCTCAACTACGCTTTCTGCCGAGCTGAGCGTGTAGAGCCCTCTGACGCTGTCGTCGAGCAGCATGCAGTCGAAAGGGATATAAGCAGACGACCTGGACAGACTTCTTGTCGATTCCGGCAGCTCCAAAACTCCATTCCATCCATCTGTAAGCCTGTACCTCACTATGACCGCCTCCATCAGCAAGATCATCCTCTTCTGCCTCCTTTTCTTCCTCATTGGCTACGAGGAGTGGGCCGTGGCGGTACCTGTCCCTGGAGGCAAGTCGTCCAAGAGTCGGGCGCGCACCCCTCCTGCACCCGGTCGCATGGATGCTGGCCCCAGCATGGCTACCCGTCCCCAGTACCGACTCCACAACTCTTTGTTTACGAATCCCATCCCCGACACGCAGTATCAAATGTACGTTGACGAGGTGACCCCCGCCCTGCGTCGGCTCGGCTACTTCAACATTGCGGCCGGACGCTATCAATTTGAGACTCGGGAGCTGCCGAGGTTCGCAGGGGCTGTCCGAGCTCAAATGGCGAGCGATCCGCGAAAGAAGAAGTTCATCCCGCTCTTTGCCGATCGACGAGGCTTGAGCGGCCCAAAGAAGGTGTATGCCATGCCGCTTGCTGGGCGCGACTACGCTAGAGGGGGCTTGGGAGACTATCAAGGAGTCAGAGGAGAGCAAAAGGTAGCTCTGCTTGGTACCTTTCCCTCGCGCGATCCAGCAATTGGTCCTCCCTGGATCGAGCTGTTCGGCGTCGCGAGTGTGTCGGGAGCTCCTAAGCTGCACACAGACATCCCTAAACGCTCGAGTCGAGACCTGCAGACGCACAATCTGGCCGAGTTCCTAGATTTGGAAAACGTTGCTCACAACGTACCCGAGCCGGTTCGCCAGGTTGCCTTTCACATTGCAACCGCCTAGACCAAGAAGCTGCTTGGTCACCGCGTCTGCAGCCATAGTCGCTGCTCTATGCAAGCGATTGCGATCATCTCAGTCTATCCTACGTCTCTTCATTGCTCCATGTCCCATGTCCCGGCAATCTTTCTGCAACAGCTTCTTGCACGAATGGAAGTCGTTTGTTGGCAAAGGTCGAGCTGTTGTCTGCGAGCCGTGTGTACTCCAGTCACACAACCACCCGTGAGATCGCTAACAGGATAGCTTGGCCAGACCTCGGCTCGCATCACAAGACTCGAACGAGCATCATGACGGTGACGACAGATTGCATATCCGCCATTGACAGCGCAATCGAGGCTCGACTTGCACTTCATCCTGGGAGCTCCGGGAATCTTTGAATCGTGTGATGAAGTAGCTGCGAGACGCCAATTCGAGCCCACCACCCCGGTTTGGTTGTGGGCTCCAGCGCCGTTCCGTTGCCTCGTCACTTGCCTCCCACATATATTGCACTTGCCTCCCACATACATTGAATGTTCCGTTGCTTCGTCTCTTGCCTCCCCCTTAGATTGTCTCTTCCGTTGCATCGTAATCTGCCTCCCACATTCATTGCTTGTCTATTTGCATCGTCGCTTGCCTCCCACATGTATTGTCTGTCCCTTCGGATCGACACTTGTATGTCGTTGGGCGACGAGGGTTGTCGTGAGGTCCCACATAAATTGTCTGTGGTTGGGCGACGAGGGTCGTCGTGGGGTCGTATTGTCTACGACAACGACAAGCTGCTCATTTCGTGTCTTTGACGTGCGTGTGACAAAGTGAAGCAGAGCAGCATCGCTCGTATGATCAAGGTCGCGGAAGATACGGCATCGGTCAAGCGTGTCTTGCGAGGTTTGAGCAAAGGCTGCAAAGGCATATATACAGACTCCACGGTCGTCGATTGAGCTTTTGAACCATCCACCACACCTCCTCTACATCCTCCTCTCTCTCGAGTGACACGTACAACATGTCTGCTCGCTTCTCTTGCTTTCCCCTGATCCTTGTGGTCATCTTGCTTTCGTGCCTCTGCCTTGAGTGCCGAGGCATTGGCGAAGGTCTCGTCAACGGCGCTTTGTCTTCGAGTTATGCGCCTCCAGCCTACCAGATGGAGGCTAGCCCGATGGGACCTTATCAGACCGAGCACTACGCTCGACGCCTCAACGCTCGTCTTTCGGACCTCGGCTTGGAGCTGCCTCCGAGCGCCCAGGAGAAGGTCATCTCGCAGAACCAAGTTCATGACCTTGTCGAACCGATTCGCAACCGGATCAGCACCGAGGGTCAAGTCAAGCTTATTTACCTCGATCAGACGCCCCACGGTCGCAAGGTACATGCTCTGCTGATGAAGAACGCGCCCGCTGGCTCGCCCAACGTTGCGATTCTGTCCACGCCCAAACGCTGGACATCGCTCGACCAGAAAATCCAGCTGCACACGTTTGCCCACATCGACAACGTTCACCGCTCTGATCTATACAATCGACTGGAGAGCGACTTCAACTACGTCGTCCTGGACTCGTTGGCTCGAAACGCGCTGCCGAACACGCCGGAACTGCAGTGGCGCAAGCTGATGAGCCGGCCCCTTCGTTGATATGTCCCAGCTGTGCCCGTTACGACGTCTCTGAGATGCATGCGTGTTTGTGAGGCTCTAGCCTTGCTGATCGGCTGGCCGACCAGGTAATCAGACGTCGCATCATCGATCTGTATTGAAAGCGTGTGAAGGTTTTGAGTTGTGGATCCATTTGGTCTTGAACGCGCATATGGAGTCGGTCAGGGTCCATGCATGGAGGAAGCCTTACAGGGGTCACCACCAACGCGGGTGTGGGTTACCACCAAGGTCGATTTCGTGAAAAGGCGCAGCAGTTCAAGCCCACTTTGTTCCTTCAGGGTCTGCACAATCGACTCGAGGCACGCTCTCGTTCAGCTGCCCAACATGGAAGATGTCTTTGTTTACCCCACACGACCAGCAAAGACCGTTGTTGTTCGTTGTTGATAGTAGGAGTGAGCCTCATCTTGTTCAGCGTGCCTAGACTATAGGTCATAGACTATGCTGAATCGTGAGATATCTTGTTACCATACGATCTTGAAGGAGAGGGAGAGCAGCTCTTGAGCAGAGCCAATTGTAGACGATGAAGCTTTTCAGCCGGCTCGTCTCATAGATCGTGCGCTGCTGTCTCGTACCGTACATGGCCATCCATGACATCGACTGAGAAGCATGGATATATTCAAGTTGAGATGGGCAGATCTAAAGTATGCCATTACACCCCAGCAGAAAGTGACGTGAGTCGATTCTTCCCAAGCTACGAAAAGTCGTGCTTTGGCTGCACCTTGATTATTTTCAAGCTTCCCCGCTAAAATTGAGTATTTGCCTCGGCCATTCCAGACAGCCCGCCCGCCAAGTGGCTTTCCATCAGACTCAGTCATGTGAGGCCAACTGACCATCCACCATCCTCCGCCAACATTACCACCATCTCCTCCTTCTACTTGTCGCCCTAACTTGTCCTCTTCACCGCGGCGGCACCCAGACAAGAATCTCGGCCCTTTCAGACTCCTCAGGCCGCTTGTTGACCTGTCAAGCCAGGGTCCTCCGCAACGCTCAACGAAATGGTGGTCCGAGCGTAGACCCATCCTTTTGTCATCCTTTCCCCCCTCGACGCTCTTACACCGCCGCACGATGCCAAAAACCATCTCGTGCCCCCATGCGGGCTGCGAATACCTCTTCTCCAAACCCGTGCATCTCCGCCGCCATCTCCTCTCCCACTCGGACGAGGCCATGTGGAAATGCCCCGACTGCGATCAAGACTTCAAACGCATCGACAGCTTCCAAAGACACAAGAAGCGCATCCATCCCGATCAGCCCAATCTCATCGCCGTCAAGATTGGCACTGGACCCAACGCAGCCGAAGATGGCGTCAAATCCGACGACGATGCCGAGGATCACATGGATGATCTCGACGTCTCGATCGCAGACGCCAGCTCCAGCCACATTGCACGCCCAGCCAGAACTGAAGCGGAGCCGAGCTCTCTCAACGCCTACGACGCCCACTCCAACCCGTCTCCCGTCACCAACGCCAGCTATGGCTCCAGCGCCTTCTCGCCCAATGCAGCCTCGCGTCCTGCAGCCTCATCCAGTTCCAATTACTACAGATCGCCACTCTACCATCCGTACGCACGCAACGATCATGCAACGCCATCGGCAACACCAACCCATCCGCAGACAGCAGAGAGTACTGCATGGCCATCTCAGAACAGCCAGACTCAGATGTACGACCCCGCTAGCTCAGCAGCAGCTCCGTCCGCACAAGCTGCCTCGGCTGCCATGCCATTCTACCCGAATCTCTACGGTGCGCCCATCTCGTACAAGGACTATGGCACCGCCTCCACCCCAACTACCTCCCTTGCGCCTTCTACGAGCTTCTCACAACCCGTATCCGCTGGTCAGAGCGCTCCTCTCTCCATCGCTTCCCTCACAGCACCCTCCCCTTCCTGGGGTTCCAGCGCCAATTCCGACACCGAAGGCCAAAACTTCTTTGACGATATTCTCCAATCCATTCTCATGGACTCGATCTCGAGCTTCGTTCCCCACGAGCCCATGCCACCCGTCGTCGACTTCAACAGCGCCATGGCCGGCGACGATGGCTACAGCTTTGCTGCTGCGGATCCAATGTCATCCGCGCCCTCAATACAACCTCAGCAGCAGCAGCATCAGCATCAACAGCAGCAGTCCGGTCAACAGATGCAGCAACCCACCTCACAGCAGCCGCTGCCACAGCCCGGCTCGTCCCTGCTTCCCCAACATCAACAGCACCAGGTTCTCCAACAACCACGTCAGCACCACCTGCAAGACCCACCGTCCTCATCTGCAACCACTTCGCATCCTCTTCCGCAGCCACTCACCAACCTCATGCCCTTTGCCACCTTTACCGATTCCGCCTACAACTCGGGAAGGTCCACCCCCAACACACCGCGCAATCCGCCAGCGGGCGCCAGTCTCGACGATGCGGACGAGATGACCCGCTCTGTGGAAAAGGTGGGCGACCAGGCCGCCACCAACATTGGCGCTCGCACGCGTGATCTCGTCGTTCACGGTGTCACGATCCCCAAGAAGCCGCCTCGTCTCACTGCTGCTTCGCTATTCAGTGCCGCAACACGGCACACACACGCCTTGTTACCGCTGCTTCCATCCTACTGGCTGCTCGATCATCGACGGCTCGCCGCAGAGCGTCCCTACGTTTTCATCTCGCTCCTCGCTCTAGGTACGCTATGGCAGCCTCGCGCCGATGTCAAGGCGTACGGTGCCGAGCTCTGGCAGCTCATCTTTCGCAGCATCTGGGCTGGCGCCGTGTTCTACCTCGATCAGCCCGCACTCATGCGCGAAGCGACCGCGGTGAATGCCTTTACGCATCTCTATTCGTTCCTCTGTCGCGACGAGAGCATCCGTCGCAAGGCCATCCACAGCACCTACACTGGAACTTCTCTGATCCGAGAGCATGGCTGGCGTCAGGGCATTTGGTTCCTCATCGGCCCCTGGGAAGAGTCGTTGCAGCGCCTCCTGGGGCCTACGCTGCAGATGGCGCTCATCGAGCTTGAAGTGCTCGCGAGGGATCAGACCACCCACAAGCTATCTGCCGAGCAAAAGCAGCTGCTAGAGCGTCTGCATGGCGTCTGGAAGCAGTGGTCCGACGCCGAAGAGGTGAACCGCAACATGATCTGCCACAGCATCACCGAATCGCATCACATCGAGTTCCTGGCTAGCTACAGCCAGATGCGCAGCATGGGACGCATCGCCTGCCAAGCGCTCGTGCCTTGCGCCGACGACGTGTGGGATGCCAAGACGTCGATCGAGTGGGCCAAGCTGGTGCTCGAGCACAAAGCGACGCGCGAAAGCCACGAACGTGGGCTGCTGTCCGGCAAGAAGCAGATCGGACCCATCTTGGACGCCCTCTTTGGCATCGATGCGCCCTCATCCCGTACCGCTGCCGCCGCCGCCGTCGCCAACAATGAGGAGGAGGGCAAGGGCAAAGACAGCCATCCCCACGCCGACATCCGCCGCGAATTCGAAAACATGCTCTGTTTCACCATCAAGGAGCACTTTGCTCTTTCGAGTTTGCTCGAAGGGCTGCACCTGCTTTGGATCGCTCGCTATACCCCGCCTTTCCGCACGGGCACTTCGTACGCCGCTGACTTTACGCCTGCGCAGCCCTCGTTTGCGCCGACGCTGGAATCCATCTTTTGCGTCAAAGGCGGCGTCACGTATCACAAGCGAAACGTGCTGGACGCCGAGATGATGTTTGCAGCTCTCTCGAGATGGATGCGGCTGTACCACCAGTCGTACCTGCCCGATCCGGTGGCCACCTCGACGGGCTTCAGCCGACCCACCAACGGGGACAGCAATGGCTCTTCGCATTCTTCTGGCGAGAATGGTGTCAGAGCAGGGTCAAACGGAAGCAGTGCGCGACTGCCCAACCTTGGACCTAGCAACGACAAGTTCATGCTGCATTTTCGGTTCCATGTCATCCAGCTCTCGGCGCTGTTCAACTGTCAGCACGTGATCCACGCTCTGCTGGCGACGTGCGGGGAGAATGGCGATCTGAACGGCGTCGGAGCGTCGAACGGGGCCAGGGGCAGCACGGCGGGACGGCGCAACATGCAGACGTCGATCCCTCTTCGGTGCGAGAGCTGTGTCGACGCGGAATCGTGCGCCTATCGCAATCCGCGTCTTCAGCGCTGGGCGGCGTTGCACGCCGGGGCGGTGATTGGCAACTTTATGAGCATGCCTCGGCTGTCGAATCTCACCCCCACTATCCTGGAAGGGCTAGGGCAAGCGTTTGGCATCCTAGTCATCCTCTGTCGGCTGGAGAGGACACCAGCGCAGCGACGGCGACCCGCATGCGCCTGCACGCCCGACGTGCGAGAGGCATCGGTCGAACTCATCTCGGACCAGTGTCTCCATCTCGACGCGGACCGACCCAGTCCTGGCGAGAGAATCGACGAGATGGCACGAACCAAGTTCGAATCGAGCAACGACTGCTGGTTGCAGCACGGCACGTTGGACGAAGGCGCGACGCTGCTAGGTCAGCCGATTCAGGATTGGCCGTTTGTGCTGCAGGACATGGGCAACGAGCTCAAGGGCGTAGCAGGCGCCTGGCAGACCGCCGAGGAGTTTCTGGCCGTCGCGCAAAAGATGCTCAACAGCTTCACTTTTTATGTCGATTGAACGATCAATCGCAAATCAATACGGGGTCGCGATCCCTCTCATGCGGAGCTTCAAAGCGTGAGCCCTGAGACCCTGTTTTGGATTTGAGATCGAAAGTGGGCCGATATGCTGTTTCAGGACGAGCTTGGGGACCATCGTCTGACGCTCGATTCCGCTGGCCCTCTGGGGCGAGGTGGCGAGCATTGATGCGTGAGATCAAGTATGAGAGTCAAGCTCGATGTGGACCGGGACTTTCATACGGAATCGCGAGGTGTTATTCTGCGCGCGCGCCAGTGTCCCCGCTGCATGGGCGGATATGCATGGATGCGTTGACATCGACAAGACTCGTCATCTCGCAGGACTGCCCTTGCGAACGATGATATGAGATCTCAACCTGACCATGAGGCGTTCGCCTCGGGTGCATACGAGTCGGGTATCGAGCAACAAGAACCATCGCCTTTGAACGGCCCCACTGGAAACGTATCAACGGGTCCTCGACCAAAGACGAGCCATTTTGAATTGCACAAGAGCTGTAAAGATGGACACAAAGCAGCACCAACACGCGATCGAGAGAGCCCAATTGCAAAGTGTATCGCGATTCTAGGGCATGGGAGGGTTGCCGCGCTCCTCACGCCTGTTCTTCTCGAGATCCAGCGTACCACCGATGCGAATCTTGTGCTGCAAAAAGTGCGGGAGCACCCGGATGTAGGCCAGGTTGCCGATCCAACCGGGGATGTACAGGCTTCCGCCCTGACCGCTCAAGAGCTGCTCGGTCATCTTGCGACCCACGAGCGAAGGCTCGATCATCTTCTTGTGGAACTTTTCGTTGAAGATCACGCCTGTCATGGGGGTTTTGATCCACTGTTTCGTCAAGGAGGGGTCAGTATGTGTTGCGATCGCAAATTTTTGAGAGAGCTAACGGAAAAACTTACGTAGGGGTGAACGATACTGCAAAGAACACCGGTGCGGTTCTGGTAGAGCAGCTCGAGCTCCTGCTGCAGCGTCTCGTGGAGCGAAAGTACACCCGCTTTGGTAGCGCCGTAGTCGGCGCCACCGGCGGGCATGATGAACGAACCAGCACTGGCGACGGCCATGACGTGACCGTGATTGGTACGGATCATATGGGGCAGGAAGATCTTGAGCGTGTAAAAGTGGGAGAGCAAATTCACCTCAATGGTGAGCTTGGTCTTGACGGGATCGTTAGCGACGATGCTGGGTCCTGGGTTGGCGACACCGGCGTTGTTGACCAGAATCGTCACGGGTCCCAACTCCTTCTCCACCGCCTGAGAGGCGGTCAGGATGCTCTCGTAGTCAGTCATGTCGGCCTTGTAAAAGCGCACGTTGTTGGACAACACCTTTGCGTCCGGCTCGACAATGTCGAGAATGGCCACCTTGACGCCGCGCGCCGAGAGCTGCTTGACCACCTCCATGCCGATCCCACCCGAACCGCCGGTGATGACGGCCACTTCGCGCGTCGTGTTGGCCCACGCCTTGCGTGCAGCGATGCGCTTTCGACTCTGGAAGAAACGACGGATGGAGAAGAAGGCGAGGATGGCCAAAGCAGCCGAACCAGCTCGCGTCGAGGTGATCCGAGTGTAGTACGAGCCAAGACGCTCGTTGATCGAGCTGACGGTGAGACTCATGTTGAAAATAAAGCGAGAATCGGAGGAAAGGTCGACGTAGGTGGGGAAGAAAGAGCGATGCGGTCGGCGGAAAAGCACGAAGATGATATACTTGTGCTGAGGAAGATGCAAGCGGTAACGAAGGAAGCGGGGTCAAAGTGTCTTGTGCGAGGGAAACGACGTGTCCCATGCGCTCGACAGACGAGCAAGCGAGCGAGCGAGGCGTTACCCGCTCCATGCGCCCTACCGGTTGCCGAATGCGCGTTGAAGTCGGTCAGGGTCCATGGAGAAAGGCTCTTTCAGAAGTCACCACCCAATGCGGGGTTGGGAGGGGGATGCAAAGTTACCACCCTTTCGACACAAGCTGCATCGCGTGAAAAGGCGCAGCAGCCTGAGCTCATACGCTCGGGGTCTGCACATTTGACGCGAGGCACGCTTTCCTTAAGCGTCAGGCATGGATGGTGTCCTTGTTCTATTACCCCACACGAACAGCAATGACCTTTTGCTTCTTGACCACCAAGCCCATCTTGATCGGCGTCTCTGCATTCTGCTTGATAGAGCGCTGCCGCTCATCGAGCGCCTTGTCGGCACTGTATGAACTCTATGTTAGACCTACGCTGATGTCAGCCGAAGAGCCAGTCCACGGTCGAACCGTTTTGCTGTTAAGTTGTTGTAAGATTTGGCCGAAACGAGGCCGCACGCGCCCATTCCACGCTGGAAGAAGTTGGCGACCCTTGCACAAGACAGCTTTGCCTTCTCGACATCCTCATCGATCGCAGCACACCTTTCACCTTCACGCCAAGCACCTCGCCGCTCGTCATCATGGGTAAGAACGGCATCTTCGGCCAGCTCAGGGGCATCGATGCCTTCTCAAAGACCATGGACGATGTGCGCATCCGCACCAACGCCGGCGCGCTCATCACCCTCATCTCGGCGCTCCTCATCGTCGTGCTCACCATCGGCGAATTTGTCGACTACCGTACCGTTCATCTCAAACCCTCCCTCGAGGTCGACCGCTCGAGAGGCGAGAAGCTCACCGTCAACATGAACATCACCTTCCCTCGCGTGCCGTGCTACCTCCTCTCGCTCGACGTGATGGACATCTCGGGCGAGCACGTCAACGACATCCAGCACGACATTGAGCGCACCCGCATCTCCCACGACGGCAAGGTGGTCACCGCGGGAAAGAAGACGCTCAAGGGTGAGGCGGCGCGCATCGCCAACACCAAGGCCGAGGACTTTTGTGGAGACTGCTATGGCGGCCAACCGCCGGCGAGCGGATGCTGCAACACGTGCGACGAGGTGAGGGAGGCATACGTGCGCAAAGGGTGGAGCTTCACCGATCCAGACCACGTCGACCAGTGCGTCGCTGAGGGTTGGTCCGACAAGATCAAGGAGCAGAACCAGGAAGGCTGTCGCATCTCGGGCAAGCTGCACGTCAACAAGGTCGTCGGCAGCTTCCACCTTTCGCCCGGCAAGGCCTTCCAGCGCAACAGCATGCACGTCCACGACCTCGTCCCCTACCTCTCCGGCACCGGCGTAGAGCACCACGACTTTGGTCACATCATCCACGAGTTCAGCTTCGGCTCCGAGCAGGAGTTTCACGGCCTCACAACCATCAAGGAGCGCGCGGTCAAGGCCAAGCTCGGCGTCAAGGACCCTCTCGAGGGACTCCGGGCGCAAACCAAGGAGAGCCAGTTCATGTTCCAATACTTTGTCAAAGTCGTCTCGACCGAATTCCGACCCTTGAGCGGCGAGCCGCAAAAGACGCAGCAGTACTCGGTGACGACCTACGAGCGCGACCTCTCGCCCGGCGCCAACGCCGCAGAGATGGCAGGCCTTGCCACCGAGGGATCCGGCGCCCACGTCTCGCACGGCTTCGCAGGTGTGCCAGGCGTCTTCTTCAACTATGAGATCTCGCCCCTCAAGACGATTCATTCCGAGTACAGGCAGTCGCTGTCCCACTTTCTGACCAGCACCTGCGCTATCGTGGGAGGCATCCTGACAGTAGCGGGCATCTTGGATAGTCTGGTGTACAACTCCAGAAGGAGGTTGGGCATGAGGGATGGCAGCGACGACGGCGCTAGGGAGGGACTCGGTTTCACGAGTAAGACCGGCAAGTTCTTGTAGAGTTTGTTCGTATGCTCAGGAAGCAATTTACAGCTCGTCATTGCAGTCGCCGTGTCCGTTCCGTGTGTGGTGTGTACGTCGAAGGAGGATCAGCGTGCTGTTAGTCGTCGAGGTCGCAGATGAATCAGCCCGCGGTTGTTGGAGCCTACAGTAGTAGCCTTGTCGTCCCTGTAACCTGCAACATGAAGGTGGCTTCTAAACCGTGAGAAAGGCAAGCATATGAGCACGCCATCACCCCGGTTCATCTGGCAGCGGAGGGTGCTCGCATAGCTGCATCATCCTTGTGCCATGGAGCAAGCAGATACCAGCCTGGGCATAAAAGACGCTGCATCGTCTGTTCAAGGACAGCAAACGACCATCTCCTTGAGCTTTCTAAGCACTGCAAGCTGTCCACTCGGTTCTCAAAGACCCAAGATGCTCGCACTCAAGCCTTTCCAGCTATTGACCTGGTCGATCCTCATCGTCGGTCTTCTCTGGAGCCAGAGCACACAGGTCCACGCGACAGTCGTTCCGCAGGTCGAGCCCGACTTTTACCTCCCTGGGATGCATGTTCGCCCATATGCGACTCTTCAGGGCAAGCTTGATGACCTTGGCTTTCCAAGCGCACGCGTTCAAGATGTTCCGATCGCTCAGCCTCTTCACGCCTGGACGGCGAACCGCATCAAAGAAATGCTTGTGGAAGGCGAATACGTTCAAAACCTCCTTCACCTGGAAACGCTCGGCAGGGACCACACGTACGCCTTTGTTCTTCAACCGATCCCGCAAGACTCTCGTCAGCTGCTTGGAACGAGCGCGAGCTCGACTGTCGCGCGCATGGGAATCATCACGGTCCAACGCAATCCGAACCTCCGAGTCACTTTGAGAGGTATTATACAGACGGAGGTCCCAAGCAGGACCGTACTGCAGCACACCATAACCTCGGCAGGCGGTCAGATTGCTCGATCTGGTGCTCCCGTTGCCCATGACATTCACAACCTGATCACGGGCCGCATCCCTCGCTTCCTCTGATCGATACCGCACATCGAAGATGCAGCATCTTTGTCCCATCTCGATGCGCAAAATCACTCGTTCGATCAAGGCTTGCTGTTCACAGTAGCTCCGAATCTTGTTCTTCACGGCACAAGCCGAAGCATCCCACCGTAGCTCTAGCGCCTCTTGATTCCAGCTAGCCAACTTATCACATGCGCCTTCATGTCTGAATGTAAGAAGTTCACATGTACGTTGCCGTACTTGAGCGTCAGAACCACTGTCTCGCGCAACGGGTGGGACTATGGCACGGATCCGTGACACGGCACCAAACCACAGCGACGAGCTTCAGGGTTGAGTCCGACCAGAGCCATTCCAAACACACTCACTCTCACGACCATCTTCGTTGCACAAACGCGCCATGAGGGCAGTCTCACTCGTTCCATCGCTGATCACATTCGGCTGCTGGGCCGTCCTCATGCTTTGCTGTAGGCTTGCGAGGGCAGCGGACAAGAATGAGGGTCTTTGGAGTGGCTTCGACAGCTCATCCGCTGGCTCCAGGCCGCCTTTCCCGCCAGCTCCGTCGTCCAGCGACGCGGAAGCCGATACGGACCACTACCTCTATCGACCATTCTTTGTGCCCGTGGTGACGGAATCGACAGCGACGGAGCAGCAGCGCTACACCGCTCTTCTTCGCCTTGGACATCGACTCTCCGAACACGGCCGGAACGGACGGACCCTCCTCCTGAGTCCGCCGCCTGCAAACACACAACTCGACCACCTCACCCTCTTGCGAATCCATCTGCAGTTCATCAAGAATGAGAAAAGGGCCATGTTTCTCGACATTGCTCCCGATAGACGAGGTCGAATCCTAGCAGTCCCTTATCCGAGGGAGACGGACCAGGCACTCGGACGAAAGAGTTGGGTTATCTTGGAAGCTCATCCGGCCCGACCGAGTGAACCGCATCGACTTGGATGGTACGCGTATGTATCTCATCAAGAGCCGCACGCCGAGGATCTAGCGAGGAGAATGTATCAGTCGAGCGATGTGAAGAGCCTACGCCACTTTCTCACACATCCAATTTGATGGCGTAAGCCCGTCTCTTGCACGTCATATGCAATGTGTAGGTCTTGCACAGCTTAACGATGAAGGTCGACGACAATGGCTTGTGTCTGTTCGTGGAATGAGCTTAGCTTTCGATGGCGTCGCGCCATCGCTCAGGCTCGATCGAGCGCCTTGACAGGAGTGAGCTGAAGCCAGGTATAAAAAGCTGAGGGAACTACTTCGATACTGCACTCTCTTATGCCGACAAGCACTTCAATGCGTAGTAAAAGCAAGATGCGCCGCTTCCACTCTTCCAGCCTCATCCTATTCTGTCTGTCTGCCACGCTACAGCTACTGGTCTGCTCTGTCTATGCAGTTGGACAGGGTGAGCACGTTCAACAAACCTCAGTGGGTGGATCGGACGACGATCAAGACGCTTCCTTCGCCGATTTCCCAATTTCGCCTCTCGACGATCGACAAGCCGCTCCGTTTGAGTATCCACCATTGACTCCTGTTCATGGAGACCCATTCGAGCCGTCATTCGACCACGTGCCTGTACAGCTTCCACACGACGTTCCAACCAACAAGAATCCCGTCGCTTCCGTTGCCGATCTTGACCCAGCCTCTTCTGTTCGACTCGATCCGCATGTTGCGTCATCCTCGCAGGCACGCAAAGGGAAAGCCATCGTTCCCGACCTACCTTCCAGCTCTCAGAGGGCGGTTGTCATGCCCCCAATCCGAGAACTCACTCTACCTGAGAACGAGCTCTGGCACATCTGGCGGACAATGCGTTACAAACTCGACCGATTGCGCATCAACCCAGCCTCCCTACAAATCACCCAACCCCTACCCACCGTTCGACCGTTCCATCTGGACATTCTTCGAAATCAACTCCAAACGCAGATCCACCTGAAGAGAATCTTGTTCGTCACGCCAACGGCGGACCACAAGCAACGCATCTTTGCCGTTCCCATCCTCAATGAGTCTTTCCAGCAGGTGGTGCTGGATGGCGGAAAGACGCAGAGGATCGGATTCGCGTTCGTGGCCATTCGAGAAGGGGTTGTGCCCGCGGCGAACTGGTGCGGGTATGCTTTGCTCGACATGCCCGATAGGGCCGGATTCGAGAGGATCCTGGAGCAAGGCAAACGGGTGAGGGCGCTGAGCGACTACCTCAGGCCAATGGTGTGAAGCGCGCAAAAACAAGCAGCGGTCTCTTCTCAGAGTTTCGTTCGACAGCAGCTTGACTCTGGCTCGCATAGTGACTCGATAATTGACGAAGACCATGTTTGCGAACACAGTGTGGGCGGCAATCGCAAGAGTGCTTCAGCTAGCAATCGTGTTGAGGTCCAAGCTCTCTCGCGCTTGAAGTCTCTTTCAATCCGCTGATGAGGGACGAGAGCTGGATGCTTCACCGCTCGACAGCCTCCTCAGATCCTCCGGTCTGTCTTTCGTCAACGCTGGCCTGATATACTTTGACACTGTTGCTCCGGAAACCTTCAATTGATGCCGATAGAATGCATCTGCCGCGTCGCGACGCTTCAAATGGTCCAGAGCTGCCTTCTTGTCCTCCGGCAGCTCACGATACAAGCTAATAAAGTTATCTCCTTGCCAAGCCGTCTCTCGGCCATCGTAGATCCTGGCTCGGTATTGCTGAGCGAACAAGTCTGCGTGATTCCGCCAGAACTCGTCCAGGAGCCGATCGTACGCATCGTATCCGTGTTCTGTGAAGGACATGAAGATGTTCTGCCTGCCATCAGGGGTCGATCCAAACGAGAGGTCCTCCACAGGGTACGACACGGCGATTGCTCTGGTCGTAGGCTCTTGCATCGCTTCGAATACGGTACCCAGCTTCTGACGAAGGTACTGCTCGATCATCATCCGATAGAAGGCTTGACTCTGGATCTGTTGATGAAGACCATACGGACGACGAGGATCGCCTTCGAGGATGGCGAAGTTGAAGAGTCGCTTGGCGATCTTTGATGCGGACTGAAGCTCTCCCAGTCCGGTCTCATGGAGGAGACTCTTGGCTGCGTTCACTTGCGATATGTCAGAGGGCAACGCAGCCACTCGAACTGCGACAACGACCGAGGCGAGCCAAAGAGCGCTCTGTGGGAAGAAACGATGAGGAATGGTAAGCTTTATTCTCAAGCGCCTGTGGCAACATGTTGGTGGTAAGCTCGTGCAGCCCCTGACGCTTACCTGAAGGAGAGCGATACGTAGGCACTTCATCTGTGTGGTTCAGGGCGGTTCGAAAAGCTCGGATGAGTTGACACGCCGGAAACAGGGGACGCCAAAGCTGAGCTTATATACAGTTGGGCAAGTCAACCTCGAGCGGTCTGCAGCAGACGTGGCGCGTGTGACGTTGACGAGTGTCCATTGCGACGATGAGCGTTGCTCGAAAAGCACAGCTGGCGTGTCTCAGCCCTGCTGACCCGAGCTTGGCAGTGATCCTCGTCAGCCAATATGTGTCAGGCGCTCGTTCATCACCAACCAAGCCCTGGCAATGCGAAGACCCAGTGGGCGTGGGGTGGGTCGAACGAAGCCGAGCCACAGCGCCCCGACAGACGATCGATAATGTCGTCCTTCAAGGCTGATGCAGCGGTAGCCACCAGTTTTGAAATGAACGGCGCATCACCTGATCAGTGTCAACAATGTTCGGCTTCCGTTTCGACGAGGCTAGCATGTCATCATCGACAGATTGTGCTGCCTCATCGACCATCGATCAACGAAAAAGGTCGGTCATGTGTGATGACGAAGCAAAAGGTGCATTCCTTCACCCACCGCATTCTGGGATGCCAGCGTGTTGCGAGCGGCAAGCTGACCGATCTCGACAGCCGTGTCGAGGGTCTTGTACCACTCCTCGGATGGCCGGGTCTGGAGGAGATGGCAAAGTGTAGCGACGAACGCGCCGGCAAAGCTGTCGCCGCAGCCGGTGGTGTTGACGACTTGCACTTCGCCTGCCGGGATCGGATGATGGTGTATCCTTTCTGCGTCGACAGTGACGACTCCGTGACGGCCGACTTTGAGCAGAACAGTCGCAAAAATCCCGGCGTCGACCAACGCCTGTGCCTTGAGAAGCGTGGATCGATCGATCGCTGCCAAGTCAATGCTCGGCTCTGGAGTGGTCGAGGACGAAGAAGGGACGAGACCGAGCTGATGCGCTTGCGAGTAGATCTGCTCGAGCTCCACTGCATTCGGTGTAGCAAAGGTGATTGGCTGTGATTTGGGACGATTCGACTTGGTGCTAGCGAAGTGTTGGAGCACGATGGTCGATTTGGCGATGCTGGTCGGCTCAAATAGAGTGAGCAATCGTCGACTCCCCCTCTTGCCTTTTGTGTTGGCATTGTAGGTCTCGCAGGCGGTCAACAATTCCGCCGCCTGCTCAGCCCCAATGTTGCCATCGAAGACAACCATTTCTGGCGTCTCGTCTAGCAACATGCTTTGTAGACCCCCATGCTCCAAGCCCTGCCGTGGGTATAGCGCTGTCTGACCAATGTCCATGTCGGCGACGCCCGAGATGAGGTCTCCTCCGTCTTCGAGCATCAACGAGCAAACCGCAGTCCTGCTGTCCCTGCTGGGACCGGCTGGGACGAACAGTCCGTCGGTGCGCATTCCCATCTGCTGCATGCCTGTCCGCAAGAGCAGACCAAACTGGTCACTACCATGCGGCGAGATGAGCTTGACGGGTGACACAGAGGCAGGCGAGGCTGTGGGCTGCAGAACCCGAGTGGCCGTCTCGGCCATGTTGCGCGCGACACCGCCGAGGGTCACGGAGACGCGACCAGGATAGGTTGTTGCTGCCAGCTTGACCGCTCCCGCCGAATTGGTTCGGGAGGTGATGTCGACCGCCGCTGCGCCAAAGATGAGGATTCTTGCCTCCGAAGAACTCTAGAGAAACGTGAGAGGGGGGGAGGATAGCTCGTTCAGCACAACCCTTTCACTATCAACACAGAGGAAGCAGTTCGGGGTGACGGTTGTATTGCTTGCTTTGCGCACATTTACTGAAGATCGCATCGTCACGAGCGTGGGGTTGTCAACTCACAGTCGAATCGATCGCGCCGAGCGCATGAGTGTTCCCTGCGTGTTCGACATCCTTCTCGATGTGATGCAACTCGACGGCCACCTGTGCGGCTTTCTTGGCGTTGTTGACGACGAGCGCTCGGTTGCTCTTCTTGCTCTCGGGAATCAGCTCGGCTAGCCGCTTGAGCAGCCAAGGTGTGACTTCCTTCCCTCGCTTCGCGATTCCCTGCTCGACGGATTCGCGCACGGCCTGCTCGACGCTCTGCTGGATCCTGGCACCAACCTCGTTCCACTCCGAGGGGATGGGATTTGCAAACACCTGACCGCTCTCGAGACCGAGTTGGTGATTGACAAAGATGGAGGCAGCAGCCTGGGCGTCGGTGCCAGCATAAGGCACGTACAGGCCCGAGTTGGAAGTGTAGAAAGCCGGGAACTCGCCGGTCGAATTGAAGGTCGTGACCGAGACGCCGTGGGTTTCGAGCACTTCGAGCGTGCGTGGTATGTCGAGAATGGATTTGGGGCCCGAGCAAAAGACGGCGACGGGGGTGCGGCCGAGTTCGGTCAAGTCGGCAGAGACGTCCATGGTGGACTCGGCACCGCGATGCACACCGCCAATACCGCCGGTGGCAAAAATCTTGATGCCGGCCATATGTGCGAGGACCATGGTACCGCTGACTGTGGTGCCTCCGACGGTTCCCTTGCCCTTGGCAAGAACGTGTGCGATGTCCCTCCTGCTAGCCTTGATCGCCTCGTTCTTGGTCTGGTCGATGGCGCATTGTGCTAGCCGTTCGAGCTGCGGCTGATCGAGCCCAACCAAGGGCTTACCATCGAGAAGAGCGATGGTGGCTGGGACCGCGCCGTGGTCAATGATCGTCTGCTCGAGCTCCTGTGCCACCTCGAGGTTAAGTGGATAGGGAAGACCGTGTGTGATGATGGTGGATTCTAGCGCGACGAGGGGTGCTTTGGTGGATGGAGTCAGCGCAGACCGAACGGCTGAAGAGAGCAAGAGGGCCGGATGCGGTGTACGCAGGAGAGACTGCGCTGCTTGTCGCAGCATGCTTGATGAGCGGACCATGACTGCGGGCGGGAGAGTCGGAGGGGTGGGCTGCCTGGACGTTGCTTTGGCACCTGAGCACGAGGCTTATATGTCGCCTCGCCAACAGCTTCCGTCGGCGTGGCTGATTACCGACAAGGATGATCTGAACATGCAAGTAGGAAGGAAGGAGATGGACCTCCCGTCGGTCCGATCTTCCCCTCTGTGTACGTCGCGGTGACCAATGAGAAAGAGTATCGCAACGGCAAGGCGGATAACAATGCTCGACATCACCGCGGCTTCTCGGTCCTCTTTCTTCCTGTCTGCGCACAACTCGGGAAGCTCGGCAGCTCGGCATAGGAATTTCGGTTTTCTGTTAAAGTTGAACAAACAAATGGATTTTTTAATTTCCACTCTTTTGCTGCGGTTGCTCAAGGCCCCTTTGAATAATTCGAGCAGGGATGATAGGACAGCTTGCGTGCTGCACTGCAGCCTCGGATTTGAGAGCATCGCGACACATTGAATACCTCCCACTGCTTCTCGGGCTGTTGTGTATCGTACTCACCACAATCCATGATGCAAAAGCTTCTCGAGCACCGCTTTGCGGCTTGTTCATGACCACCTGACAGACTGGCATTGCATTGCGCGCTTACCGGTGAGCTTACAGTAGAAGGAAGTCGCAAATCCATCGTAAGGTCCTCTGACCGCCCCGCCGTTTCTGCAGGGTTCGGGCTCCGCCATTGTTCTTTCTTTGCCGACGTCACGTCAGGACCAAGTCCGCATGCTTAACAGCGTGCGTGGCCAATATGTTCCCCCTTCCCTACCGCTGTCCTCGTCTGTCATCTTCGGATGGCGACCGTGGGACGTGCGGTGTGGCGAACCCTCCACCCCACTTGAATGCTTATGTGTTAGACGTGAGTCCCCTCATCAATTAGAGCGGGGTACCTTATGTGGTGGATCAAAGTCGGCAGTCGCTCGATCACCCACAGTGTGGCACATTGAGCTCACGATTCATCTACTGAACCGGTCACGCTCCCACGCCCACCATCAAAGGTGAAGATTGCGCAAGCTATATCGATTTTTTGATTCTTTAAGATTAGGACGGGGGCGACAAACAGGTGGCGCTGTAGCACCAGACGGACGACGGCCTTCATTGAGGGCGCTCGTATAAGAGCACACGAGTGAACGGCGTGAGATCTTCTAGCGTCCGCAGTCAACCATCCCAGAGTCGTTCATCATGCAGGTGCGTCAGATTCTCTTCTACGCTTTCATCGTCGTGACGTTCATCTGGGGCTGCGTGGCTCCTCGGACAAGGCCTCAGAAGTATCCCGGATCAAGGGGCACCGTCTCTAAGGGTAGAGCCACCGAACGAGTCCAGGAGTTCATCACGCGATTGTCGCAACAGACTCGCATTCCTCCTCGTCCCTATAAGGTCTGGCTGGATGTCAATGGCGCTGAAGAGCTAGAAAAGATCCTCTCCGATCTCCTCTTCGATGAGGGCCGGAACACGAATCCCAAAGTGCTCTCGTTGGGGACCGACAATGATGGCGCACATCTCGCAGTCTCCATCGTCAAGCCGAATCCTGACGCTGCCGCGGTCCTTGCTGGCCGCCTCGCCATGAGATCCAAGGGCTGGGAAACTCGCAGAGGTCTTGTTCTCATGCATCTCAGATCCAACAAAGCCCCCTCGATCGTGGGTTGGCTCAGATTCAAGAACCACAATGGGGCGAGTCAGCTGGAAAAAGCGCAAGGTATGATCAGCTTCGAAGACCTCGAGCGGCTGCATGGGCTCACCGGCATCATCAAGCCGATCTAGCTGGACTTCGCTCGGATCGGATCGAACAAATGTTGGCTTGAAACTAAGCAATCAAATATGTCAGCCACTCAGCTGCAGGCGAACGATGACTTCGACTTTGCCAATGAACCTGAAATGGTTGCGATGACAACGATGACCGTCGTAGCAACTTGCGTGGGACAAGTCGGGTGGCGTCCGAGGACATCTCACCGATCTAATCGACCTTCGTTCGCGAGATACATTTGCTGTATCGTACAGTCGCTGTGAGCCAGAGTATAAGAATGACGGGTGAGGGCACGAACAGTTCGGCAGCCCTCTCAGCACTCAGCAACATCGAAAGCGATGCGATTACTCGGAGCAGCCCTGGCTTTGCTTGCATTTGGGAGCTTGCTGTGTCAAGCGGCGCCCTTTCCGCCATGGGTGCCGTCCTTTCCTCCGTCTCTGCAGATCTTCCCAAACCGACTTCGCATGCCTGGAATGCTCATACCGCAGCAATATCACTTTGCTGTCGATCTAAGGTCGCATGACCTGCACCGCGAGCTGACAAGCTACCTCTTCAAGGGAGGAAGCAATTTTAACCCTCACGTTCTTTATCTGGGCACCGACCCGACCAAACCTTGGCAGCACCTTGCGGTCGCGTACTTCAGTCCTGACATTCGTCTCGCTTCTCGGATCCATCCAGCAGGTACGAGCTCCCGTATCTATGAAGGCCGGCACGGACTCCTCGCCATGAGGCTCAGCTCGTACGAGGAGCCAGAGTTCGTCGGCGTCCTGTGGCTAAAAAACAATCGGGCAGCCGCAAAGATGAAGAATGTCATCGAGCAGAATGATCTCGATGGCCTGGAGAGGAACCGTGCAATCGATCTCACGGACATTCAGAGGGTCATGCACTATGGTCCTGTATGATCATGCGCTACATCATTTTCGTCAGACGATGCATGGTTTCTCATGATCTGTGGCACGAGCTCGCAGCCCGCCACACACAAGCCGTCCCTTTTCATTTCGGTCCTGCAGGCGATGACAAGCCTCAGCGACCCTCACACAAACATTCTGGCTCGCGACAATCGAGACGTTTGACCACAACCGTTGTATAAGGTGGACACAGGTGGGAGGGCGCCCCTTTGTCGTCTGTCAACCGACAACTTCATTTTTGGTATGAGAGCAAACAATGGTAGGTGTCGATGATACGCAACAACAATGTTCATCGCCTGACACCATGAATACGGAATAATTGTGCCGGAGTGTGCCGTGGTCAATGTGAATGGACCAACAATGACAAGTCTTCGAGCTCGACGAAGCCGCGCAGCTGACCCGCGCTCACATATAAGACGAATACACCTGGGAAGCCGGAATCAGGAATGGCATGAGACTCGCCACCCGTTGCTTTGAAGCGTCGACCCTATCTCAGGATCTACTTTCAGCATGACCACGCCACGCTTCGCTTTCATCTTGTTCCTCGCCTGTTTCTTCATGTCGACGCTCCAAGCTTTGGCGCGTGAGCCTGAGGATGGGTTCCCACCAGCTCACGTTCGGGCCCAGCAAGCAGCCTTGCGGGCACAGCGGGCCGCTCAGGCGGCTCAAGCGGCTCAGGCTGCCCTTCAAGCAGCCGCACAGCGGCTTCGAGACTCGATGCTCACGATCGAACGCCGCTACCAGCTTCCCGCCGGCACTCTTGGGCCTGCAACGCCTTACACCAGTGACCAGCACGGCACCATCGATGTTCAGCTTCGAGACGCAAGGATGCGGATGCTACCGGTCGCGACACAGGCCGCTGAAGGCTACACGCTGTACGCCTCGACAGGGATCGCGATCGATCCAGAGACAGGCGCGCGTGGTCTGACGCTGATTCTGTTCAGAGTTCATACGGACGGACGCGTCGTGCCACTCGGTCATACCAGAGTACGAGCCGGCGTGCCGCCAGGACACAATACGAACTTCATGCAACGAGTTATTGAAGAGGCGGACGAGAATTGGGCATCGTTGGAGAGGGAGTTTGGAACCCTGCATGTCGTGCATCCTTGATGGAGGCGCTCGACGTAGAAAGACTCGGCGTTCCACCGTCTTTGTCAATGTCAAACCAATTGCGAATGTGTACTCTCGTCTCGAACAACTGTGTGGGCCTTCATGTTCTCATATCGCAGAGAGTAACGCTAATTGTTCGTGAGAGCTACGATTACAAGCAACGTCGACCCGTCAAGGGGGCATTGAGGCACACCGTGAAGACTCAGAGACGAACTTCAGTCCCAACAACCATCATCTTCTCCGCGACTCGCGATGAGGCAGCGTCTTTTCTTTCTTCTTCTCCTACTCTGTCTGCTTTCTGCCTTCGTCCAGGTCTCATCCAGACGATCTGATGAGCCTGACCACAATATACCCAGCGGCGCTGTTCGAGCGGCTCAGCAGCGCGGACGAGCCGCACGAGCTGCACAGCTCGCTGAAGCTGCCCAAATCCAGCGCGACATCGAAGCCGCCCTGGCTGCCCGACAGGCAGCCCTTCGTCACCTCCACCACGCCATCACGCTGATTCGCGCACGCTTCGATCTTCCTCCCGCCGCTCTGGGCGCTTTCAACCCTTATCTGGCTAGCCAGCACGACTTTCTCGCTGCCTCGCTTCGGAATCCCAGAACGAGGTATATGCCCGTGGCAGATCTGAGCCATCAGGGCTATGCGCTGTATACGACGCTGGCTGCGACAAACGACGGCGGCGTCTCGCTGCTCATGTTCAAAGTCTATCGGCAGGGAGGACGTGTGGTACCCGTGGGCCTGGCACAGGTGCATCGCGAGACAAGGGAGGGGAGGAACATCGTGCAGCGCGTCATCTCGCAGGCTGACGCAAGCTGGGAGACGCTGCAGAGAGAGTTTGGTCCTTTGGACGTCGTCCGGCCTTAGCAAGCTTCGCCTCTCAGCTCTCGATTCAGTCAGTATCGTCCTCGTACCAATTCCACAATTTTACCCTCTTCGGATGTCTGTGGGCGTGTTAGCTACATTATATGAAGACGTCGTTCGCAAGGTCAATCTCATGTGTGCAGACCGCCGACGGAATGCAAATGAAGACGAAAGGGGCCAACGAGAGCCGTATTTTCGCATCGACAGTACCACTTTGTGGGTTTCCGCAGGCTCTGAGTGGGTCGATGATGAGACGCAGCCTCACAAGGTGTCCATCTCGCCGACTCAGGACCGAGTGGACGGCGAGTGCCAACGGCGTACAAATACGACGAGGCGGAGACACTGATCGTGTCGCTCCCAGTGCCTCCATTCTGTTGGTCTTCCATGTCAACCCCCCGTCGCGATGATCAAGTCACGAGTATATCTAGTGCTGCTTCTCTGCACCTTTATCGGAGCGGCTATGCAAGTTTTTGCTCGACAGCCTGACCTTCCAGACGATGGTCCTTCCGCCGACGCTGCAGCAGCTGAAGCAGCTCATCGAGACGCGATCCGACTACGAGCCACTCAAGCCGCGCAGCTCGCCTTTCGTTCAGCTCACCATCGACTGGATGAATCCGTCGCCCAGATCCAGGAGCGCTTTGACCTGCCTCGTGAGGCGATTCAGCAATCGCGCGCGTACGCGCCCGCCCACCACAATACCTATGAGCTGTACCTGCAGCATCCTGACGCGAGATTCGTTCGCCTCGCCTTGATTCCGGAGGAGTGGTACTCTCTGTACGCCAGACCAACGAGAGGCGCGAGCAACCGCCTGTTTCTGGTGCTGGTGAGAGTGTATCACGAGGGCGGAAGCGTCGTGCCGGTCGGCATCCTGACTATCAGGCCAGGACCGGCACAGGGCCATAGGGTCAACTTTCACGACTTCGTAGAGACGATCGCTGGTCAGATGGGCGAGAGCTGGAGCGCGCTGCAGGCAGAATATGGGACTCTGCGCATCTTCCGGATATACTGATGTGAAGTAAGATGCAGGGCGAAGCGAGAGGTCCGAGCCGTCGATGCGGCCAGACTCTGTCACACTGTCTTGTTTGCGACATCAGACTCACTTTTACATGGGCCTCGTTGCTCACTGCCGAAGTCTGTCAAGCTCATTGCAAACGATCAAAATGTGTATACATGCACAAGCGTCATGTCAATGAGTGTGGGATGGATTGATTCGCGACTCTGTTCTCGAGTCGAGCGATAAAACTGGTAACAAGTGTATCTCGTTCGAATTGAAACCTACTGGGCGCCGTCCAAGGTCAAGAGACCAGGACGGTAAGGTTCATCGTTGTAGTCGCTCGACGAAGCGTTCGGGTTGCGACCCTGGAAGAGCATCTGCAGCCTGCAAGGGTCGATGGTCTGGGTCTGATCCGGGTTGGAGCGGATAATGTCGCCGTGACTGATATCGTTGGTCCAGCTGACAGCGACGTTGGACTTGCCGGCGAAGGGAGCGCTCTCGGTACCAGCCTGAACGGTCCATTGGCCGCCGAGGCTGTTGGCCGTGAAGCTGCGGAAGTAGCGACCGGTCTTTCCTTCAGCCTCGACGATCATGAGGTACTTGTTCTGGCCGGAAACCGTGTAGACCTGCACCGCCTCGAACAGGTTAACCGTCGTGTCGCTGAGGATGACCTCCGAGGCAGTGCCGAAGCTGCCCGGGAAGCTGCCGATCGGCATCGACGCTCGGTAGATCTTGCCATTGTCGCCGGCGAAGAAGAGATACATATTCTCACTGTCACCAATGACGGTCTGGTCGATAGGACCGGTACCACTGCCCGAGATCGAGCCGGTAAACAAGGCCTGGGGCTGAGACCAGCCGTTGGGATTGGTCGGATCGCTCGCCGTCCTGTAGGTAAAGGGGGCTGCACCCCACTGAGATGCGAGAACCCAGATGTTCTTGGGACGGAAGTAGAACAGCGTCGGTGCGACAGCTGCTTGCGTCATACCGGTCTGCGTGGCGGAAGCCATATCGGCCCACTTAGAGAAGGTGGAGAAGCCCATCGAGCTGTACTTGCCCGAGCCGTAGTACGAGGCGTATACAAGATGACCACCATTGTAAGGAACGTGAGTAAAATCCTTCAAGTTGTCCCAGCCGTGTTGAGGCTGAGCGAGGACGGCCGACGAGGTCCACTTGTAGGTCGAAGGCAGAGCACAGCTCTGACGACGCTCGCCAGCGGGGGAGGCCTCGACCAGAGAGGCTACCAGAGCCGCAACGGCCACGAAGGCGCAAGAGAGCTTCATATAGTCGAAGATTGGCGGAGGGAAAGGTCCGAGTCCGGAATCGGGGCTGAACGAATGAGGATGGGTCTTGTCGACGTCGACTCTTGACAGCCCTTTCAGGCGAGTCTTTATACTTTCAGGAACGCTTGAGAGAGCATGAGCGAGCCTCTTGGGGAGATGCGCTTGACCTGTCGTGCAAGTGCAGTGCATTCGATCGACAGAAGAAACAATTGGTGTGATTGCGACCGAACACACGCCGGTCTACCCACCTCCTTCGTCCAGCGTCAGGCCCTGCTATGGGAACACATCACACGTACTCTTGACAACGCCGGTGGGTTCGGCGAGATGAGATTGCCGCATCTCGCCTGCATAATGAAGGCAAGGCGTCTCGCCCACAATAGCCTGGTTGCTGCCGCATAAAGCGGACGTTGGGTCATCTCGTTACGCACAGACTTCTCGACACCGGAACGTGTCCATCCGTGACGCTGTAAATGTAAGGGCATGAGAATTGTGGGTCATGCAAGGCTTGCCATGCCGTCGGTACATGACATCTCCGACAGAGTTCCAGCTCCGCCGACTCTTGTAGGACGCTACTTTAGCTCGCGTCGTCATCTAAGCGAGGTTCGCCGGTGGACACGCGCAAATCTCCCTCCATAGCAACGGTTGACATGGTGCGGGGGCGTGACGATGCATGAGAATGATCACGTAGCTGCTGACGATCCCTGGCAGAATCCCGGTCCATCTCACAGTAGCAGATCATTCGTAGCTCGCCTATGCAAGGTGCAAAACGAGTTTCCCATGTGCATCGCTCCTCAGAAGTGCCTTTGAGGCATGCTTTTCGAAACGCAGACGTCGAACGAGTTTCGGAACAGACAAGTCGACGGCTTGATCCTGCGTTTCAAGCAATCATCTGGTTCTCGCTGTATGCAGGCACTTCAGAAATCGCCGAGCTTTCAGGGCATGTGTGGGCGTTCCGAGAAGCCAAAAAAGTCGAGAGAACACGCTCTCGGCACAACATCTTTTGCGGCAATCTTTGAACGTCTTTTGCGGCAATCTCTGGTCCGACCAACCCGCTTCGATCAATCTTAGAAGCGCTCGAGTTGCGCACAGCCAGTGTGAGCTTCGATACGAGCTGCCGGACGGGAACGAGGTTCAGCATCGCCGGTGAGCCCCTCGTCCGTGTGTCCGAGCTTCGAGAAAAGCTCTGCGAACGCAAAGAGACTCATCAAGACAAGACGATGTCCTGAAGACATGATGGTGCTCGATCCGCGCTCATCTTCGCCTGGACCCGTACGATTGGACCCTGAACCGTGCATGCCTCGTATAGCACAAGTTTCCCCAGATTGTTTTGGCGGGAGCGTTTTTACGCCAAAAGCGCTGTCCAACTCGGCAAGCGCGCTTCCTTGCGTTGTACAAACAGCTGCAACTCGGCTCTGACAGGACAGAAGGGGTCAGCTGGCTTCCTCGTGCAAGGCAGACTGGTTCGTGCACCCTGAATGTCGGCGTCGACTTTCTTTCTCGGTCTTCGGGCCTCGCTGTGCCCCACAAGGTTGGGAAGAGGTCATGCGACCTTGTGGGTAATGCTATTATTGTGTACATGCAGCTGCTGCGAGAAGGCGGTGTCCTCCGTGCATGGAAAAGGTTTCTGAGAGAATCCGAGAGTCGATCCGTTCGATTTGGTCTCATATATATCTCGCTCAAGGGAGCAGTAGCATCCGTCGAACAGCACTCATCAGTATCACAGACATCGTTTCGAAATCATCAGCAAAGGGAATCAACAATGTCGCTGCAAGACAAGCTGCAACAGATCATGGACACGGCGACGGCCGACGTGAGCGCAGTCAACGGCGTGCCCGGTGCGGTCATGTACATCGCCGACAAGACCGGCAAAGAAATCGCATGGGCTGCTTCGGGCGTCAAGCAAGCCGGCAAGCCGGCGCCAATGACCAAGGACTCAATCTTCTGGGTCGCGAGCTGCACCAAGCTCCTCACCGCCATTGCGTGCCTGCAGCTCGTCGAACAGGGCAAGCTCGACCTGCAGGATCCTGTCACCAAGTACGTGCCCGAGTTCGAAAGCGTCACCCTGCTCGACGGATCCAAGCCCAAGAAGGTGCCGACACTGTGGAACTGTCTGACGCACACGTGCGGGTTGGGTTACTCGTTCTTCAACCCAGGTCTCAAGGATCACGAGGCGAAGAAGGGCCGCAAGGTGATCGACGCTTTCGATGCGTCCAAGCAGAGCATCATGGGACCCTACGTCACTGAGCCTGGCACCGAGTGGGAGTACGGTCACGGCATCGATTGGGCTGGCCAGGTCGTCGAGAAGATCTCCGGTCTCTCGCTCGACGAGTACTTCCAGAAGAACATCTTTCAGCCCGTCGGCATCAAGCACGCTAGCTTCCTGCCCAAGAAGGCGGGCTTGACGGACAAGCTGGTGGGCTCGCACTATCGCAATCCGGAAGGCATCGTTTCGGCCAACGACCATTGGATGCAGCCTGACGAGTCCAAGATCGAAGTGCAGTACGGCGGTGCGGGACTGTGGGCCAACGCCGCCGAGTACTGCCAGGTGCTCATCGCGCTCCTCAACGGCGGCACGCATCCCAAGACCGGCGGCCAGATTCTGACTCAAGCGAGCGTCGACGAGCTGGTCAAGGAGCAGCTTACGGGCAAGCTGCAGGAGGACATCGACCGCGAGTTCCCTAACACCGACCCGACCATCACCAACTACTTCGAAGGGTGCACCGTCAAAGGCGTGCCCAAGACATGGGCGCTCGGCGGGCTGAGGCTGCAGACGCAGCACCCCATGTTCAAGTTCAGCGACAAGACACTCTTCTGGTGCGGCATTCAGAACTCGTACTGGTGGGCGGACTTCAAGGATGGAACGTGCGGCATGTTACAATCGCAGATCGGCCCGTTCCTCGACATGGGCACGCTGGGTATTATGGCTCAGATCGAGCCGCAGGTGCATGCTTTGTACGCACAGTAGACTCGAAAATCCAAACATTTGCTCCCGTTGTAGGTCATCAACGTCGTCGTGAGGTTCACAGACCTCACACAGTCAAAACTTTCAAACTTTGAAGTCTGGGATCATCAGAATCGTAATTCCACATGTCGTAGTAGAGACCCAACCGAGAGGTTTCGCTCGTAAGCTGCCCTTTTGTTTGATGTTTTTCATGCCTGAATTTTTCGTGTCAGATTTCAGACTCAAACCTTTCAGCCAACTCGCTCTGGCGTTAGGGGGGTCGAAGGCCAAACGAATGTGTTTGAATGCTTTTAGCCCGACAAGAAGGTGTGTTCAACATGTACTGTATGTAGGCTCACGCAACGAGCTTGGAAGCTAAAATGACCAGTGAACCCCACCATCTGGCTGTGTGTCGGAAAAGAGGACATGGAGAATTGGTAGTGTAACATTGCAGAGACGAGCTGCATCAAAAAGGCCGAGGAGGGTCGGCTAAACGGGTCGAAACGAGTTCCGGGCCGGTGGGTCGCACAAGACATTCACCCCTAGCGATCTAGCAACCACCACCGCCGCCCGTCGGTATCACCTCTCGACGCCAGCACCTGCCTGTCTTTCTTCGCTGCTGCATTCTGGCAGTCCAGATCTCGTCGCTGACAACCATGCTCGGCCTCTTCTCCAAATCGCCCATTCAAAGAGCCATCGATGCTCACATCGCCGAGCGTGATGCAGCTCTAGCATATGCACTCCCTGACGAAGCATCCAGCACCTCTCTCGTCGTCAACGATAGCAAGAGTTCGTACCATGGCCTCGCCGTTGGGCTCGAGGAAGGCGACCTAGACATCCTCTCCGCCGACATTGAGGGCATCACATCCGCCATCAAAGCTGGTCGCTGGACTTCGACTCGAGTCCTCTGTGCCTATGTCCGAGCCACGCGTCGAGCTCAGATCCGTACCAACTGTCTGACCGAAGTCTTCGTCGACAAGGCCTTGCTGCGTGCTGCCGAACTCGATGCCCACTTCAGCAAGACAGGCGAGCTCGTCGGCCCTCTCCATGGCGTCCCGATCTCGCTCAAGGACACTTTCAATCTCAAGGGCGTCAAGAGCACCCTCGGCTTCTCAAAGTGGATCGCAAAGCCTCCCGAGTCCACCATATCGACCGTCCCTGCGATCTGCGAGCACCTCGGTGCCATTCACTTTGTCAAGACCAACATCCCGCAGACCATGATGACGTTCGAAAGCATCAACCCTGTGTTCGGAAGGACCGTGAACCCATACAGCCCACTCCACACCTCCGGCGGCAGCTCTGGAGGCGAAGGCGCCATCATTGGCTGTGACGGGTCCGTTGCAGGTATTGGCTCCGACATTGCCGGAAGCTTGCGCATCCCTTCGCATCATTCAGGCATCTACACACTCAAGCCTTCGCCCGGAAGATGGTCGTACAATGGACAAGTCGATTTCGGCAAAGGCTTCGAGAGCATCCAGTCGGTCATCGGTCCGATGTGCAGGTCTGCGGCAGATGTCGAGATTTTCTTTGTCGAAGTCGCGCGACAGCATGTTCCAAAGTGGCTGCGCACGCCAAAGGACAAGAATGACCCCGCTGTGCTCGCTGAAGCTGCTGAGAACGACGAGGACATGGCTAAATTCGATCTCACGAACTCGCCTCTCATCACCCTTAACGAAGCCTGGCTGAATCCGCTGGGCATGGTGGAAGCTCGTGGTGCACCTCTTCGCATCGGCTTCGTCGTCGGCGATGGCATTCATCGCACCACACCAGCTGTCTACCGCGCAATTCGAGAATGTGTCGCCGCGGTCCAGGCAAAGTACTCGACAAAACAGATCGAGCTCATCGAGATCGAACCAAGCAAGCTGCGAATCTTTGAAGTAATGCGCATCTTCCTCCAGCTGCTCACAGCCGACGGCGTGCGCACGCTCCTCAAGGAGCTCGGAACGGACAAGATCATCCCTCACATCAAGCTGCCGATCCTGGTCAGTCGTCTGCCTCGCTTGATTCGCTCCGCTATCGTCTTCTTCGTCCGCTACATCCTGCGCGACAGCATGTACGCTGACCTAGCGTCTTCGATGGGGCAGATCTCAGCTGCAGATCACGCCGAGGCGCTTGAGCGTCGCCATCGCTTTGTCGACAAATGGAACCACATTGTGTGGCACGACATGGCGCTCGATGCGATCATTGCGCCCACTCAAGCCTGCCCTGCTGTTCCTCACGGCGGCGCCACGCACACCTCGACACAGGCCGGATCCACCGTGCTGTTCAACATCACCGAAGCGTCCGTCGCCGTCCTGCCCGTGCTTCGCGTCGATCCTGCTCGCGACTCGCACAAGAGAAAGGACTACGAAAGCGCGACTCCCGAGCAGCGCGCCAACTTCGACAGGTGGGAATCCGAGACCTGCTGGCGATCTACCAGCAAGATATGCAACTATCTGCTGTACAGCACCGCCTACGATGCAGAGAAGATGGAGGGATTGCCCGTCGGCGTGCAGGTTGTCACCAGACCTTACCACGACGAGAAGGCGATTGGCATGATGAGGTTGATTGACGATGCGCTGCCCAGCCCAGCGACCAGAGGTTCGGCTTGGAAGAACGTTCTCGATCCTAGGGGGAATGCGATCTCGAAAGAGAATGCCAAATCGGCTGTTGGGTTCGGTCCGGGTAGCTTGACGAGGGCCCTGTTTCAGTAGTCAATGTGGGAACGCATGGCAATATCATCTCGCGGCATTGCAACATGAACCAGGCTTGTCGACGCGAGCTCAACAATGCATCAATCGCGAAGCCGATCCGGCGGCCGCAAAACACCATGAGATGAAAGGAAAAGTGACATCGTGCGCCGGGCGAATCAATCGTAAAAAGGAGCACCCCCACCTCATGTCGGCCAGATCAGCAGCAACGCTGCACGAGATACAGTATCCTATTGATACCGCAACGGAAGGCATTGTCCACTTTCGCTCGAAGGGTGGGCTCTGGCAACGACGCCAGGGGGGAGTTGCATTTGACGTACCGCGAGACCCACTCAATGAAACGCCGAAGTCACCTCATTGACCGCGGTCGATCTTCGGCTGCTCTCGTTGTCCTGAAACCGCACCCCTGCACCAAGCTCGTGCCAGTCAGTTCGCATCACTGTGGGTCAATCTCTTCGGGGCGATCCCTCCGTGCTCATGTCTCATTGAGCATCGACGAGATAAATAGAGTTGTCGACGAAGGTGTTCTGACCCGTCCCTCATCCGATCCAACTTTCTCCTCCCTTCAATCTTCAGTTTATTCCGTCTCGCCCCTTCTCCATTTCCCAAGATGGTGAGCTCCAAGCTCGCCCTCGTGCTCGTGCTCACCGCTGGCGGTGTCATGAGCCGTTCCTCCCAAAACTTCAGACGGCTGGACCGTCTCGATCGTCGCCGGGGTCCGCCCGGTGGATACGGCGCTGGTGGTACCGATCCTCTCACTCACCCCGCTGCTCCCGGTGGCGGTGCTGGTGGCTTCGGCAACGGCGGCACCGATCCTCTCACCCACCCCGCTGGAGCTGGCTCTGGTCCACCCGTCTCTGCCTCCAGTGGCGGCCAGATGCACTGGGCCACCGATGCCTCGGGCATGACGGGTGCCGAGCTCCAAAAGCATCTACCCTCTGGCTTCTTCCTCGGCTCGGCCATCGACAATCCCGATCTCAAGGACCCCAAGGTCGCGCCGCTCATCAAGTACCTTCCCTACTGGACCCCCGGCAACTCGCTCAAGATGCAGTTCGTCTACGAAAACGAAAACTCGTGGCAGGAGCTGCTCAAGGGCGTCACTTCGGCAACAAAGGGCACGCCGACCAAGGTCAAGTACCACACGGTCATCTGGGGAGCCGAGCAGAGCAAAGTGATGATGCAGCAGTCGTTCAGCAAGGAAGCCATGATGAAGACGATCACCGACTTTATCTCGACCAAGCTGTGCACCAAGCTCATCAAGGAGGCCGATTTCTGGGCGATCGACGTGCTCAACGAGGTGTTTGACGACAGCGGTAGCGGGTTCAAGAAGAACGGCTACTTCGAGGTGATTGGCGAAGAGGGGTACAAGTCGGTGCTCAAGCTGGTCAAACGGAAGTGTCCGGATTACAAGATCATCGTCAACGACTACGGCATGGAATCGATGAATGCCAAGTCGAACTTTGCGTTCAAGACGATCAAGCAGTGGTTGGCCGAGGGGGTACCTGTGGATGCTGTCGGTCTGCAATTCCACGTCCAGCTGTCCAATCGGTACGAAGACATGCTGGCGTCCATCCAGCGCTGGACGAAGGAACAGATCCCCGTGGTGCTCTCCGAGATCGACGTGCCCATCAACCTACCGCCCTCGAAGGACGATTTGGAAAAGCAAGCCCAGCAGTACGGCAACATCGTTCAGGCTGCCCTCGAGGGCGGTGCGTTCGGCGCCACCTTCTGGGGTCTCACCGACGATCACACCTGGTTCGGCACACAGAAGGATGCCAGCGGCGTCGGCCACGGCAAGACGGGCGCTCCGCTCCTCTTCGACGAGCAGGGCAAGCCCAAGCCCGCCGTCGCTGCCATTGTCGATGTGTTCAAGAAGTGGGGCAGCAAGCCCGCCGGTATCGAGGGCGGCCGCGCTACGGATCTTGGCAAGGGCAAAGGCAGCGATGCCGACTCGTCGAAGGGCGATTCGGGCGATAGCACTGGCGCTGGTGCCGGCACTGGCGGCGCTGAAGGATACGGCTCTGGATCTGACGGTTCTAGCTCTGGCGGTTCTGGCCCCGACGCTGGCTCTGATGCTCCTGATGCAGCCTTGGGTGTAGGAAACGGTTCAGGCTCAGGTTCAGGATCAGGCTCTGGTGCCGGCTCGAGCTCTGGCTCTGGTCCTGGCTCAGGCGAAGCTTCTGGCGGATCAGACGACGAGGGTCCTCTCGACAGAGGTCCGCCTGACACTGGCCTCGGAGGCGCTGGCAGCTCTGGTTCGACTCCTATTTCCAGCGGAGGCGATGCTGGCGGCGCTGGTGAAGGCTACAACCCTGGTCCTGGTTCTACCGGAAGCACTGGTGGTGATGCCGGCGATGCTGGCAGTGCTCCTGGCGGCGGAGATGCAAGCCCCACACCCGGTGCCCCACCTTCCACTCAGCCTTCACAGTCCTATGGTCAGCCCGGCGGTGCTCCTGGTGCCTCTTCTGGTGCTCCAGGTGGTGCTCCTGGCGGCGCACCTGCCCCCAAGCCCAAGCACCACGGGCACGAGCACCATGAACACAAACACCACGGACACCAGCACCACGAGCCCACTCCTGACGACTCGTACGGCCAGCCCGGCGGTGGTGCGGCTGGCAGTGCTCCCAGCTGGCCTCCTCCCAGCGTTTGGGGCGCTCAGCAGGGCGGCTGGGGTGCTCAACAGGGTGGCTGGGGCGCTCAACAGGGTGGTTGGGCTGGCCCGCCCGGCATGCCAGGCAGTGTGCCAGGCGGCCTCCTAAACAAGCCCGGCGGCCCAGAGGGCTACGGCGCCAAGCACCGTCGTGCCATGATGCGACGCCGTCGTTAAGCACCTTTTCTCATGTTGTTCGTTCACATCTTCTTTCCATGTCCCCAATTGTCGAGTTCATCACTCGCAATCCTACATTCACTCTTTCGATTGTCCTGTGTGTGTCTGTTCGATCCGTCCATGAGGTTCTATTCTGCGTATGCAAGCGGTCCTAGCACCATCAACAGCGCGTCTCTCCCGGTCGCGATCGTCGATTTGAAATGCTTGTGATGGAAGATGGCTAACGATTCGAGGTCGCTGACCGATACGCTGTTCATGTGCGGCACCAAAATCGGCAGAGGGTCATCAAGCAGATAATGGCGGTAACCGCCGGCGAAGCTGGAAGGATTTGGGCGGCAACCTTAGACATTTCTCAGCCCAGCGAGCGATGATCCCTTGTGGCAGAGAACAGAGCTCGCCGGCGGTCCCCTCCTTTTGCCTGCTATTTTTACGATGCAGACCCTGCGTCGATGACTGCATGATGCACAAAGGAGCCACTTTTCCGCGGTGCCTGAGTGTTGGACCTGCTTGTGAGAGATGGTCAGAAGTTACCACTCTCGGTATGATCTGTCTTCTATAAGGACCTGGATCTGTTCGTGATCTGCGCATCTCGCCTTCGTTCCGGACCCCATCTGCTCACGATCAACGCAACAATGGCTTCATCAACATCGGCCTCGCGTCGAGAGAACATCACCTTTGCCTCGGGCGACGACGTGTGCGCGGGATGGCTCTATCGACCCACGGCGCCTCCTCTCGCACCCGCCTACGGCTCGATCCCTTCGAGTCGGAAGAGCAAGTACCCTGCCGTCGTGCTGGGTCACGGCATTGGCGGGATCAAAGAGTTTCAACTCGATGCGTATTCGGAACGCTTTGCCGAGCTGGGCATCATCTGCGTTGCGTTCGACTATCGACACTTTGGCGAGAGTGGAGGTCAGCCTCGACAGCTGCTCGACATTGGACTCCAGCAGCAGGACTGGAGAGCGGCGATTCGGTACACCAAGCAGCTCGAGGAGGTGGACGAGACGCGAGTGGGTCTGTTTGGGAGCAGTTTCGGTGGTGGACATGTGATTCATACGAGCAGTGAGGATCACACGATCAAGGCGGTGATCGCGCAATGTCCGTTCACGTCCGGTTTCCATTCGGCTCAAACGGTAGGCGTCTTGCCACTGTTCAAGCTGGCAGGACTGGGGATTTGGGATCTTGTCTCGAAAGCGACGGGGTACGGCGTGATTCCGGTCCCCTTGGCAGGCAAGCCTGGCGAAGCGGCGCTGATGAACACGCCTGACGCGATGGACTACGAAAAGATCATCCCGCCCTTCTACCTGGCGCAGAAGGACAAGCTCGGTTGGGTCGCAGCTCGCTTCGCGCTCAACATCGGCTTCTACAATCCAGGATGGAAGACGGCAGACATTCAATGCCCCATCCTGTTCGGCGTCTGCGGAAAAGACTCGGTCGCTCCACCAGGACCGACGATCAGGTACGCCGCAAACGCTCTGCATGGCGAGGTCAAGGTGTACGATGACATGGGTCATTTCGATTGCTACGTCGGCGAGCCCTTTGAGATCGTCACCAAGGACTACTGCGATTTTCTCCGTCGCAATCTGTAAGCAAAGCATGTATTCCGTTATCGCACACACATATAGACACACACACATAGACACACATAGACTACTTGCACACGATGGATCTTGCGTCCGATGACGATGACGATCCAGTTTGAGTGTGCGTGACATGCACAGCCCACTTTGCAGGCCACCAGACGAGTGTCGACGCACGAGCTGAAGCGCAACCAGCTCGTCGCACACCTCGACGTGAGCCCGGAATGCCGGGAGCGCAAGTGATCCCAAGATGCTGACGAGTTTGAATGCGTACATCACCTTGAGCTGATGCTAGACGGCTGCAGCACATGGAGCGGCGGGCAGACCCATTGGCAACAGCGGCTCTTCAGCGACGAGACCCCAGGTTTTTCCGCGCGTCCACCAAGTCTCGGTCTGACATATTTAGCGGATTTTCTTTATCAAGCACGGACCAGCGCCCGCGGGCCAGTGCCGGTTGAGCTCAAGCAGCAAAGCCTATTGTCCTTCCAGATTGTATATAGCCGGACCACCATCCTTCTTGATCCACACCCCTCCCTCTGTCTTCGAGAACCCCCTCCTCTCACACCAGTCCTCGCCCAACATGCGCACCCTCACCTTCGAGTTTGCCAAGCGCGAGGTGCCGATCCAGCTCGACCTCTGCTTGCCGGATGCCGCGTCGTCCGAGTCGCCGCTGCCCATCTTCCTCTGGTGGCACGGCGGCGGTCTGATTCAAGGCGCACGCCAGTCCATGGCTCCGCATCTCAAGCGTGCGGTTGACAAGTATCAAATTGCGGTTGTGTCGACCGACTATCGCCTGGCGCCGCAGGTTCGCGTGCCGGACATTCAGCACGATATGGAGGACTGTCTCGCATTTGTGATTGACGAGCTTCCCTCTCAACTTGCTGCCAAAGGGGAGACGGTGCGGGTGGACACATCTCGCATTGTGCTCAGTGGTTCGAGTGCTGGTGGGTGGCAGAGTCTCATGGTCGGTCTCGGCATGTGTCCCAATTCAAAGCAGGAGCATTTGCAAAACGTCAAAGGCATCGCCGCCATCTATCCGATCACCACCATGGACCATCCGTTCTTCCTTGAGAAGCAGGTTCCGTTCCGTGGCCTGACCAAGGACGATCCGTCGACGTTCGAAGAGTTTCGCAACCCCAACGCTCCCGTCACCGCCAACAGCGCCGCTGTGGAACAGAGGAACAAGTTCTACATGCATGCCCAGCAGGAGGGGCTTTTCCCATCCCTCCTCTTTTCCGAGCAGCAGCGCGAACAGGGTTGGTTGCAACGCACCGACGTTATGGCGTTTCTGAAGCAAAGCTCGGAGCAGCAGAGAAAGGAATTCCCGCCGGTGTACATCGTGCACGGCGAAAAGGATACCGCGGTGGATGTGGATCAGGCGCGACAGCTCGAGAGGGCGCTCAACGAGGTTGGGGCAGAGGTGAGATATGATGAGGTGGCGGGTCGAGATCATTTGTGGGACCAGCTGGAGCCGGAGGAGACCATGGAGGCGCTGTGGGAGTTTGCGCTGAAACAGCTTCGCTCGTAGCTGGTCGATATGCGAATTCGAATGATACAGTACAGCCTCAGAATGAACTGCGGTCGATGTGTGCGCATTGTTCCGATGGACGCAAGGGTATATGAGATTCGTGAGATGTCGAAGGGCGAGCAGCCTACAAACGAAGGATGAGCACTAAAAGGGCAACCTCGGCGAGGCCCACAAAAGCGGTAGCAGCCGCCACGACCGATCCGGCTGTCACGAAGCTTTGGCGCAGCACGGTCTGTACGGGTGCTGGCGTCTGTCTGGCTCCAATCGACCGCGACGTCTGTCCTATCTGATCTGACGATCCCTGTTCCGAAGTTGCTGGACCTGATGACAGGTCGTGTGGCGCAGCGATCGGATCGAGAGGCATCAAGCGCTGCGCGTTGCTCACCGCCATCCGATAGCGAAAGATGGCGACTGGGATGAAGCCCATGCCCAAGATTGCGTAGACCAGACCTGCAGCGTGAAGGACAACACCTTCCGATCGTCAGCCAGGATTCCTACCTTAATGTTTCTCTGCGACCGATCACTTACCGACATAGAAGAACTTGGGCTGGAAGAGACGCAGGATGACGGTGGCATAGCACAGCTGGCCGAGCGCCGTCCTCGCGTAGGCGCCATCAAAGGTCCTTTGCACGGCGCGATAGTCGAGCAAGTCGCGCTCGCTCAGCTTGACGAGGTTGGACCGAGGCGGTGCTACTGAGGAAAGTGGCGCTGTCATGGCGTCTAAAGAGTCGTCTCTTGATGGCGAAGCGTGATGATGATGGGAGACGGCGAGGTGGAGAAGGAGCTGCAGGTATAGGGAGCCTTGGCGCGTGCAAAGGGTCCACGATTGCGTCAACTGCGCATCGCTCAGCTGGGGAAGATAGGCAGACTCCAATTTACGATGGCCTAACATTTGACAAGAATTAGACGCAGCAGCTCACCATGGCCCTATCGACGGTGTGGATGGCGATGGGCCTTGCTCGATGGTTGCCAGACTACAGTAGATCTTTGATTGCCAAACGAGAGACAAGGAATAGCAGTGACGAGACGCGAGGTGGAAGCTATCCTTCCAAAGTCAGATGCGGGGGCTGCGACGAGCCAAAGGAAGTGATTGCTCAACGGCACGGCAAACGAGCGACAGAGGATAAAGCGGTGCGAAAGGTCTTCTATTCACAACTCTTGCAATGATAAAAACATGATCGAAACAAACGGTGACTGGGAATCCGATGCAGATGAGGACGACCTTCACCAAGCGCAGTGACCACCATCCATCCTGAGATCAGCACCGGTCATGAACGAGCTGGCGCCACTGGCCAAGAACACAGCAGCGCCCTTGAACTCGCTCGGCTCGCCGATGCGGTGCATGGGGTTGTCGTTGGTCCACTGTCCCAGCAGCGCCGGCTCCTTCTGGAGCAGCTGTTCGACCATCTTGGTGTTGACGTAGCCAGGGCTGATGGTGTTGACGCGGACGTTGTGTTCGGCGAGCTCGACGGCGGTGGAGCGGCACAGCTGGTGCACCGCAGCTTTGGACGAGTTGTAGGCGGTGCAGTAGAGGCCACGGTTCGAGATGTAGCCAGACATGGAGGCGATCAGGATGATGCTACCGCCGGATTTGTGCTTGCGCATAGCACGGGCGGCGGCTTGAGTGACAATGAAGGTGCCTGTCACGTTGACGCGCATCACCCAGTCAAAGTGCGCCGGGTCGCAATCAAATACCGTGCCGGGCTTCTGGACACCGGCGGCGTGGAGCATCGTGTTGAGAGGTCGACCGAGCGAGGCAGCCTCGTCAGCGATCTCAGAGACGACAGTGTTGATCTGAAGTGCGTCTGTAATGTCGGCCTGAACGTAGCGTGCGGTGAGACCGAGCTCCTTGGCCCGCGCCTTGAACATGAGCCAGTCGGGTTCCGAAGAGGGCTCGTCCAGCAAGTCGAGGCAGACAACGTGTGAGCCGGCTTCGACGAGCGCAGCGGCGAGCGTGAGGCCGATGCCTCGTGCGCCACCCGTCACCACGCTGGTCGAGTTCTTGAGAGCGAAGAGACCGTCGCCTTCGACGACACTCCTCTCACCGGCAGCAGCGGCCATGACGGCATCCTGGACCGGGATGCGGTGGTCGTCGACGGGGCCAGCGGTCGAAGTTGGGATGGGTGCCATCTTTGCGTGTGATGCGGGGCGGGAATGAGAGTAACGATTCGGATGGTCAGATGGTGACGATAGGGAAGGAGGACACCTCGCTGATGGCTTAATAGTGTCCAGTTGACCAGGCACAGCTCAAAGATGCTTGGGCCTCGAACGGCTCGACATTGCAACTTTGTTCACGCCACAAGCATGTCGAGCAACACTTTCAAACGAATGTCCGTGCAGACAGTTTGCCGACCGTGTTCTAGTTGGCCGAGCCAAGAGTTTGATTCTGACAACCTGGCTCGTCGGCTTCGTGTGTCGACAACTGACCGATACCTCGGGTATGCGAAGGTCTAGTTGACAACCTTATCTCAATTATGCTGCGGCGACCCTGCATACACTGTCCAGGCACTTGAGCAGTGTCCTGTCGGCGAATTGATTTAGTCGCTGCTGCCACGGCGTTTCAGCCGAACATTTTTGCCACCCAAAAACGTCGTATTTGCGCACAGTTTGCCACGTTCCCGCGAGATCGTTCACCGCAGACAACAAAGTCGCCGTGCGGGGAACCACATTCTCGTCTGGCATCCCCCCTGATCACGCGCATTCAGAAGCGGAGACTGCCCTTGCAAACATAAACTTGGCGGCGGATTTGGCGGCGCGGCTTGCACAACGGCAATCCATATCGTGTGTGTTCCGATTCCAACCTCTCGGTTTCGACCTGAACCCTCGCTCGCAGTGGAAAGCCGTTCTGTGGGGCGCAACTAGCCGCCACTGCCCCACGCTCATGCTGCAGCGCAGCGATCGCTCGTCGTATTTGCGCATATGGTTCAGACGTCCCCTGCGCTCGACTTGATGGCAAGGTGTCCCATAACTACATACCCCTGCACCTTCCCACACTTGCCTTCTGACCACCACATCAACCACAAGATCCAAGATGGCGCCAGCAGCAACATTGCAAAGCTCCAATGCGTACGGCTACACTGCCGTGCCCACGAAGCAGTTCGCCGTGAACAGCATCACAAGCAACACCGCAGAGCACAACGAAGACGTGCTGCGAGAGATCCGATGTCTCGCCGCCGACCTCGTCCAGCAGTTCAAGGGCGGTCACCCCGGTACTGCCATGGGTGCTGCTTCCATCGGCATGGCTCTCTGGGGTTCGGCGATGCGCTTCAATCCCGCTGATGGCACCTGGCCCGACCGTGACCGTTTCGTGCTGTCGGCTGGTCATGCTTGCCTCCTCCAGTACATGTACCTCCATCTCACCGGCTACAAGGCGTGGACCATGGACATGCTCAAGCACTACCACTCGCCCGACTTCAAGAACAGTCTCGCTGCCGGTCATCCAGAGATCGACCCTGAAAACGGTATCGAGGTGACCACCGGCCCGCTCGGTCAGGGCATCTCCAACTCGGTCGGTCTTGCCATCGCGTCCAAGCACATGGCCGCGCACTACAACAAGCCCGGTTTTGACATTGTCGCCAACACCATCTGGTGCTTTACGGGCGACGGCTGCATCGCGGAGGGTGTCGGCGTCGAGGGTCTCTCTCTCGCCGGTCATTTGGGGCTCGACAATCTCGTCCTCGTCTACGATTGCAACAAGATCACCGTCGATGGCACCATCGACAGCTACGCATCCGAAGACCACCCTGCCAAGCTCAGGTCCATGGGCTGGAACGTCCTCGAGGTCGACAACGGTTCCACGGACGTAGTTGCCATCGTCGACGCCCTCGACCGTGCCAAGAACCTGCGCAACGGCAAGCCCACCTGCGTCCAGATCAGGACCATCATCGGCTACGGCTCCCAGAAGCAGGACACCAAGCCGGTCCACGGCGTCGCCCTCGGCGATGAAGATGTCAAGCACGTCAAGCGCACGTTTGGTGCCGATCAGGACGCCAAGTTTCACCTCTCGCAAAAGACCTACGACACGTTTGCGGGCGCCAAGACAAAGGGTGCGCAGCTGCAGGCGCAGTGGCAGGCAACATTTGAGGCGTACCGCAAGCAGTACCCCGAGCTGGCGAAGCAATTTGAGCAGCGCAACGTGCACGGCGACGCTGCTGATGCTTCGGGCGAGCTCGTCGGTGGCCTGCCCAAAGAGTGGACGACCATGCTACCTCCCAAATCTGAGCTGCCCACCAAAGCGATTCCCACGCGCCAATCCTCAGGGCTCGCAGTTCAGGCGCTGGTTCCGCACTTCCCGCAATTCATGGTGGGATCCGCCGACCTGCTCGACTCGACCTTCGTCAGCTGGGCCGACCAAGTCGAGTTCCAAAGCCCGCTCAAGCCCGAACTCGGTGGCAGCTTTGCCGGTCGTCAGATCCGCTATGGCATCCGGGAGCACGCCATGGCGGCCATCGCCAACGGTCTTGCCGGCTACTCGACCAACGGCTTCATCCCCGTCATCTCGACATTCTTCATGTTCTTCCTCTACGCTGCGCCAGCGATCCGCATGACGGCGCTGCAGAAGCTGCGACTGATTGGCATTGCAACGCACGACTCGATTGGCATTGGTGAGGACGGACCGACGCACCAGCCGGTTGGATTGGCAGCGCTGTTCAGGGCGATCCCGAACGTGCAGTTCATGCGACCGGCGGATGCGGAGGAGGTGATGGGCGCGTGGGAGCTGGCGTTGCAGAAGCAGACCAGTCCTTCCATTCTCTCGCTCAGCCGACACGCTTTGCCGCTGCTGCCCGGGTCCGATCGAAAGGCCGTCCACCGTGGCGCATACATCGTCCACACTGCTTCGTCCGAGAATGCCAACGCGATCCCGCTCACCCTCGTCGCCACAGGCAGCGAGGTCTCGGTCGCCATCGCAGCCGCCGACCTCCTCGCAACCCGCAACTACGCTGTTAAGGTCGTCTCGATCCCCTGCATGTCGCTGTTCGACGCCCAACCCGCGTCCTACCGCCACAGCGTCATTTCGCCCGATCACCTCTCGATCGGTATCGAGGCGTGGGCGGCCCTTCCTTGGCCCAGGTACACCGGCGCCTCGCTCAGCATGCACACCTTCGGCCACAGCGGCCCCCAACAGCAGCTCTTTGAGATGTTTGGCTTCGCACCCGAGAACGTCGCCGAGAAGGTGGACCAATACGCCACGTCGCGTATCCAGGACGGCAAGGTCGTGCTACCGCGGATCGGCGAGTTCGAGGAGCTCCTGCTGGGTTATGCCGAGGGTCACTAGATGAGAGCTCCTTTGTTTTGTTTTCGCTGCAATGTAATACGCTTCTGATCGCACAGGCTTGGGCTGTGCAAGCTGCGATCGCATGGTGAACCAAGCGAGGTCGATTGTGCCCCGTTCCCGAGCGCTTGCCTATCAGGAACCCGCCCGGGAAGGGTCGAACGGCGGTCGCATTCCGTGCAGATCCTCTGAGATGGTTTCAGCTTGTGCCTGAACACCTGGCAGTGAGGTGAGAGCCGCCTACTCTCACGCGAGACGCATCGCCGTGATGCTAGAGCAACCAGGCACGGTCCGATTTCCGCCTTTCCTTCTCCCTGACCGGCATCGGACGTCAATGGAGAAGCACGCGCGCTCAGGCCTCGTGGGAAGTTTCGAAGCCACGATCGTGGTTGTGCTCGACCAGGCTCGACGAGTCTGAACAATCAGGGGTGTGCGCAACTTCTCGCAGAGCCCGACATTGTGTGACTCTCGCAAAGGCTGTGTGCTCCTCGCAGTATTGTCCTTCTCGAGCAACAGGATGCAACATGTCGCTCTGTGAAGAGGCCGCCGGAATTGAGATGCGACTGGGACCTTTGTCGGATTGCGGAGAGACGTCCTTGCAGCTCGGTCGGTGCCGGTCAAAGCGAGCATCGTGATCAAGGCTTAGACTAGGAACGATATGTCCTGCGACGCCGAGAGCTCGTCCAAGCGCACTGCGCCAACAAATCTAGGAGGGGGCGGCGGGATGAGGACTGACGCTCGAGTTCGCTCCACGCCGACAGTAAGAATGATGCGTGCCTGCATGTGCAATGCCCATTGTGCGGCTTCTCCTGTGCAGACCGCGCTTTCTGTCTGGCGTTTCATTGTCCGGAGGCTTTTGATCTTCGCATTGTGTACATTGTCCGGCCTGATGCAGAATGGGACGGCTGCAGCTCTCCGGTGGAATTGTGAGACCGCTCATTGTTCGCTGCGGCCGCCAAGTTCAGATGATTTTCCTAGGCTCACCAGATTGGATGTCTGACAGCTGTCAGAACAATAGGCGATCGCTTGATCCACGCGTGTGCGCAACAAAGCGCAAGCTTCAAGGTCCGCCTGTCGCAGCCCTCATCTGCTTCACACGCCTATTGGGAGAAGGTGCTCGACACAGACAGATCAGCCGGTGCTTCCGCTGCGGAGTTTCGCGCCCCGTGGCTGGGAGAAGAGCAGCGGCAGGAGACGTGAACCTCTTTCGAGGGATGCAACGAGAGAAAGGTATATAGAGTGTCCACCGTGATTGCCTGGACGAGATGTAATGCCCTCATCGCTGTCCACTCCTGCCTCTCCTTTTCCCGACATCCTTTTCCCTTGTCACCCTCCCTTGTCACTCTCGAATCTACCCACTGATCTTCCGCGCTCGACCTTGCCAGTGTCGCAGAGACCAACGCCAAAATGGCCAACTCCAACACGACCATCGCGTACCTCTCCACACCCAATCCGCAGATCATCTTCAACGTCATCTCACCCAAAGATGGAAAGGCAATGCTCATCCTCTTGTTCTTCATGAACATTGCACTTGGCGCTGTGGTCATGGAGACCCTCAACCACCTACGCTACGATTTCCAACTTGCGCGCAAGCCCGGATGGCTGCAGCCGGCGAAGTTCGCCTCGCGCATCGCCTACTTTTTGTGTCGCATCTTGTCGCCGCTGGTGCTAGTGATGTTCGTTCTGTGGGCCTCGCTCAAGCATGTCGACTGCCATGCGACCGCCTCGGCCATGTACTCGTTGGCGCTGGTGCTATTCAGCATGGTGACCCTTATCTTTATGCAGCGCACCATGGCGCTGTATAGCTGGAGGAAGAGCATCGTCTTTCCGCTCTCGATCTGGTACGTCTTGTTTGTGGTGGTCGGGTTTGGTACGGTGCCAAGGTGGGGGATTGGATTCACCATTCCCGGCACCGACTTCTGCGGCCAAGACCCGAGGAAGGGCGTTCATAGGGTGCAGGTGTGGAATATCTTATACAAGTGCATCGGCATGGGGCTGGATCTCACGCTGCTACTGCTGATGCTCCACAGATTGCTCGACGGCGGCATCGCGTCGCTCTGGCGCGGTCGTCCGAGTGGTAGCCTCAACGGCCAGGGCATCTCCATGGTGCTCATCCGCCAAGGATTCCACTTCTACGTCCTCCAGGTCTGTTCAGACATCTTCCTCATCACGGTCTTCTTCACTTTGGACGGATCGTACGGTGCGCTCGGTCTCGCCTGTGCCTTTTCCATCCCACCCATCGCAGCGACAGCAGCATTCCGTGGTCTCGGCGTCAATTCGTCTAACAACGGCAAGCACACAGAGGTCAACGAGATCATGAGCTCCGATGGATCGCCTTCGGGTGCAGTGCCGACCACCGTCGGTCAAACAACGGTGCACGCCGGCCGCACCACCCGCGTCATGTGGGGCAGCAAGATCAACCCGTTCCACAGGTCCAACCTGGTGGATGCGAGCAACATCAAGGTGACCGTCGGCACCGTCTCGCGCACCGACCACAATGGCATCGCCGACTGGCCACAGCACCAAGATGACGACGACGTCGTGGACGACCTGGAGGATAAGGATGACATCGAGATGCAGCGCCAGGTGCCCAAGTTGACGCTCGACGACAGAAGCATCACAGGAACCAGCAGGACGTCGTTCGAGGAGGGCAGCGCGTCCATCGAGAAGGTCGGGCTGGACGACGCAGCTAGCCATCGTTGAAGAGATGCAAGGGATTGATTCTTGCCACGTGAAGAGCCGCTCACAATGCCTCTTGCTCGGCCCGCGACGAATCGTTTCATTAGAGATCACCACACATTCATTTCCTTCACGGGTCTTCGTTGTACTGTACATGGCTCACATATGGAATACGAAGCATCGCTTTCTACGATGATTCGGCACTCGGCACCGCTGTCGCACATTCTGGTGAGCTGCCGCTTTGTTCATCTTTCCAAACACACTTTCACCCGCTGGCATGCTTGGCGTGGGATTATTAATATCAAGCTGTGATTGCATGTCGGGTGGGCTCTCGTTGCGAGTCACTGACTTTATTTGCGGTTTCGAGCGGCGGGAGCGGCTTCATTCGGTGGCCCACTGGGCTCCAACCCTCGATTCCCCTTGCAATGGTGCACAGGGGACCGACAGTCCGCAAGAGTAACTTCATGAATCGTGGTGGCGGTGGCAAATGAGGCGTTGGTATCGAAAGTGGGGAGGGTGGTTGTGGCTCGTACACACACACGAACCGTTCCGCCCGATCTTCACCTTGATGTCTGTGTGCGCCAGTCTGCCTAAAGACGCAAACTCATATTGGAGACCTCACGTCGAACATCACCAACATCGAATTCTGGGCTAAGATGCGGCTCTGTTTCGGAACTATCATCGTCGCGCTGTCTTTGAACAGCGCTCAGTGCGCTCCTGCCCAACGTCTCAAGGACCACTCCATCAACACGACCGACCTCAAGGCGGGCTACGAACATGTAGCCGCACGCTACGCATCGTGGGCCGAGCGCAAAAAGAAGCAGCACAAATCGTATCTGACCTACGGCGGCCTTGGGAAGCTGATGGAGTCAACTCGGCTTGCAACTCCCGCCCCGATTCGGAAGCGCGGCACTGTGCTGCCGTTGTACGCTGTCGGCGGATACCCAAAGATGCTCGGTCAGACGTTCAACGTCGAGGTGGGCATGGGCACGCCTGCTCAGCTCTTCAACCTGACGGCTGACACCGGGTCGACACTCACCTGGGCCGTGCAAGCTTCTTGCAAAGAGACCGACTGTCCTGGCGTGGCCAAAAAAAGGACTTACGATCCGAGCAAGTCGAGGACGAGCAAGAAGCTGGGCAGCGATCACGAGGCCTATGGGGATGGCGAGATGGATCTGACGCTGTACAACGACACCGTCCACCTGGGTAAGATCAGCGTCAATGCGGCCACCATCGGAGGCGCCGACAAGACATTCGAAAAGGATGGCGAGCTAGAGCACGACGGTCTGTTCGGTCTCGGCAAGAGACTCGACGTGGATACAAGAGCGGTGCTGAGCGCCTTGAGCAAGCAGGACAAGCGATTCAGTCAGACGATCGCGCTCGATCTGGGTGCGAATGCCAGTCTCGAGATTGGTGGCTACGACTTCCGCAAGTACCGCAAGCTGGTCCAAATCAGAGTCGACGACGTTTTCGGGTGGCTTCTTCCAAGGAGCATCGTCACCGCTCAAGGTGCTGCCCAAGTGGATCCAGTCGATCTGCTGGTGGACTCGGGCTCCTCGGTCTCGATGCTTCCCGCATCCCGAATGGACGCTATCATGGATCGACCCGGGCTCAAGGTGCAAAAGTCGACATCCGAGCCGATCACCTACGCAATGCCGTGCGATACCAAGCTCAACGTGCACATCTCCTTGCCCGATGGCACCCAGATTCCAGTCAAGGACGCCGACATTCTGATGCAGAGCAACGACGCGAACATGCCAGGCTGTCTGAGTCTGCTCGTGGGAACCACCAATCCGTTCTTGCCAGCAGTGCTGGGTACGCCGATGCTCAAGAGCATCTACACGGTGCTCAGCAGAAGCGCGACGGGGGACTGGATCGGACTGGCACCCTTGGCGGCGTAGAGCGAGAGGGTGACTTCAAGCAAAGCTCGTCGTGCGAATCGTTGTCGTTTCCAGTGCGCAGACTGACAGGTGTGCCGATCTTGGCTGAACGAGTGAGATTCCAGCGGCTGTGACAAGTCGAGAGTGATGACTTGGTCTGCGAAAGAAGCAGCGCGAATCGATGCAGCGCGAATCGCACGCGCCATCCTTGGAGCCCGTTAGCTCGGGCCTTAGCTCGGCCGCACGCTGCCTTCGTTTGCACAGATGGCCGGCAGTCTCGTCATCATCCATCGGCGATTTCAGAGGAAAAACAGGCCGAGTCGTGGTTTAGCCGGGGCCCAGCAACGCGCGCGCGCTCTCTGTCTGCATTGCCGACGACTGCCCACTCTGAGCTCTGACTGGTCAGATATCGATGTGGCGTCCATGCGGGAAACCTTGTTCGGTGTGCGCTTCTCGGTGTTGGTGACTCGATGGTGTTCTCACATCTCCGTGGAAGGAGGAGCTTAGATCCGGTGTCAGATCCGAACGGTGATCAGGGTTTAGCCTGACGTCACTCAATTTTTCCAAAGCCCATGTCGTACCGGCATTTGGGCTGCCGCAGAAGCGCGCGGATGAAGAAGCTCTTTGCAGCTGCAGCCAGCGCTGGTCATGAATTTGCCGATGCCAAAAGTGGATAGCCGCCGCTGAATCGAGAGTTTGAAGCATGAAGCGCTACAACCAAGCGAGCACGTTTGCAGACTGACGGTCAGTAAGCAGCAAGAGTGAAAAATTCCCAAGCTTTGTCGCCGCGGTCCCTTTTGCTATCTCGTCGTCGTGTTCCCCCTCGTATCCTTCTCACCACCTTCATCTTCGACATCTGTTGCTTCTGATCGAGATGGCATCGCATCAAGAGGTGCGGCAACAAGCCAGCCCCGCCGCAGACGGGTCAGCTTCGATCGAGATGCGTGATGCAACGGCTTCATCTCAGCCTGCAGCGGCCACCGATCTCGATCGTGTCACCAGCACCGGCACCTGGGGCGAACCAGAACGAGGCGAACATGTCAACATCAACCAAGCCATGCAGGACTTTCAGCTCGCACGTCAGTCGTCACGCGGCTCTGCTACCAGCTCCAATGCTGCCTCTTCATCTTCTGGCCTGCGTGGCGGGTCTAGCATTGTTCGTGCTTTGAGCGGCGGTAACCGCAACGGCGACCGCAACAAGCAGCCCAGGATCAACGAGAACGAGCTCGACCTCGAAAACGTTCCCTCGGAAGAAGAGAGCTACGAAGACGACTTTGATCTCAACAAGTGGATGTTGACGCGCAGCGCCCAAGCCAAAGAGGAAGGCATCGACCACGGCAAGCCTGTCGGAATGCTCTGGAGAGACATGTCCATCACTGCTCCCGGTTCTGGTCAAGGTGGCATCTTTGTCAAGACGCTTCCCGTCGCCATCACCAACACTGCATGGAGGGATCCCATCGGTATCCTCACCACCTTGATCCCACCGCTCGGCAAGCTTTTCGCTCCTCGCAACATGCCCACCACCACGCTCCTCCACGCTTCCAACGGCATCCTCAAGCCGGGAGAGATGCTTCTCGTCCTCGGTCGTCCCGGGTCGGGCTGCTCCACCACGCTGCGTGCCATCACCTCCAAGAACCACACCAACGTCAACGCATCCGGCAAGATCCTCTACGGCGGTCTCGATGCCGCCGAGATCAACCGCAAGTACCGAGGCGAGGTCGTCTTTGTCGACGAGGAGGACACGCACTTCCCCACGCTCACCGTTGGCCAGACGCTCGAGTTCGCCCTCAAGAACAAGGTGCCGCATCGATCGCGTCGACTCAAGGGCGAATCGCGCCAGGACTTTATCGAGATGTGCATCGATGTGATGCTCAAGATGTTTGGCATGACGCATGTGCGCAACACCATCGTGGGTGACCAGGCCGTCCGAGGTGTTTCTGGTGGTGAGCGAAAGAGAACCACCATCTCGGAAGCGCTCGCTACGCGCGCCAGCGTCATTGCGTGGGACAACTCGACTCGAGGTCTCGACGCCTCCACCGCCCTCGACTATGCCCGTTCGCTGCGCATCATCACGGATCTAGCCCAACGTTCGACGATTGCCACGCTCTACCAGGTCTCAGAGAGCATCTTTGACCTGTTCGACCGCGTCGCTGTGATCGACCAGGGTCGATGCATCTACTACGGTCCACGCAAGCTCGCGCGCTCCTACTTCTACGACCTCGGTTACGACACGCCCGATCGACAGACGACGGCCGACTTTGTCACGGCGCTGACGGACGTCAACCAGGTGGTGTTCCGCGAGGGCATGGAGGCGCAGACTCCCAAGACCGCGGCGGATCGCGAGCGCGTCTGGCGATCCAGCCCGCTCTACCGGCAGCTCGAATCGGAGCTCGAGTCATACGAGCACCACCTGGCGCAGGCCGAACAGGCCGAGCGACTCAAGCAGACCGTCCGCTCCGAAAAACGCAAGGGCGTGCAAAAAGGTTCGAGCTACACAGTGAGTTTCTGGGATCAGATCCTCAGCTGCATCTGGCGCCAACTGCTCATCAAGTGGGGCGCCAGAGGCGACCTCTACGTCAAACTCTTCACCATCATCTCGGTGTCGTTTATGATCTCGTCGTTGTTCTACAAGCAGCCGTTTGATTCGGAAGGTGTCTTCACGCGGGGGGGTATCCTGCTTTTCGCCTGCCTGTTCAATGGATGGCTGCAACTGTCCGAGTCGTTCGAGGCGGTGGCGGGACGACCGATGTTGAGCCGACACCGACAATTTGCCTTCTACCGCCCGTCGGCGGTGGTCATCGCCCGTGCGCTGGTCGACATCCCCTTCCTCCTCGTCCAATGCTTCTTGTCGGCCATCATCATCTACTTCCTGGCCAACCTTCGACCGGATGCCGGAGCGTTCTGGATCTTCTACGTCTACTGCTTCCTCTCGTCCTACTCGCTCACCGCGCTCTATCGCATGTGCGCCGCGTTTTCGCCCGGGTTCAACGAGGCGATCCGCTTCTCGGTGCTTTCGCTCAACGTGCTCATCATCTGGGTTGGCTATGTGCTGCGTCGTCCGCAGATGAACTGGCTCATCTGGCTCAGTTACGCTCAACCCATCAGCTACGCCTTTGAAGGGTTTCTGGCGAACGAGCTCAACTATCCGATTCAGTGCGCCGCGGAGCAGATCGTGCCATTCGGAGAGGCGAGGGATGTCGCGTTCCAGACGTGCTCCTTGACTGGTGGGCAACCGGGGTCGTTGGTGGTGCAGAGCGCAGACTACCTCTCGGTGACTTTCGGGTATTCGAGGAGCCATATTGGGCGAAACATTGGCGTCATCATTGCGTTTTCGGTGCTCTATCTCATCCCCACGGTGATCGGTGCCGAGATCATGAACTTTGGTGGTGCGGGTGGCGGCGTCACCGTCTTCGCGCGTACCAAGCGGGCCAAGGCCAAGCTGGCTGCCTCCAAGCCAGCCAGCAAGGACGATATCGAGTCGAAACCCGCGGTGGTAGCAACTCATCCCAGCTCGAACGACAGCAACGGCAGCGTCACCCGCGCCAACTCGCCCTCTAGCAACGAAAAGACCACCGGCGTCAAGACGGCCGACGAACTGGACAAGAAGGCCATCTTCACGTGGAAGGACGTCTCGCTGCAGCTGGCCGAGGGGCGCAAGCTGCTGGATGGCATCACGGGCTACGTCAAGCCGGGCACGATTACGGCGCTGATGGGTGCATCCGGTGCGGGCAAGACGACGTTGTTGACGGCGCTATCGCAGCGAGGCGTTGCGGGCGAGTTGTCGGGGGATATTCTGGTCGATGGCAAGCCTCTCGGTCCTGGGTTTCAGCGCGATACCGGGTTCGTGTTGCAGGGGGACGTGCATCTGGCCTCGCAGACGGTCAGGGAGGCGATCGAGTTCTCGGCATTGTTGCGACAGCCGGCGGAGGTGCCTCGTGCCAAGAAGCTCGCTGATGCGCAGCATGCGATTGAGCTGCTCGAACTGGATGATCTGCAGGACGCGTTGATTGGCGTGCCTGGTTTTGGTCTGGGCGTGGAGCGCAGGAAAAGAGTGACCATCGCCGTCGAGTTGGCGGCCAAACCCGATTTGCTGTTGTTCCTTGACGAGCCTACTTCGGGTCTCGACTCGGCCGGAGCGGCATCCATTGTGCGCCTCATCCGTCGTCTCGCTAGCGAAGGCCAGGCGATCCTGTGCACCATCCACCAACCCAGCGCGCTGCTCTTCGAGTCGTTCGACAACCTGCTCCTCCTCCAGCCCGGAGGTAGGACCGCGTACATGGGCCAAATCGGCAACGAACGCGCCAAAGGCTCCGATCGAGTTCGCGAGTACTTTGAACGCAACGGTGCCCCCGCTTGCCCCCCGACCACCAACGTCGCCGAGTACATGCTCGAGGTGGTAGCGCAAAAGTCGCAGAAGCCGTGGTCGGAACGATGGAAGGCGTCGCCCGAAGCACGCGCGCTCACCGAAGAGGTCGATGCCATCAACAAGAACCGTGCCGATCGACCGGTGATCAAAGACTCGCGTTCCGAACGCGAGTACTCTGCGACGCTCCAGACGCAGATCGTCGAGTGCACCAAACGCCAGTTCCGCGATCTGTGGCGGGATGCGCCGTTCGCCTACGGCATCCTCTTCTCCAACATTGTGACCGGTTTTGCGGCGGGCGGCGGCTTCGCCCATCTGGGCAACTCGGTGACCGACCTGCAGTACCGCGTCTTTGTCGTCTTCCTCGTCATCCTCAACTTCCCCGCGACGGTCAACTCGATCATCTCCAAGTTCTGGGAGATGCGCATCACGTTTACCGTACGCGAAGGCCCATCGAAGACCTACTCGTGGATCGCCTTCATGACTGCGTTCGTGGCGGTCTCGATTCCGGTAGCGTTGGTGGCCTCGGTGTTATTCTTCCTACCGTCGTTCTTCTTGCCCTTCTACTCGCAGCGTTCGACGGTGGCGGGAATGTGGTATCTCATGATCTTCTTGGTGACGTGCTACGAGATGTTTTTCTCGTTGGCGCTGGCCGCGGCGTGCCCGACACCCGTGACGGCGGCGAATCTGTTGCCGTTCTTGCTGCCGTTCGTGGCGATCGTCAACGGCGTCATTGTGCCCATATCGAGGCTGGTAGCTCCTTGGTCTGGGTTGATCTACGCCAACCCGCTCTACTGGTATGTGCGCAGCATGGTCGCGAATATCCTCCACGACCTGCCGGTGGTGTGTCGGCGCGAGGATCTGGCCATCTTCGACCCGCCGCAGGGGCAGACGTGCGGAGCGTATGCGTTGCAGTGGGTGCAGAGCGTAGGCGGACAGCTGGTGAATCCGGATGCGACGAGCGCGTGCGAGTTCTGCCAGTTCCAGGTGGGAGATCAGTTCGCGGCGACTTTGGGGGCTACGTGGGAGTTCAGGTGGAAGGGCGTGGGGATTGTCGCTGGGTACACGATCGGTCAGCTGGGTCTGGCGTACGTGGCCTACTGGTACTTTACCGAGAAGGGGTATGGGATTGGTGCTGGGCTCATTTCGGGGCTAGTGGGCAAGGTGAAGCGCCTGGGGAAGGGGAGGCAGTAGATAGAGGACTACATAAGTTAGATACATAGATGTCGATAAATGCCGAGCGTCGTAGGAGCTCCACCTTGATGGAATCTCAAGACATGATGCTCACTCCTTTGCTAGTATGACAGGCTTGTGCTCATCATTGCCATTACGTGCTGTGAAAGGATGCACCGAGGCCGGCGCCCTTCTCTGCAAGATCAGATGCTCACGACCTCGAAACAGACGATGAACCAAAAGGACCCTGACAGGCGCTGTCGGCGAGCTGAGTTGATCGCCGCGGCTGAGCTCTAAAAATTTGAAATTCATGCTTTGGAACGCGAGTCAGAGACAGCTGCAGCAACCTCGCACGACATCACGCCATCGGTCCGGTTTGGCTGAGCTCTTAATCGACTACTGTACCAACCACCATATCTGCATCCTTGCCTCTTCTCATGACATAGCCGAGTCATCGTGACGCTCGCTCGTCAGCTGTACATCGCCGAAACATGGCAAGCCTCGAAAAGGCAGCGATGGCCTTGAGCCGTCGTGCCGACGCCTCGCCCCAACCCAACATGGACCCCTCGATGGCGACCGACTCGACCCTGGCTACACGCAAGCACGTCGCTATCGACCTCGAGCAGCCCGCGCCCCTCCCCAGCGACCTCCACTCCACAGACTCGACCACGCAAGCCAGCAGCTCCCATACACCGCTGACACCCACTCGCACCCAGCGCATCCGCACCGAACTGCGCCGCATCACCCTCCACTTCACCCCATCCTGGTTCAGCGTCAACATGGGCACGGGCATCACCTCGATCCTCCTCCATCAGCTGCCCTACCAATTCCCTGGGCTGGGCATCATCTCGAACGTCCTCTTCGGACTCAATGTGTTGCTCTTCTTCCTGTTTTTGGGGATCAGTGTGGCACGATACGTCATTTGGCCGCAGCTCTTCTGGATCATGCTTTTCCACCCTACGCAGAGTTTGTTTCTGGGCACGTTTGCGATGGGCCAAGCGACACTCATTACCATGTGTGCGATCAGCGCGGCGCCTGCGTGGGGGTTGGGATTTGCCTACTTTACATGGGGATTGTGGTGGGCCAACGCGCTGCAGTCGTTGGTCATATGCGTAGGGTTGCCGTTCATCCAGTTTACACGGCACGTGCAGTCGCTGGACAAGATCACCGCCGTGTGGTTCTTGCCTGTGGTGACGACGATTGTGTGCTCGGCGACGGGCGGGTTGGTCGCCGACCTCCTGCCTGCGCCACATGCAAAGTTGACTCTGATCGTCTGCTGGGTGCTGTGGGGAACTGGGTTTGGGATGGCTTTCCTGCTCATGTCGCTCTACTACGCCAGGCAGGCGATCTACAAGATCCCGCCAGCACAGTTGATTGTCTCCACCTTCCTTCCGCTAGGACCTTGCGGCCAGGGCGCATTCTCGTTGCTACAACTCGCTTCGGTGCTGTACAAGCTCGCTCTCACCGAATCCACCGCCTTGCCAAGCCCCAACGCAACCGACGCCGAAACAGCACGCATGATGGCCACCGCCATCTACGCCGTCTCGGTGCCCGTCGCGCTCGTCCTCTGGGGTCTCGGGCTTGTATGGCTCCTCCTCGCCGTGTCCTCCCTCGTCGACCTATGGCTGGTCTCCAAGCTGACCTTCAACCTCGGCTGGTGGGGCTTCACCTTCCCCCTCGGCGTCTTCGCCACTGCAGCCATCAAGTTCGGTAGCGTCCTCGACTCTGGCGCTTTCCGCATCATCGGAACGGTCCTCGCACTGATCGAGGTGGTCCTCTGGGCATTCATCTCGACCATGACGCTGAAAAAAGCCGTCAAGGGAGCGATCTTTTTCAGTCCGTGTCTCGCCGAGATGTGCGACGAACAGGGCGAACCGCCGAAATACGTGGCGCCCGCGAGGAAGTATGGGTTCGAACCAAGGCCGATTCCCGTGGGAAGCTTTGGTGAGGAGGAGGGGGGTGAGGAGGGGAGTCGCAGCAGGAGCAGGGGCAGGTTTGTCGGGTTGGGAAGGAGTGCGAGGGGCAGGTCGTGGTCGAGAGCTAGGAGCTGGCTGGGGAAGGGGAATCGGAGCAACTCGCCGTTGGGAAGTGTGCCTAGAGGCAGATCGCAGCAACGGTTGTAGATGATGCACAGGAGATGATGCGATAATGATACCCGTCCAACAGGAGCAAGTGTTTGCGATTTGGTCGTGTGCGAGATGATGTCCCATGGAGGGAGTGGTCGGTTCGAATGAGCATCGTTGAGAAGCGCGGATCTGGACCTGTCTGAGGGTGCATGACCCTCGACTGACCCTCGACTGACCCTCGACTGACCCTCGACCAGCTCAAAGGATGACCTCGTCCATCGGGTCCTTGCTCGCCTCGCTCAGCAGCCCACACAACTTCTCCCCTCACCCGCTACTCCTCCTCGCCCTCTACACCGATCACACTCTAGAAACGCATCAAAATCGTTGTGGAGCAAAGATCACATTCATACAGAGCCTAGGGCCAATGCAGTGCCAAGAACGAAAGACAGCGTCTCGAACGGAAAAGCACCTGTGATGTCGGAGACCTGCAGAAGAGCAAACGATGACGAACGAAGCTGGTCAGTCAGGCTCGCCCATTGCATATCCATTGTCACTGGCGGTGGTAGCAGCAGCGAAACGACGGCGGCGGCGGCGAAGAACGCCAAGTGCGAATTCGACTCGGAAGGAGATCCATCATATAGGAGCGAAAGACGTTTAGATGGTTGGGGTTATCCGCAACGAGCCTTTGGAGCTCTCGGATTGAACTATGCTGTGCTTTTGGATATAATCCTGTGGATTCCGTTGGGCGCGGCGACGCCGCTCGATGCCACCGCTGCTGGCGCCGACTTGCTCAGCCTGGTTCGTAGCCAAGCTGTGCTTGTCGAAGTGCGAAGACTTACCCTGGACAAAGTTGGGCGCCGCTGCCCTGCCGCTGCACTGTGAGACACAGAGCGCGACAGCACAACGGACACCCTGTGCGACAGAGTCGATGGACAATGTGGTTGGAAGGAGAGGGACAAACTAGTCCGCGAAGAACCACCTTTCTCGGTTGCGTCTCGCTCATTTTTTTTCCTCCTCTGCCTATGAGCAATATTACATAAGCAGTACACATCCTCAGCTCCCCCACGATGCCTCCGACTAATCATACATGCTGCTCTCATCACTCGCCTGCATCAAGCTCCGGAGGCTGCCGCCATTGACACCACCCACATTCCCAGTTTTACAAATGTCCTTCACAATGCTGTCGACTGGCTTGGCTCAAGCAGTCGATCAGTTCCTGCAAGCCACGCCTGTAACGCACTTCCACATCAGCAAGAGACACGGCTCGCAAACGGACGCGCAAAGACAGATGCAAATGCGATTGCGAGAAACCAAACTTGGTACAATACGATCCGATGCACATCCACTAACTCAAGCCCACTCCTCCCCCTCGTCTCTACATCTCGTCCGCGGCGGGTCGGAAGGTGATGACGTCCATGCACGTCTTTTCACCCCTCTTGCACAGTACCACCACCTTGTCATCTCGATAGCTTACCTTCCACACCGCCTCGCACGGCTCGCACACCTCGCGGATGAACTTGCCCGTGTTAAAGTCCCACAGCTTGACCCGGCCGTCGTTGCCACCCGTGATGATGTAGCGGTCGTCAAACTGCAAACACGTCACCGAGTTGTCGTGCGCGCAAAGACGATGCAGGCACTCGTACGTCTTGAGACTAAAGACGATCACTCGACCGTCCGAGCCACCAGTGACTAGGGTGTTGTCGAGCAGCTGCAGCTGACCCACCAGCGACGTGTGACCCTGGAACAGCGCCAAACACTCGCCCGTCTCGGCCGACCACACTCGCACCGTCGAGTCGAGCGATCCGGTGGCCACGCGCTTGCCGTCGAACGCCACAGCATAGATATAGTGGATGTGGCCGCGAAGCGTGTGCAAGCATCGACCCGTGTCGAGATCCCAGATGCGGCACGTGCCGTCGTAGCTACCAGAGGCGACCTGGTTGCCCGCCACCTCGATGCATCGCACCGAGTGCTGGTGGCCCGCAAGCAGGTGCACCTGCTCGCCCGTCTCGACGTTCCAGACGCGCAGCGTCGAGTCTCGCGACCCCGATACAGCGATCGGCTTGCCGTCGAGCACCTTGAGGCATCGTACTGTCGAAGTGTGGCCTCGCAAGATGTGCTTGCACTCACCGGTGCGCAGATCCCAGACACGCACGTCGCGGTCGCAACCGCCGCTGATGACAATGGCGTCGGTGTTGCCGTAGCCCAAGACGCTGCTGCATGGGTTGCCCATGCCCGCCGCGTTGCCCGTGAGCGATGCCGCAGCGAGACCAGGCATGGAGCCCATCGCGGAAGTCGAGGCGCTGCGTGTGCGCTCCCTCTTGGGCGCTGCGCCTGCATCGCCAGTCGATGCTGCCGCTGCTGCTGTTGTTCCGGCCGCCGACGCCACAGTCTCGCCATCGCGTCTGAATCTTTCAGCCAGCTCTGGTGGGATCTGACCGGTGCCGTCGGCCATGACAGCATCGCGGATCGCACCGGCCTCGGCTTCTGCGATCGCCCTGGCGTTCTCGTGTTCGCTCTTCTCTTTCGAGGAACGCAGCGCGTGGTGAACGAAGGAGGGGCCCTCGGAGCGGATGGACAGATCCGGGTCCGAGTCACCCCCTCCGGTGCTTTGATCGTATGCATCCAAGAGCAGAGCGTTGCTGAACGAGTCTTCGCCTGTGGCGGAAGCGGACGCCGCGACGGCTGCAGCGGCTTTTCTGGCGCTCTGCTGGCGTCGCAGAGCTCGACGAGCCTTGTGAAACCATTGGAGCGTCTCGCCGTGGCCATACGTCTGTCGTGCTTTGCCCGAGACCGGCGTGCTGGAGGCCGAGGCGGACAATCGGCGACCGGAGAGCGCGTCCTCCTCCGTCAGCTCGGCCGACATGACGGACGGCGAGAGGAGGACGTCTGCAGCATCGGGACGTGGATCGTGATGAACAAGGCGGAGGTCACCATCGGCTGCAGCTTGATATGGCTTGCCACCGTTGCCGTCTTCGGGATCCGTGACCACCATTTTGCCCTTGGCTCGTTCCGATGCTGCTGAAGTGCTGGACTTTTTACCCTTGCCAGTTCGGCTGATGAGCGTGAGACACCACACTCCTGACTCGTGGCCCAACAGCGTATGCGCATAGAGGCCCGTCTCAGCGCTAAAGACATGGATCTTGGAGTTGGCCATGCCGACGACGATCCATTCGCTGTCGATGGCCAAGCTGGTGACGACGTGGCCGGCATCGGCTGAGACATGCTGCGTTTGGAGTCGACCGCCTTTGCGCCAGTTGGACTCGGTGAGGTACGCCATCTTGAAGTGGGTGCGGTAGCTAAACGGCAACTTGGCGGATCGATGTCGGTGAAGATGCGTGGCTGTGGTCGATGAGGGCGCATAGCGTGATGGACCGGCCTGAGAGGATGGATGTTGCGCCGAGGGAGGGAGGGATGAGGTGCCGACGAGGTTGAGACCAGCGACGGCAGCAGGGTCGTCTCTGTCGGCGGTGGCAGACGTTGAGCTCCGACGCGTCGGTCTGGGCTCAAGGATGGCGTTGCGGTGCGCTGGGCTGCGACGCGACTCACGAGGACCTGGTACCAAGCGGGAGGTGCCCGCGTCGACCCTCGTCGCGGCCTGGACGTTGGTGGATGGCGAGGCTGCGGAGGCAGAGAAGCGGCCGGTGGGTGAATCGTGGTGCGGCAGCGAGGCCAAGGGTGGCGCGTTGGGAGGTCGTCCGATGGGTGCTTGCTGCGCTGCGTGACTAGATGAAGATGGAATGTTGGAGACGAGGTCGTCCTGCTCGTCCATGTCCATGGCCTCGTCGAGAGCGTCTTGTACGCGATTGGCTTCAAGGAGGTCAGCGGCGTTTGCGTCGTGCGGTCGAGGCGTTGTGAACGCGGCGGCGGCGGTTGCTGGCGTCAATTGTTGCTGCCAGCCATGCAAACGATCGAGAAGGCCCCCATCAGATCGGTATTGTGCGCTGAGAGCATGGAGCGAAACCGGTGGGGCTTGGGGTGGAGAAGACAGAGGAGCGGCTGCTCTGAGCGGCAGAGAAGCGGGCGTAGTGGCGGGACCCGCGCTCAACCATCCCAGGTGTGCTGAGGCTGAGGCTGGAGGGACGGACGTTTCTGTGGGCAGTGCGAGCGATCTGGACCTCGACGGAGATGCAGCAGAAGGGACGGTGCGAGGACTAGCGTGAAGCGCGACGGGATCGAAGGAGGCAGGCTCATCGCCATAGCGTGCGCGACTCTCTTCCTCGACAATCTCTTCGAGCTGTGCGTAAAAGGCGAGGTCGGCGCCGGACATGGATTCGTTAAGGCTTCCGTGAGCGCCGTCTTGCTTGCTGAGGTAGAGGTCGTGGAGGGTGCGCAGCTCGTGGAGGGCATTGGAGGGGTCGAGGCCACGGTCGCGATATCGCTGGTAGAGGGATGCGAGCACGGCTGCGTCGTCTTCGTCGTTGAACTCTTCGGCGTCCTCTCCGTAGTCGCTGAAGGTAGCAGCGCGAGCGAGCGGCTGCTCGAGCACAACGCCGAGCGACGAGCTGGAAGCGACGCCTCGTTGCGTGTGCGACGCTGACAGAGCCGTGGACGGGCCCGCTATGCTGGAGAGAGCAGCGGTGGTGATGCGTGGGGTGGAAAGGCTGCTTGCGAGGAGAGGGGTGGTGATGGATCTCATGAGTCGATCGTCGAGCGAGTGAAGATGGGCGTTGCTGCTTCCGCGTCTGCGATACTTGTGCTTGAGGCACATGACCTTCCAAGTGTGCTCATCGTTGACGAGGCTCCTCCAAAAGCGACTGACGCAGCTTGCGCGTGCGAGCGTCTTTGGGTCGTCGATGAAGCTGAGGATGTTGAGGCTGACCTCGATGGGCAGCGCTGACATGAAGTCGACCTTGAGCCGGGGCGTGATGACCGACGAGAGGTGTGCGAGTTCGCGTACGCTGAAGAGGTCAGCGAACTCCGAGACGAGCCTGAAGCGTGCCGATTGCGTGTACTGGGGCAGCACGAGCGAGAGGTGCTTGAGCAGCTGCGATGGATCCTGCGGGTCGACGACCAGTGCATGGGGCACAATTGCGCTGCTAGAGGATGCTGCTACCGCTGCGGCATTGTTGGCGAGGCGTATCGAGGTATGCAAGTCGGGCTGCGGTGATGGAGCAGGAGTAGGTGGGCTGATGGCGCGATGGCGCGGTGAGATGCTCATGGTCGCGGCTCTCTACCGGTGAGCCTGTTGCCCTGCGCGAATGAAGTCAAAGTCTGGCGATGACAGCTGCTTCCCGCGTTGGTGTTGTCTGGAGGATGACGGTGGTGTGAGAAGGAGGCGGTGCAAGTGCTGAGTCGGTAGAGAACAGTCGAGGGCTGAGTCGGCGGGCTGAGCCAACGAGGGTGCGGGTGTATCTTTGAAAGAGAGGAAACGTCCGGCCAAGCAGAATGTGACGGATTTGAAGCGAATGTCGTTGTCGATCGACTCGGCGATGCTCCGGCGATGCAAGGAGGAGGCAGCCGATTCGGATCGTTCCCGAAAGAGCCGCAGGTCGGGTGATGTGACGCGATGTGTGATGCGATGCGATGCAAAAGAGAAGGGCGTCGGCTGTGCTGCTGAAGTGAGGTCGAGATGGGCGTGAAGCGAATACGACCGAGCCAGAAAGCAGAGACTACGACGACGACGACGACGATGATGATGATGATGAGGAAGATGAGGACGACGAGTATGATGAGAACAGTCGCAATCGACGATTGGCTGCCTCGGCTAACTGGCCACAAGTGAGCTTCAAAAAGGCACACCACACTTAACGCCGGTGTTGCGGGTGCGTGGTGTGATGGCAAGCAGGCAGCCTGGCAGGCAGGCAGGGGTCCAGCCACGTTTCGAAATCTCGACAAAAGGGCCGGCTGACTGCCTGCTGCTGCGCGTTTGCTTGGGTGGGTACTTGCTGTTGCTGAGCCTCTCGGATGCGACCGTTCTCGAGGCACGAGAATCGCGAAATTTCGAATTCCTAAGATTGGCAAGCAAGCAGGCAAGCAGACAAACGCAGCTGGTCGTCACGCCAAGTCACGACTGCAGCACAATCCCAATGCGCTCCCTCTCGCTCGCCCTTCTCCCCCCACTGTAACTCTTCGCATGCCTGTTGCAATGAACAGACGTGCCTACACTTGCATCGCTTCGTTATGATGAATAGCAAGTCGAAAGCGAGATTCTACTAGGTCATGAGTGAGCAAGAAGGGGGCAAAGACACCGGGCGATGGGGATATGAAGGGCCAAGAAGCAGCAGTTCGCGGGTTCGCTTAGAGGCTTCTCAGGCGAAACAACAAACGCATCTTGCAGCGCGCAGCGCGCAGCGCGCAGCCAGCAGCCAGCAGCCAGCAGCCAGCAGCTCATTAAGCTCGTAGCGAGCAGTCGGCATAAGCGTGGTGCACAAGACAAGTGAGAGAGAGAGAGGGGTGCAAATCCTTGCTCACCTTGCACTCACGCCTCGTCGACACAAGATCGCTTTCCGACTTTGCTGAACCGGATGCGCCGTTGCTCCCGTCGGATGGTGGCAGCTAGCTGATGTACGCTTGTGGTCGGGGGCTCCGCATTTCGGCATGCTCCCGACTGTCACAGCGAGGCTCCTCTGCGGTCAGCTGAGCGGATCGAACCTGAGGCGGACATCGGCACTGCCCGTGGGTGATCCGCCTGCACGACGCAGAAGTCGCATGATGATTTTCGCTGCCTCCTTTTCGCGCTTGAATTCTTCCTGGCCCTCGTCTCTGTGGAAGCAAAGGAGGACCCTTGTTGCATTTCGAAAGAAGCTTGGCCATGATTGCACCGCTGTAACTGCCATGAACCGGCTATTCGGTGGCTGAACCACCCTGCATATAACGATTCAAGCAAGCGACTAAGCTCGAGATCCATCTTCCCGACGTGGGACCAGCGCTTCATTTGTTCGCGAGCGAGCCTCGCTCGAGAGCCTTTCGTCTCACAGCCAGATTGCACGTTGGGTGCTGAGCCAACATTGAACAATGAAAGTCCCGTTGTCGGCGTTTCTCTGCACTGATCACAAATTCGCATCCGAGTCTGCCAGCTTCGACTAGTCGGAATAGCCGACGGATCACTTGCAATCTCATATGAATCTCGTCGGCGCCCTTCCGATCAACTTCCTTCTTGACTGTCACATCCTTCTTCGTCACCGGGCGCAGCAGCCATCCATCCATCGCCCTCGCACTTGCACTCGCACTCGCTCTGCAAGAAATGCGACGCTCGGATCGTTACACCGATGAGATGGCCTCCACATATCCCACAAGCTCACACTCAAGCTCGAGCTTCAACTCAGTAGCGGATCACAGCCCATTCTCGGCTGACAGAGCCGCCCAGCCTTCCTCGTCGTCATCATCGCTATTACCTCCCACACCGCCTTCGCAGCCAGTCAAGCGTCGTCGATACGCACGCCGCTCTTGCCTCACTTGTCGCTCCAAAAAGACTCGCTGCGAGCTTCCGGATGAAGCTGTTCCTTCGTCTCACGACACCCTACCCACCCACAAGGCCTGCCATCGATGCAGAGCCCTCGATATCCCCTGCGTAGTGTGGGATGGCGATCGCAAGCGCAAACCACGCCTCCAAACAGCCTCGTCAGCTGATTCGCCTAACCCGCGTTCATTAAGCTACAGCCATCCATCCTCAGATCCGTACAGAGCTGATCCGGCTCGTCGCATCGATCGCTCCTACTCGACGACCCTCCACGTCCGATCAAGTGATCATGACGCTCAGCTCGACGCTCCTCCGCCGCATCGACGCCCCTCGCCGCCGTCGACCTGGGATCGCGAGGGTGCAGACAATGCAAATGGGCACGCCTCTCGACGTACCGCTGATCTGTACGATCGGCCCAAATACCCTTCCAGTTCAGCGGCAAACACAACGACCTCAGCTCCGTATCCTCGAGCACCAGCCGCGCAGCCGCCCCCGTCGATCTCGAATGCTTCCGAACACATCCGCGCCAGCTCCGACACGGATGGCCAATACGACGCTGCGCTCTTCATCAGTCCTTACGCCCCAGACTCGGCATTCACCAAGGTGACAGGCCACAACTTTCCCTTGCTCTCGAATCGGTATATGCATTCGCCCCTCTTCACTCTCAATCGCTTCATCACAAAGATGCCGTCCTTCTCGCGCCTCCTGCGCCCAGAGATGGATCGTTCTTTGGGCGGCGACCTCTCCAGCCTGCTCACCGACGAACACATCTCCGAGCTGAAGACACATCTGCCTCGTCTACGCATGTGGCACCCCCACCTCTCCGACCTCGACTCGCTCTGCATCGCCTTTCGAGAGCGCAACAAGCCTTCCTCCTCGCTTCTCCTCGCCACCGTCTGTCTCGTGACATCCAAAATGGCAGGCAAGCGCCATCTCGCCAAGCAATTTGCTATTCACGTTGATCGCATCGGCCTTCAGGTCCTCATCTCGGCACCAAAGGAATTTCACGCCGCTCAGGCCTTCGAGCTGCTCCTATCCCACGAACCTTCGTTGATCGGTGCCAGCGTCGATCCGTCCGGTGCGGGCGCAGCCTCCACCGACTCGGCGGTGTTCGGTCAATCACTTCATTCGAGCGCCATCTCGATCGCAGAGGCCATCGGTCTCGATCTCGTCATGTCGCAAGCCTACCAAAACGGCGCCAAACCAACGCAGCCTCGTTCGCAAGACCACGATCGGGCGCGCTCCGATCTGCGACGCTTTTCGCTCTGGTGCAGCCTGTCCATCTGGCGAGCCAAGTTCATCTTTCTCAACTCTATCCTGCGACCGCTTGACTTTTCGCGCCTCCGTCGCGATGCAGAAGCGGCCATTCAAGTCGTCGACATGCTTCCGCAACAAGCTCACTACCCCGCCAAGGACAATGTCCTGTTCAGAGCAGGCGTGCTCGCGCTCGCTTATCGTGCCATCCAGCTCGCTGACTTTCACGCCCGTCTTTCCCAGCTCGATACGCTTTGGAACAGTCGTTCCCTCTTCTCCGAGGTCGAGGTTCGGAACGAGATCAGGAGCCGCTTCGATCAGAATCTCGCGTTCGTCCAAGAGCTCGAGAGGACCAAACGCCGCAAGCTGTGGAGCATGGCCAACCTTGCCGAGCTGCGTTTCCTCGACCGCTTCCTCGATCTCGAGTTTGGATCAGACAGCGTCTTTCTGTACTGCCTCTACGTGCGCATGGTGTTGCCGCTTCCTTCCACAAAGGCCGCGGCCACCGTGCACGACATTGGGCGCTTGCTCGATCGGGATCCCGGTCTGTACGGCTTCCTGTGGGATGTCAGCGAGCGTAGCTTCCTCAACGACGAGAAGGTCATTGCGGGATTCGCTGCCACTCCGCGATTTGAAGGCGGCAGCTTGGAGCAGACTGGGCTGCCGCTGCTCTTGACCTGCGGCTACGTCCTGCACATCAGCATTTGTATGATGGAGGCCGCGGCCTTTGCGCAATACGGCTCGTACGCTCTAGCGATGCGAGTAGACATGTTTGCGCACCTGCTCCCTCAGCTTGCAGAACGGATCTGCGGACCCGAACGCGCCAAAATCGAGAGTCTCGAGACGCTGGTCTCGAGCATGCTGATGCAAATGGCGAGGCGCCTCGACGAGCTGGAATTCTACATGGTCACGCAAGAGATCAAGCAGCCGCCAGCGGCGTCCACCGCGCAGCTCGCGTCGATCGCACCTTCCACCAACGGTCACCACCCTCATCGGTCGAGCAGCCAGCTTGATTCATCTGCACCATTGTCGGAACGAGCGCGCGAGAGTTCACCGCAACGTGGTGCGACACTTTCGAATGAGCCAAGCCCGACCCACCATACACGCACCTCGTCCACTAACTGGCAGGACACATCGGACATCGGCCAGTCGGATCAGTCCCAGCCGGCACCGCACAGCGCCACCCGATCGCAGTCAAGCCACATCCACAGCCACAATGCAGATGGCTCGATTGCCGGCATCGATAGTCAAGTTCCCGGTGAAGCATCATTTCCCACGAACGCCAATTCGCTATTGCCTTCGTCTGATGCGTGGTCATCTGACAACATGGCTCGCATCATGGATCAGATCCTGTCCTGGGACTACATGCAAGATGTGCCTCCGACGACCAACGGCAGCAGCCAAGCTTGAAGATGGCTCTTGGACGTGCATGGCACACAGACTCCGGCAGTCGGATACTCGGAGAATTATACCCTCGATTGCATCACCTAAGAGCTCGTCGAATGGACAGCAAGGGGACAGGCGCCGCGCATCCTTTCGTCGCATGCTGTGTACCCTGGTGCGATGCAACTCCGATGAAACCCCGTATGTCACATGAGGTTCAATGTCGTCGTCGATACCGACGAGCCGCAGATGCCGACGATGGTGCTGACCCAATGGCCGCACTCCGCACTTGAAGCTTGGCGATGTGCGTTAGCGTGGCCACGTTGGTACGCAAGCGAGACGTCATGAAACGTTCGAGGCCGCTGCTGCTGTCAAGCTCAGGCATCGCCCCTTGCTTTCTTAGCACAGAGTGTGGCAGATGATATGTCGCACATCGGGTACTGATCCGACAAGCAAATCACAGGGAATGGAACGCTACGTTGCGTGCAGAGCGTGGAGACGGATCCTCTGCCCGCGACTCGATAAGAAGGCATTGTCTCACTCGATAGTGTCATGGGACTTTTTCATGCAGGATCCGCTCGATGGTTCCTCAGCCACCAAAGAGCCCAGGTGCTGCTGTTCAAGCGAGCCGGATGAAGTGAAGCGAACGCAGATGCGCGCACCAGGTGAGACACAGCAGAGCGAAGATCGTCGAGCTGAGCTAAAAACAGAGCTTAGCGCAGATCGGCGATAGAAAGTTGGATACGCCCGCGCGCAGCCACCTCCAAAACCCGGTCGGTTGTTGGTTGAATGAAAAGAGTGAGTTCGCTCGGACGACGTGCATACGTTACCCGGCGGACTTTGAATCGCGAGCTCGAAGCCATTGAAGGAATTCCCAACCCCGACCAAAACAAGGCTTGGGAGGACGGGTCGTAGCTTGAAATTCTGCTTCCCCTACTCGCCGTTGTCTCACCGACTCCGTCATTTTGCTGCCATCTTCTATAACGAAAGCAGGGTGCGTGGGAATCGAGCGTCATCTTGGTCTTGACAATATGGCAGCGATGAAGGGGCGGGCAAGCATTGGCACGACACACGATTCAGCTTCGATCAAAGGAGGGGAAGCAATCAAAACGAGCATCGATGAATCGAGGACTGCTGTGGGCAATGGCAGAAGACAGCTCGACGACAACAGCCAGGCGCGCGCCTTTCTGGAGTGCATAAACACGAGGTTCGGCTGCCATCGCGCTTGGTTTGGATTTGGCCGGGTAGGCAGGCTGCCAGCTGTCAAACAAGGAAGCGAACAGAAAAAAAACCTGCATGCGGCCAACAGCGAACAGCACACACAACAACAAGAACAACACAGCAGCACGCAGCCATCCTCCATCGATCCATCCTCTACATGCGGTCTGGCCTCCAACGGAAGGACCCTTTGTCCGTTCCACACGCCTGAGACGGTCTAAAAGGTCCCGGTCAGGGTCGCAACATTCATGCCAGCCCGTAACGTAGAACGCCGAGCGCCGCACATGGTCTGCTGTGCGTTTGCGTTGACATCTAAGTCCCTTCGGAACGGGAAGCAGAACGGTCGAACCGGGAGGCGCACTGATTGCCCTCGTTCGGCGTGTTCTGCACTTTGGACGCCCTTTCGCTTTGCCCGTTGTCTAGCGCCCCGAAATGGAAACATCTATGTTGCTTTGCGATTGCGCTGGCCACTGCGAACAAAAGCCTTGCGGGTTTCGCTCCGTCGTTTGTCACGGCTCCATGTCGTCAATGAGCCGGTCTTTGGTTGCACTGACGCTGCCGAAGTCTTCAAGGTCGGATCTTCCAATCAGGGCCGTCTTGTGCCTCAGCTACGCAAGCCACTCTTTTGAGCTTAAGCTGTCTCACAACCATCGTCCTTGTCTCACCTGAGAGCAATTCTCCCACCATCGCTCGACTCGCTGTTCTTTCCACTATCTACCTATCACCACTACCGTTCAGCTTTACCGCCGCTGAGCTCACTCTACCGCAAAGTGCCCCTTGGCTTTTGGAGAAATCGATCTCCGCATCCACCGCCCATCGGAGCGACTGATTGCTTCTCTCGGTAGCGCCGTCTTACGTCCGTAGGCAGCAACTCCGCCCGCTGTCAACGTCAGAGGGGGCAGTCGTCTCTCCTCTTGCTTGCTCTTCTGCCTCAATCTCCCATCTCTACACAGCGCATCCTCCTGCCTTGGGCTTGATCTGCGGTCAACCTTTCGAGATCATTGTAGGGACATCTCTTGTTCGGCTTTGATGTTATAAAAGGTCGGCACGGCTATTGCTTCTCCGATCCTCCCCCATCCGAAGCATCGTCCTCAATCCGCTCCCACTTCCTCCCCTTCCTGCCTGCCCCCCTCCCTATCCCTCCCTATCCCTCCCACTGGCCCTACCTTCGCCCTCAACTTTCCTCTTACCCTCCGGTGATTGGCAGCGATATCGCGTCTTCGACACCAGCTACATCACCCATCTCCGACTCTCACTCGACGTCACAAAGAAGCAGTATTCATCATGACGGTTCGTAGCACTCTGTTCTGGAGCCTGGTGGTGGCCTTCTTTGCCTTCTTCGCCTCGGTCGAGGTCGAGGCTACGCTGGCAAACCCTGTCATGTGGATTCTCTCACAGAAGAGCCTCAAGCAAGCTCGAGTTGACCCCATTGTCTCGCCTGGCAGGGCTTCGAGTCACACCCACCAGTTTGTGGGCGCCAACGGCATCAGCCAGGACACCACCACAGCGCAAGCTCTGGAAAGCGCATCAAGCTGCACGACCTCGAACCTGCGCGCAGACATGTCGGCCTACTGGACGCCTTCGCTCTACACGTACAACAACGCCACCAACACTTTCACGCCCAACCAGCTGAGCTTTGTCAACACGTATTACCTCATGAGGGGCAATGTGCAGATCACGGCGTTCCCCAAGGGTCTGCAAATGCTGGGCGGTAACGCGATGCGAAGAGGACCGGGACCCACGAAGCAAGCGGACAACACGGCATCGTTCGTCTGCCTCAACTACAAGGATGGAAGCAGTCAGACGCAGACGATCCCCGACCGACCGTGCCCGCAGGGCTTGAGGGCACAGATCCTGTTCCCTTCGTGCTGGAACGGTAAGGATCTCACCTCGTCGCCGACGGACCAAACGCACATTGTCTACCCGATGGGTGACAACGCTGACAACGGACAGTGCCCCTCGACGCACCCTGTGCGACTGCCGACACTGTTCTACGAATTCATCTACGATGTGTCCAACACCGACAACTCGGGCAACTCCAAGTGGGTGCTGGCTAACGGCGATGCGATGGGCTACTCGATGCACGGTGACTTCCTCGCGGCTTGGAACGAAACGATCTTGCAGAATGCCATCGACCAGTGCAGCGGCAACTTGTTCGGAGACCTCGCTTCGTGCCCTCCGTTGAACTCGACGCTGGATAGGGCGGGATCGAGCAAGTGCAACGCTGCCTCGAGCGAGGCCGTGTACCCGCAGAGCATTTCGTCGCTGCCTGGCTGCAACATGATCTGGAACGGACCCAACGCCGGCAAGGGACTGACAGCGGGATGCGATCCAAGCAAGGTGATGCTGAAGCCTGACAACTGGACTGGCTCTTCGAACTCGAGCTCGTCCTCGGTAGCCGCACCTGCTAACCCTACGTCCACGTCCTCAAGCGTGGCCACACCGTCTTCGTCCACGTCCTCGAGGGCGACCACAACGTCTGCGAGGTCGTCGTCGACGTCTACTTCGACAAGGACTACTTCGACGGCGGCACAGCCGGCAGCGACGTGCGTGTGCCCGAGCAGCGGAACGGCGTCGACGCAGCAGAAGGCGACGACAAACAGCCAGTCAAAGCACACGGCACCCAAGCGCAGCAACAAGAAGCCTGCCAAGAAGCAAAACAAGCCGCGTTCGCTTCACAGGGAGGTTGACGCGGTCAGGAGGGATGCGAGAATCGTGCTGCAGAGCATCGTCGAGAGGTTCACTGTGGCCCTCAATGGAACGGGCAGCGCAACGGAGCGTCTCGCCGATGCTCAGCACCAGTTGACCATCCTGGACGCAGCCCTGGCCGACTACGGCATTGTAGCGACGACCACTACCGCTTAGCATTCTTCACCTCAGTCTCTTTGCATTCTCCAAGTTCGCTGTATCATCATCTTGCCTGCATTCTCTCATACATGTCTTTCCTAGTTTCGTCGAGTAGAAACGCTCCGAATTCGTAGATCACTTTGCGATCCTTGCCGAGCGGTGTGCTCTGAAGGACCGAGTGTGTTCGCGAGGACGTGGCTGTGTGTATCGTCCGAAGAGGGTGTGCGAGAGTGAGGACGTGTGTGGTTGTCTTGGCGTGGCGAGCGCGGCACGGCTGAGATGTGTCCGTCGACTTGGGTGAACGGGGAAGCGCGGGCAAATGCGGAACGGCGAGAGGACTTGAGGCGGACTGCCGTGTTCTCGAAAAGGGTCCAAAAAGAAGCCTCGAAAATCACACCCAAATCATGCCGAGAATTGAAAAATCATTATTGAATGGGGAAACGCCAAGCAAAGAAGCGCGGCATCTGGGCAGAGGCCAAGAGAATTGTCAGCCACGTTCGGGGCAGCAATGGAAGCATTTCACAAAATATGACCTGATTTCTCTATGGTCACATCATCCTATCCTATATGGTCACCTCTGCTGTCTCTTCTTGCTGTAGTCACATTCGGACCCACCGAAGCTGAGCAAGGGAAAGCGCATCGCCAACCATCGCTGCCTTTCTCTGTACCACCATCACCACCACCACCACCATGCCAACGTCGACGTGAATGCACCAACATCAATCACAATGCCGCCGCCAACCATACCATCAGATTCGCCAATGGCGACTACGGCCATGACATCCTCGCCTCGACTCACTTTGAAGCAGCGCATGGCTTCTCACTGGGCTACCACTCTCCGCGTTGTTCGTCGACACATCTACTTCATCGGTCCAGGCATCGTCGCTTCCGTCGCATACGCTGATCCAGGCAACTGGGCCACCGACTTGCAAGCCGGCTCCGAGTTCGGCTACTCACTCCTCTTCATCGTCCTGCTCACGGGCTGTTTCGCCGTCTTCATTCAGATTCTCGCCTGCCGCTTGGGTGTTGTCACCAACGCCGACCTGGCTCGACAATGTCGCATGCTTATCCTCAAGGAGGATCGCCACGGCATTCCAACACAGCGCAACATCTCGTACCCCAAACTCAGGCGGTGGGCGCTCCTCTACCCGCTCTACGTCATTGCTGAAGGTGCAATCGTAGCTACAGAGCTCGCAGAACTGACCGGATCCGCCATTGCTCTCAACCTGCTCTTCCCGGGTTTGCCTCTGTGGGCCGGTATCTTGATCACCTCGGTCGATGTCATCCTCATCCTCTTCATCTACAAGCCTCCCCCCAACGGAAGCTTCCGACTACTCGAGGCCGTCATTGCAGCACTCGTCTTCACCGTGCTCGCATGCTTCATCGTGCTGCTCGTCAGGATCAAGCCCTATTGGCCCGACGTGTTCCATGGATATCTTCCTTCGAACCAGGTCGTCTCGAGCGGTGCTTTGTACGTCAGCGTCGGTATCCTCGGCGCTACCGTCATGCCTCATGCTATCATCCTCGGCTCTCACTTTGCTTGCATCGATCGCATGCCCAGTGCCGAAGGCAAAAGCACCGCTGTTGTCGATCATGATCAATTCGCCCGAGACCTCGAGTACCAATCCAGATGGCAAGCCATTCGCAGCTCCTGGTCCCGCTTGCTGCAACCCAAGCCAGAGACCAAGACCGAGATGCTGCGTCTTTCGCGCGTCGTCCGCTCCCTCATCCGCGGACGCACCGGCACCCGTGGCGCCGAGACGGATTCGATCGACGAGAGCCAACGACAGCGCGATTACCAGATCGACACCTACCCACCGCGCACCCTCGAGAACATCCGCATCCACATCAAGCACGCCTCGGTCGACATTGGCATGTCGCTCGTCAGTTTTGCCATTGTCATCAACTCTGCCATTCTCATCGTCGCTGCCGCCGCCTTCTATTACACCGACAATGGCACCGGCTCGGGACAGGTCATTGTCGCCAGTCTGTATGATGCTTTCTATCTGCTGAAAGATCGACTGGGCAGTCTGCCGGCGGTGCTGTTTGCCGTGGCGCTGCTCGCATCCGGTCAGAGCGCCAGCATCACCGTGACGCTCGCGGGACAACTCGTCAGTGAAGGTTTCATCAACTGGCGCACCGATCCCTTCATCAGGAGACTCTTCACGAGGTTGTTGGCTATCGTGCCCAGTTTAACGGTCTCATTGGCCGTGGGCAAGGATGGCCTGGACGAGATGCTTGTGGCCAGTCAGGTCGCTTTGAGTATCGCCTTGCCATTCGTGCTGATGCCCTTGATTCTCGTCACGGGCAACAAGCTGAGAATGACGGCAGAAGAAGTGGAGGATCCAGCGTCGGTAGCGTCGTCGGCCAGGTCGAGTGTACAGGAGGAGCGCGCGAGTGGCGAGCAGGCGGCTGCTACAGCAGATGCAAGTGCGTCGAAAGCCAGGCCAGTCCTGCGCAGGGACGCCAGCACCAGCGCATCCTTGGCCGTCGTCGAGAGTCTCACTCGCGAACAGCAGCAGCAGCAGCCGAATACTCCAGAACAGGACGATAAAATCACGTTGCGCAAACAACAGCAGCCGTCGCCACCACAAACACCCGCAGCGTCAGCAAGCGATCCATTGCAGGAGCACATTCCTCTCCCGACATTGGCCGAACAGCGGCCGCCGGCGACACCTGCGTCCAAGATGACATCGCAGTGCTTCGCCTCGAGGTGGTACGTCCAGGTTGTGGCGTACGCCATTTGGACCGTCATTGTCATCGCCGACGGCTACGTGCTCATCACCACATTTATGGGCGAGTAGTGGGCGCTTTGTCACCTTGTATACCAATCTGTTGTAGTAAGCCACAGCCGCATGAACAATCCAATTTTGCTCACCTGTCATTCGTTCATCCGCATCCATCCCCACGCAGAGCCCTTTCCGACAGCCGGGTTGTCAGGCACGTTCGCCAATGAAGGGCCCAATGTGCTTGCTTGTGATCCAAACAGCCCCACTCAGAGCCATCATTGCGAGCTGGTACTGCAGACGCAGCTACCCATGAAGAGTCTATCTTGCTGGCTTGCCTTTTGCTCAGTCTCAATGAGGGCTTCTCAATTGTCAGTCATCGCGGTCCAGTGTGAAAGAATGAACGTGCGAAACGCAATGTCTTTGCGGAGCGGATGCTATGGATGAACAAGAAGACGAATGGAATCTATGTGAATGCTATGCTATTGTCGAGTGTAGTGCGAGTCGTGCGAGGTTGCGGTGGTTTGGGTGGTGGGGGTTCCGTCGATATGGTGGAGCAGCATTGACGCTGACGGCTCGGTTGGCGTGATGTCCTCTGGGGATGTGCGCCAGGTGGGCTCTTTCGTCTTGCTTGCTGTGCTATCGACGAGCAATCCCTTTTCGCGATCTCCATCGACCGCGTCGCCATCGAGCACGTCTGCAGCAAACCGCTCATCCACCTCGTCGTGCATCTCGAGCTCCTTCATCGCAAAACAGATGGCCCAGCCTGCGACCGCAAACGGAATCAACAGCAGCCACACATGTCGCAGTGCGCCACTGTATACGCCTCTCACAGCACGGCTGGCGACCGGATCCAGTGTGCGCAGCGCTCCGAAATGCATCGAATAGGGCGAGGAGATGTCTTCGATGTTGAACGGCAGACTTCCGTTGGCGGAGAGCGCCTGGATGGAGGGCGACTTGATCGCCTTGTGCACCGACGACTGGAACACCGCTTCGGCGAGCATGATGCCGAGCGTCTGGCCGAACGAGGCGAAGAAGAGTTGCAGAGCCAAAGCGCGCGAGGCGAGTTCGACTGCGACCGACGCCAAGGTCGGGAACTGGGGCGCGACGAACAGGATTCCGCATCCAATGGCGATGGGCAGCTGCACCAGGATCCACGTTACTGGCTTTGCGTCGACGTCAAGCAGCAGCAAAAGTGGAACGCCGAGCACGGTGAAGAACCATCCTAGGTGATTCTGTGGTAGGTAGCGTTGTGTCACCTCAATGCTCACTGCGAATGCAATGGCGGTGAGCGCGACAGTGCAGCTAAAGGGGAGGACCATCCAGCCAGACATGATGGTGGACGACAGCTTGACCGCCTGGAAGTAGGTTGGGATGACATAGATGATGGCCATGGTGACGACGCCGTGCGCAAAGCTGGTGAGGTGGGCGCTGATGGCGGTGCGGTTCGACAGCAGCTCCCTCGGCACTGTCGGGTTTCGCAATTTGAACAGCTCGAGGTAGAAGAACGCGACAAAGAGCAGCACTGACAGGACGAGCGGGATGAGCACCGGTGCGCTCATCCACCCGTACCGCGCCCCGCCCCAGGTGAGCGACAGACCTAACCCGACGGTGGCTAGCATGAGCAGCGCGTTGCCGCTCCAATCCATCGACTTGAGTTTGGACCTGACGTCGGCTTGAGGCGTCTTCATGTGCATGAAGCAGCTGATCATGATGATCGCCAGCACCGTCACGGGGACGTTGAGCCAGAACAACCACCTCCAGTGGTCTCTGCGAGAAAAGACACCGCCGATGGGTGGGCCCACCGCACTGGCGCCCGCCCAGACGACGCCCAGAATGCCTTCATACGTTCCCCTCTCGCTCAGACTGACGAGGTCGGCAACGATGATCTCTGCGAGCGAAATGATTCCTCCATCTCCTACACCTTGCAACACCCTCCCGACGATCATCATCTCCAGACTGTGGCTCGCGCCGCAGATGATGCTGCCAAAGAGAAAGAAGAACAACGAGGAGAGGAGTACACTTTTGCGGCCCCAGATCTCGCACAACCCGCCGGTCATGGGCAAGATCGCCATACCAGCGACGGTGTATGCTGCGCCAATCCAGATGTACGTGCCCCCATAGCCGGTCGAGCTCGTCGAAGTGGTTACGGGAGAGTGGTGGTGATGCTTGCCAAACCGGATTGCGTCGTTTTGCAGATCCGAGACGATGGTCGGCAGCGCAGTGGATACAGTGGTGAGATCGAGCGCCGAGAGAAAAGACGAGACGCACAATGCAGAGAAGACCAGCAGGAAGTGGGTGCGCGCCGAGAGGCGCGACTTGGCCGAGCTTGAGTGGGTCGTGTCGAGGCTCGGGCGGCAGGTGTGGTCGGTCGAGGTTGAGGACGAGGGCAGATGGCGCATCGAGCTGGCGGCCAGGTTGGGCGTCGAGTGCGCAACAAGATCTGGCGCATATGCGGGTCGAGGCGTGGACACGTACGATGGGGGCGCTGCTTCGGATATGGTTGTCTCAGGTGGATAGGACGATGTCGGAGTGTCCACACATGTGGCATCAGGGCCGGCCGTGATGGCCTCCTCGGTGCGGCCGCCGTCGTGGTCGGCCATGCCGTGTTGCGTTTGTGATAGATGCGCTCGCTATGTTTGTGTTTTGCGGTCGAATTCGAAGTGGAAAGTGGGTAAGGCGTTGCTATCTGTTGAGAGTGGCGCTTGTTTTCGCCAATTGATGAGGCGTGGGTGAAAGCGATGCTGGTGCGGAGCGGACTGGCCGCAAGCGTGGATGTTGCAGAGACGAACGACAGACACGAGCGTTGCTATTGATGATGGTCGAAACGAGGGGGAGTCCGATGATGCAGACGCAGTGGATGGTTGCGAGTCAAGTCGCTCAGAGGTGCTTTTGGTGCAAGCGGAAAGCTGGAATCGCTTCACCAGGTTCTCCTAGAACAGATGTGCGCCTTCGGAATGTTTGGTGCGGACAAAGCTTGAGCTGGGCTATGCTACTTTGGTCTGCTGCTAGCAGGTAAGCAAGAGCGGCCAGGCGGGGCGAGAAAGAGCGTGGGTGTCTACGTGTGACGTGTGCAAGTGGTTGGGGTCAGTCCTATGTGGAGCGGAACGAGGAAGCAAGATGGTCGCTTGCGAACGAGGAACGCCAAGCGACCGGCGGAGAAGCAAAGGTGCGTAAAGTGTCTTGCAAGCGCGGTTGAGGCCAGATCTTGACCCGAAGGGAAGGACGATGAACGTGGTTGCGGGATGCACGATCGAATCGAATCACATCGGATGAGGGACTGGGTCACCGAGACGTCGAGACCGGCGCGGCACGCCACACAAATGAAGTAGTGGGATGAAGCGGAGCGCCGCGGTAAGCAGCGCAGCGCAGCACAGCAGTATGCAAGGTCGCTTCGGAGCGTCAAAGTGTCGCTTCTGCTGCACGCACTGGGCCTGCACAGAGTCCAAGTGCTGTTCAACTTGACCTGCGACCGAAATGAGCAGGACCACTTATCACACGACACAGCCTACTATGTTCAGGGCTGCACCTCGACACAGACCGCTGAGACTCTATCACACGAAAGCAGGAACGACCTGTGGGCCGGAGAGGGCTGCGCACAACGTCGGCAGGACCCAGTGGGCGGCAAAGTGCTTTGCAGATACTTGGGACGCAATGCTCAGTTAACGGCGGTGCACGCTGGTGTCTAGCAGCTGTTCAGGCCCACCTGCATCGGCAGGGGGTTGTGTGGTGCATCGTGCAGACTATGAGACTCAGGGGCCCTTTGTGCGCTGCTTCAAGTGAGGTGAATGCTTCAATCCTCGCTCGTCTTGACCAGCTCGCTTCCGCCTTTCGCCCCGAGAAAGCAAAACGCGTCTGTCTCGTATGTCGGTGTTGGTGCGTCAAGGGTTAATGAAAGTGGGCTGAAAATACTTTCTGCCGAAAGACAATAGGCGTCGGCGAGAAGCGAAGTCTGCGCATCATTGTGAGGCTGAAGCACCAAGTTGGTTTGCGCATTGCTCCACCTCGATCTGGGACAGCCTTGCTTCACATTCCGACGTTGTGATGTGAAGGCTGCCTGGAATTCTACGACAGCATCGCATCGCACGTGGGAAGGCGAAACGAACATGAGAAGACAAATTCTGTCGGTTTTCGCAAATCAGACACACCCTTCGGGTAGACGCTGATACGGATAGTGGCGAGACGTTGCGCACAGAGCAGTGAGGATGGCGCCATCCACACATCGAAACAGCGAGGCACGGAGGCGACACAAACGCAGATTCATCGGACGTGGAAACAAACTCTGCCTGCGGGAATTGCCGTCGGTCGAAGACAGAAACGAGCTGCATTGAACGAGGAAGCCGCAGGTCAAGGTCGTTGGAACTGGAACGTGTTGCGTCGGTGATTCAACGAGGGTTTCCCCATGAGATCAACGTGTCAAAAGTTGTTCTTCCAGCTGACGCGACCCTGCAGCGAATGGAAAAGGTTCGACGACGATCAGGTTTATCGCTCCGAAGTGGCATGGCGAGTTGAAAGCTTGCCGTCTTGCCGGGGCAGCGTCCGAGCTTGCCGTTGCTGGCATGAGCTCCTCATCCGAAGAATCGACGAGACGGCTGGTGGTCTGAGCTGGAAAGCAGACGGCAGCACAACGGACTTCCATGGCTCGGCGCATCTACAGGACAAAGAGGAGGACGGCCAACTCCTTTGCATTATGCATACAATTGGGCGGCCGCTGTCAAACCCAGCCTTCGGCACCTGAGACATGCACTACCATTCTCAAAGCCGAATTTCTATTTTGGCGCTCTGAATTTGGTATTGTCGGCAGCTCAAACTTGAAATGAGCATTACAAAGGTCAAGGTTGCATGATTTGCAGAGTGTGCCGTTTGGCCCAACTTGACGTGAACGTTGTTGGAGCAGCCTAAATCCAGACCACCGAGGTTCTAGACGCTCTCTTCCCCTCTGATCAGTAGCCGGCACGCTCCCTTCTCGACGGCATCGTTCATCCCCTTTGCCCTCCTCGTCGGCATTAGCGCTATTCGACTCCTCATCAACACCTTCAATACAATCCGCCACGTCTGTGCACCAAGGACGGTTGGAATTGCGTACATTCAGAGGCAAGCATGCCATGGGCCGTTGAGTCGCTCAGTATCATTCATGATGACTGAGGCGATGTCGGCGCTCTCCACGTCACTCGAAGTTCCGCGGATTGGCACGTTCTATCCGGTGATTCGGTCTCAAACGTGGCAGCAAACATCAAATTCCAATTTATCATAGCAAGAATACAGTAGAGAGAGGGAGAAAGTGACAGCAAACGAACCGTCGGCCCCAGATTGAATATTGTTTTCTCTTGCTTCAGGGTCCTCTTCTTTGCTGACGTGCCGCCTCATTGGCCAGAACTTGGGTTAGTTCAGATTGGCACGAGCCTAACTAGTGGCTTGCACCAAACATGCGCCTCTTGTTCCTTTGCCGACCGGCGGGTTCCTTCTCCGCAACAGTTGAGAGGAGCGAGCCAAGCTTAGCAACTCACCGCCGCTCCAGCTTTACCCTGTTCCGAGCAACGTTTGTTTGCCTCTCATCTCCTGTCGAACAAGTATCGAACGCCATTCCACTATCTTGTGCTGACGCATTCACCTTCATGTACTGCATTCCGAACCATCTTGCCCTCCGGCGCAGCTCAAAACAGCTCCCATCAATAGATGCATGCAAGCCAGTCTCGAGTCTCGGATCCCCTGCATCTCAGCACAGCCTCTCCTGCTGGTGGGACCTCTTCCTACATATTCGGAAAGGCCTGTTCAATGCACGACGATCCTCACGCCTTCTTTGTCCCTTGGCACCTCATGTCGTTCCGGGTTCTTCTTGCCGGAAATGGTCTCTCGGCGCATCATGCCCTTCACCGTGATTGCGTTTATTCGCAGTCTCCAAAGTGCTCTCTACCCCTTACATCCTTCGGCAAGCTTGCTGTGACCATGCTCCGAGTCAAAGTTTGCCGCCGGTACATCACACAGTCTGGACCTGATCTGTACCCGCTCGCCCGCTCGTGAGCCTAGCCTTCACATCAGCTTGACAAGCAACAAGCATTGCTCGGAGAGACAGTCTGTGCTCGTTGGCTAGCTATCAAAAGCCAATTGCAACCCCGTCACGTTCTACCGCTGCTCTTCATGTTGGGTTGTGAGAATCAATCTGCCACCTCTTGCAAAGGGTCTTGACGCTAACAACATTGGCCGGACTACCGCACACCTCTAACTCTGGATTGAGCGACACTCTGACCGGCACCTTATTGCAAATTCACACACACACGCACACGCAGGTCGACATTGCATCCTGCACGAGGCAGCCGGCGCAGCGTTCTTCGTCCCACCAATCAGGCCCAAAATTCTGCGCTCACGCCCACTTGAAAACATCGCCACTCTCTCTTTTGTTCCTCGCAAAGGTCTCGGTCTGCGTAGCGGTCGTGCGATCCAAGCTTTTCGAGCAGCACAGTGTTCAGCGCAAGTGCATGCACATCCGCTGCCGGCCGTCTCCCTTTCTCGCCGCGGAGACGAGGCGGCAGCCGTCCCCTTCCTGACCGCAGGCCCGCCCACTTCGGGTCAGTCGTGCTCGCACCTCCGCTCCGCTTCTCTCTGCATGTGCCACTTTGAAGCGCAACACTTGTGCATAGAACTTGATCTCCTCTTCTGAGCCCGTGTATACCTCCTGTGTTCGTCCTCTCCGCAGTCGCCTCCATAAAGCTCGCCAGACAGCCTCGCACACCATCCCCTCCGTCCATCATCATCCAACGTCCTCCTTCTCCTCTGGTCAGCCTGCGCACGACTTCTTCCTCTCCTCCCGATATACGTCCTCTTTTCTGCACTTTCCCGTTCGCTGCTCTCCGTTCGAGCGCTTTCGCTATGGTCTCCACCCGCAGCCCCTCCCCGGCCTGCACTGAAAGGTCCACAGCCACCGACGTCTCGTCCGACGCGACCAGCATGGTCGAGTCCGTTGCGAATCTCAACTTGGCAGACGACGCCGTCGTGCGCGACCAGACCATCCAGGATGTCCTCAATAGCTCTCGCATTCTCATCACCGGCGCCGCTGGTTTCGTGGGTGCTGCTCTGCTCCACAGATTGCTCGGCGACTCCACCTTCAACATCAAGCAGATCGTTGCAATCGTGCGCGGCAAGACCGACGAAGAGGCGCTCAAGCGTCTACCCAAGGCTCTTCATCACCACGCCAAGCCCGAGTCCGAGGGCGCCCTTCCCAAGCTTGTTCTTGTCAACGGCGACTGCGCTAGGCCCAACTTTGGCCTCAACGAGCAGGATTTCGAAAAGGTGCGCAAGACCGAGATCGTCATCCACTGCGCCGGTGACACGCGCTTCACCCTCCCCATTTCGCAAGCTTTCCAATCTATGGCCGATCTCGCCTACTTCACAGCTCGTTTCTCGCTCCTCACGTGGAACGTCAAGACTCATATCCACGTCTCGACTACCTTCGTCGGTTGGTATCTCAAGAATGGCTCGCTCGTCAGCGAGTCCTTGACGCCCGAGGGCTGCGGTACCCAAGTCGATGAGCAGGGCGAGCACGTCAACACCTATTTCCAGGCCAAGACGTATGCCGAGTCGTGCGTCAACTCGCTTTTCACCTCGCAGGTAGGTCGTAAGCTTCACGGCAAGACCTGCCGCATTGTGCGCTTGGCCACGCTGGGTCCTGCCATCGATTTCCCTCGCGATGCCTGGGGTGCTGGTCACCCTTCGAGTCCTGTATGCGCCGCTTTGGCAGCGCAGTGTGTCGATCCCAGCCTCGTCTTCCCCAACTCTGGTCTCGACGTAATCCCTGTCGACATTGCCGTCAACCAAATCCTTGCCGTCACTGCGTCGGCGCACGCGCTGCAAAAGCTGCCCACGACGCATCGCCTGCACCCCAAGAACCCCGCCGCCCCGACCAGCAAGCACCTCGCTGAGGTGCCCTGCTACCACGTTGCGTGCGGCCGGGGCGACGAATCGCGCATCCCCATGACGCTCCTCAACGACGAGGCAGTCAAGATCGAGGAGCCCTACATCCCGACTTCGAATCTGCTCAAGGTGTACGACCCCTTCATCACCAAGATTGTCGAGTTCGACGTGGCGCGCACACGTACCGTGCTCGGTCTGCCTGCGCTCATTCCCGACCAGAAGCGTGTCCTGGACAAGGCAAGCCTCGCCGACCTCCCGCTCAAGCAAGGCTCGCTGAAGCTGGATATTGTCAAGTCGGTGCATGACAGGTTCGGAAAGGCCGAGCTCGAGGGCTGGACCGGCTATCTTCAGCAGGTGCGCGATCAGATGGAGGCCATGGGCCCCCGATCCGACTGGGAGACCTTTGTCGATTGAGCAGAGGTTTGCATACCGTTCCGTCCTTCGTAGACCTAGATTTCTCAGCAGCTTCATGGCGCTCGTCAGGCCAGCATACCCTCCTCTTCAGACTCACTTCCTCCATGGCAATCTCATTGGTGTCAACAGCTTCGCATTCGTCATAAAAGCTCTGTCGTTTTTCGCATGGTGACTCAGCGTTTTTGAGACTGGCGGAACCCTGATGGAAGGGAAACTATTGGCATTCACAGTTAGTGAGCGTCAGGCACAGCTTGTTTGAACATGAGACTTTATGTAGGGGTGGTATTGCGTGTGAAGCATGAGGAATCGTCCGATGTTTTGTGACCTAGGGGTATTGGGCGCATTGGGTCCGTCCCGAAGGTGGGCGTGCGTTGCGAAGACGTGCGTTGCGAAGGATTCCATGAAGTGCCAATGCGATCTAGAACGGTGGGGTCGCGGGGTGTACCTGAGACGGGACAAGATAGCTGGCGGCCAGATTTCCGCTGAAGGGAGCCTAGGGCGCAGGCTCGTCTAAGGCTCGAAGGTCGAGATGATCCGGCTGGCTACGCGTCTGCCCGAGAGCAGAGCACCCTCCATGTAGCCCTGCCAGATCTCACTCGTGGCGTCGCCGGCAAAGTAGAGGTTGCCGACCTTGGACATCTCATCGCGTTCCGTATCTTCGAAGCTGGTCAGAACGCCGGGTGGGTTGAAAGAGCCGTAGCCTCCAGTGGCGTAGGGCGCGAGAGTCCAGTTCATCTCGAGCACCTTTGTGGCCTTGCTCGCTTCGGGGCCAAAGAGCGTGACGAGGAAGTCCAGCACGGTCTGCTTGCGAGTGTCGGCATCTGGGTTCTGGTGAAGGAAGCGGCGCGAGTTGTTGCCTAGAACGAAAGCGACGATGACACCATGCTTGGCGTCGGCTGGCGAGTTGTCGTAGGTCAATTGAACAGGGCTCGTCTCGTCTGCGTTGATCATAGCACCGCTGAGACCCGCAGCGCGCCAGAAAGGAGACGAGTAGACGATGTTGAACTTGATGACCGAGCCCATGGGCTGACGGCGGTAGTACTGGATGAGACCCGACGGCAGTGGCGGCTGAAAGTCCATCTGGCAGATCAACGGCCGAGGTGGAGTGACGATGACAACGGGTGCCTTGAAGTGTTGGCCCTCGGTTGTCGAGACTTCATACACAGCTTCCTCCGCCGAGGCAACATCGTCCTTCGCCCTGTGGACGTTCAGCACCTTCTGGTTGAGTCGAATGACGCCATCTGGCAGACGAGCGGCAAGACGTTCGCTGATAGATTGTGGGCCTTGGACGATGCGAGTAGTCTGCGCATCGCTCAGCACTTGCTCGATGTCACCGCCTGCTCCTGCAACAGTCGCGAGGAGATCCAAGAAGCTGATGGACTCCGCATCTTCGGCGTAGACAGCTTTGATAGCCATGCGGAACAGTTGCTTGGCCTCGAAGGTCCACATTGCGTCGTCAATCCAGCAGCCTATAGACCTTTCATCCCAGTAGCGGGCGTGCTTGGCCTCGCTTGGCGTCTTTGCTGGCACGGATCTCGAGAGGCTGTTGATCTTGCGAGTGGCCTTGAGGAGATCAAGAGACGGGATGATGCCGCAAGGGATCATCTCCTTGTACTGCTTGACTCTGCCATCGGTGGATCGGTAGATGCTGAGCCCCTCGTCGTAGGTGTTATGAGTCTCGAGACCAAGCTCCTTGATGAGCTCCAGGATCTGGTTCTGGCCAGGCCCGATCCACTGCCCACCCATTTCGATCACATTGCCATCGTCGAGGCGCATATCCAGCGTTCTTCCACCCACCCGATCGTTGGCCTCGAGCACCTTGACTTTGAGGCCGGCTCGCGTCAACTCGTCCGCCGCAATGAGTCCAGAGAGGCCAGCGCCAATTACCACCACGTCGATGTCGCCGCTCCTTTTCAGCTTGTCGGCAGCAGAGACCTTGATGCTCGAACCATTAGCAGCCTTGCTCGACCGCGAGATCAGGGTGGTGGCGCTACTGCCTGACGATTGGCCTTCTTTCGAGCGCCCATGCTTGGTCGTTGGCTTCGACGGCCCACCGGTGCCCTTTGTCTCGGAGTTGCTCCTGGGCCCCAAACCGCCCAGCCATGCTGGCCTTTGCCATGCCATCGTGCCGATCTGAGCCGGGATAAGATGAATGGTCCGGAAGGGAGCTGCAGCGGTGACGATGGTGGTGGTAGGAGCAGGGGACAAAAACGTGCATCACTTTGTGGAAAGCAGTGTCGTTCCGGTTTCTCATCGGCAACGCGGGGCTCGAGACACCGCCGGCACCAAAACCCTGGATCCACTTTCTTGCCGAGGATAGACTTGGTTCTGGGTCCGCTCCAGATGCATGCTGCCCCTCTTGCTTCCTCATCCCTTCCTGTCATGCAGGTCAGCGAAGATCGCATGCAGTCTGCAGGCTCGGTTCCATCTCGCATGACGCCTCCTTCCGCATGCTCGACTCTTCCGGAGAGCTCATTGCCTCTCTTCTTTGTACGCATCCAATACGTCTACTCTGCCGCGACGTGGATCGCTCACTCTTCACATTGCACTGCATGCTGCTAATCAACGCTCGCGACATTCCGGCCCAAGCGATGAGTGGTATCGTCCTTGACGGATCGATGAGGACCAATGGGTCGCTGCGAGCAACAGCGGAGATCTTGATATCTCTCCATGCTAAACTGTGCTCTGTGTGTGCGCGTGTGTATATGCAGAACGAACGAAAAACACCGCCAGAACGAACGAAAAACAACGGCCAACAGCCATTCATTCGCAAGAAATTATCTTTTTTCTCCGATGTGTCCAAGATCGGTCTTTACTCACTGACAATTGCTTGTCAACGATTAACTTACTTCGAGCGTGCGACCAAGTCTTTTTGAATCTTTTTAGCACGTCTGACATCTCTTTCTAATCTGCTCGCCAATCATCAAATCCCGAAAGAGGCTCGCAAAAATGAGGCTGAAAAAATCAGTCGTGCATTTTTACTTGCTTCAACACGCGATTGACGCAAGTCATTTTATTCAACATTATCATTCGCACGGGAGAGCGAATCGCATGTCAAGACAGGCGTATCGCTGACCAATGCTATGATTTTTTCTTGCCAACATTGTCCAGTGCATGTTTTAAAAATCATGAACGACAATTTGAGACGGGCAGCCGTCGAACTTCAGACATTTTCAAATTTGTCCCTCACAATTCTTGAAATTAGTTCTACGGTGCTGTGTTGCGGATTAAGTTAGCGACTAAAAGTCATATGTTATTTAGTACGGACCGCATGTTTGCACGCGTTTTTGTATACCAGGGGAAGGCTTGCGTTTTGCCGGACACAGAGCTCGAGTAATCGCTGTGAGAGGCTCGCCAGGTCGTGTTCGGAACTCCAAAGCGGGCGGCTGTGGTGGGTCACTTCGAGCCACTGTCGAGCACATGAGCATGCTCGGCTGCTGCTGACCACATTCAAGAGGCGGTGTCAGGGCTGAGTCCTCAGCATATCCTCCAAGGTCAGAAGACTGCGAAGGATGGGTGCGACGGTATTACAAAACATATAGGAGGACACAAGCAAGGCCAGAAGCGAGTCAAGCTACCCGTCGAGCATGTGGCTGATGAGAGCCAACAAATGAAAGAAGCCCACGGCGGACGGAGGCAAGTTGCTATTGGCGCCGTTGCTGGAGCAGGATTGAATCTCAAGAGACACAGCGGTGTTGCTTTACCTGTCCTGGCATTGTGGTGTTGGGCAAGCAAGGCGACTCAAGGGGCCTGTAGCGTCCTGATGGACTCATTGTGTGCACATGCCGACGCACAGCGATCGACGACGATGGGTAACGATAAGAATGCAAATGCGAAGACCAAGAGCGCGGGTTCCGTCTTGATCTAGGTGGAGGTATAGTACAAGCATGGTTGAATGCTGGAGATGCGAGCCGTGACGTAGAGGTCCCCTTCGGAAGACGTACTGAGACGAACCTGATATGGTGCGTGTCTTGCAAGAAAAGTGCAGCGGGCCTTATGTGTCTGAATTGGAGAAGTGCGTAGCTTTGGCGTGAGCAGGAAGCGGACAGGGCGCGACCTGATTCGCGCAAGCCTGCCACGTCTTTCCTAGTACTGATGATTTCGAGGCCCACGGGGCCAAAGGATGGCGTACCTAGTCGGTGTCCATGCCCATAGTCATGCCAGAGCTGCCGGCACCAACGAGAGCCGACTTGGGCTTGGCTGAGGTTGCCTTGACCTTGATCTTGTCCTTGGAGGACGAGGAGGTAAGCCTGGCAGCGTCGATGGAAGCGCGAAGGTGGGCGTTGCGGTGGACGAGAAGACGGTCGGCCTCCTTTGCTTTTGCCTTGACGCCTGCCTTTGCCATGCGAGCCTTGTAGAAGGCGATCTCTCTGCGGGTCTTGATCTCCTGAATGCGCTTCATGGCGTGGAGAGTGGTGGCGACCAGCTCGCGGTCGTAGCGGACGGGGACGTTGCGCTTCTTTTCGAACTCGAGGGTGGAGTCGACAGTCATCTCCTTGCCGTTCGCCTTGCGGAAAGCCTTTGTCCAGCGAACCTTTCGTGGGTTTCGCTTCAACTTGAAGTTCTTGTGACATTTCGACTTGCAGAACTTGAAGATCTTGGCATCGTTACGAACAAAGGTGATACCCTTGCCCGGGTAGCACGGGGCGGAGCAGAAGAAGCAGTGCTCGATCCTCATTGTGAAGAGGCCGGGTTGAGGCTTGCGAGCTTCGGAATGTAGAGAAAGAGATGGCTATTCCTGCTTGTGAAGGGGAAACGAGCGAGCGTGTGCTCGAGGTGAACAGGCGAGACCGAAGTGATGTGCCGCGTGCGATCAGAAGATGCGGCCCGTGAGTGCTTGGAGGTGCTCGTATGAGACCTTGAAGACAGCGAAGGGTGCTGAACCGAAGCGAAGAAGTCGGATACGATGAGTCGAATGCGAGATGAGCAGGGCGATGTGGAAATGATGATGGTGGTGGTGGTTGGATGGCGGGTCGACAAATTCTCTTGACTGAGCCTGTGCCGCCCCGCAGAACCAAAGTCAAATTTTGCTTTTAGGGCCTGCAGAGGAAGAAATTTCTTGAATCAAAGCTCGGGACTCGGTCAAGCAATCGGGCTGAGTCAAATCTCGATAAGTCACAGTCATTCGCAGTCATTCGCAGTGGCAGGGAGAGTGTTGGTCGAGCCAATTCCAGGTGACTGGAGAGACAAAAGGGTCTTTGGTTGGTTGCTCTTCTCATCCAGTCTACCACCATCGACAATCCGGTGCACGACAGGATGAACGCGCCTCTTACCTTGCATCATCATGGTGCGGGGCCAAGCTCGCATTCGGCGCATCGACCGCTGATCACACAGCAGAGGTTGGTCGGCGCATCGTCATCGATTCCAGCCGAGTTCATCCACAACGAGTTCAGCTTTGAGCAGTACATCAAGGACAACCTCAACGTCAAACTAGATAACGATGCACAGCTCTGCCCAGACTACTCAGAAAGGCTGCAGTGCCCGCGCGGTGCTTCGTGTCCAAGGCGGCATGTCAAACCGAGCCATCTCAACTTTCTCCCCCCGGGCTCGACGGCACTACGCGATCCCAACAAGCGCACCGTCTGCAAGCATTGGCTTCGTGGGCTGTGCAAGAAGGGCGATCAATGCGACTATCTACACGAATACGACATGCGGAAAATACCAGAATGCCGCTTCTATGCGACCTTTGGTTTCTGCAATAGCGGCGACGATTGCCTCTACCTTCACGTGGACGCTGCGATCAAGAGGAGGGAATGCGAGAGATACAATCGAGGCTTCTGTCCAAAGGGCCCTCTCTGTCCGAAGAAGCACGTTCGAAGGGTTGCATGTCCCCTCTATCTGGCTGGATTCTGTCCCGAAGGACTCGAATGTACCCGCGGACACGTCAAAAGCACCCCTCCATCGAGCGCATCACGGTCCACTTCTCCGATCTTGACACATCGACCTTTGACAGCAGCAGAAGCATTTGGGATGGGTGGAGGTCGAGGCGACGAGTATGGCGATGGCGCAGGAATGCGCGGTGGACGTGCACCGCCAGGGAGATATGGCATGGCAGGCGGAGGCGTGGCCGGAGCAGGAGGAGCACCACCCGGATCAGCGCAGGCAGGGGGCCAAGGTGGCATGGGAGGATACGCAAACACCATGCAGAGGAGACCCAACAACGCCTTTGGACAGCCGCCATCACAGGGAGGAGCCCAAGACGGTGGACGTGGTGGCTGGCGAAAGGATCTTTCGGAAGTGCTCTGCTTCAAATGCGGAGAGATGGGTCACTTTGCCAACATGTGTCCGAATCCAGCGCTCCCTGGCAATCGTGGTGGTGTCGAGCGTGGTCCAGGAGGGCAAGCCCGCCAACGCGATCGACCACGACCGTATTAACACCTCGCAACCTCGCTCATCTGTGTATCATTATAATGCACACACTGCATTCCATCAGCGGACGGAGAATCTGCCTCGCAAGTCGAGAGAGAGCGACCGTGTGACTGAATCGAGGATGCTCAGTCGTGATGGAAAAGCGCGGGACTAGCTTGCCTTTGGCTGAGCCCTTGTTGTGGTCTCGGCTATGGTCGCGCTTTAAATTCCGACAATCACAATCACCACCCGCATTCTTGGATCACCCTTGAATATCGTTACTCATCCATTCACCACCTCCTCGACCGTCACATTCATCACACCTCTCACACCATCACAAACTCAGCATCCGCCAGCGCAATTGCATTTCATCCCCATCGCCGCGCACTTCATCCACTATCAAAACCATGACGACGCTCTAAAAGCCAAGCAGCGACCGCCTGCCGATCAGCAGCGAATCCATCGCGACACATCCACACTCGGCATTCGATCGCAAGCAGCAGTGCGTCGTTCCGCCAACATGCCTGCGGACAGGAGCATCCCGCACAGCCATCGCCACGATGAGCTTGCTGAATCCACGCCAGACTCGCGCAACGCCCACGACAAGATCTCAGTCAAGCAGTCGGCCAGGCGCAGAGCATACGCCAAACGCAGCTGTCTCAAGTGTCGCGAGAAGAAGGCCAGATGCGAGCTGCCAGAAGAGAGTCTCACAACGCCGTCATCCATGACACCGCTTACCACTGAGCTCGCTTGTCATCGATGCAAGGTCCTCTCGCTCGACTGCGTCGTCTGGGACGGCGATCGCAAACGTCGGCCCAAGGTCTCCTCCGATCAGTCCAGGCCAAAGTCACCCTCGGACTCTCGTCTCCAATCCGAGCCGAGCTCGTCTCGTCTACCCTCATCTCCACCTCGTAGTCCAGGCTCGCTCGAACAGCTCGCTGCTGCTGCTGCTCGTCTCTCGGATCATCGCTCCACCTACGACAATGCCGAAGAGACTTCGCCTCACGCTGCCGCCTCCTCCAACGACGCAAGCAGCTCCAAAGAAGCCGCTTCCACCCTCGCGTCTGTGCAGTTCTTCAATCCAGTCGCGAACGAGGCTCCATCCCCTGCTTCGACCGCATCTCCGGCGTCGATACGAGGACCAGGTCGCTCCCATTTGTATGCTTCCTCGCCCAACAACCATGCCGCCCGCTCGCCTGGCCACGTCAAACCCCTCACACCTGCTTCTGCAGCCTCTCCCAGTACCGCCACTTCTTCGACCTTTGACTCCAAGAAGACGCAACCACCTGGCCGTACCTGGACCTCGCTGTGGAGGCCCCTCTCTGTTCTCATAGATTATGCAGCCCAGCAGCCCAGCTTCACCACGTATCTGCTTGGTCGCATCGATCGTACCCTCTCCGAGCTCGACATTCTGGACCTCATACCCAGACAGACGTTAACCTACCTCAGACCCTTCCTCCGCCCTTATTTGCTCTGGCATCCGCATCTACCGGACCTCGACCAGATCTACGCAGAGCATCGCAAGCGGCCCACCGTCTCGACCGCGCTCCTTCTCAGCTCCATGTGCCTCGTGGCGTGCCGTCATGCTATGCCACTCACCGACTCTCTTCCCACAAAGCTCTCCACGCTGGTCGATCAGCTCGGCACGCAGATCCTGCTCTCTACGCCCAGGGACATGTACACGGTTCAGGCACTCGAGCTTCTGCTGGCGCACGAGCCCTCTTTGGTTGGTACAAGCGTCGCCGGCTCTGCGCAGGCCGAGAGAGGCAACGGTCTGCTCGGCGAGTCGCTGCTCGCTGCCGCCCTCACCATCGCAAGGGGTCTCGATCTGGACAAGGCTATTGACAGCGTCATCGACGTTTGCAATCGTCCGATCCCCACCGATATTAAGGGAGCGCAACAGCGTCGCGACTTGCTCCACAAACACATGGCCGGTGCCTCTATCTGGATCTCTCTCAGGCTGTGGGAAGGTCATTTCTCTTTCGTCAACTCCACCGTGCGACCCATCGAGCTCAACGATGTTGTAGGCAAGGCAGCAGTCCTGGTCGCTATCGACAATGATGGTCGCAAGATCGAGCAAAAGCACCGCGATCCCTTCTTGTCCACCGAGAAGCGCTTTCCGGGCCTCGACGAAGACAGCGTCCTCCGTTCCGCTGGTCGCACGGGTCTCGCTTTCCGCCTGCAGGCCATGGCGCGCTTTCAAGACACCATCGCAGACATGTATCGCATCCTCGCCGCAGCACCAAAGTCTCAGCCAGACAGTCCGACTGCCCTCATCCCGACCTCTGCCGAGACACGTCAACGGATCCTCGATCTGCTCACAGCCTCATCGCAGAAGCAAATGTTTTGGCAGTCGTCCAAAGCCCAAGCTTTCAGTCCGTTTGCAAGCGTCCGTCCCGCCCTCTTGCTCGAGGACTGGGCTACCATAGAGTCGTACTCGCTCCAGGAACTCTTGCCATGCTTGGGTATCTGCGCTTTCATGACCGGTGAACTCAATCTGGGCTTCTCTGCCAACGAGATGGTCGAAGCTCTCCGATGCGACGACAGCTTCCGAGACCACTCGAGCATTATCTCCGAGCGAAGAGACGTTGACACGTACGGCGTGCTCAGCGCTTTCCATCTGTTTGATCGAGGTCTCGGCTATTCGCAACCCGACATTGTCACGAGAACCGGCAGTCGTTCCAGAAAGCAGCGTGGCTCTCTTTGGATCGAGGCAACAGGCGCGCCGCTGCTGCTCACCACCGCCTTCGCCACCGACGGCTGCAAGACTTTTCTGGAAAAGACCGCGTGCTCGCTGCATGGCTTTGACTTTCTGCCCGTCACCGCCGACATGCATCTTGTCATGATGATCAATACCATGCACCGGCTCGACGAGTGTGACCACAACGAATACCTGCCGCCCATCCGACCCAAGAGGAGCAGCATGCCGCCTCCTTCCCGCCGCTTACCCAGCCTGCCCCTCGATCCCCCAGACGACAAGCAAGATGCCGCACCAGGAAGGAGCATATCGCAGATTGGCGTGCTCTTCATCGAGGAGATGGTGCAGGTGATGCAAAAGTGGAAATTGGGCACATCTTTGCAACGCATCGTTCCTTTGCACTATCGCTCCATTTTGGGCACGACGCCAGCAGCAGCGACATCTCAAGACTCACATCAGCAGCACGCTGCTGTCAGCTCGTCAGGTGCGGCCAAGGATCTGCATCAGAATGGCGACCGCTCTCGCCAGTTTCAAGCAACCAAGCGTCAGGATGCGGCCCCGATCCAGTCGTCGATGGACGCAATGCACAGCAGCACCGTCTTTGGCCAAAGCAACACTAGCGAAGGGAGTCTCAGTCAGGCTCAGTCTTTCTCCCAAGGCTTTCAGACCACCTTCATGCCGGGCTCAACGCAGCAATCAAATGCGAGTGCTACTACAGGCATATTCGACCTGCCGCTATTTGACCTTTTCGGTCCGGCATCGACCACAGATTGGACCAACAACGTACCATGGTTCGACCCGGTCGACAACGGGGCCTCCGCTCTTGCCACTGCGAACATGTCGTTGCCGAGTATCAGCAACGGCCACGCAACGTCACAATGGGGTCATCACACGCAGCCACCGCCTCTGCCGACGTCGCAAGATGCTTGGCCAAGCTTGCAAAGAAAGCGTAGTGGTGATGTCTTGCCTCCTCTTCAATACGCCTCAGCTCACCCGATGATGCCATCGCAACTACCGCCGTCGCTGCCCCCGCTGCCATCCCCGAGTCAGTCACATGCCTACCACAGCGGATATCCCAACTACCCGACGGCCGGTCCGCAACCGAACGGTTCCTACGGCAATCCCTACGGCGAGCAAGGTCTCGGTCAAAGTCCGCCTCGAGCAATGTCTGGCAACGGCGCCCAACATCATCATCAGCAACAGCAGCAGAGCCAATCATACCCGCATCAGCTTCACCGTCCTTACTATGGCGGGGGTGGAAACCAGCACGGAGGTCGGTAATGCATCGGATCACCTTTCTCTCATGTTTCGCATTTTGCATTGCACTCCTTTCACAATCTGCCGTCCGAACAACCCATCAAGGGACCGAGTGTGCGTTCCGGTCGCGATCTGGCGCAATTGCCATATTTTTGTAGAGTGGCATGAAAGCAGTGTTTCTTGGACACATGCAGGATCACAGCGTACAGACGTTTCTGGATGATGTCCGCCTTGCAGATTCTGCTTCAGAGTCGCGAGAGTCCACAAGCCAGATTCATAGAGTCGAGAAAGCATGTTGTCGATGTTTTGGCGTAGGAAGTGTGAGGACTGGGAACGTGCGAGTTTCGATTCGAGGCCAGTGTCGTCTTCCAACATTCATTACCTGGCGTCAAAGGCGGCTCGTCTTGCCACCTGCTGCTTCAGGCATAGCCTTGGGGTCGGCGTCGAGGGGCGATTAGTCCTGACTCTGCGAGATGATCCAAAAGAGACACATTCGAGGCGCGAGCGATGTCAGCGATCATGCCGATATCTTTGTCTGTGTACGAAGTCGATGGCGTTGCAGAGCCAGCGCATCCTTGGCGTCCTCGGTGTCTTCGGCGTTGATATTCGATCAAGGGTCACTTACCAGCCAGACCTTGTACGTCTCAATCTTGGGGGCGCCGTCGGCCAGACTCTCTTGATCGAACACCATTCGCCCGGCCCAGTTGAACTTGACGGTCGCGCCATTCTTGTCCATCTCGACCTTGCCGTCGAGCATGATCTCGTTTTCCCACTTGGGGCTGATGAAGACGCCGTTGACGGTGTGCTTGCGTCGCGTGACGCCTTCCCAGCCCTTCTGCCTCCATGCGACGATGCCTTCGCGCTTGTTCGTCGGCTGCATCGGTCCAATCTGAAAGCTCAGTCGATTCTCGTCGTGAATAAAGAAGTCGTCTGCGTACTGCTCGTGAACGTCGGGTGTGTCTGAGATCTTGTAGAAGTTATCGACGAACGTCGCAATGGCAGGCGGTACGTCCTTGTTCGAAGTTTCAGCGGGATTGCCGGCTGGTGGGAGCTCGCTGTCCTCTTGGTGATCGTTCGACATGATGGCTTATAGAAGCGAATGTGACCTCGACTGATGGAAGGCAAGAAGAAGGACCGTGACCCTTTTCTTTCGGCTACAAAACTCAATCGGTCGGATGCCGGTCAATTTCGAAGCCACAGAGCTTTCAGTCTAAGTGGACCCTGCACGCTGCTCATTGCGGTTGTCGCTGCGAAGGCAAGACTGGACCCTGCAGGAGCTACTCCGCGTCCAACGACCGCGGACCATCGTTCGATGTGCTGTTCATACTTCTTCGTTGGGCAACCTGCATTTGGAGCATGTCCTAATCGAGGCGCCCTTCGCCGTGTCTCTGCATTTTGGCTCAACAGACACGACTTATCAGGCCTCACGAAGCCTGGTCTGAAGCTGCCGAGACAGACTTGAATTGCAGTCTAATCAGCCTGGGAGGGGTCACAGCGGCAGGAAGAGATGCTTTCAGGCAAACGATCGTTGTGGGCTAAGCGTTCCTGGCGCGAACGTAGTCTTCAACTTGCTGCTGGTATTGAGGCTGGACGGCGAAAGGTCCATGAGTCACGTCGACTCCGTCCTCTTCGCTGTTGTGCTCTATCACAACGAGACCATCCGCTGTGACGGCGTACGTCGTCTCTGCGTTTCGGTGCACTGCCCTGTTCAAAGCGTCCCAGTCTTGGGCTGACAGGCTCTCTTGAGGTATGCCTTTGCTAGGACAGCCCTCACCCAGTGGACAAGGGGTGTTGTTCAATCGATTGATGTAGTCCTCGACTCGTGTCCGCTGCTGTGGATCGATGGCAAATGGACCGTAGGTATCGGTGTTGACGTTGTCGATGGACCACATTCTGACGAGGAGACCCTCTGCTGCGAGCTCGTACGATATGGCACGGTCTGGATGTCGATCATCCAGCCCTTCGATGAAACGCCAGTCCTCGCGCGCGAGACTCTCGCTGAGAACGCCCATGCTTTCTCGTGATTTGAAGTTCAAAGCGAGCTACTTCAGCCCGCGAGTGTGGAGCGGGGCTTCTGCAGCTCAGTGATTGTGCTAGGAGAGCGCAGTGGGGGCTGTGAGCACGTAGCTGACGATGCAGCGGATATGTGGGCAAACTGAAGTGCGAGTCTGCTCAGGTTGACCATGAGAGCTGCTTTTGCGCGTCGTCCTCGAGTCAAGAGGCCAGGAGTGACGTGGCATTGCAAGAACTCGAGCCTCGAATGTCTCGTCTGCATGCTCGGCCCCACCCGACCTGTTGAATTTGTCGCAAGAGACCCAAGTCTCTGCACATTCCCGAAGCCACGACTCGAGCTACGCATTCCACGTTCCACACGCGATGATCCCACCTACGAAACCTGGTGGCTCGCGATCCGACTCTTCGGCGCGAGTGTACGGTTGCCTCTTGGTGTGCGGAGCGCGGAAGCGTTTCAGCTGTTGTAGGCTTCTTGCTAATCTGTGGCAACATACGACAAACGAAGAGACTAGTGCAGGGAGGAGCTCAGCGCAGAGTGCGCGGAGCACAGCTCGCCGAGCCATAGGCAAAGCAATCCAACCGACGGAGCAGCATTCGCGCACGGTTTCGAGATTTTGCTGAAGGTGCGAAGAGTCGAAAGTCAGGGTTCAAGCCCAGCCAAGCACGCTTCGCTTAGAGAGCCGAAAGGAGTAAGATCCAGAGACCACATGCTGTTTCTAGAAGCCTAGGCTCTGTTTGTTGGTGTACGAGCTGACTTGTGCGGCTTGGAATGAATCCTATTCGTCTCGATCGCTTCAACAGCGAACCGCCTCTGTTCCTCAGTACCGACCCTGTTCACTCCTAGTCCGCCTTCCTCCAGTCTCACCAGCCTTGACGTGATTCTGACACCAATTTGCCTTTACCGCTCCATCTAAATGACCGGCGGTCTGCCGTGCTGCAACATGGGTATTGCACATGCAAGATGCTGATGATGAAGGGAGATGCTGACAGAGAAGGGCCGCTCAACGATCTTCCTATGCTACCGAAAGTTGCGCTGTCGTTTCTTGAAGCGGTCCAAGACGAGATGGTCGGTGGCCGTCTGCTTCCTTTCTTCCCTGCCCTGACTCTCGCGTGCTGTAGGAAAGTCCGACTTGTCTGTGGCCTGTCTTTGCTGCTGGAACCTCGCGTTAGCATACGCCTGATCCGCCGCCGAGACTCGTCCGGCTCCCCCGCTCTTGTTCTTCTCTTGCAGCAGACGCTTAGCTCGCTCGGTGTCCTCGATGTTCTTCATCCTCGTATCTATGCCCAAGTCTACTTCGGGGATGGAGCTCAGCATGGCAGCCGAGAGGGCGACGTTGCCTTCGCGCTCCTCTTGCGATTGTTCCGGCTTGATGGAACGTTGAAGTTGGCGGTACTTTTCGGCAACGGCGTAGAGCTGATCTTGCGGGTCATGGATCGCCTTTTGCACTGCAGCGGAAGATGAGTCGAGGGAAGCATGACCAGTGCGCTTGTTCATCTCTTGCTCGATGTAGGCCATCATGTGTTTATCCACGTCGACGGTACCGGTCTCGCCCTGAAAGTTGTTTTTGCGCACAAGACGTCGCGGCTTGGACGCATCGTCCTCGTCACTCTCATCGTTGTCATTCGCTGCAGCCGTACTCGAGCTCGCACCTGCCATGAGACCACCGTTCTTCATCTGCTGCCCCCATCTTTCCTCCTCCAGCTGCGCGGCGCTCTTGTCCTTCTGTCGTGACTTCTTCCTCCGCTCTCCGTTGTTGAGCCGTTCCAGCTCGGTCCCCGTCGGTTTGCGTGTAAGCGAACGAAGAGCGATCAAATCCTGAACGGAGACTTCGTCCTTTTCCGTATGTGTTGCATCGGTCTGCGTAGTCGTCGTATTGTCTGTCGTGCTCGGTGACGGGTCATCGATGGCGGTGCTGAAGATGCGTGAAGCGTTGTTGGCCTTGCCGCGTTTCTTGAACAGTAATGGTGGCGGGGATGTTTGCGCCGGCGCTTTGCTGGAACCCGCTTCGGGGGAGCTCATGGCTGTGATCGCGTTACGCAGAGGCGAGGTGTTGACGAGTTGGCGCTGGTGGAGAAGAAGGAAGGAGATGATCAACACTTTTGCATTTCTGTAGCTTTTTGTGGCCTCAATTCTTGCGTGCCTTTTCTTGACGAACGCTTTCGCTCTCGAGCTCAATTCCATTGCCGCACTCTCAGACGTAGCACGCGGAGTCGGCCAATTGAGCGAACTCAACGAAAGAGACGGGTATCTATGCAAGATAAGGCAGAGCAACGTTCCAGGTAAAAGAGCCTTCCAGCAAGACAGAGATCATAGCGAGCCTATCGACTCGAGGATGCTTTTGAGCGCATGGAGCGATTGAAGGTCCTGCAGGTCATCGCTGCCACCCAGCAATCGATCTCGGACCAAGATGGTGGGGAAGGTGCGGTGGCCCGTCAACTTTGCCAGCAGCGGCTGCAGCTGGTGAGCGTCCGGCCGTTGGTCCACTTCATACACGGTAAACGTGGCGTTAAGCGAGTGGAGGAGCGCCTTTGCCTTCTTCGAATAAGGGCAGTAGCTTTTGCTGAAGACGGTCAGCCCGAGCGATGGACGCACCTTGCTCACCCAGTCCTGGCGCGAGAGGCTGTAGAGCTGGTGTGCATCCTCCAAGATCGAGAATTGCGAGGAAGATACCGCCGTCGAGTTGGCCGCTTCTTTGGGGCGAGGCAGCCCGACCTGAGCGAGCAGCTGGGTGAACTTGTTGGACGGCCCCGTGTTCAGCGACAGGATGCCTTTCTGCAACGGTGTACGATCAAAGTAAACTTGCTGCCAGTCGTCGTCAACTTGATATCCCTTGATGTGCAACGCAAGCAGCAGAAGCATCACGCTTTCGTCCTTGGCGTCGAACTTGGTCAACTCGCTGACTTGGGCTGCCAGATCAGCATTCTTCGATGTAGTCGATGCCTTTGTTGAGGTATCATGTTCAAGCTGGTTCTTGAGCTTACTGAGCTCGGCGGTACCTTCGACGTGCATGGTATCGAGCAAAGCATTGTGTAGATGTCCTTCGCTGTCGAGGTGCGCGTCGTCGGTGTGTCCCACAATGGGCAGCTTGCCGGCTAGCTCGTTGATGGCCGGTGCGGCTTGCTGGAGCGTATCGAGCACATGCGCACCTGCTTTGGACGCTAATGGAGAAGGAGCATTGCCATTGTAGATGAGCAGGAAGTAGACGGTAGGCACGAGCAGGAGCAAGACCAAAAGCTTCTTGCGTCGAAGTAGCGTGAAAGGTGGTAGGCAGAAGACGGGAGCGCGCGAGGGTGATGCAGTCCCCGACTCGAGGTCTTGGAGCAGATGCTCCTTAGCTTCGGCGCCCATGCTGGTGGACAAGGTGTGCTGAGATAGGATGGGCAAAGTGAGCGGCTCGTTGACGTGCAGATAGGGTCCAAGGCCCAAAGTGGTTGCAGCGCGAGGGGGGACAGAGGCTGGACGAATGACTAAGCCTTAACACATCATCGACCTCCACTCTCGAATATGGAAGTCAAAGCCTTCTGGCTGCAGCCCAACCCAAAAGCTGAGCTTTCCTCCATGCTTCGTTGCTTCGACCCTTAGCACCAACACTAGCCCTTGCCTCTCATACCACAAACGCAAAGATGCCGGTGTTTCAGCCCGCCAACCAGATCAAACTCACCAACGTTTCGATCGTTCGCCTACGCAAAGGCGGCAAACGATTCGAGATCGCATGCTACAAGAACAAGGTGCGCGAATGGCGAACCGGCGTCGAAACCGACTTGGACGAAGTGGTGCAGATCGAGAATGTCTTCGTCAACGTGTCCAAAGGGCAAGTCGCGCCATCAGATGACCTGCAAAAGGCATTTGGTACGACAGAGATCCCCAAGATCCTGCAAGAGATTCTGAAGAAGGGCGAGTTGCAAGTGGGCGAAAAGGAGAGGCAGCACGAGCTGTCCAATACGTGGAAGGATATTGCGACACAGGTGGCCGAGAAGTGCGTCGATCCAGGCAGCCAGAGGCCATATACCGTGGGAATGATCGAAAAGGCGATGCACGATGTCCACTATTCCGTCAAGACAGGGAGAAGCGCAAAACAACAGGTAAGTTGCGAGACTACAACCGACCACCTCGATCATTTGACTCACTCTTGCCTCAATTTTGCTTCGACTATTTAGGCCCTCGACGTCATTCGACTGCTACAGGAGAAGAAGACGATGCCAATCGAGCGTGCGCGCATGCGTGTCCGCATCACCATGCCCAACAAGGACGGCAAGAAGATCAAGGACAAAATCCTACCACTCACCGACAAAGTTGAAGACGAGGATTGGTCCGACGAGTGGGAGCTCATCGCTTTCATCGATCCAGGGGCGCTCAAGACGATCAACGAGCTGATTGAAGCCGAGATCAAGGGCAGGGGAAACGTCGAGACGCTCAACTTTACCACCATCCGCGAGGGAGACGGCGACGAGAGGCTCGAGTAGCCTACTTCCTGCAATTTCATTGTCTTTGTTCCCTTTGAAGCTGCAGATTGGTACATGTTAGAGGCTGTATGTTAGAGGCTGCTTGTGTCGGTCCGATAGTGCGGACTACTTTGCAAAGTGGAGCGTCCACGAGGGGAGCAACCTCCTGGCGTGGACTTCGGCGGTGGTCAGACCGGGTGTGCCGTAGGTGAGCGGCGTCAACCACCAGAAAGTGAGAATGAGGGCGGCCATGATGACACCCATGGCGGCCCTCGCTGGCCTGGGCACGATATTATCCATCCTCGGCCTGTAGTCTTTAACAGAGAGGAGCGGACCAGGCTGTGAGATGGGGAACTGGATGGTCTCGCTCGTGACAAAGTTGAGCACGCCTCCGGCGGCCAAGCAAGCACAGACGTGCGCTGGCAGGTAGTGGTGGATGAAGAGCTGGCGCGACATGAGGAAGAAGGGGAGGTAGTGGCACGCCCAAGCCACGACGAAAAAGCCGGTCGAGTTGTGCAGCCTGTTCCTGACGGCGCTTGGGATCGGGTAGATTCCACGTCGACGTGCGAGCAGGTCAGCGCCGACCACACCGACAAAGATCGAGATGCTGAGGATGGTGCCCCACCACGACACGAGGTTGCCGATCATGTAGATCTGATGCTGACCCTTGTCCAGCGTCCAGAAGGAGATGCCCTGGAGCAAGAAAGGCCAGTTGATGGGTCCGGTGGCGTACGGGTGGCTCTGCGTCAAGCCGGCATTCTGGTTGAGCATCTGCAACTGCAGCTCGAGCCACTTCTTGAAGAAGTTCATCTTGACCAGTTCGCGAGGCGGGAGCGGCTCGAGTCGTTCTTCGTAGTCGGGGCTGTCAGGGCTCGGGGTGAGATCGTTGACGTACCACAGACAGGTCTTGTCCATGGCGTTCTTGTTGCCATTGACCTCTTGCTGGTTGAAGGCCCAATCGGGAAGCGCTTCGGTGTGAGTCCATAGACAGACGCGGGTGTTTTTGTGGACGAGTCGGAACCACGATGCTTTGCTTTGGAGGACCCTCTTAGGGTTGTCCGTATCGTCCAGGAAGAGCTCGAAGAGCGTGTCGTCGTAGCGCGAGGTGTCGTTTGCCGGCGTAGTGGTGAACTCCTCGTTGGTGGCCATGAGGGGCGATGCTACATCGTGGGTGAGGAGGAAGGTGTCGGTGTTGATGTGGAGCAGTCGAACGGTATCCTTGTTCTGAACGAGGCGACCGTCGACGTCGTCTTCGGGAATGGACTTGGTCGGAATGATCTGCCAGACGTTGTTGGTATCGTTGTGAGGATAGCCGGTGACCTGTTGACCTTGGCTCGAGATGCGACCGTCGTCATATTTGAGCGGATATCGTTCTGTGTGGGAGTGAAGGAAGGCCTTGGTGTTCTTGTGGACGAGGGTAATTTTGTCGAAGTACTGAATGTCGCGAGCGCTGCTGAGCATGTCGTTACCCTGAAGCGTCTGCTGGAACTGGGAGCTCATGAAGGCATCGCCGGGGCCGCTCTTGATGAGGATGGCAAAATGGACCCAGAACCAGAAGAGATAGACACCAAAAGGGAGGATGATGAGGGCAAAGAAGCGGGCGAAGAAATGACGAGCGACGTGGTCCATCTCGATGCCTCTTCGAATGTCGAGCAGCTTCCACAGATCCCAGGCGACAGCCGAGCCGATGGTCATGAAGGTGAAGAGGCCGACCATTTTGCAGCTCATGGTGAGAGCGAGGTTGACGCCGGTAGCGACGAGCCAGAACCACCATTTGGCGGTAAACTCGTTGTATCGAAGCTTGTAGAAGCGAATGTACGAGTAGAGACTGAGCATCATGAAGAGGATGAGCGAGGCGTCGAGGAGGATGAGGCGATCCTGTGCGACGTGCGCGTTGTCGAAGAGCAAGAGAGCGGCGCTAAACACGCCAATGACGGGAGCATACCCACTCTGTCGCATGATGGCGTAGATGAGGGGCACTTGCAAGCTGCCAATGATGGCGGGCACGGCGCGCATACGAACGTAAGGAACGTTGTTCTCGAGGTACTTATCGCCAATCTGATCGAACTCGAAATGGCCGTCGAACCCAGCGAGGTAGCCAGCGGCTGCATTGATGAGCTTTGCGAGTGGGGGGTGAACATCGAAGTAGTACTCGCGTCGAAGGTAGTAGGCGGCAAACTTGCCGAAGTGAACCTCGTCGAAAACGACCTGGTCTGGGAACGAGATCTTGTAAAAGCGAAGAGCAGCGGCGAGGACGAAGAGGGCGAGCGTGATGGGCAAGTCGGCAGGATGCGAGTGCACCTGAGGCGAGACGGCGCTCAGATGGGATCGTGTTCGATGTTTGTCGTTGTCGTCATCGTACGAGAGATCGGACTGCGACACGCCCGCGGCGGTAACCTTTGCGCCGGCATCGTTGCGACGAGAGCGCACCTTCTGTGCTCTTGATGCGTCCATGATGGCTCGGGAGGGCGAACGTCGGGATGGTGGAGTGGAAGCACAAAGCAAAGAAGCGAAGAAGCAGCTGCTGCAAATCAGTCATTTGAGCCCGTGCAAGTTTCCCGTTGGCGACCCGCTCGCACGGCCAATTTCCAGAAACAACGCTCTCCGTTCTTCCACACTTGCAAATCACCATTTCCAAGGCTCACTCCCTTTGTCACCTCCTCCCTTGTCACTTCCGACGGCTTCACTCGCTCTTCGGTACATCACGCGTTGCATTTCACACGGTGTCGGCTCTCGTCCGATGTGGCAGTGCCAGTCGGCATGTGTGACGTGATCCACCTAAAATCGCATGTGCAGGATCAGCAGCAGCAAAGCGCGTGTCTGTGTTGGTCTACTCGGCGTGTTTCGGCCCAGTCGCCGCGTGTGGTGATTTCGAGAAGAAGACTTTCATTCTCGGAATTCGGCGTGGCTCGACACCTGCGCCGAATTCAAGCTGAGGAAAGCTCACATCCTCGTGTGATGGACGAGGGTAACTCCATTCAGTGAGAGCAGCCGTCGGTCCCTCTCGTCACTTTCACATCGACTCCATCGCTCGACTCAGCCAGCTTTCAGCATGGCGGCATCCACTGCCATCAATGGAGACGGCATGGATGTCGATCAACCGATCGCGTCCACTTCGGGTGTCACCATCGAGGATCTGCTCTCCTCACGCTCCAACGGATACTCTGCCAACGACGCCGCCTTGTCCGCTCAGATCGATGCACGCAAAGTGGCTCGCAATCTTGCCATCCCCACCTCAGATCCAAAAGTGAGGCTACGTCTGCGCCAGCTCGGCGAACCGGTGACATGTTTTGGAGAGCGCGAAATGGATCGTCGCGAGCGTCTTCGCCAAGTCCTTGCCCGACAATTGCAACAGCAGCCGGACACGCTCACTCCTGGAGCATCAGAGCCGCAATCGCACGCCTCGCAACCGAGCGACGGAGACAGCGATGACGACGAGGATGAAGAGTTCTACACCGAGGGATCACCTGCGCTCCTCGAAGCACGCCGCAAAGTCGCCTGCTTTTCCTTGCAGCGCTCCAAACGTAGGCTTGCACGTCAACGCAGAGACGCCACCATTCCGCTCACCTCAATCGTCAAAGAGCGCAGCAAAATGTACGAGCCCATCAAAAGTTACACCAATCTTGGCTCTCAGATTGGGGACGATCGTCCTGTATCCATGACCCGTTTCGCTCCCAACTCGCAACTTCTCGCAACAGCAAGCTGGTCCGGCAGCATCAAATTATGGCAGGTCCCCAGTGCCAACCACAAGCTCACCTTTCGTGGGCACACCGACAAAGTAGGTGGGCTAGCATGGCATCCGCGCGCCACCTTGACCCAAGATGCTTCCGCCGTCAACCTCGTCTCAGGTGCCGGTGACGCTTCCGTTTGCCTCTGGAGTCTCGAAAGCGATCGACCTCTTGCCACTCTACAAGGACATGAAGCTCGTGTCGCAAGGACCGCTTTCCACCCTTCCGGAGACTATGTGGCCAGTGCCTCCTTCGATGGCACATGGCGACTCTGGGACGTCTCCACCTCAGACTGTCTCACTGTCCAGGAAGGCCACAGCAAGGAAGTCTACTCGGTCGAATTCCAAGACGATGGCGCGCTCGTTGCCAGCGGTGGTTTGGACGCCATTGGAAGGGTGTGGGACATGCGCACGGGCAGGACAGCCATGGTGCTCGACGGGCACGCCAAAGAGATTCTCTCCATCGACTTTGCACCCAACGGATATCAGCTCGCCACGGCTAGCGGAGACGACACCGTCCGCATTTGGGACATGCGCGCGCTCAAATCCATCTACACCATTCCAGCACACAAGTCATCCGTCTCGGACGTTCGCTTCTTCCGCTCTATATCGCATCGCACGTCACCCTATTCCCTCGAAGGCAGCGCAGAAGACGAGATCGGTCGCAACGGCCTCTACCTTGCCACATCCGGTTACGATGGCATGGTCCGCATCTGGTCAGCAGACGACTGGCAGCTCCTTCGGACCCTTAGCGGCGACGGTGGCAGAGTCATGAGCGTCGACATCAGCTCGGACGGCGAGATGCTCGTCAGCGGCGAATGGGGACGCACCTTCAAGCTTTGGGGTCCATTGTAGTCACTTCGCAATTCGACCCATTTACGCGAGACGCTCGCTCGGCGCACCCTCGACACGCGCCTCACTCGGCCTCGAAACCGAAATTGGAAAAAGGTGCCAGCAAGCGAGTGTTGGTCTCGACTCGAAGCATGCACGGTTCCCAGAACGAGCTTTCAACACGCACGCATGCACGTATTCATTCGGCTCTTTGCAAACGTCCCTTCTTCATACCATCTGCATATCGTTGTCGCCATCTTGTGGACGTCCACGAACGGCTCAGCTAGCGATCAACCGACATGTCAGACCAACACCCGACCATGGCCACCTCGTCGTCTTTTGCTTCGGCAGCATTCAACCTCTACACCGCTCAAAAAGAAATCGAGCACCGCAAGCCGCGACTCTCACGCATGTCGTTCGTCCGCGATTGCTTCCGCCTCTCTGGATCCGTCTTGCCTCGTATCTTCCCTTCCGTGCTGTTCCTCACCCTCTACGCAACTCTGATCGCTTTGGCCGACCTGGTCTGGGAGCGGAAATGGACCACCTCGTACTCGATCACCAGCTCGCTTTCCGTCGTCGTTGGTCTGCTTCTCGTCTTTCGCAACAGCACCAGCTACGATCGTTGGTACGAAGGAAGAAAGCTCTGGCAGGATGCAAGCACCACCACGCGCAGTCTCGCCACGCTCATCTGGATCAACGTTGAGGCGGATAAGGATGCGGATAAGAAACAGTGGCGCCTGGACAGGAAGAGGCGCGCGCTCAGGCTCTTGTCCGCGTTTATGGTTGCGGTCAAACACGATCTCAGAGCCGAAAAAGGCACGGCGTGGGCCGATCTCAAAGGTGTACTGCCTTGCGAGTGGCTTCGAGCCGACGCTATCGAAATAAATCAGGAATTTGCCAAGCACAGTGGTACGACCAGCGACGACCTCGAGCAAGCGACTGGTTCTAGCCCACCTTCAGAGTCGTCGCCTTTGCTTCTCGCCACCGGCGACCCGCTTGTCGGCGCAAGCGACCGCAGCATCTCCCTACCGCTGCGCATCATCGCCGAACTTCACAGCTACCTAGCGTCCACCCGTCGCGCTGGTCTCATCGACGACCTTGGTCCCGCCGGCTTTTCCCTCCTCAACACACAGCTCGTCAATCTGTCCACCCTTGCCGCATCTATGCAACGCATCTCTACCACCCCTACGCCGCTCATCTACGCCATCCACCTCAAACAATCCTCATTCGTCTATCTCGCCACTTTGCCTCTCGCGCTCGTCGGTGAACTTGGCTGGAAAATGGTGCCCTTCGTCACCGTATTCAGCATGATGCTCATCGGACTCGAGGGCATCAGCAGCGAGATCGAGGATCCATTTGGCGAGGACAAGAGCGATCATCCGCTCGATCTGTGGTGCAGCAGGCTTCGCTGGGAGATCGAACTACTCATGCGCGACGTCGAACCTGGCGTTCACGACGAGTGATGCTCGGAATGACAATCAACGACCTCTCAATCCACGTATCCACGAGCCACGATACTTTCATGACCCCTGGCAATGTTCCAACGTCTTCATATCATACCCATCGCACGCAATTACAGTATTACCATCCGGGGATAGCTTGGACTGTGCACCACTTTTTCTTTTGTGACAACAATGCAACAAAGCCCAATTCAAATTGACTGACTTGTGCAAACACCAAAACATAATGATGACCCCTTGTAAACCCTAAACCAGATTCAACCCATGCAAACCCAAAGGCAATGACAGGCAAGGTTAGCCCTAGCCCTAGGCCGTGGGGCGTTGGCGGCGCACGATGGGCATTGACGTTGCAATTTTCCCTGCCAAAAGGTGGACCCCTCCGTTTGCACGTCGGTTCAATGGGCACGCCATTTTACACTGCTCCAGTGCAGCAACGTCAAACACCAGATTTTGGCAGGAGCAACGGGCAATGGGCAATGGACGCGTCAAAATTGCCAGGAAATTGGCTGGGCGACGGTCAAATGTGGAGGACTGGTCCAGTGCCCAACGTACAAATCCAACTTGCACACTGGCGCTGTGCCCAACGTGCAGATCTGGCGCGTTTGTCCGTTGGTTGGTTGCCTGTCCGTCTGACCGCCATTTTCTCAGTCTGTCAGGCCGTCAGTCAGGCGGGCATTTTTCCAGTCTGTCAGACCGTCAACACGTCAATTTCTGAGTCTGTCAGACCGCAAGTACGTCAGTTGGCCAGCGCGTCAATT